TTAAAGTTAAATTAAACCTTTTTCTTAGTAAGTGTAATTATAGGGCTTACTAGCTGTAAAAAGTTGTTAATAAATTATTAGTAGAAGTTAGTAAATTTTATAAAGGCTTAAACATTTTTTATGTTCTTTAAGTATTACTAATCTAGCACAGTCTAAACCTTAATAGGGTCTATTTAGATGCTATCTATAGAGATTACATATTCTAAATATGTAACCTTTAATTAGTAGAACTTACATTTGTCTATGTTAAGTTATAAACCTGCTTCTTCTATAGCCTTTAGTACTAGGCGTACATGCTGTTTATGCTCTAAAAGGCTATTACTATAGATTAGAATATTATTAATATATGTAGTGCAGAACATATCTAGGTAGGGTTAGAGTAAGTTGTTTATAAAATGTTAAAAAGTACTAGGCGCGTTAGCTAAGCTAAAGGGCATTACTAAGTACTTAAATAGTCTATATTAGGTCTAAAACACTGTTAGCTACTTATTACCCTTTACTATCCTTAGCTTATTAAAGGCAGTAATAATATTTAACTTTATAAAATACTTTGCTTTACTTAGTTAGCTTAAGGTTTCTTATAAAAAAAAATTAAGTATTAGTTTTTAATAGTAATAGTGTTTAGTCCTTAGTAGTTAACATAGAATTAAAGCCTACCTTTAAGTTTCTTTATAAATAGTATAGGTAACACTACTAGTAAGAAGCTAGCTTAAATAAACTCTTTTTTTAAGTTCTTATTAAGGTATTTTTAGAGCACTTTTAATTTATTTAGTAACATCTTATACAGTGGCCTATAACTAGGTTGTTTACTAGGCTTAAAAGTTATTTAGTAATTATATAGATGTTATATTAAAAGCTTATTAGACTTATCTTAAAAAAAGACATGTAATAAGTTATAGTAGTTTTAAGAAACTATTATTCTTAAGTTAGTGTGTTTTTAGAGAGCTAAAGCTTAGTCTATATTAGAAATTATAACTATGTAGATTTTGTAATCTAGTTATTAAGCTAGGGTTATAAATAAGGCAGGTCTTATATAGCAGATGTCTATCTGCTGTTTAAGTCCTAGTTTATGTCTAAATTAAGTAAGTAAAGGTTCTTTAAAGGCTTTTTTTTTTTAAGTTTAAGTAGTTATTAAATTATTTTATATAGCTTATTTTAGTAAGAGGCCTAGCTTGTTAGCCTTACTTAGGTAGTTTTTTTTTAGGTTATTAAAGAGTAAGTCTAGAAACCTTCTGTATTAAGTGCTATTTAGGTGTTATTTAAGTGTAAGTGTAAGCATATATTTTAGCATTAAAAAGAGTTAAAGTTTAGAACTTACTCTTAGTAATTAAAGGCAACCTTGTGCTAATATAGCTATAGTTGTTTTAGAATTAGGTTATAACATCTTATGTTTATTACATAGAGCTTAATCTGCTCCTTATAGTGTTAGTAAGTAATTATAACAGTTGTAGTACAAAAAATAAAACCTTTTTTAAGTTATTTTCTATTAAATCTAGTTAGGTAAATTATTTAGGTAAGTAGTGTTAATTAAAGATTTAGTTTGTGCGCTAGTTCTCTATTAATATAACTTATGCTGTTTACTCCTAAGTTAATAAAAGCTTATATTAAAGCTAATATAGTTCCTTATTATAAATATATAAGAATATTAACTTAGTACTTTTAGTTATTAGTAGGAGACTTAGCCTATAAGTTAGTAAAGATCTAGTGTTAAATTAGTCCTAAAGGGCAACTTAGCCCTAGGACAAGCCTTTTTGCAGGCTTCTACTGCTATAGCTGCGGCTATGTTAAGAGTAGTAAAAGGGATTAGAGCTTAAATATAAGTTAAAGCTCTTATAAAAATAAAATTAAAATAGTAAAGATTTTTAGTAAGTGCTAGCAGCACTACTTACGTAGACTTAAGAAAGGGAAATAAAGCAGTTTTAAAAAATATAACTATGCTTACTATACTTAAAGCATTAACTTTTTTTTTTATAATTTTTACACTTTCTAAAACTAACTAAAGCATAATTTAAATTAATTTTTATTATGTTAGAGTTCTTATTTATAACTGCGCTAGTTTAGGGGTGTATTAGGGCTTATATAAGGAGGAACTTTATGTTATTATTATAGGTAGCAATTAGGTTTGCATACGCGTTAAGGTTGTTTAGAAGGGGTTCTCTTACTATAGCACGTTATAGTTTAGTTAAGAGAGAGTTATGTAGGGCTATAATTAGACCTATTTTATTTAGGCCTATATTAGATGCAAGTTAGTAGAACTTAGTAAAGTGTAAAGTAAAGCTTTTTTTTTTTTTATTATAAAGTGTTTAGGTAACTTAAGGCTGTTAACTTTTTATTTAAGTCTTTATAAGTTACTTATAAAAACACTATAAATTAATCTAGGTTAATAATATCTTTATCTATTAGTAAGTTAATTAAGGCTGTTATATTATAGTTAAGTTAAAAGTAAGTATATAGTAACTAAAAGTGTTTAGAGAGAAATTAGTCTATATTTTCTTTAAGTTTATATTAAAGCTTATGTAGAAAGAAAAGTAAGTCTTTCTATTTTCTATTAAATAGTAAAGGATTAGAGAGTTAGTTAGATTTTATTACTAAGTTAAAAAAGTTATAAGTTATAAGTAGTGTTAAGTAGAAAAAAGTTAAGCTATCTTTAAACTTTTAAGTAGGCTTTAAAGCTAGTAAGTTCTTAGTTCCTACTACTATAATAAAAGTTAAGGCAGAAATAGACTGCTTAATAACATAAAGCTGTTCTTTAAAGTCCTTTTAAAAAGCTTTAAAGCTTATAATGTAGTAGCTTTTTTATAAAGTAAGTGCTTTTTAGAAGGCTTTTTAGCTTACTTTAATAGCTTAAAGTTATGCAAGTACTAAGCTTATTAGATTAAATTTAGAGGCTATTTTTAGCTAAAGTTTTAACACAACATAATGTTATAATTATGCATAAGTAAGGTTATAAAGCTTTGCAGAGGTCTAGTTTAATTACTACATAAAGTATTATAGTAAGTATAAGACATTATGTAAAAAATAGGAAAGTTTAGAAAGAAATTAGTAATTAAATACTTAGCTTAGAAGTCTAAGCGCTTTAGGTATAAATTAAGCCTGTTTTAGGTTTAGTTAGTGTTAAGGCAGTTTGTGCTTAAGTTTATGTCTATGTTGTGTTGTGTTTGTGTTAGACGTGCACTAATAATACTCTAGTACGCGTCTAATACAGTTATGTCTGGGATCCGGGGAGGATACCGTGACACAGGATGACTTGATTAGCTGCATCCTAATAGTCAGATGCAGGATTTGTGAGAAACTGTGCAAGGCGTGATGTAGTAAAGGCAATGTCTAGTCTTGTAGTAACTGCTGTAAAGAGCAGAGATCTAATTTTCTACTAATATTAATTTACTTCTAATAGGGTTATAAAACTAGATTGCAGCATAAGTTTAATCCTACTTATAGGTGTAGCGTGCTGCAGGTCTTTTCTGTTAGCTAGCCTAGCTATCTTATTAATATAAGGCCTATAATAGCTAAATTATTTATTACTATTAATTTCTAATAATCTTAACTTCTAAAAACTATTATAAGTCTTTGCCTCTTATTAAGGTATACTTCTCTTATAACTAGTCTACTACACGCTGTACATCTACTTTAGAGCCTTTTCTGTACGCAATAATAAAGTTGTCTATGTAGAAGAAAACAAATATTCTAGCTTTAGTTATGTAGTAGAGTTTATGTAGAATAGCTAAGAACTTAAGGCCTTTAAAAGTTATTATAAAATAGTGTTACTAAAGTAAAAAAAAATTTTGTAGGCTATATAGTACTTTTTAAAGCTTTAGTATTATACCTAGTTTCTAATAGCCTTTTAGCATTTACATGTAGATATTGCAGTTAATTGCTGCATGTATAAATGTGTTAACGTATTCCACCACCGAACCCGCCAAACCACTAAACCCGACAAAATCTCTTAGCATTGCAAACACTACATACAAGACGCGATGTCTAAACAACACAAGACTATACTAACTTAGCAAGAAGGCAGAATTGTCCTTGCGCTCTAGGCCTACTGCTTATGCTAATTTAAATGTGTATAATAAGCTGTAGTAGCTTTTAACATGCCTTATTAGTAGCTTACTGCTTAGCTTAATAGAATTATGTTTTAACCTACTATATAACTAAATTACTAGAAACTTACTGTAACTAAAGAGTAGATAATTATATAATATATTCTTAACCTTAATTTATAAGGATTTGCGCTCTAGCTGTGTAAGGTAGTAGATATAGTAAACAGACTATTAGCTGCGCATAGTAGGATACTAGTAGGGACAAACTAGCCTACATAGTTTATGTCTTGTATAGAGGAGCTTAAGATAGCGTTTAATTAAGTAAAAGACTACTAAAGAATACTTTAAAAAGACCTAGAGTTAATTATAAAGTAGTTTAAGCTTATATAAGACATAATAGTAAAATATAGTGTTTATAATAATAATATCTACAACTTTAACAAAACTAGCTTCTAGATAGGCATAATTAGCACTATAAAAGTTATTATAAGTTTAAAAAGACATATAAGGCCTGTTTTTACATAGCTAGGTAACTAGAAATAAGTTACTATAATCTAGAGCATCTGCGCTGCTAGCTACGCTACCCTACTATTTATTATCTACAAAGAACGCGTCTACATCTCTGCCTAGTACAAGAAAATATTTATACTATATAATTAAAAGCTATTAGTCTTTAAAAATAGCTAAATAAATAATGCACTTAGTCTTAAGTAGTTAAAGCACTTTAATAAGCATATAAAAATGTGTTAAGTAAAGGTATATAAGCTGCTTATACTAGATAGCTATAAGAGCTACTTAAACTAGAATTTTAAAAATTATTACTTTATATAAAAAATCCTTACACTTTATATGCCTACACATTTATTACATATCCTTTAGCTACTTAACATAGTGTGCTTTTTACTGTTAAAGCTTAAGTACTCTTAGTGTATATAAGACTTAGCACACTAACATATATAGTATATTAATAAAGAACACTTTTTTCTAGCCTTTAAAAACACATTTTTAGATGTTTTTATATATAATAACTATAAAAAGGCTTTTAAGGCATCTAAACTAGTTCTTATTAACACGCAGGTAGTCCTTAATTATTTTAATGTGCAGCTGTGTACTCTACTACTAGAACCTCTACTAGAAATGCTATAGTAATTAAAGACCCTAAGTAATTTATATAAATTTAGATTGTAATTAAAGCTTATATGTAATTTCTTTATATAATTACTAATAACAGCATAAAAAAGCTTTTTACAGCTTATAAAAAAAGCTAAGAAGATGCTACATAAAAATATACTTATAAAGGCGCGTGTATAAGAGCTTAAAAAGTAATTAGCAGACATAACTAAGCGCAAGGGGCGTAAAAGAAAGCAGATCTAGCAAGGTAGCATAATAGAGTATAGAACTGTAGCAGTGCAGGTAGCTGCTAAGGCGTCTGTAGTAGCTTAGCAGTTAAAGAAGGCTTGTAGTAGTGGTAATTAAGAAAGAGCCTAACCAGCTCTGCAGCGCTGTGGGAACTGTGAAGAGACTAGGCACAACGCTTGTATGTGCAAAAAGGATAAAGAAGAAGCACTAGAATTAGATGTAGGCACGTTGTACGTAGGTTCTCTATTTAGTTGTGAATAAAATTAGAGTTTTGTACGTGGTGTTCGCAATGCCAAGAGATTTTGTCGGGTTCGGTGGTTTGGCGGGTTCGGTGGTGGAATACGTTAGTATTCTTATTAATGCTGCTTTATCTAGCGTCTTGCTGCTATACTTTTTTACACTTTTAGATCTTATACTAGCTATAAAGGCTATAGCTTATAGTACAGTGTAAGGACGGAGCTCTGTACCACTACGCCAATACAACCAAAAGGTACGAATAATCAACCAACGTTGATTTTCGGGTGCAGAATAGTATATATACCTGTCGCACGTAAGCGCCATCTCGGCCTTACATTATCCCCCTTCTTAGCAGACGCATGTCCCAGGCGTCACATGACCTACCCGCAGCTCAGAGGCGCCATGCGCATGTCTCGGTTACCGGCCAGAGGCTGACCACCTGCGGCCTAGAGGCGCGGGATAAAATAACGACATAACGCTTAGTGGCCCACGCCAGCTAAGCCATATACACTAGACCTCCCAGCAGCTACAACGTGGCGCCAGAAGAGGCCGCCTCACGTTTTAGTCTAAAAACTGGCTAAGCTGTCCGAGGTGTGGGTCGAACGCGCGACCGTCCTTGTTGTTGGTTGATTATTATGTAAGAACAGAGCTCTGTACCACTACGCCAATACAACTAAAAGGTACGAATAATCAACCAACGTTGATTTTCGGGTGCAGAATAGTATATATACCTGTCGCACGTAAGCGCCATCTCGGCCTTACAGCTATATGTTCGCAGTTACAAGGCTCTCTATAGTATAGGTTTAAAAGCAGCTTGATTAACTAGTAGGTAATTGCTAGGCTTATAACTATAAAGCTAGAATAAGTACTAGAGACATAAGAAACTAGATTAATTGCTAAAGAAAGACAACTATTAGTTTATATAGTACTAGATGAACCTGTTATGTAACTTAAGGCCACTAATAGCTCTAGGATGCAGCAGGTGGAGTAGCTAGGCAGCAGTAGGTTAAAGAAGTGTAGGTGGCTAGAGCATAGAGAGCTCTGTAACTGCAAACACTAAACTAGCTTTAAATTACTTTTGTAACAATTCTTATAAATTATTCTATTTTAAGTTGCTTAGAACCTATTTAAAGGGTCTCTGTATCAGCTCTAACTATAACTTAACCCTGTTCTCTGTAGTTACCTCTATTCCTCTAAGTATTTAGTTGCACCTCTTCTCTTAGCTAGCTTAGTAGTTTTCTAATATCCTTCTGTACAAGGCCTATAGGCGCTAATAGGATTCCTAGGTTATTAAGTCCCCACGCATTCCTATATGCCTCTAAGTAGATTCCTACCGCATTTAGACCTATTGTCTTGCCTACGCTGTTATAACTTTAAGATTCTTATAAAAAGCTTTTTTATAGTTATACTTACACATAAACTTTACTTTAAGCTTTAAATAATGTAAAGATGGGATGGTAAGTAGCACGGATAGCACTGAGAGCAAGCTTTCGGAGAAAGATAGGAGTGTATTGTAAGAGAGACGAATCGCTGCCAAGCTTCGCTTGTCAGGATTCATGCTTATATACGAAGCACAGGTCATACGACCTCCAAACAGGTCAGGTGAGGCCATACTGGCCCGTTCTGGGACATCCGGCCTTACAAATAACACTTAATAAACATGCTAGGCTAGTTTATACTAATATAGCCTAGACTATGCTTAGCGTGTAAAGAATTAGCTATATTAGCTATAGCTACTAGCTAAAAGAAAAAATCTTATACATTTAGCTTAAGTATATACTTAATAATTACTTACTTTTTATTATTATTTAGCCTTTATAAGTTAGCTATAAAATTAGCTTATAAAAGTTATTTAGTATATTAGTTATTTATTATGTTTTATAAGACTTTATATATAACGTGTTTCACTACTAAGCGGGCGGCACCACTAAGCGGGCAGTTTTTGCTTAGCACAACTATCTCTCTTATCTACCGAAAATGTCTTAACAACATAATGTAATACTATTTAATTAAGAAGGCAGAATTAATCTTACTTTTAAAGCCTAGTATACACACTAAATTTAGAGCCTCTAACGCGCTACTAGTATGTTTAGTGTACCTTATTTAACCCTTAAGTATTAATACTATAGATGTGCTTATTAACTACTTATACTTTCTAATAGCTAGAAGCTTACTTCTACTAAAAAGAAAATAGTTATTTAATATATCTTTAACTTTAACATATAAAGTTTTACACTTTTAAAGGCTAAAGTTAAAAATATAGTAAATAAAATACTAGCTAAGTAAAGTGTAAAGCTAGTAAGTAAAAACTAGGTAAATAAGTTTATAGCATATAAAAGAAAGCTTAAAATAGCATTTAATTATATAAAAAAAATTTAAGATTATAAGCATATAGTTTAAGCTTATAAAAAAAATAATAGCTAAGTATAGTATTTATAATAATAATATGCATAACTTTAATAAAACTAGCTTTTAGATAAGAGTTATTAGCTTTATAAAAGTTAATATAGGCTTAAAAAAGCATGTAAGGCCTAATCTTATTTAGCTAAGTAATTAGAAGTAGGTAACTGTTATTTAGAGTATCTGCGCTATAAAGTACATAATTCTGCTTTTTATTATTTATAAAAAACACATTTACATCTTAGTATAGTATAAGAAAGTTAATATACTTTATAATTAAAAGCTTTTAGTCTTTAATAATAGATAAATAAATAATAAGCTTAAAGTTATATAGTTAAAGCACTTTAACACGCATATAAAAATGTATTAAGTAAAAGTATATTAACTACTTATTTTAGATAGTTATAAAAGCTATTAATTTTAAAATTTTAAAAACTACTACTTAAAACATAAAATTTTTATGCTTTATATACTTACTTACTTATTATATATTTTTAGCCTTTAAATATAGTTTATTTTTTACTATTAAAGTTAAAGTACTTTTAATATATTTAAAACTTAGCGCACTAATATATTTACTATCTTAATAAAAAAAGCTTTTTATTAGTGTTTAAACTTATGTTTTTTAACATATTTTAAAAAGAGAACTGCTAAAAAGCTTTTAAAGTATTAAAGCTTATTCTTTTTAATATAGTAAAAGTCTTAAATTAACTTAATATATAATTATATACTTTACTAAAACTTCTTCTCTTTACTAACCTTTAGTAGTTAAAAACTTTAAGTAATATATATAAATTTAGCTTTTAGTTAAGGCTAGTACTTAAATTTATTAAAATATTACTAGTTATAGCTTTTACTAAGTTTTTATAACTTATTAAAGGCGCTAAACCTATGCTGCACTAAAATATACTTTAAGCTATTTACATTTTTAAGCTTAAAAAGTTATTAAATATAATAACTAAAAAAAAGTTATATATAAAAAAGCAGCTTTAAAAAAGTAGCACTTTAAAGTATAGTAAGGTAGTAAATTAGGTAGCTATAGAGCTATTTTTAACTGCACAGTAGTCTAAGAAGGCTTATAGGCAGGGTGGTTAAGATAGGGCGCTAGCAACTTAATGTTGCTGTAGAACGTGTAGAGAAGCTAGGCACAATGCATAAACCTATAGACAGGTTAAAAAGGTAACTTCTAAATTAAAAGTAAGTACATAGTATATATTTTTAGATAGTAGTAGTAAAGAAATTAATCTAGAGTAACATAGAATAGTTATGCTAAGCAAAAACCGCCCGCTTAGTAGTGCCGCCTGCTTAGTAGTGAAACACGTTAATTATAATATATTACTTAAAAAGTGTTACATTTTATTTAAAAGCCTAAAGCATAAGCTATATTTAATATTCTTTTAACATGTTTAAGTAGTGTTATTAAAAATACATTAGTGTAAAAAAAGTAGTTTAATGTAGTTTTAGTAAAAGTAAGTAACTTAGGTGTGTAAGTAACTTGCTTATAGTATATATTATAGATAATTTTATATATTATTAGTAATTAACCTTTAATTAGCCTAAAAGTTTTAGAAGTCTTGCCTAACTAAAAAGTAGTATTAGCGCAAAGTCATCTGTGGAGCGACTGACTTGTGAGATAAGGTTGGACGCAGAGGAGGTGCTGAGGTATTAAGCAGGATCAAGTGAACCAATATCACGTGCAACACAAAGACATCCTTGTGGAGGTCCAAGAACCTGGAATTAGTTAAGCCGAATACACCCTCTTTCTCGAAGCCGTTAGTAATACCAAAAACGGGAGAGTCATTTATTCCCCAACGGTCCGGACTCGCAAAAATCTCACCACGCTCTTGTCTTTAGGAGAAGGCGCATACCCGCATATGAAGAGTGCGGGATGCGATTTCAGTCAAGAAGCGAGAAGTATACTAAGAGTAGATAGGAGATAGGAATGCAGAATAGAAGGTACTATTATGTTTGGGGGATATATACTGTATCGTTAGGAGAAGAGTAGCGCAGCAGGGCTAGTAATATAAGACTAAACGTTGCAACCTGTTCCTTCTCTTTCAAAATTTAGCCTCAGATTTCCTAGATAAATCTCAGCCTACTCACATTGCGTGGTATATGACAATGTGCTGGGCGAGTTTTGAGTGTAAGAAAAGGGGATAAGACTTCTGCTGTATGGATTCCAACGAAAAAGCTTAGTGTTCTCAGCCGTTGTATTACAACTCCCGCCCAATATCTACCATTCTTCATATTCGTCTCCGGTCTCGTCATCACTATCCCCGGACTTCTCAAACACCCCCGCTCGAGACGAGATACGCAGCGCAATTCCAGCTCTCTCAAACTTACTCCTCACATCACCTTTTTGAGTCTTTTCCGCATCAAGGATAGCTGTATACGCATCACCACGATCATTCCGACAATACAGATCAACAGTCTTCAACATCGGCCATGCAGCACAATTATCAACCAGCCGATCCATCCACTCCCAAATATCCGTCTTCGGCGCCAGAATCGTCAATATATCAATATTTGGCGGCAGTGAACGTAGAAGGTGAATTGTCGGTGGGTTTTTAACATACATCCCCGGGAATCCCGGTTGCGATATCGCGGGGACCTGGCCCAGCTCTGGCTCTTCCTCACCTCCTTCTACTTCCTGTTTTGAAAATAATACTTCGGCTGGGATAGTAAGCGTATTCAGCGTAGTGAACTCCTCAAGACGGACCCCTCCATCGACGTAATTCATCCAAGACACATCGGCATCGTCCTCTAGATCCAGGACCAGGGTTTCTAAATGGTTTGATATTGGTTTTAGTCGCTCTATCAGAGTCGCCCACGTTCCGTGATTGTTGTGGGGGAGGAGTCTGTAGTTTGTATGGGTTACGTCGTTTAGAAAGTTATCGAAGAACAAGAACACATGTCTCAGTCGCTGGAACCCCAACAACATCTGATCAAAGTGCAGGTGGCTCTTCGACAATGGGATGAAGATTGTGGTCCGACACTGGATCTCCAATGACGTAAGTGGTGAGTCTATTGCTTTGGTCGGCGCATAATAATCCACATGTCTGCTTAGATCCAAATGTTTTAATTTTGGCAAGCTCGCCCACGCTGTCTCCAGACTGCGACCGGCGAATGCAAGTTCTCGCAAGTTACGCAGGCCGGGGATAGATGTGAGGTCCGTCCTCCAGAGGGGCTTGTCTGGCTGGCAGAAGAGTTGCTCGATGGCACTTTCAACGTGCGGGTCCGCTCCGCTATCGTTATATGGAAAAGGTGTTCTGTATGTGAAGTCCCAATTTATGATTTCAATGCTCAAAGTTTCCAGATTAGAGGTGAGGGCAAGGAGAAGGCCACAGAGCGCTGGCTCCCACCGTTCCTTGATATGGGCCAGCCAGGGCTCCACAGCTACGGAGTGTCCACCATCCAGTGGTATCGTCCGCGTAAGGGTATCTTGTGTCCACACGCGCAGCCCTCGTAAGATCTTCTCCACGTCTGAGAGAAAGGCCTTGGGACGACGAAAGCGCACTCGGCGTTCCATGGCCACAACGCTCAGATTCTTGACTTTGATGGCCAAGTCAGGTCTGGCAATGAGAGTCCGAGCTAGATACGGTACCTGGCTTTTGCTGGACGTATACCGCGGCTCTGGGATTATCAGCGAGCGATACAGTGCAGCCTGTGCGATGCCTTGGATGTGTCTGGATACCAGTGAGAGGTGGCAAAGGTCTCGAGGCGGCAGGCAATGCGCAGCTTCGAGCAAAAGCTCAGTTGGTACATTGAGGATGGAGGTCATGGCTGGGGCTGAAACTTTATGCGAGGATATTGTATGGTAGAGAGGATAAATGGAAGGGTCCAGAGGGCAAAGATTAAGGTATATCGATGCTAAAAAGTGGGAGGGGCGGGAGATCAAATAGGAAGATGTTGCAGGGAGGAGTGGTTGATCCTGGAGTAGCCACACCGCAAGGTTTCTTGCTATGCTTACCGATTTCCGATAAGCGTGTTGCTTTCTAGGCGAGGGTTTAGGCAGTAATCGCGCGTTATTGGTTAGGCTGGTAGGGAGCCTTGAAATGCCAAGAATTCGAGATAGCTAAGCTTTAGAAATGTGCAATAGGAACGCCACTTCCAACACCTCAGGGGGTATTAAGACGATCTGCCCGCAGCTATGATATAACACAAGTGGTAGTACCTAGAGAAGAGTCTACCTATTAAATCTCTTGCTAGAGTCAGAAAGAACATCAACAGAACGCAATTTTCTGTCTTGACTTAACCCTCCGGCTATGTCTCTCGTTCAAAGATCAGGTGTATTGTATGGAAATCTGGAAGATTTTAAACTTTAAAAACATAGAGGGGTCCTCCGTCATCATCCTATTTATGAAAGTAAGCCATTCATGCGCCGTATCCGGTCCATCATCCTCTGCAGATCCACCTCTCATATTTTTCCACGCCTGATCCGAAAACCCAAGCAAATCTATGTGATACATGCATAAATCTATCAACCTGCCTATGCTGATACTCATACTACGTTCAAACAACATCCTCTCCCTCCCTAATCCATTGTCATCACCACACTCAACTCTTCCTCTCTCCCTCTCACGGTATCGCTTACACCATCGGCCTCGGCTGCGCAGGGCGTTCATATTCCGGCGGCGCCTCACTCGGAATCTCTCTAAGTGGCACCCCACTCATACTCGCATCCATCCTACCTCTTTCGCCACGAGGGCTATACGGCTCAAACCGCTCATTTCCTAGCGTAACACTGCTCGCCTTTACTTTCCTCGCCTTCCTCCTGTTGGCCCAGAATAGCAGCACAGCCATGCCGGCGAAGATGACGGCCACGAGGGCGCCGTACCAAATGTTATGCGAAGGGGAGCCAGTGAAGTTGAAGCCCAAAAAGCCGTTTATGGCCCCGGCGAGCAGGATGAAGGGACCCATGTAGAGATGAATTTTGCCCATGATGGTGGGTCGGGAGTGCTTCTTGTAGATGCGGTGGTGAATGAATCCTAGGGTGAATTGGGCGATGGTGAAGACGACAACGAAGAGGCCGAGGATTTGGTGCGCAGAGTTGACGTTTTTGGACTTTGAGTGGGATTGTTAGTCATTATCTTACGTTTGTCCATACATGGAGAGCGGGCAAGAATGGGGATGGCGGAGGAAAGGAATTGAGGGAGAGGCGATAGACATACATGATTATACTCCAAACCAAGTTTAATCCCCACACCCACACCCAACACCGCAAGCACCATCCCAAAGCCCTGTATCCAAGCGTGCCACCTTACCTTCTCCAACAGCCTCAAAAAGATGACACCAATGGGGAACAGAATCACAAATGTCCCACACATCACGACAGTATGAATCGGGGCACTCCAATCGCGATCATTCTTCGGATTCTCCAACGTCTGCGCATTATGATTCGTCCAACCTCCCACCGAACTCAACTGTGTCTGGAAGACATCATCAGAGTCTTGCACACTTGCCTTGCTTAGATCCATGCTGAATGTGCCGTAGAGGATATGTCGCCGAATTCCAGCGCTCATGGAGCTGGACCTGAGGTCGCGGTCGTCTGGACCGAGGGCGAAGATGAAGGGCTGATTGGTGGATGAGAAGGAGATTTTGCCCTTCCCGCCACCGCCACCATCACTCTCCCGTTTCCTATAGGATTTACCATTAATGCCCTTGCAGTAGCCATTGACGGCGTAGATGTCTTTGCTGTCGAGTGAGGTGATGCCGTTGGTGATGCCGTCGTTGGTGTTGAGCTGGCAGCCTGTTTTGTCGTCGTAGGACGGTTCGACGTTGCCGTCTACAGTGCGAGGGGAGAGTGTGACACCTAGCCAGGGGTCGTCAGCCTTGTCCCTCTCTGCCCCCAAAAGCTCGATTCCTGGATGAGTGGGTAGGTGGGGGAATGAGGCGCCTTACCTTTCCCGTCCGAACTCCTGTATACGATCCACATCAAACTGTCATCCATCTCCTCTCCCGTGCCAATGGCAACATAATTGTTATCCGCTGGGGCCTCGAGATGGAAGTATAAGTCACCGGAACTTGTCACAGCCGTCACAGCGAAGGTAATGTTTCCATGCTTTGCGCCGTACACCCACGCACTCGTTGTCGAATTTATCGGTTCTCTCCTATCAATCTCAAGTATGGAATGCGATACTGCTGTCGTCCAAGATGCAAATGCAGCGAGCGCTAGAAGGCAGTCAGCAACAACCAAGGGGTGAAGTCTTGGACAAGCTTCACGCACTAGCCAATAGCGTCGGTAGCGCTAACATGATCGCCACAATAAAGAGTTTAAACAACCCGAGCGCTGCAGGACAATATACAATTTATCAAATAGCAGAAAAGACGAAAGTATCTTTCTGTGTACGCAGATACGCAGATGGAAGTCGCGAGGTTCAGCTGGTAGAAATAGACTTCTTCGATGCCGCGTCAGGCTTGCTTTATTCTCGCCTGGCTTGCACACATTCGCCGAACTGGCCAGCACTTCCCCGCGCCTCAAGCCACTATTTTGGTGGGCTGATTACCTTTGTCTGCATGCTCATTGGTCCACGATCCTCTTCTGACCTTCCAACCGCCTGAAGCACTCAAGGCAGAACCAGAAACAGATTTCGAAACGAAAGCCGATGACGCGTTTTGCTGCGGTTTGCTCCAGTGCCTCTCGCTTCCATGTTTGTTCAGGAACGGTGGCGCGTCAGGGGATTATTTTGGATGGGGTGACCGATAGGAGGTGTTGATGATGAGGCTACAGAAAAAGTAATGTGATCACGGCCATCGAGAACATCGATACGGTACCCATGTCATCTCCGGACTCGGGTAACCTTGGATGGATTAAGTCTCGTTCATGAACATTGACGAATTTGAGTGGATCAAGCAAGGCACAGCCTTCCTATTTGCTCACGTCCTTCCAATGAAACGGCAAAGGAGGGGTACGCGACGATTAAAAATGGATTCGAATAGCCTAAGAGATCTTTAACGCTGACGTGGTCGAGGAAATCCTTTGCGAAAGGAAGCCCATGGGACAGTGAAGGACTGAGGAAAGAATTTAACAACAATCGGAGATGCAGCCTGCAACACATGCCAAGTCCTAGCCCCCGACAATGCCAATTCCAACCAATGCGAAAAACCAAACCCAGATACAAGGGAATATACAAAAGAAGCATCTCGAAAATTAATAAAAATGCTGATCTACTCAAATACCAGAGTCATCTTGCATTTTGAGCGGGTCAAACACATCAGAATGTGTCCTCAGCCAATCATCCCACTTGGCACATCCACCCCGCTGCTGATCTAGCGGTCCGATTCTGCTTTCGATCTCGGATTGGCGTTCCATGATTTGGAGTGCAAGGCCTGTTCATGATAAATGCTATGATGTTAAAAAAGAGTCACAGTTGGACTTACCTGAGCTTGCATGCCATGCAATGTGGCAGTGGAGCAGCCAAATTCCAGGGTTATCAGGCTTGAATGCGATAGCTAAGTAGCCGCCCGTTGGAAGCATCGCTACATCTCGTCGCGGAGCGTCTGTAAGTTGAAACGTGCTTGGACCGGTTACTGGATCCCATTTCGAGGTGCTCTGTGCAAGAATGGAGAAGTCATGACCCTATCACTAATCAGTTCCACCCCAGCAACAGATGTGGCTCGCCACACTTACGTGAAGGTGAATTGGATGCCAAGCAGGGACTTTCAAGGTCCCTGCCTTGAAATTTCCAGATGTGATAACCATATATACGAAATTATTTCCGTCATGATAGTTGTCTGTGGCTCGGTCAGTTTCTCTTTTCATTACAGGAAAGTCGATTTACTCACAGTCCACAACTGCGTACTCTGGGTTGAAAGAGGTATTTTTCAGGTTCATTATCGTTGGGTCCGAGAAGTTCAGCCACATCGGGGTGTCCGTAATGTCCCATCGATTGACATCTCCGTGAAACTTTTTGCTAAGGTCAAGACCAGCCTGATACGTATCGTTCGTGATGTTGTTCTGTGGGGTACCAACTGTCCACTGAACTATGGGGACCAGACTGCTTGCAGGCTCATCTGCGCATCCAACAGCGTCCGGGTGTCGGGTAGTCGTTGGGTCACCAGTACCATTGGCGTTAGTGTAGCTGATGATTCCAGTTCGTTGACGATCAGGATTGTTGCTAGGGACGTCGATAATCTCGTTATTACAAGCACTGCTATATTCAGTCCGAAGCCAGTACTTCCCATTGCTGCTGGGTGTGTCCGGCTTCGCTTCCACAACGATGCTATATCGCTGGCCAATGCCGACTGACAATGAGGTGGTAGTATATGGCTTGATAGGGACGAAGTCGGTAGAAATGACTTTGAGGACATGGCTGTCAATGGAGAAACGAAAGTGTAGTCCGACACTCCCATTGATAATTCGAATCAAGTAGCGTTTTCCAGCTTCAAACTTTTGATTGAAATATGAGCCTTGGCCATTAAAATGGCCAGTGCCGTTGACGAGGATCGTGTCGGCTTGAGGTAAGGGAGGGCCCACAAGCTCATGGTGGAATGCCGCAAACGCAGAGGTGTGAAGCCAGTCGGAGACAATAATTGGCGACCATTCTTCGTCCCAGTCAGCACTGTTTGGACCATGGACGAGAAGTGGTCCAGCTACGCCATCGCCATACTGAGTAGAGTAATGGCTGTGATACCAAGAATGGCCGTATTGAGTCAGTTTGAACTTGTACGTGAAGGTATCACCCTGGGCGGTAGGACACTGGGTGACGCCATTGACACCATCCATCTCGTTAGAGCCCAACTGCCGGATGCCATGCCAATGGATCGTTGTTCCGTTGTCTGGAAGGGAGTTTTTCACATTGACAATGACGCTTAACTTGTCAGTTAGAGAATCGGCGATGATTGAGGAAACTTACGTATCTCCCCAACACGCCTCGATGAGCTCTCCTGGATACTTTCCATTGATGACCTTTGCAAGGGTCTTTTCAGTTCCATCAGGGGATAGTTTTTGCTCCGAAATCTCGATGTCGTAGGTTCTCTCAATGCCGAGTGGCGTCTCATCCTCATAATCTGTATTGATGTTGTACTGCTTGCCGTTGGGGTCTTTCACCCAACAACCTCGATTATTGGCATCGTTACAACTTTGCCATCCAGGGGGATATGAGCAGCCGGAGAAACCGGGCGAAGCTTGTCTGGGTATGAAAGTATGCCTCTGTGGTAAAGACCGACCAGAAACAAAGGGGGTGGTTGCAACAAGTACAACCAAAGTGTTCAACGAATGACTAATAAAACCCATACTGAAAATCAAAGAATGTGGCAGCAGTGTGTGAAAGAAATGAATATGGACCTAGGTATACCCCAAACATTAAATATACCTGCCGCAGCTTTGGTAAATCCCTTCCACTACATTTTTACTTTTACGCCCGGCTGGAGGATGGAGACGTAATTCATTGCACAGGATCGAATTGTGATAAGAGCATAGGTAACAATAATGGCAGTGCAAGTTCGTGTGCCTCGTGCCCACCATGACGAGCTGTCCAGCAGCCAGATACCCTTGCGGAAATTCATGGAACAAGGTGAGAACTCGCAACATTTCCAAGCTAGGTGGAGAGAAACTGAGACATATGTGTGGCTTGCATACTCCTAAGTTCGAACCCAAGGAGGTGGCACGGGTCCGGGAGTGATTTCACTCTTCCCAAACATGTGGAGCGGATAGCTCGGAGCCTAAAGTTTAGGTTTGCAAAAGCGGGTGAACAGGGCTCCTGATGTCTTTGAAGTGAAATTAGCTAAAAATCCTCACGAACCTCCCTGCGAGTGTTTCGAGTAGATTCAATCGCAAGGCTTGACGTTCGATGTGGTAAGCCTTGGCATAAGGTAACGAACCACCAAGATCTGAGCTGGCAAGTTACCATACGGCCGTCAATAGCGGACACAAACATCCACGAAGACTCCTCGAATGAGATGGTGAGATACCTGAGGCTCAAATCTGCTAAAATTAAGAAACCATGTGCGAGTCATCTGTGGTGATCTCACGGTTGTCCCGTCCTAGCCCTCAAGGCTTACTCCAGGGAATGATCGTAGAATTATTGCAGTACTCGCTGTGCAACCCTGGAAGGAGTCAAAGTAGCTCCTCCCACCTGCTACTAGATGTTGAGAAATGTTGTCGTTGACTCATGGGTATAGGTCCGTAGGATGCCGATACGAGAAAATGTTGGTTGCGAAGAAAAGCATTGTGACAGTAGCTGCAAGAAATGACAGAATGAGAAGAATACGGGACTGCGGTAAAGGAGTCTATTGACGAAACCAAACTCGTAACCGTATGGAAGATTCCGTGAGAACATCATGAATATGGCTGCCAGTTTGAGTTCAGCCACACCCGTTTCGTCGTCGTGTCATGCTGAACATGTACAAGTTTCGACAAAAGAGTTGCGAGGTCGTAGCTTATTCGATCGCGATGAGGTCAGATTGATGATGCAGGATGGCAGGCAGAAAGGGGATGCCTGTCAAGGGTGCCGTACGGCCGGATCACTCATCGCTTGGCGAAATTTCGGTCCAGTCCAAGTACCGAAGACTACCTCTCCATCGCCGCTCAACTCGCAAAGGGCACCTATGTCAGGTTAGTTTTCGAGGCCCCAGCAGCCCTGCGCCGAACATCATACCATACTCGCGCAAGAGAACATGCATGACCAGAACCCCAGCAGAGCACTTCCAAGAGCTACCTATCTTCCCACTCGTTCAATTCGTCAACTCTCTCCCATCTACTGATCCGCTTTCCGTTTCTTTGGGTTAACGCAATGCCATATTCACGCCAAAGCGTACCTTGAACCCTGGGTCCTACAATACGCATGCTCGTGTTCTTCTGGAACGGACGGAGTCTTCCATCCAGCCTTGTGACGTTTGTATCCCTGACGGTCCTCCCGTGAGGCTATTCTTACACGCCAATAGCTCCATATATCGAGGCCCTAACCCCTTGGAGATATCACAAGCTCCGGAGTTGTTGCAACTCCCACTCGCAAGGGCCTCTCTGGGGGGTTGCAGACCCAACCCGACCCGTTCTCCAGGTAAATCAGTATTTATTGGTGGCCACCCATGCCTGGAAACAGTATCACATTTGGTGGTTGAGCAGCTCTCCACTCAAGGCCCTCTTCGAGGTAGCCAACCGCTAGAGGCTATGTGTTATAGGTCGAGACAGGATCATCCCGGCTGCCCCCAGTAAATGCAATGACGTACGTCTTCAACAAGCTCCGACCTTCCACTAACTGCTGGCGCAATATATTGCCAAAATAGGCTCTCCCATTATTCTACTGAACTTCTTAGTATGGGTATAGCCATCTGAAGGGGCACATTTCGTAGACACATCTAAATCAGATGACTGACGATATCGGGCATACGCAAACATGAGAGCATCTCATCGGCAGCCGACTTTCTTCCATCCTCGCGCATGTAAAAATCTCGCTCTATGGGCGATCACTTCTACATTCTAACACCAGAGACCCTGCATCTTGTTTCCGTGGACAGCAAGAGTGGTGTTCTCTCTAACTCTTCATGCTTCACCCCACGACTTCTCATTTCAGCCCTCCAGCATACCATCCTGTGGAGATATGTACTTTTCCTTTCACGGCGCGGAGCTGTTTTTAATACGGCATCGACAGTCAATGGCCAGCAAGGCCGAAACAAGAGATCCATCCAACGACGCTCTAACACCACTGCAGATGTAAACCCGGAGATATGTCTTGTATTCTGCTACAAGAACTACTGCACAGCCTTCACTGCGATGTCCTCATGCGGTAGTGCGTCCGCATCCACCTCTCCCCCCGTACTGACGGTAAATTAGCCGTCCCTGACGTACCTCAAATAAACAGCCATACACAGCCTCCGAAACAGGCACAGCCAGCCCTTCCAGGCGTTTGGAGCCGGGATGTGAGATCGAGTGACAAGGATCATCTAAGTGCTGACCGTTCATTTGGAACTGCATACTGTCGAAACTGCACATTGCGGGGCAAACTATTAATGTAGGGGCGAACATCAAACTTCAAGAGATGAAAGAAAAGAGTACTTTATTCCTTCGTCTGGATCTTTAGACTGCCGAAACACCATATATGGGGGTAGAATGTCCAAGTAGGAGTTAGTATCGAACTTCAAAGGTATCCTGGTGTATGAACCGTTTACCCGGTAGTCGCCTTAAAGAGCGTCAGACGCATTTTGGTACCTGAGACGGCTAGTTCGCTCTTACTGCATAGCATGAGATGAGATGGGCGAGCCGCCTGATTCTATGCATAGCGATTTGAAGGCGTCCACTGCCTTGCAAAGAAAAGTATCGACCTTTCGCAGCGTTCATAGCCCTGGGAACAAGTTCCCGGGGTTTACGCGAATTTCCCTGAAATTCTTTAGAGATTTTGTGATTTTTACCTCACATCGCATCGTGAATCCGGTCAATCTCTCCTCTTTCTTCGCCCATCTCTTCGTATCCATCCTTCCACTCAACCTATCAGCACTATCCTATGCAGCATGTTCTCGCGAACATGGAAAATTGCCAGCGTAACGTGTGTCTATTAAACCCTCTTACCCGATCGATAGGCGATATCAACAGCATACAAATTTCCTCCAAAATGCCCCCCTGTTCTGTTTCGCGTTAGATGTTACTATAGAAAGCAGTACAGCCACCATGTACAGTCAAAGCCACACATCTCTCCCGAAATCTCTCTCAGACGATCATCTCTCTGCGGGTCAAACTCTCCCAACCCAACCTTGACGGTCGACGCGAAACTGACTAGCCGATGTATTCTCGAAGCGTCAAAGAGAACGATAACCTCAGTGCAATACCCTGGACTAATACTTTGTATCACCATGGTCAATCTAGTATCTAGTATAACACCAATTTCCAAGATACATTTATTTTCTAAATCTCATAGAGAGTAGAGAGAATACTGAAAATGACGACCTCGTCTCCAGCTCATACTTATCATGCCGTCAGTGTTTTAGTGAATGACGAGACCAGCATCCTTACAACTTCTATTTATTCTATTCCATATCACAAGTAAGTCACCAGTTAAGTTGGGGAAAAGGCTGGAGAGATAGGATATTCAGACGCAATCTCATAGCATTAAAAACTCTTGTATCCATACACGCTATTACCATCTTACTCGCTCAGAAAAATACAAGACAACCAATGCCCTCCACTTCATCCCCTCTCATCCCTCCTCATTTCATGTTAGGTCATAGAAACGTGCCGTGTGTCTATCTGTCTGTGGGGTATACAGCATGCGTCTGTCTTATACCAATAACGCAAAAAGTCCCCACGTCATTATCCATACTCCATCGAATGCATGTAAGAGTAAACCCCCTCAAAACCATTAAACGGTTTTAGAAAAAGGAGAAAGAAAAAAGAAAATCCGTTGTATCCAAGTCCGCGCCTCGTGATCAAGAACACTGACAAAGAAGGCGTCAACCCTCACACCTCCCGACATATCCAATCCAAGTCTCTCGAATGTCAACATCGCACCTTAGACGTTAGTTACCACGGTTGCATCAAGCAAGCTGAACTAAACTCCGTGGACTCGACTCGCCCCAATGTCTCAGTGATCCGGCTCACACTTATTGCAAGAAATTCCCCCTACCATCTCCGTAGCCGGCATCACAATATCCATCCTACGGCAGGTCTGGCTCGGTTTACGCGGCGTCTCATCGCCACCGACACTATACCCCAGGTATTCCTTCGGAGTACCGCTTCTCGGGGGACCAGGTGGCGGGACAGGGTTCGGGAATGGGGTTGTAGAGTTTAGTGGGACTCCTGCAGCTGCCGTGGTGCGATTGCGACCGGAGTAGCCATAACTGTAACCGGGGCGGTCGTAGAGACCGTTACCGCCTTGCTGACGGTATGGATATCTTCCGAGATAGTTGCGAGAGTGTGGCGGAGCAGGCATGGTGTAGTGGCTGAAGCCGGCATTGGTGGTGTTGTAAGTAGGATTGCCATAGCCACGGAAGCTGAGAGGGGCCTGGGGAGTATTGTGGGATCCTTGCCGGGGTCGCGATATCTGAACGTTGGGGATGGCGGACCAGTCGATCGCAGGTCGCTCCTCTGTCTGGCGTGTTATGGTTTCAAGCTGGTACCTAAACGGAGTGGGGCTCCTGGAAGCCGTGGAGGAGGACTCCGTAAAAACCTCCCCAGCAGTCAACTCTAGACCCTGAGCAAGAATCGTATATGCTGGGCGGGGTGTGGCATCGCCTATGGCCGCAACATCTTCTGTCTTCTCGGTTGCTTTACTACCTGACTGCCTGCTGTTTGCTTCCTCGCCACCTTTCGTTGGAGAAGGTTGAGGATTGTTTCTTTGGTCCCGACCTCGAGCCCGCATGTTCGGGGTGAATTTCTTCTTTCCTTTACCTTTTTTCTTTGATGGGCTTGTAGACGGTGCTCGATAGGTAGTGTAGTCGAAAACTGTTCCTGGTCCAAGTGCAACTGGGTACATGCCATAGAAGTACGGAATGCCATTTGGATCGAGAGCAAAGGGTTGCCCGTAGAGGGGTTCAGCCTGCGTATTAGTCCACTCTGTTGGCAAATTAGGCCGAGTAGCCGTGTTATCCTGTTGTTGTGGGACGAAGTCGGGTGCAGTTGCGCGCAAGTGGGAGGGAACATTTGAGCGCAAAGAGACTTGACTACTTCTTCGCAAACTGCTTTCAGAGACATTTTGTTGCTTTCTTCCCCGCACTGGAGAAGTGTGACGCCATATTTCAGCCGTTCGATTGTACTCGGTACCGGCTGATGTTACAGAAGAGATCTCCTCATGAGCTGTATCTGATAGAGCAGCACCTGGTAAAACATTTATGTAAGCGGTCATACATATAAATGACAATCTATCCACTGGTATGCTGAGGGCCATACCAGAAGATTCAGACTTCTTGCGGCTGAAGACGATAGCCGGATCGTTAAGCATATAATCCTCTGAACTAGACAATTGTAAAGCCTTTACCGTCTCGTCGCTAGCCACTCTTGTGTCACGATTCTGAGAATTTACTCCTGGTACCCAATCTTCACTCTTGGGGTTTTTGCCCGTACTCTCAATCTTTGCTTTCGAAAACAAAAAAGCCATCGTGTCACCGTTGAAAGGCGCCAATGTATCGAGTTGTGCCTCAAAAGCGGACGCGATGCCCTTAAAGTCTGGGTGAGCTCCCTCACCTTGGCCGGGAACATGTTTCTCGAGATAAGAAGTAACTAGTAAATGCTTATCTAGTAGCGGATCGTCAGTAGGAGTCGTGCTGATAGTCACATTATCCTCCTCTAGAGAGTTGTCTAAGGTGGTGGCTGTGGATGTGGCCGTTGAGCATATCACTGGAGAGGCTCGAGAGATGATGGGTGTTGTACCTTTGCTGTCTAAGGTTTTGACATGACGCAAAGGGACTGCATTACCAGGAGTGGTAGGCAGAGGTATGTCGCAAGGCTCTTTTGATGCAGGTTCATTCGCTGCGATATCGCCGGCAACGCTGCGTGGCCTTTCTTTGGATGAGAGAGACTTTGCCGACTTCGCTCGCTTCAGAAGGCCAGGACGTAAAGGAGTGGCCAAGCTGCCACTTTCTTGATTAGTCTTTGAGGATGCGGCTTTCCGAGGAATCCGCGATGATGAAGGGGATCCCGGCGAGACAGACGCTGAACTTGCAGCAGAACCCAGTGTGAAATGAGGTTTGCGATCAGTGGCAAGTGTTTTCGAGTGTGGAATCTTCAAAGAGAGTTTCGGGGGTTGCGTCGCCTTTCCAGCCGCGGTGGGTGCCATGAAGTGGGGCTCTGACTTTCCCCGACGGTGCTGATTTTGGGTCTTCTTGCCGTCACTCGTCTTAATTGCCTCCTGTAGGTTTTTTTTATCAGCGAGGCGCAAATCAGGAGTATGAACATCCACATCGAGGACATGCTCAGCTAGGGACTCAAGGGCCGACATGTAGCTGCTCACCTCCGATATTGGAGAATGCTTTGCCGTTTCAAAAGGAGTATATCCCGAAGAGATTGAGCTAGGTCCAGATCGGCCACTCGCACTGGCTTCTGCTAAATCAGGCCCATGGGCTGGCGCCTTTGGGGTCCTGCTTGGTGACGCTGTAATCTTGATGCTCGATTGGTGCTTTGTATGATCCCTAAGAGGCGATCCGGCGGGGCTCTTTATGGTGGCCTTTGAAGTTGTACACCGAATTGTGCTACTGGCTCGCGAAGAGGTAATGTCGCCGTCGACTGCAGCGGCGGCATCCTTGGTGAGAAACGTGGTCACGTCTCCACCTTGCTGTTTATCAAGATCGACAGAGCTACGTGCGCCTCGAAAGAGTTTAGTTCTAGACTCCGTCGAAAGGTCAGTATGGGAAGTCTTCTTTCGAGACTCTCGCTCCAAAGCACGCTTTGCCGTGCTCAGCACTGGAGCCTTTGATTTGGCGGCAGCCCATTGTGGAGGAATAGGCTTTCGTGGGTTACGAGGGCTACCCTGCTCTATGTGATTAGTACTATAATCCGCATCGTGGCTCGCAGCAGCCTCTCCGTCTCCCGCGTCGAAATCAAACGTGCTAGAGGATCGGGAGTGCGTATCCCGGAGTTGAATGCTCTGATCTGTATCTCGGGCTGGGCTGCTCTGCAAGAGCAGTCCAGAGGACTGTGGGTCAGACAGGCTTGCGGGAGAACCTCGAAGGGTCTCTACGTCGGATTCATAATGACGGACGGTAGCCGAGCTGGAGGCGCGAGTACAGGCGTCATCTGTATGTACAAGCATTTCGTCAGCCGTCAAGCTCGTCAGGGTGTAAGTCGCAAGAGCCTTCGAGCTCACAATAGGACTCAAACCGAGCAATGATTTCCTTGACCTTACCGTCTTGATGTCTCAGCTCCATTGAGATGGACGAGTAAGTATTCATGGGAATGCCTATTTCCAGCATATTTCCGCCCTCTGTATCACGTGCGCAACTAGCCAGAGATGCATGATGGTGATATTCGTGGCTAGCGGGGTAATCTGGATGGCCTGGCGCGACCACGTCGGTTTGAGTCGACCTGGGGATGAGATAGGCATTTGGATTCGCCTCATCATCCGGGGCAGAGACGTCGTCTGCCCAGCTATGCGCCAATCCGTGCTCGGACGACGTAGCCATACCGTTCACTTGAGGATGCCCGAGATAGTGTTGTGTTTGATGATGCGGAGAGCCAGTGTCTGATGAAGGGCGTGACCACTCTCGGTTTCCTTGGGTGGATGGGCGAGCGCGATCCTGCACTGACGGACCTGGCGCGTTGGCGTGACGCTGCAGTTGATCTTGAAGGTAGCGAGTGCTATCCCTGCTGCCGCATTAGCTGAGACAGAGCATTCACTGGAGGGTCTCACATACCACTGCGGCCATCCAAGCTCCTTAGCCCTGTCGCAGTAGTTGACCTTGATGAACTCTGCGTGACGACAGCGAGAATAGTAGATGTAGCGATAAGAACACATTACGGATGCAGGTGTTGCCCGTGACGAGGCTGTGCGGTCGAGGGGGCAGCGTCGATGGCGCGACCGTGATGCGGTGATGGCAGGAAGGCGCGGTGGAAAGGAAGTTGTCGAGCGCGAAGGGGTACTGGTCGTGTTGACGAAGTAACAAGCAACGAGTGCCAAGAGTGCGACATTGAAATACTGAGATTGGGCGCGAACCTTTCACTGGCGTTTGGTGAAGTTCGCCACCATCACGTTGACCCGACCGTCGTCGCGGTTCGTGTGGTCCTGTGAGCCAGGCGAAGAAAACCGCCTCACACCACCCCACTTTCATCATCGTAAGGCAAGAGAAGGAAATAAACTACCTTTACCTAGGAAATAACAAGTCGTTCTAGATTTGTCCACCAGTGTATCATCATAAACGTATGCCACACTACAGCCATTACTAAAATCTTTTTTTCTTCTTCTGCATCTGCTTCTTAGCTAGCTCCTCATTCTTCCGCTTTAGCTCACGCCTCTTTCTTTCTACTTTCTCCTCGAGAGTCTCCTCGTGTTCCTCCTGAACGGGACTGTTTGTCTGTCCTTCAACCCGGGCCACAGCTGGAGCCTCGCTGAACCTCATCGACGTGGGCAAACCAGGCTCCGGAGGGCCCTCAACCATGTCCGTAGGCCGCATACCGTTTGACGCACCGCCTCTGAGGTTCACCGTTGGCATGCTGCTCTTGGAGTCTTTGTGCCTTCCTCCGATCTTGAACGATTTTTTTGGTCCCTTTGAACCTGCCGAAGTGGTGGTGCTGTCTGCCTTTGAATGAGTGGGAATCTGTGCATCATCTATATTTCTGTCCCCTTCCAAATCCCTCATTTTCACCAGTGCTTCTGGTGCAGGTGCGACTACTGCTTGTTTCTTCGCCTTTGCTCCTCCGATCTTGAAACCCTTAGGCTTCTGTGCAGCGGGAACACTAATTCTTGGTGAAGGGGAAACACCACCCTCAGTTGGTCCGTCCACCTCCGGTGTCTCTTGTGGGGGAGATCGAATCTGGCTCGGTTTCTTTGATGGCGCATCCAAGTCGTCGTCATCCGTTGATTCATCTTCGCCCACCTCTATCTTGAGTCTCTTTTCTCGTGTTGAGTCATTTTTGGTCAGTTGCTCAGGCTTCCGATGTGGAGATTCTCGTACCTGTACTGTATTTTAGTTGGTTGCAACGAATTTTGTTGAGATATGACGTACATGAAAGTTCCCATGCATTTCGAACTCATCTTCGGTGTCCTCATCACTCGGCTCCGGTGGAGGGTTCGACGTAGGCTTTGATTTAGGGCTCGGGTGGATTTGCTTTGATTTCATGATGGGTTCAAGATCGTCAAGAGATTCCGAGACTTTTGTCAGCCATGATTGGTCTTCAGATTCCGACATCAGCCGTAGTGGTACTCTTAGAGCACAGTCCGACAATGCTTCTTGGAACAATCCCAAGGTTGAAATGTGTGCATCGTTCAACCGGGCCGTATCCTTCCTCCAAGCATCTTCCTGAAATGGTGCAAGAGCGGGGATGTGCCGTGCTGCATGTTCGCGTTTGACTAGCCTTCTTCCAGGTTTTGATCCTGAAATGCTGGGGAAAGCTGACGCCAGATCTAGATTGCTGGATTCGTACTGATCGAGAAGTCTCGTAATCTCCCTGTCCTTCTCAGTGATGCTCGTGATCAGGCTGTCCACTCGCTCGTGTTGCACATGCGAGGACACGAGTAGAGGTAAGATGAGCTCGTTCTTCAAAGTAGCCGGAGGTCTCTTCTGCAAACAAAACTTCCACCGTAACGAATCGAGCGGCGCAGGAAGACTAGTCCAAGTGTGAAGGACAATCCCATTTACGCTGTTACGCGTTATACGACAGATTGTATCATCAGCGCCAGTCAGGGATTTCTTCACGTTGTCCAAGAGGATGGTGAGCTGCGTGGTGTCTTGTTTGCTCACTTCGATGGGCGAATCTTCCTGTGACGCCCGCTTCACAATTCCGGCCAAGTCCAATTCCTCGCTCCAGATGTTGCTAAGATCTGTTAGAAACACAGTATACTTCTTCAGCCCGAAGTCCGGTTTGATCAGAAGCTGGGGGGAAGGTTGGCCAACAGATAAGCTAGAGAGTTTAAGATGGCGCCAGCAAGCCATTCTGACAATTCCTCGCGGTGGAGGTCTACGCGACAAGTCCTTTCACGCGTGATTGCCCGGAGGTGTGCATTGTAGAAAGCCCAAACCAACGGATGGTGCTGGTGTGAGGTTACAAGGCAGCCGCTTATGTAATATATATACAATATCACGTGGTTTTAATACCGTTATTTGCCGAGGTACCAGAGGTCGTCCAGCGCGACTTTTTCGATGACAAGCTGCATCTCACTCTTCAACCCCCTTGAACCCCAACTCACTCCCGCTGCGGTGAAATATGGACTCGCGCAATCCTCCACAATGGCGTTCTGGCTCTAGCCGCCTTTCATCGCGCCCAAATCCTCCTTCAATAGTTCCTGCGAAACGGCCTGCGAACTCAACCCAACAAGACCAGCCTGCGAAACGATCAACGGCTGCGCAAGAGGAGGCTTGGGTTGCAGATGAGGATCGCTTCGTCCTACAGCAGGCAAAGAAGAAGGCGGCGATACGCGTCAAAGGAGGACGAGCAAAACCTATTGACTGGCTTGCTGTCACACTTCGTTTCATTGACTCCACAAAGACGGCCCTGGATGACGAAGTGGAGGATCACGAGTTGGAAATCGTTGATCCGGAAGGAGTATTTGAGAGCCTTGGCGACGAAGAGCTGGCCGATCTAGAGAAAGACATTGACAATTTCCTTACTTTGGAGACCAACCGGAGCAATCGCGATTATTGGAATGTAAGCTTTGTACAAGCCACTTGCATGGAGCTGGACGCTGATTTCACTAGGCTATGAAGATTATTTGCAAAGACCGCCGGAGGAGCGCTAGATCTGCGCAAGCCGAGGAACGGGCTGCCCACTCTGTCCGGACTGATATTGATAAGATGCTAGCCCCAAAATCGTACAAGGAGCTGGAGACCCTGGAGGCACAGGTTAAGAAGAAGTTGGGTGAGGATGAGGACATTGACTTCGAATACTGGGACTCGCTGTTACGCAATCTGCGGGTCTGGAAGGCCAAGGCAAAATTGCGCCTTGTATCTCAGGAAATCATCAGCGAGCGACTTCAGGCAGTACGGAAGCAACAGCAGGAGGCTGCCATATCAGCGCAGGAGAAGCTACAACAACTTCTCATAGGCGCTGAGGCTTCAACCGAGGAGCCAGCGAGCGTTGTCAAGTACAGCTCGGAACTAGACCCAGAGCCAATGTTGAAGCTGCGCCCGGAAGATAAGAATCTTGAGCAGCTAGACGATAAGAAGTTCTTAGAAACAATTGTAAGTAGCATGCTTACCGTCATCATTGGTCCACTGCTCATTTGCACAGGTGAACGAGCGACGGAAGATCTTGAAACTGGGTTACGTTCCAATGCGGAACAAAGCTCAGGCCTCTTCTGCCAACCAATTGGTTACAAAGCCCACACAGCTTAGCTCCATCGGTGTGTCGAGATTTGCTCCTGTCGATAACGAAGACTTTTCACAAGCAACCAAGGCTCTTTATGACAGAGAAGTAGCGAAAGGAGTCAATGAAGACGAGGAGATCTTCACTGGAGAAGAAGAGCTTGCGTCGACGGCGACGCCACAGTGGGCCGACAAGTACCGTCCCAGGAAACCACGATATTTCAATCGGGTCCAGATGGGCTACGAATGGAACAAATACAACCAGACCCACTACGATCACGACAACCCACCTCCCAAAGTTGTCCAAGGTTACAAGTTTAACATTTTCTATCCTGACCTGATCAATACTTCAAAAGCACCAACCTACCGGATCGAACGCGAGAATGGCAGAAAGCGTGGCCAATCCTTTGCGCCGGCTGGACAGGATGACACATGCCTCATCCGCTTCATTGCTGGACCGCCATATCAGGATATCGCTTTCAGAATCGTTGACAAGGAATGGGACTACAGTGCCAAACGAGAACGTGGGTTTAGGAGCAGTTTCGAAAAGGTAAGCCTCCAGCTTCCCCGCAATAGATCTATTACGGGAACCTTACCCTGCGGCGGTTGTGCAAAGCTTAGAAGCCACCTTAACTGACACAATGCAGGGTATCCTACAACTTCATTTTCAATTCAAGAAGGTAATTTTCCCCACAAACCACTATTCCCGCAGAATATAAAGCTAACACACGTACAACAGATATATTATCGAAAATGAGCCTTAACAACTCGTTATCTCGTATCCCACCGGGGCTATTTCCATTTTCGGCCCCTCATATCACCACAAGATATAGCGAAGAAAGCTCATGCAAGACTTGCACTTTATGGCGGTCAGACTGAGCCACTTTACCAGACCGAGCAGACATTGGATCTCCCAACTAGCGGTGGGCTGTCGGTATTCATCACCCCAGGAATGGCCGGCTGTATGTATCATTCGAGCTGGGGTTGGAACGTATCTAGCCAATCAAGTGCAAACCTGTTGCAGAATACCCAACTGGGTATGAAACGTACTCCCTGGCCGGAGAATAAGGCCGTAAGATTGTGTCACATTAACAAAGGTGCACAACCCAAATCGGCTGCCTACTGTCGCCCTTAGGAAGGGAGCTTGCATGCCTTTGGATCGGCAGCCTTGTTTTCCGATACCGCTGCTCTGCCATTGTTATCCAGATCCGGGGCGGGTTTGCACGTGAGGTGGGTGAACCCTAATGATGCTTTCCCGATAGCAAACGCGCGTGTAACAGGTAAACTTCGTAAGGGCCAGTCATTGTTCGTGACGGCCGGGCCATGGGTGCTCGCTTTCTCTTCCCCAGGTGACTCAAACAGGGCTTTGTCGGGTGGTGCTTCTAGAAGCCCTGCAAATGCCTGCATGGAATACGGGCGGAGGCAGCGAAAGATCTCTAGATTAACAAGTCTTGTGTGGCAAGTCGCTGGTCTTGACGTTGCATGCGTCCCTGCAGGCTTCCGTCTTCTAGCCTTACGAAGTCAAGCTAGGCGTGGATTCGTTGGCTACCGCTGTGGCACGGAAAAGTCATGTCCCTTTGCCATCAGCAGTGGTGCAATTCAACGTGCATGGCTGTGGCGGCAAGGTAGAAGAGTCGGCCGTCTATTGTACGTCGACCCGTGACGCACGGCCTGCATCGCCTTTCAAGTACGGCCTTGAATATCTCTAAGATTGTTTGTCGCGCGGAGCCGCTACAGATTAGACATCTGCATGTGCGCTGGCAGTGGGCACCCGTCTCCGGTGACAATGAAGCCTTCCTCGCCCAATCCAGTGTCTTTCAGAGCCTTAGAAACTCTCAAATGTCTTGTCTGCCGCTTCACTCCTTCTGGAAAGGCCACCAACCAGCCGACCTGCCTTACCCTCACAACTTGTTCTGTCTCACCAACATTGCTGGCATCGGTCATCGCCAGATCTCTCCCCAGCCAGACATCCAATACGTTAACAGCCCCGATTCATCAAATACAGCCAGCTATGCCACATCCGCAATCACCCCATCGGACTCCCTCTGGAGACCTATCTGGGGACCTCGGCACTCTTCTTCCGTCCAAGGTTCCCTTTTGTAGTGCACCCTCATTTCACTCGCAGGCGCCATTATCTCCCTCTCTTAGACTCCCTGGAATGACCCCCTCGATGGCGACTGACTTCTCAGACCATGCACCGTCCAAAGACCCACACCTCAACGCAGCGCTCATGGGTCTTGAAGACGCCGCCACCCTTCAATGGTCCACAAATTGCGAATCTATGCTCCCTTGCCTAGATCAAGATAATGGGGGCTTCCACATATCACCGCAGTTTACGTCGGAATCAGCCGCACTCTCCACATACTTCCCGAATGATCTGCCGTACAGTGGGAATTACAATCTCACCTACTCCACTCCCAATCCGGCCTCAAGCTGTCCACGCTCGTACGCCAGCGCACATGGCCTTCCTGGGTCCATGAGCAACGTGCCCAATTCCTATCCACCGTCAGCATACCTCATCGATCCACAGAAGCCACAGGACGTGGTGGACATGTCGACCCAAAGCCGCACTTCACAATTTCAGCAACTCCAGAGCCCTTATGAGAACCATGTCCTTCCGAATATCAAGGTCGAAGAATCTAGGGACTACGACAGCCGCTCGTACTTGCCTGAGACAGACGTGCAAGGACGCTATCCAACCCCTCATGACGACCCACCTCTGCCACTAAGCGATCTGGGCAGGAGCGAATGCAACGGAACTCCTGCTCCCGATGAATGTGCCGTGGACAAGGAACAACCTTATGCTCAGTTAATCTACCGTGCACTTTTAGAGGCACCAAACCATACAATGGTGCTGCGAGACATCTACGACTGGTTCAAGCGCAACACCGACAAGGCTGCAGATAAGGACATGAAGGGTTGGCAGAACAGCATTCGCCATAACCTTTCCATGAATGGGGTAAGTTGGGCGATCCGTGCTTACGGTTCCATCTTTCGCTGACCATGATAGGCGTTTGAGAAAGTAAACCATCCTTCTGAGGAAGTGAAGAAAGGCTTCATGTGGCGGCTGACTAGCGACTCCCTTACCACGGGCGTCAAGTCAACAACGCGTTACAGAAAAAATCAACAGAATAAACGAGGACAGCGTTCGCAACACCCGCAGCCGCAACGTCAAGCCTCAGGGGCCAAAGGAGGTCAGGCTGCCAGAAGAACAGCCAAGTTCAGGCGATCGCAGCGTTTAAACGACAGCTATAGAAGCAATCCGTATAGTATGTCCAGGTCCGTGCCAGCCTCGGCGTACAGCTCGGGTTACGATTCGAATAGCGACATCCCCATAGCATATACTGCTTCTCCGTGCTATAATTCAGAGGTCGATTTCGGTGAGCCCACTAAAAAAGACGATTTCGGTAGCCCCTTAGCTAGATCTAGCCTTAGTCTCTTGTCGTCGCGCTCATACTCTAGATCTCCACATGATGTGCTGATCCCTGATTCGGCCTTCGTCCTTCCATCGGACCCTTCAGAGACATTATTCTACCAGGAAAGCAGCACCCCCTCGCCTCCAGCAGACGACCCTCTGACTCCGCCGTCTCCGGGCGAGTGGGACGTGGACACTGGGCCCCCAACTAGCACTCCATTCATCTACGACGATATCCATCCAAACTACAGCGAGTTCTTAGGATGAGCGGTCTGCGACAGCTCCCCATCATTGCATATTTGGTTCCAATCGCACGGGGCTTCACCCTCTCACCATAATCCCCTTCTGTTTCGACACCCTTCTACGAAATAATCAATGAATCTTAAACTCTGTACTCCATAGTTATACGCAACATTTTCATGACCTCAGCGATTCAGCTAATGAAGCCGCCTCCATTACGAATATTTCAGTTTGATATTCAAGCGAATCTGTCATTTCTCTTGCTCTACTTCGCTGTGTTTTTTGTTCATAGACTTCCCCCCCATGTAACGACTGTCAATTATTCCGGAAATGTTCACACGAAATAGAGAAGTGCTTTACATTTGTATAAACCGATGCCACTGTGTGGTTCATGTACTTTAACCTCCTGAGCGGGTGCGATAGGCTACAGGAATCGTATGGCATAGATAAATATTTAGCATTTCGATTACTTTGAGTTTATTGATGGCTCGGCCTGGCCCCCTTCGCACCTCCAATGAATACCATTGAGTCTTCTGAGATCTTCTGCATGTTGAGGTTGCTAAAGTACGTTTCTAGGTCCAGGCCCTCCCCCGAACACACCTTTTTCAAGACGCTTCGCAAGCACCCCACACCGTCCACATACCTCTCCTTGCCAGGAATGCGACCTGATAGGATGCAGGTCGTCGCGCTCACCACGTCTGCCTCCTTTACTAAGACTGCATGAGTGCGTCTTCGTCAAGGGTTGCACAACAACTTGTTACTCACGCCATGCAAGCCCACTTCCAGGATCATCGGTGAGATAAACAGTTTTCCATTGGGTGGTAGCCAACCATAGTGGGTCAAGAGCAGAAATTTCACGACCCTCTCATCCACAGCGCACATTCGACCTCTCTCATTCATTCCAATCCATCGCAATGTTGAAAAAGAAAGAGCATCCGCTTTCACTATCGAAATTACAGGAGTGTAGGGTCCCCTTCGGGACAGGGAACACTTCAATATCCAATGCAGCTTCAGAACCGTTTAAGCAACGGACCGTACCGAAGCGCGATAACCCCCTTGGCGCTAAGGCGGTCTCTCTTTCAGTGGCCAAGAGGTTAATAATGCTACGTCGCATTTTAGTTATCGCAGGATTCCAATTGGGAGCCAGTTTCAGCTCTCCTCGAGAGCATGCACAAGCGATTGCTCCATTTTGCACAAAGACTATGTTCGCCACCATACTGACAATATTGCCACTGGTTTTCAATTGTAGCTCACTCTGGCGCTTGTCCATTATCATGTTCAAATGCAGGAACAGGTAGGTCCTAGCTCGCTGCGCAGTGCGACAAGAGTAAGCAGCCGTTGTTGAAGATCATAGCAGAGTTCTTGATATGATCACCTCGCCCAGGATAGAACGAAAGGAACTACGATATACTCCATGTCCCAGAACCTCCCAACCTGGCAGGTACTGAGACCGGTACTTTCTGGGTTGTCTCTAGCTTTGGCCCGGCTCAAAGAGGACGACGAATCTACTCCACGGACCGCTCACACAGTTCTGCATTTCCTTACGAGCCACGCTACAACACAATTCCGGAGGTTCCACTAAGAGGAACCCGCTATCATTCCGCCCGCGGACTTGCCTTTCAAGTGTTGCAGGAGCGCTCCAGTGTCAACCTCAGCCTTGCAGCTGCGTGTGGGGCAGCAGTTCACCCGTTTTGTGGTGTCTTAGTTTCCCTGTTGTTCCGCCATGGCGCATGTAACAGGAGACACTTGCATTAGAGAGTAATGGTAAGATCATTCCGCTTGGATATCGCGGTCTTTATCAACACCAAATCAATGACGTTTACCCCAATTTAGTATCTTTCGATCCTGACTCCTTTTCAAGTCCCTAACTTCATGGCATGCCGTGCAGGAGGACGTGAATGTCATCGAGTGCTTATTGAAATTGGTGGGTTCAACCATCTAGCCGATCGCTAAATGTCTATTTCAGTATTTCAAAAATTACACTAGTTCTTGCGTTAGTTTCATTCTCATACGTTTAATATACATCATCAATTCGTCCAACGATTGGGCCTTTTTGCTTTAGTGGGCGTTTGGAAGCTTGTTACCCCAGGAAATAGGTCAAGCCTCAATGAACTGGCCCTAAAATATGCCCTTTCCCCTCTGCACTCGGATCCCTAAACGTGATGTAAAATGGCGCAACATATTGCTTGGCATCTGCGTCTCGCCAAAGACAATCAACTTCCATGATTCTGTGACCAATGGCATCATCGATGCCTCAAGCACCGTCCCAACGCAGGTCATTCAGTCTCACATGCTCTCCCGGTTCCCCGCCAACGCTAACTGGACCCCGTAGAGGACTCCCCGCGTTGTCTGGAGACTTATTACAAGGACCAGTCTGAGGTACCTGCTTCTCCAAGTATGACAGCCACGAATTCTTCTCCATCAAGCTGTACTAGAATCGCGGTCCTGGAAAGGTGTAGAGCTCTTGCATACGATTCGGTAACTGAGTGATGTCGAATGGTCGGCAGCATACTCTGTAATCTCAATGATTACACCACAACTTCAAGCTCGCTACAAAGAGCCCTATTATTCTTTTTGACGCAGAAATTCTAACCGAGGTGTTGGAGCCCTTTTTGTGAAGTGTTAGAGAGTCGAAAAGACCAAATCCCATCCAGTCCCGCCAGCACTTTCGACAGTGCTGTTATTCTGAACACGAGTCCAAGAGTAATTATCTATCTTCGGGTTATATTTCCTCATTGATACTAGCATTATATTCATCCTTTTGGTACTGGGTACCTCAAAATCGCTACTCACAGTTGGTCTTCACCTTTGCAAATTGCAACCCACTCGCGCAAGAGGGACATATTGGCGAATAAAGTCGCATGGCAATGTTTACTGGCAGGCATGCCAATGGATTCGTGCGCTTTACAGATAGCAGTCGGCGGACTCTATTTCATTGTTCAGTGGACCAAATAGAATGGATACTGGGCTGCTGGACTAAGACATGTCGAGGCTTGCTAAAACACCCACGTCTGGAATTAAGCATGTTCCTCGCTAGAAATCCCACGAACTCAATTCAAGACAATCCCGTTCAATCCTGTTCTCGTGCAACACATGTAATGCAGATGGTGCTAGGTATATCCCTCCCAGCCCTAGTCGTACCATGCTAGGTCGCACCTTCCTCCTCAAAGGCTTGACTGTGGGACAGCTCGAGTCTTCATCCCTCATCCTTCCTGCAGGCTGCACCTTTCTCCAACCCTGATACACGGAAACGACCTCGGAGCCGACCGTTTCTCATTGCTTGGGCCGGCGGTAACGAGAGGGTCCCAGATGCTTGAGCGTGGGGACGCTGAAATACGTATCCAATTACAATTGAGCATTATTTGAAGGATAAGGAGCTGCAGAACAAGTTAGTTCGAATTCCGGCGGCACCCAAAGCCTAACGTCTGGTGGCCCAATTCTCCCCTCTCATATCTAACACAAGGCCAATGGTATTGACTTCATGAGGCTGCGTAACGAATCGGCGTTCACTTCCCTCCATATAATAGATTCTGCCCCCCAGCAACCCTTTCGCTAGACTGAATGCACCCTTGCATATGCAGTGGGAGTGGGCTTTCCACTGTGAGTTATCAGCTTTTCACCCTTCTCACTATTATTTCAGCTATTCGAGAGTCGTTGAGCCCCATTGCCTTCTTTTGCCTTCATTTTTGGCTCGCCTGCCCTTACGCCATTACCCACTGACGTTTCAATGAGAATTGGTGCTCGAAGCGTATGAATTGGCGCAAAGAGAGATGCCTGCACGTTTGAAGCACTGGTGGTTGAGAGGACAGATGGTTGGAAAGGACAAAAGACATGCGGTAAGAGCATGTCCGCGACCAAATTAAGATTATACTATTGATAATGAATGCCCGCAAGCCCGTTGCTGAAAGAGTGGCAACGATTACACACAAACGGGAGACTTCTGGAGAAAGTTCGTCAAATACCATACCACATAACTCGTTGACCTCCGCGATCAGATCGAATCCGACTCACCCGGTTCATTGCGTCATTCAACTCCTGACTATTCTCCAGCAGTCCGTGAGAAGGAAATCCGAGATGAAATCCTCCACCAATTGCGTCCATGACTGTGCTTCCAGTCATTCCGAAGTCCCGAACTGCGGAGAGAAGCAAACGGGAGCCACGCTGCTTCCGGCCTAGTGTGTGGCTAGGGCTCGCGTGGCGGTGCTGACCATTAAGCTTCAATTGACGGCTACGGATAAATATGATGGTGTGCTCCGCACTCAACGTTAAGTCCAATCCCTTAATATGGAGGTATTAATTTTGCAGGGCTGCTGCGATGAGGCTCGACAGCTTAAGTTCTTGCTCAGCCCTGGATTTGAAAGACAGTGGCCCGTAAGTGACGAAGAAAAGAAAAGGAAGGATGCGCGTTTCGTTGTTGCTCGCGGTAGCTCTGCTTGAAGCTTCGGCGGTCTTTGCAACTCCATCCGTTCGTGGTACTGACTTCTTGAGCTCTCGGGGTCTGGTGTCGAAGAGACCGAACCATCCAATTGGTCCTCATCGTCCCGGCAAAGCTTTCCCTTCATCTCCACCCCGAACGAAGACGTGCGTTGTCAAGAGCCACAGAGATGGCACGGACGATTCGCAAAACATTCTAAACGCAATCAAAGATTGCAACAACGGAGGCCATGTCGTATTCTCCCATGGGGAGAAGTACATAATTGGAACGGCGTTAGACCTAACATTCCTTAAGAACATTGATCTCGGTACCTCTCTTCATTTCGTCCATATCCCTCCAATATATGAACTAAATATTCCCGCAGACATCCAGGGCACCATTCAATTCACCAACGATACCGCATACTGGCAAGCTCACGCCTTCAGACAAGTCTTCCAAAATGCAACCACCTTCTTCCAGCTCGGCGGTTCCGACGTCAATGTCTACGGTGGCGGCACTCTCGATGGAAATGGCCAAGCATGGTACGACCTCTATGCCCGGGATATCTATATCTTGCGTCCGATCCTATTTGGAACAATTGGACTTCATGGAGGGAGGATTGAGGATTTGAATATGAGGTATTCACCTCAGTGGTATAATTTTATTGCGAATAGTTCGGATGTGGTGTTTTCGAATATCTCAATTTCGGGATACAGTAAGAGTAAGAACACTGCGAAGGTGGGTCCTTGCAAATGTTGCTTTCCTCTTCGTCGATTTGGTTTTTTGGTTATCTTTGGCTCCTACAATTTGGCATGACTGATAATGTTTCTAAAGCTAATGGGAGGGCAGAATACTGACGGTATCGACACTTACCGAAGCGATAACATTGTCATGTATGTACACCCTCGCACTAAACACCACTCTACACTGCATCTCTTTCCCGGAGTCCAGACTCTTAGAGTCTCAGAAAGGGAGCTCGATTGGGCACACCTAGCCCTACTGAATCTTCAGGTTGAACATCATGCTGATTGAATATAATTAGACAGGACTGGCATGTCGATAACGGCGATGATTGTGTCTCGTTCAAACCGAATAGTACTAACATCGTCGTACAAAACATGATATGCAATGGCAGTCATGGAATCAGTGTTGGCTCGCTTGGACAATACTTAGGGGAGGTGGATATTGTGAAGAATATTTATGTGAGTTTACTCATCTACCCTACCCCTTCGCATACTAACCCTGCCTGAGGTCTACAACGTCTCCATGTCCAATGCCTCCGATGGTGCCCGCATAAAGGTTTGGCCGGGTATCTCTTCCGCCCTCTCTGGCGATCTTCAAGGCGGCGGAGGTCTCGGCTCCGTCTTTAACATCACCTATGATACCATGAAGATTTCTAATGTCGACTATGCCATCGAAATAACGCAATGTTACGGCCAAAAGAACCTCACTCTGTGCAACCAGTTTCCGTCAAATCTAACAATATCAAACGTCACAGTGAGGAACTTCAAAGGTACTACGAGTAAGAAGTATGATCCTCTAGTCGGGTATCTTGTCTGTAGTAGCCCGATGGTTTGCAGTAACATCAATATTGAAAACATCAATGTGAAAAGCCCCAGTGGGACGAGTCTGTATACGTGTGGGAGTATTCCCGGGATCGAGAGGCAGGTTAATTGTACAACGAAAAGCGACGGATAAAATTAAGTATTTTCATTAACAGCGCTACTCAGTTACCCTACATTATATTCTAAATATCTCCCTAATTCTCGCTACATCTTTGTGAAATCGTCCGGCCTCTAGCTCTGCTTATCCAGCCTTACAGAATCTCCTCGCATACCACATACTCCAAAATTGCCCTCCCTAGCTTCTCAACCTCCTCCTCCTCCTCCTCCTCCTCCTCCTCCTCCTCCTCCTCCTCCTTCCTCTTCTCCTTCTCCTTCTTCTCATCTTTAATGAGCTTCTCGAGCTCTGCAGCATACCGTCCGCGTTGCTGGACAAAGTTTGATGCAAACTTTCGCTTCTTCTTCCTTATCAGTGAAGATTTTCTCGCGGTCCTCTGATCATGCCTGCTACCTAGCGAGGCGATGATTTATGAAATAGTGCCAGTGCCTAGTCTTATTGTTAGTCCATTAGATACTAGATAGCGGGGGTTAGGATGTATGTCTTCGGTTGATGGGGAACCTGGGGTGGTGGTGAAGAGAAATGAAGCCAAGTGACAATGGGTCTTGTGGGCGTAGGAAAGTGAATAGCGTGAATTGATACATGGGGACTGTTGTGTTGGTGGGTTAACTTAGTATTGTCACCTAATATGTTGCCGTTAGGTAATAGAGTTACCACCTGCGAAAGCGGTTTGGGCGTGGTGATGATTTAAAAGAGAAGGTGTTAAGAAGTTAACTTGTCTATGTGTTTGTCCTCGAAACTAGCGGCTTCTGCAAAGCCTTGGTACCTTGAGTATCTAACATGAATAGCAATGGAAGTACCACTGTCGGAGCACCTAGCAAGCATCTCATACACTCTGAACTACCCTGTAACTCCAGCATGTAATTAATAGAACTACTAACCCATATTTCCACCCATCTCTACCCACAGACCCCAAAATCCCGACATACCTCCCTCCCAACTGCCTTAATATTCTCCACAATCCACAATTGCGCATTGCTAAACACTAACACCGCGCCTGGCAAGAATGCAAAGTTATTACTCGTAACCCCAACCCAAATCTTGCCTAAAAAGACACCGTCAGGACTCCAGACATGCACGCCGTCGCCACAGCCCGCCCAAACATTCCCATCCATATCAGTGTGAATACCGTCCGGGAAGCCGTTATCCGCATACGCAAAGGTTCGACGGTTCGCGAGACGCTTTTCGTCCACAACATCGAAGGCATAAATCGTCGCTGGACGTGTTTGGTTGGGACTGAAGTGCTGTGCACCGGTGTCAGTGACATATAGGGTTTTTAAGTCCGGGGAGAACTCGAGTCCATTGCATTGGTCGAAGCCGTCGGCCACGACAGCGATTCCTCCCGTGGTGGGATCGAATCTATACACCTGTTTTGGGATTGTGGGGATTGGCCGGAAGTTCTGGAAGAAGCCGTAATCAGCATCGGTGAACCATAGGTCTCCGGTTATGGGATGTTGGCGAACGTCGTTGACACTGCTGAAGTTACGACCGAGGAAGTTGTTCACGACAACTTGGCTGTCACCAGTGACAGGATCGACGGATACAAGGCTGGAGAAGTGGTCGAAGTCGCCTTCATCACAGAAGAGGAGACGTGGTGGTGTATTTCCGTTCGAGGTGTCGGAGCCTGGGGGGTACCAGTTCGTGCCGCCGTTGGCTTCGTAAAGGTTTGTATAGTGGGTCGTTTTTATACTGTAGTTGTTTCCGAGGTCGAGAATTGTGACGTTAATGGGATTATCTAGGCTCACATAGTTGCTGGTGATGTACATTGAGTTTGTTTCTTTGTTGTAGGTCCCCATTTCGTGGAAGGCTTGATAATCTAGATTGTACAGTTGCCGCGCTGATGCACTTTCTCCGAGAACATTGGTCATGAATGCTGAGTTGTATGCTAGGAGAGATATCGTAGTGGGATTTGAGACATTCGTCGTAATCAGCGTGGAAAGATACCTTGGATTCGTCGCCAGGGCGAGAAGATCCACGGCGATAATATTCACCATTTTGACGGTAATTTCCGTGACAAGTTTCCAAAGCACAATAAGTTCAGGCGGCGGCTTGAATGATATATGCACACCGGTGGCAATTGTGCTATCTGAGAACTCTTCCATGGCTACGCTAGTTTTTTGTTCTGTTTCGTCCCTGGATCGGCGGGTTGGTTCCTGGTTCAAGTCATTGACCCCTCAATTCTAACGGAGTGTTTGCGGGGAAGAAACAGTCCTACATATCGCTTCGGCAAATCTTCACGATGTAGGGCCTTCCAATCGGCTGTCCTGTCGTGGTAAGTTACGGTGAGAAAGCCGCTGATGCTAATGTAGGAAGTTGGAAGTGGAGGCGCGGGGTACAAAGGGCCGAACAGAACACTGCGATCTGCATCATGAACTGCTAGATTAGGCATAGTACAGCGGCATTGAACAATTCATTCCATATATATAAAACGTCAATGGCTAATGACTGGGCGTTAACATGAACTATACTTTTTAGAGCTTCATAATGTGAGATACATCTCTAAAGAGGGAAAGGCAAAAACCGAATTGTTACAGTTCTATCAAAAAAAGATAGCAAGATTAAATACCAATATAATTTAATCGATAAATCACACTCACGTCAATCTACTTATCGGGATCTCTTGAATATGGAATGTCCGTGTCTGTATGTACCACCTAATGAAAACAGAGGGTGGGTATCACCAAAAGAATCGTACTCCCGAAAACTCAACCCAACTCCACTCCCTTATGCCCAGCTGAGCTGAGCTGATGCACACATTAAAAGATAATATATATATGTGAACTGTACCAATAATACAGATCAGCAAGGCGTGCAACCAGGATTAAAAATCACCTCCCCCGAGGCTCCACACTCCTCAACAGCCCTTCTACCCTCAACCCCCTAATCACACTACTACGCATAGATATAACAAAATGGTCCATCAAGCGTATTAACTGTATCTCCAATCGTCGTCGTAGGAGCATTTATCCCGAGATCGAACGTATCGGCGAGCGTCGCGTTGCGAGATGGTGGAGAGTTGTTGATTGTGATGGTGGCTTCGAAGCCGGAATTTTGTCGATTCTTAATGTCTAGGTTTTGCCAGATCCAGTAGACTCGGTCGATCATTGCATGGTGGAGGAAGAAGGCTAATGGGGTTTAGTTGGGCGGATTGGAATAGGATGTAAGGGATGGGATGAACGTACCAGGATCACCAGGCGAAGTAAACAAATCACCGCCTGGGTCTCCGCCGATGATGAAATGCCCAGCTGTATGCACGCCCAGATAGCCAGCGGGGAAATTGCCCTGTAAGTTGGTGATAAACCAGTACGGATCGTCGTTGTTCTTAATCAGATCCGAGACATCGGAGTCCTTCGTCCAGCCTTGCGATGCGGCTTTTGAGATGTCGCGGCGCAGACACCGGGGGTTGTAACCCAGGCCGAAACCTGGCCCAGGGTTTGAAGGGACATCTGAGAGCGCGGGAGCTACGGGGCCGAGGTTCACTGACCAGCTATAGAGCAGGTTAGTATAGGGTTATATTGGGTATATCCGGGTGTGGCTGAAACTTTTCATGTGTGCAGAGTGGTTGTGCGAGGGTGGAACTAGATCGCATAGTTCGTGGACTTAGGTATCGAAACTTAAAAACTATACTTACTCTTTAAATGGACCGGTCTTGACGCAGCCACCACCATGGCCAGGCGGGAGGCTAATCTGGCAGAGATCATTGGACGGAATGCAAGTAGCGTTATGTGCCTTGAATTCTCCGTTTCCGGACATGCTAGTAGCACTGCCGTCGAAGATTGGGGAGTTCGCAGGGTCGTCGGCCCATTTCGGCCAGCTGAAGTAAGGCTGGTAGCCCGTGTAGCCGCATTCGTTCCGGAGAGCTTGTTCGTAGGCCCAGGTGAAGTATCGGTGCCATACTAGGAAGTTTCCCTACTGAGAGTGAGTAACTGAGTACCTTATGGACGAGATGGTCTTACGGTTCCGTGAATCGATAATGTTTGGTTCATATGCGCTGCGACGAAATCATCGTAGCGATTCTTCACGCCCGGCGCAAGAGCCGCGGGAGTCTTCGGCGCCTTTTTTGAAATACACTGGACAGCCGCAATGTAATTCTTCTTCTCTTGTGAAGAGAGACTTCCCCTAAGAGGTGTCAGATACGACATCCGGATAAACTTGGACGGGTATACTCACCATTCCTTGCGGACAGCCACATTCGCAAGCGTACATTTCTTAGGGTTCGGATAACCGTGTAATGCTACATACAAACCTAAGTTGAAAACACCCTGAGCAGCAAGAGCATCAACTTCAAGCCAATTCCTTTCCTGAAGTGGTGCCGCGCCAGCACTACTGATCAGCGTGGCCGCAGCAAGACTTGAGATCCTCATGTTGGGAGGTGGTTTGAAGAACAACTGTTCGCCGTCTCGTCCACTATATTAAAAGACTAAAAGTAACAGGGCAAGGCTGCACGGGCGGTGCAATTAAAGTGAAACACAAATCCTGAAACGGGCGCTGTAACAACAACAACTGCGTCCTAGCAATATTATTGATTGAAGGACTCTCCGTAAACGAGAAGGAGCTTGTCTTGGGCTGCGGAAGAATACATGGTTGCGGGGCATTTCATTTATACATTGATGGAGATTGGTGCTTGCGTCGTCGTTACGGCACGGAAATGGGTCCTTCCACGTGCGGAACTCATGGCGAAAGATGGGATAGAACGCCGTGCAGACGCCATGTAGATCCAATAGCCTGGGTCTGGCTTGTATTCATGGACAGGTGAGGCATTTGAGGCCTAGAATTGGTTGAAATGAATGTCTGACTCTGTTGTGTGGTCGCCACCATTCCGCTCCCTTGGTGAAATCTTCATTTTGCGAAGAAAGAGGCGTTCAAAGTCCTCGAAAAGGGGAGCAAGACCTCGTGGAGAAAATGCCGGCGCAGGGTTCTTTATTGAAAGAGATGGGATGCTAGCCTCGGAGGTGAGATGGAGCTGTGAGGCATGACCCGGGGGTGTTCGCTTCGGTCCGTGATCAACGGTGAATACTTCCTAAAAGGTGGCTGGTGCAGGAAGCTTGTGTCCAAAAAGGCCAATTAGATCAAAAACTCCTGTTCTGGAAGGGGTCCAAATCTAATTTGTGGAGCAGAGGGTGCACGGCTTCCAGTCCCTCCCGTTCACCCAAGTACCGACCACTCCAAAGCGAAAGGCTGATTGTGCCTCGAGAGCCACACCAATTGCTCTCGGATGAGGCTCGTCTCATCCCACCTCCACCCCCCCGAGCGTTAGCCGGGAGCCCGCGAAGAACCTCGTTGAAGCTACGACCTGCTGCCACGAGTCGATGGCGGTTGAACACACGAAAAGGGAATCAACATCGAGTCAAGCACATCGTGAAGAAAGGGAGTGGACTACGATCGACAGAATGGGTTAGTGCGCATAACTAACAGTGGCAAAAATAGATCAAGTTAGGATGGTGGGGGCAACGAAATGATTGAAGGGAGTGGGATCGAACGACCAGAGCTCGCCTTATCGTCGTCAAACACACCAAAAGAGAAGATAGCAAAACATTAGGTTTGGAGATCTGCTGTCTGGCTTCTAGGTGTAATGGACGCTTACGTTGCGTCATAACACCTGTCTCCGCTATGTTTTGAATGTCTTGTCGAGACAAAGAATGGAGAAACTTCCAGCTCACGATCTCGGGTCGCTGGGCCATCTTCTTCCGCGATCCTAGATCCAGGGAACACGGGCTTGATTTGGTTCCTGAGCATCGTATTCCAGAATGTCGGGTCAGGCTTCACCCTTGAACATCGATAGTAAGTGGGACTGCAAGCACGGAGACTTAGCCAAGTCAACACAAGCCGCTATCACTGAGTGTTAGAAGAGGTGGCCTCGAAGCCGAGCCGTTGCGCCCTTAAATTTGGCTTAACGGCGCCGTAGCCGCCGGAGCGAGACAGTTGTCAAAAAACCTGGCTAGATACGTAATGCTCGGAAAATTGAAGTTAAACTTTTGCAGCATGGAGCTGCGAAGGTGACTGGAGAGGAAGGGGAGCACTCCTTGATGAATGCTGGGAGGGCTGAGCTTATTCAGCCGAGCAAATTGGATCGTAAGCGGGGTCGGCTACATTCACTGCCAAGAACTGCCACATGCTCGCTTCCAGCAAATTCAGCACCTTCCACTCTGCACGCACATGGGCATTGTCCCTCGTTTGTCCCTCGTTTGTCCCTCCCAAGCACACCTCGTATCGGTTCTCCCCGTTGTTCGCTGAACAGAATTTGTACAGTCAACAGTGACCGTTGGATGCCCAATATTTCGGCCATCCTCTGCTATCCCCCCTCCCCGTCTTCCCTTGTGCATCTCCTCAACCTCCCGCGTGCAGGGGGACTCTGCCTAATCTCGGCCTCCTCCAATCTATTCCAGTCCACTTGTGCACAATGGTGCAGAGGAGGCTACTTCTCGATGGGCCTCCCAGTTATCGGCTCTTTTGTGTGTCACATCGTAGTTTCACTATCTGCCACGAGAACACAAAACGCATCCCAGTGCCTGAGGAGGTCATACAGCACCAGTGGCCGCGTTTCCCAAGTTCAAATCTAGTGTTGGAGATCGTCGCCCTGAACTTCATCCCGGTGGCCGTCTAAATTGCGCCATGGTCGAATCATGCCACACTAATCCTATCCTGACTCGGTTCGGGAGATCCGTTCTCAGGCCGGGAAGTTGGACTGAATTCAGGCTGGTGGTACAGACTCCAAACACGGGCTCGCCATGCAACGGCCATTAGACGAAAAGTTAATTTCCATGCCATACTATTCTGCTTGCTTCCTAGTGCTCGTTCGCTTCAACAACTCAAGGCGACTCGGGTGGCTCTCACACGAGAGAACCCAGGGTTCTCTGTGTCTTCTCGAGCTGGTGGAGCTCTTGTTCGGCCGAAAATGGAAGAACATAGGAAGTGGCTTGCGTTAGGTCCAAGGTTTCACCTATCATGACAGACTATGTTGATAAAATGCTAGGGAACCAGAGTATCCACACTGCAAGTCGCTTGGCCCTTCGTCCCTGGTTTCTCACGTTGTGCTCCGCACCACACAAACCTGTGACATGGCCTGCATTCTAGCATCCAGGGTATATGTAGATTTTCCTGCCAGTGACCGTTCACTTCTTTGGTCGCAAACTGCACGTTTCTGACGCTCTGATGCTGCAATCCTGAACTTTGCGATCTTCCAGCGATCGGGCGCACTCCCCCGGCACTTTTTTCTTTATAAGCCTAAGGCCCGACCCAAACTTCTGTCGTGGGACTTCTTGGTGCGATATATTGCCGATCTTTATCTCTTGATTTCCAGAACCGTCACGATGCCTGCTTGGACCTCTGGAGTTGAGCACCTCATGAAGAGGCAGGTCGGGGTTCCGCAATTGACGCCTGAGCAAATTGCTTACACCAATGCTCCCGAGATCCTTTCTATCACAGGGTCATTCTTCGCCGCGGCCGCCCTAGTTGTCTTGCTTCGCTGTTATGTTCGAATAGTTATGCTGAAGGTCTTCGGAATAGACGACTATGTAATGGTATTCTCTATGGTAAGCTACTGCTCAAGTTCAAAGGAGAGATCGTCTTGCTAAAGATTGTAGATTTTGGCCTCGGCAACATTCGCATGCTTCGTTATCGAAACACATTATGGCCTGGGAAAGCACTTCCTGGTTCTCCTGATGGACCCCATAATGTACATGAATTTCGCAAGGATACTCTATGTTCACTCGATTATTGTGATGGTTGGGGTTTCGTCCGTTAAGGTTTCAATTGCTTTCTTCCTTATGAGGCTTTCGACAAGAACACCATACAGCCGTTTCCTGTATGGTTGCATCGGATTCATCATTCTTCTTACTGTTACATGCGCAATGACCTTGATCTTCCAATGCCTTCCAGTGGAAGCTGCCTGGGATTCAAGACTCCGACCACCACCATTTGGCACTGGAACCGCAAAATGCTACAGCATGACCATTTTCCGTAATCTAGGCTTAATGAATAGCTGTAAGTTCATGGTGATATCCAACGACTGTTCTGGCACTGACTCCTCAAAGCTTTCAACATTATTACAGATGTTCTTTTCGCGACCATTCCAGTACCACTGATCTGGAAGCTCCAACTCAACACTCGAACTAAGATCTCCCTAATCGCCATTCTCTCTCTTGGTTTCTTCGCCTCCGCAGCTGCTATCATCAAGGCCGTCCAACAATGGCACGTCCTCTCGGACCCTGACTGGACCGTTCACGATTCCTTCAATGTATGGAATTACATCGAGTTCACGATCGGTATAATCGCAGCTTCACTGCCGGCTTTGAAGCCCTTATTCAACTGGTTCCTGGAGACCGCACGAGCTATTACTTCAGGTGGAAGATCCAAGGGATCAGGATATAAAGCTTCCGGTTACAAGGGTGCGGGCTCGCTCGGCTATCAGAAGCAAGCCAGCGATTCCAGGAGTATTGCACTACATAGCCTCACAAGTAAGGGAGACTCAACACCTGGAGGCTACAAGAATCCCTACAATGTCCGGGTAACTACCAAGGGGGAGAAGGATACATGGGATATGGAGCGTGCGAAGACGAGTGACGAGTCCATCCTCCCGCTTCAGCGACCTGAGCCTGGCTCGCATCAGATTGTCATGACTAGGGAGGTACGAGTAAGTTAGTGGTTACAGCAGATGTTTTACGAGTTGATGTAAAAAACGGAAGGTAGTTGGATTGGCTGCATGTTCTGGTGTTGAGGCGAAGTTTGTTTGCTTTTGTGATTGCGCATACGGATTTCGTCGTTCGTCCGGCCAGTTCATCCGATACCCTTCAGCATGCTGTATACTCCCCTTTGGGCTTCTTCGCGCGCTTTGGAATTCAATGATTAATGTGGCTGGGTATTGGAGCACAAGTATACCCACCAAAATGTACTACCAGCAGCTCCGAGAGCTCGAAATTATCTTTCACGAGTATCCACTGTTCAGTGTCTCTGCGCGGTTCACCAAGGCCTCACAGCCGCAATCCGAAACACTTGACGTCCACTCCCACAGAAACCACAGCCGACAGGTTACGATCCCCAGAATCCTGCATACGCACACCCCGCTCGCGCCCCCCTCCGCCTAAAACGCGACCTGGAAACATACCTTGCGCACGCTCAAGCGCCCAGACCTCCAATTCATCCACTCCAATGATGACCTCGCCCAGCTTACCGGGGCTACCGGACACCCAGGTTCCGGTTGCACTTCTGGACACTACCTTTCCTTTGCGAGACATTGAGTTTGAGCAGAGGATTATGAGGGTAAATGTTGAATGCAGGTGTCTATTTGCTTTCCGTGGTATGGGCGATGCTTATGGAAAAGGGAAGGAATGAGCACATGCGCATGTAGCACTTGTCGCGGTTGCTAAGCTCGTATAGGGTATAGCGGTACGGGATATAGGATAAATTGATTGAAGATGCAGGTCCTCGACGGCACTTTCATGCGGTGTGACCTGCACAGCGCGATCGCGTCTCTAAATGACAGATAGTAATATCATTGCAGGAGGGCTTGTTGAACTAGGGAAATGCATGGACGTGGCTTTCTTGCTTGCGTTGTGTTCACCAACTCAAGCGATACCCTAATCTTCAAACCTGCGACATGGCCAATCACACATGTATCGCAACACCTTCAACTCTACATCTTTTTCCGATTGCGGCCAGAGTTTCATCATACCATTAAGTGTCTTCTTAGAAGGGGGTTTTGGTGTCTCCACATGAGCGTTCACACCGGTAGTTCACAGTTCAAGCGACGCACTCTTTCTTCTACTACGAATTGCGCCTCCAAACTTTATCTTCGCGACCTGCAGGCTGAAAGTATCTTTAATTCTCAGAACTGAAGTCAAAAGCGAAGCTTGTTGATTGGCTGCTACACACGCTCTTGGAGGAGAAAGTTAAAGTTTCGTTAGCATGAACGTCGAAGGGTCACGAGCGAGAAGCGGGTTCGGAATCTGCGCCCGCCCTCGGGCGAGCTCACGACGAGCTTCTCATACGATCGCATCACGCAGGAACCAAGCACAAGCTAAGATCGATCTGTCAACGGTTCTTTGCGTTCCCAACGAACACCTTCTTTTCGCGATGATGAGAGTATGAGCTTCTGCGACTCCAATCGATATCCATTAATCGTCCTTGAACACCACCTCTTTCAGTTGTGGGAGGTCTGTGCCTTTTGAGAGGGATTTGAGTAGGCATGAATTGCTCCACAGATCGGCGATCCAAGGCGAAATCTCTCTATCGTGCTTCAACATGCCATTTCTGATGAGAACACACGCTGATCAACATTTTGGGGTTGAGAATGCGCCATGGTGTGAAGGCCTGATTCATCATCCCACGCAGGGCTGAGAGGCTGAATCTTCAAATCTCCTTTCCTCATCTGCACTCTAGCCCGCATGCAAACCCATTATCATTAGCAAACGCCAACTCCCCACATCCCCTTTGCCCTCTCAAATAATTTGTTTTCCCTATCTCTAACGCGCTCCAAAATTCGTCAAAAATTTCCCTCCGCCACATCCTGCCGAGGTCCCGGACACTCGCTTCTATCTGATGGTATGCCCACGAGTCAACGCCCTTGTGCGTCGAACCATCGACTTCCCACAAAGCTTCGCACCGGAAAGTGGACGTTTCCAGGGACCAGGATACGCTATTCTTGCGCCTGCCAAACCTGTCAGATTAAGGTTAAAGAAACGTTTACTTTCAGGGGTGGGGGAGGGGTCCGGATGGCGAGAGAAAGCGTGAACGTTCGACGGTCGTACGAACAATGCATTTATTGACGCTCGGATTTTTGCGATCGTGATCTTTTGGGCAGAGGGATGTTTCGCGACGGCAAATGTTGTGCGTGAAGGATCTGTTGAGGCTTTTCGACTCATCCTCCACTTCCCACGACTCGACATGTGCGGTGCGCGTTCTCTCGAACCTTCCTTCACTTCTGAAACTGTGAAACACTTCAAGTACTGCTAACCATCCCGCTTGGTGCCCAACGAACCCCCAAGCCGACGCCAGTAAGGACACCTGAGTATCTCGACCGAAACCGTGGAAAAGACTGACATCGCCACAGCCCCACAATCTAGCGTTCAGGATGTCATCACTGGCTTCGGATGCAACCCAGATTTCGAGTTCGGAGACAATAACTTCCGACTCAGGATACTGGCTCCGAAACCGAGCTGCCGGGTTCGCTGTTGCGAGGCTGTTGACTCGGGTTTAGCTGGGGTTTCCGTCCATGTCGGAAGCTGCACTTATCATAGAACCTATACCGGTATGTACGAGATCCATTGAGATTGTTTCCTGAACGGCTCCTCATCCCGATAAATACTACCCAATGCCTGCAACCGGTGTGAGTGCTGAGAAAACAAAGGAGCAGGATGTGGGACTCGTGAGACATGTCACCTGAGAACTTAGCTTTGTGTAGGGTTTCCATGCGCAAGACCCAAAAGAGAAGGTACACGGTCCGGTGTAACCACGTGGAATCAATGTGGCATGTGCGTTGCAGATGCAAGTCCTTCCATCCTAAGAATTGTCCACGTCAGTGAATACACACGAATTGCACATTCCGCGGGACTTTTCCATGGGGTTCAAGAAACTGAAGCTAAGGGCAAGCCCATGAATGAACTCCTGTTCCAGCATTCGCGGTAGACCGGGAATATTTCCTTTTCGCGAAGCTTCCATTCTAACACCTATTCTAGCAGCTGGGAATGCAGGCGAGCGTTCCCGGACTTATGGCTGAGGCACGACTACCTTCCAAACTGATCTCGTTGCTAGCCGCAGCGAGGGTCACTGATCATCGAACCATCATCGCGCAGTGGGATACATCGAACCTTTCTCAGGATCGGAAGCACGAGCCTTTGTCTTTCAGGACTGAATCATTCCCTTAAACTTTATTTCGACCAGTAGATGGACGGAAGTGCCAGCTGCGCATACTGGCTGATAACCCATGCCGCGGATGAGGAATCAAAAGCGTTCGTAAGAGAGATCTCTCAAATTCCACCCGTTATGGTTGGCAGCCACCCATAGTTGGAGACGTATGTTTTTCCACCTTTGAAACCAACTTCTTCTATCTCCGCCCTGCTGTATGATACCTTTGCCATTGCCAGTTTACATAGAGATATAGGTATCCTCTTACGATCAACTACGCTGAAAGAAAAACCGACAAGCCGTCTATTTCCTTCACTCTTAAAACTATCTACGTCTGCAGCTCTTTCAGAACAGCGCGACCCTAAGCATCGCCGCCTTCGTGACAGTCCATTCTGTTTGTGTCTCGCTGATGCGAAGCTTAAATATTACCGAGAGTTCGAGCTATGCTAGCTATTATCCTTTTCGTGCCTGGAGCTCTCTGCATGTGCTTCACTTGCAGTCATCAGTGCTCTCCACTTTCGAGGCAAGAAAAGGGTTCGACAAACGTAGACGAAATCTTTCACTGTACAACACTCGCTCACCTAACATGAAGCATGAATCTGGGCGGGCCTAGTCGCAAACCCCCTGTTGAAATTCGAGAGAACATTGACAGGATGTCAATTCCTGTCTTGTTCCACGTTAAGTGATGATGTATGCTACAGAAGTTACGAACGAGAGAACTCACGGAGTAGGATCCTAATAGCATGGAGAATTATTACGAATGTCACAGTCGAACTACCTAAATTGTACTGCACATATTTGCAAAAGAGCGAATATTAACATCTGGATTAGATATTAAACAATGGTATCAAAACGTATCCAATCCATCCAGAAACCCAAGACCCACGGGTCTATATTCCAACGCCACGCTATGTGTCTAAGAACCTCCCTAACTCTAGGCAATAAAAGCCCTCCCGATCTTCCTCTTCCCTACCCTAGGCTTACCCGGTGCGCCCTGTCCAACACCACACATAACCGCATCCACCATATCCAACGCCGCCAACTGTTCACCTGGACCCCAACTCTGCGTCCAACCCCCCGAAACCGCTCTCGCCGCCTGACCTATAATCTTCTGGACATCGCCCGCAAGTTCTGGCAGCAACGTCGCACTCGCACCCATCCATCTCGCCAACGCCGCCTTAAAACTTTTCTGATCAGTATTACAACTCCCATCCCCCTCACATTTCTGTTCAAACAATCCCCCATTCCTCACAAAACTCTTCTCTGCTGCCCCAAGAAAGCCCTTTGCGCGATCACTCCATTTCGCATCCCCAGTCTTATCAGCCATTACAGCCGCCCCGTACAAAAACACCCCGGTGTTATAACTCCAGAGATCGTGGTTGACATCGACGCATCCAGTCCCCTTCGCATCATCCGTGCCGTCGAAAACATTATAGGAACCGTCTATTAAACCCACGGAAACAACCCAGTCGTAGCTCTTTGAGGCCCAGGACGCTGCATCCGCGTCTCCAGTGAAACGCGCGATTCGGGCTGCGAGCTGGAAGAATAGGCCATTGGAAATGGTAGATTTGTAGTGGTAGCCATCGTCGGAAGGGTTGATTTTCCATTTCATACCGCCGTTGCAGCGAGCGTTGTCCCAACGACTTTTTTGCTCATTGAAGACGTTTTGTGCAATCGCTAGAAACGAGGGGGACCCTGCGGGGGACGGGATACCGTATTCAGCGGCGCTCATGGCGGCCAAGGCCCACCAGGCTTGGTCGTCGTTGCCCGTGGCATCGGGAGTCATGAAGTCGTTGCTACCAGTAGCTTGGGATTGCAGGGTTCGTGCGATTAAGTCGTTATACTGAGCGTCCCCGGTTGTGTGATAGTAGGTTGTAAGGCCGTCGAGTGTGAGTCCTGATTGCCACCACCAAGATGGTGGTGAGAGGAGGGCGAGGGCTTTGTTAGGGTACATGGAGACGATGGAGGAAGCGATTGTAGATGCGGAGGATTTTATTGAGGGCGGAGAGGTGGTGTCAATGTCGAAGGCTAAGATGGGGGTGGAGAGGGCGGCTGTGGAGGCCGCGAGGAGGGAAAGGCGCATTGTGAATGAAAGAAGAAGGTATCAATGGAAGAGGAGGATAGAACGAAAATAGACGGCTGGATGAAAATATCAAAGAGGAAGGGAAGAGAATCCCAAAGATATATCTCAACAGCCTACCAAGTCCGTCTGTATGTACCAATATTTGTGTACCAAACGATGTCTCCTCAGATATATACCCCCACCTACTAAATCACCCAACCAACGGCTCCACGTTCCGGGGGGCTTGTAACCTACCATAATTCAGCCCATTCCCGCAGCTCTTTGGCAGTGCTTTAGGTGAGATGAGAATAGACAGCAACCTCACGGCGCAGTCGCAGCCATGAGTGACAAAAGCAAGAGGCAGGCAAATAGGGCGCCTGTTTCACTCGCCGCAGCGCGGGGCGTCAAGAATCTGAAACACTCAACCACAATAATAGGCTACAGAATGGATAAGGCTGAGATGAACACCTCAAACCCAGCCGCACATTGGCTGTTTGTAAAAAGACCCAGAAGTATAATACGGCGACTTAGTGGTAGCAAATAAAGATTCAGAAAAGCGGAAGGTTGAGTGGATGATCATGCTCAAGACCGCGAAACAGGAAGTGATGTTCAGGCACCGAATGAGATCTGAGAAGAAGGTTCTTAAGCATGATGAGCTCTGATGATCCTAATTCTGGATATATTGGTGTTGTGTGATTGGAGTTTGGAGAGATTAGGCTTGCGCTATGTGCCAGGCCGTCTGCCGGCTGACCCCAACCAGAATCTGCGAGAGATACAGTGGCAATGCATATCGGGCCAATGAGCGGGTGGCATAGTCGTGGCTGTGCGTAAATCCTTAGGTACAACTTGCCTGTGCCGCAAAGAAATTGTACTGCCTACAAACTTGCATACTCGCTAGACTGTCGTGCTAATCTATCTCTACCCGCCTTATCTCTAGTCTTAAGCATTCTGGACTTCCGTCACGACACTTGCCCCCGCGCCTTCACCCAGCACGGCCATCCATGTGGCTGCACCCATTCCTTCTCGGGACAAATCTGGCCAAAGTCAAAGTCTCTGAGTAGGGTAGCTGTGACTTTACACATCTGGAAGTGAGAAAGATGATGGCCAGCGCATTTGTTGTAGCCGGCTCCCCACTGCAGAGCATTAGCATCTGCCCATTCGCTCGAACTGAACCATGGTGAGGATGAGCTTACGTGAACGAGATTGCGCTCCATCCTCTTGTACTCCTCGTCGTCGATGCTGAGCCAGCGCTCTGGGTTGAAAGTATTGGTGTCAGCGCCGAAGATTTTGGGATAGCGGTGGATGGCGTAGGAGTTGATATTTAGGATGGTCTGTGGCTTTGTCAGCATGAGAGGCTCAGATTGGTTGATTTGAAACATACTCCCCCTACGAAGTACTTACTGCAGATTGTGCGCCGGCCGTCTGGAACAACACGAGGCATTCCTACACCAATGGGGCAATACATTCGGTATGTCTCTTTGATCTGGTAGGTTTTTGCATATCAGTACACGACCCTCAAGGGCGGAGGACTCGCAAATCATTTGAGCTTCACCTACGCAAGCTTGAAGGAAAGGCAACTTTTGGGTTTCAGTAAACTGAGCGACGGATGACAGTTCACCTTTAGCATTCGCCTCATCTATCTCTGCTCTCAGTCTCTTAAGGTGTTTGGGGTTACGTAGTAAGTGGTATACGAAGGCCTGAGTAACACCACCAGTAGTTAACTTCTGATTAGACAGAATTGAAAAGATACAATGTAGTATAAACCCACCTTCTGCTCCCGCCGCTATATTCAGCTGAGCTGCATTTTCAATATCGAAGTCTTTCACTTTGTCCGGAAATTTCGCTTGCATAGCCAACAATTCCGCCATCATATCTCTCCGTGGAGAAGGGTTTTCTTTCCGTGCTTTGATGATAGGTTTGCAAATTCCCATCATCTTTACATGCGGCTGGATACCTAATTTTCCTAAAAGTAGATTGCCAAGCGTGAGATCATGCAGCCAGGTAAATTGCCCCATGATGGCGGTATAAGCAGCAACAATCTTGACAGTAGAAATGGCAAGTCCGACATCGCGACCGGTATCCAAGTACCCGAGTCGAGTAGAGAATGTTGCTTGACCTACGACATCCAGCGACAGAAACGTGAACCATTTGTCAAAGTCTACAGGTTGACCTCGCAAAGCTAAGACCATTAGTTGACATCGAAGCAAGGTTATGCACTCGTCCATGAATGGCTCGGTTTTGTTGACGTTTTGCATGGTGTATCCCGGACCAACAGCTCTCCACATATCACTATGACGTTTTGGGTCCTCCTGCGAAGCAAGGTTGAAGTGGGTGTGGTCAGGGAAGCTGAAGATGCGGTACCATGGGGCCTAGGGAGTGAATCAGCGTGTTGGGACCTGAAAGGCTGGCGAATAAGACGTGGCTTACCTTCTACCATTGGTTTATGAGAACCTCTTGTACAGCACTTGGGCGAGAGACGCTGATTTAATTGGGGCCGACACGAACAAAGCCACCTCCATCAATCCTTTAGCGCCATGGCCATGTATATCTTGCAGCTTTTATTTGGGATGGGGATATGTAGGGATATGATGTTCTTGAAACAGACCAACATGTGATACGTGTACGCCCAACTACCAAATACCAGCGGGGGTACTTCCGGAGAACTCACCATGCTTACCATGCAGCCTGACAATTTCTGTTGAGTAGTCGGCTTTGAAAGCTAGATGGTATATCTGCCATCAGACAGTGACAGAGGCAGCAATCGGTCCTGGAATGTCTCGATTAAGGCTGAGGTTCTGTCCTGCGACGAAGGTTCGAATAGCAAGAAAGAGAACAGGGATGAGCCAAAGGAGTTGCCAGCTACTTATGAGGGCAAGGTTGTTCATGTTGATAGAAGAGCACAGTTTAAACCGAATTTGAGGGGTATTAGCAGCCATAGGTAGCAGCATCGTTGACTTAAGTAGCCGAAGTAACCCAAAGATGAGACAGTGATCAATCTAGGATGAGTAGAAACTGGTCCTAAAACGAGAGCGCATGTGATTAAAGACGACGAAAGGCGCTGTGGCGTACGTCACAGCACCTCGAACGGTGTGCCACGATGTTTTGGTGGTGTGTTGTGGCGAATGATAGCAAAGCGGGACTGAAATGGTACCCTCCTCTTTCACCACCTGATAATGGGAGCAGGGTAGGGGTTGCTTGACATCAGAGGCAAGGAAATATTCCGGCCTAGATCTACCGCATGATTTGCTCAGCCATAGGATGCAGCTTGAGACTGTTGGTGGGGCGACTCGCACGAATGAGGTATACCAGACTCTGCACCTTTCTAGAAAGACCTAAAAGTTGACTGATCGAGAAGCAATTGCCCTGATTCAAGCAGAATCGGAGGCCCTCATATGCTCCCCTTCCCTTGGTAAGTACGATGGAACAACCTCAAAGCCTTGCGTCCCATTCTGGTCCATCTGGATCTTGAGCTTCAGCGCACTAACAAGCACCTTTGCTTGATTGACACCAAACTCTTCACTGAGTCGAGTTAGTGAGCGCAAGACATATTCGTGCACCTTGGGCGTTGCGATAGATGTAGCCCCAGCGATGTAAATAGACCAGAAGAATGAATACCCTCCTGATACGCGGAGTTTAGGTAAGCGTTCGGTTGAGCCGGATGGCTGGGGGAATTCGGGGGCTGTGGCATTGCGGAAGTTGGACCAGATGAATCGGGCCTGGTTACTGTTTGATGAGGTAGGGGTTGGGATCGCGGCTGAGGGCGAAGAGAGTGAAATTTTCGGAGTATCGTGAAGATGCTGGGGAACACTGGCAAGGATACCGGCTTGCATCTCATACAATGTCCGTGTTGATTCCTCTAGGAGGAGGGCGTAGTATGAACCAACAAAGGCAGGAGGGGACATTGAGAAGCCCAGGATGAGGGTGTTACGAATAATATCGTGGAAGTAGATTCGGTTGTACCGGGTCCAGTTCCATGTCTGTGAAGCTGAATGATGTGGGTAAATGTGATAGAATGTTCCGAAAATATTGGGGGTTCCTTCTTCGACTTCTACGACTTCAGGATCCCACGACGACCCGACATCGTCGAAAATACCTCGAGCTAGAGCATCAAGCTCTAAGGCTCTATCGAGGATAGCGTGAAGGTCGGTTAACTTTCCGTTGATAATTTGGGCCCGAAAGTCAATCGCTTTAATATTGAGGTGGTAGAATTTGTTCATTGGATTTTTCGGGTCTTCATGTTCAACAACTTGTTTGTTCATTTCGTGAATGAATTCCGGTATCGCTTCACCTCTACCCATACAATTCATCACGAGAAGCGACACAATCTGCATGTACATCCTCCGTGCGGCTGGGGTGGTAAACTGATCGCGGCCCCGCACGCGAATTAGGGATGCCGAGCCTTCGACGTGGTTACTCCAGGCCGCAAAGGACTTCTCATTGCTCGTCTGCTCGTATACACTGAGGAGGATTGTAGACAACAACGTGTTGTCAGATTTAACCTCGGCAGGGTGTGCAAGCGCAGAATTCGTCATATTCAAGGCTTTGGAATACCATCGAGTCGCCTCTTTTCGAAGATAGCCATCTCTGAGGATGTTAGCTATCCCGGCAAGTCCTAGAGCGGTCATCGATGTCGCTACGACGGGGTGGAATCCGTTGGTAGAAAGGTGTCGATGGTAAGAAACTGATTGGATGGGCGGCTCATCCAAGCCTAATGCATAATGTGACATGAAGAAGTTTATGCCTTGATCGATCAATGGGCCGAGAAGAGGGGCCTCAATTAAAGCACAGAGGCCAGGAGGGCCTTCAAGCGGCTTCGGAGGCTTGGTTCTATACTTTGAATCTCGCAGATCTCGCAGAGCAATGGCTTTAGCTTTAGCTTTGATGACCTTGTCCTTCACATTTGCCGATTCATCCTGGAAGAATCGATCGAGTAGGTCCTCGTATCCAGGGCATGCATACCCCTTCTCGGTGCACTTGAGACACCCATCTGGTCGCTCGTCGCACTGCTATTCGTCAGCACAGTGGCTCTGTTCTAATTGAGATACTATTAACTATCGATAGGGCGTGGGCGGCGCTCGCACTGCTATCCCGCAAAGGAAGCCGGACGGATGCGGCTCAACCGTCTGTCCCAAGCGCCATCGGTCGAATACATCCGTGCCATGACTTGCAGGAATATGGCTATTGGCCTGTTCATACAAATAGGGAGACCGCCCATCGAGGAGTAAATGAACCGAAATGCTTACATACCTTGATCTTCCTCTTTCGACATTTAAGACAACCAGTTGATGGTCTCCCACGATACACCATATCAACTGCCAAGCGTGATGCTAATACGGGAGGTTGCCCCAAAGATTCGTACAGCAGGTAAGTTTCCGATAAGTCCTCCCTCTTAATGAAGATGAAAATGAGGGGGATGCCTTCTCGACAGTGTAAGTGAAGCTGTGAATGAAGGTCTAGTCTTCCAAAGGGCAGCTTGGTGGAGTTCAAAGCATCAAGGAGATAATTGTGGCTGAGTACGGAGCTGAAAGGAATGATGACAGAAATGAGTGAGGGGGCGCTGATCGTAAGGCCTAAACTCACTTTATGCACCTTACCTATTCGGGTGTGCTGCGCGTGATTGGTTAGTTGAGGTACTACTATCTACCCACGACTAACCTGCATTTTGCGAACCTTGTTCTTGCAGTTAAGAAGACTTTCCCTGGGCATGAAAGATGTCCCCACTAAGGTTCCTCACGCAACTCAAAGGCTCCCGTAATTCACGACTTCACCCTGGCGGACTGAATAGATACCAAGCCCATTCTAATATAAAATGCACGTGATTTTGATCCGTGCATTTGCGCGCCAGAGTTTGCTTCCGATCGTTTCAGCCTTCCTGCGGCCGAAAATAAAAGACTGAGAAAAACCCAAAAGAATTTCCTTGCGTATGGCAATGATTTCCGCTGATGAAAAGCTCCAGAGATCCAGCCTTGTCTCTCAAGTCATACGCGGTTTGCTATTTCCCTGGTCCTCAATTCTACACCACCCTGCTACTTTTCTTCGCACCACGGAGGCCCATGATCCACGAGAGTTCCTCCCGCTGCGAAATCTTTCAACCCCCACAACCGCACAGCCTCACAGGCCACAAGAGTTTCAGGTAAATCCTCACCATTCAGCTGAGGCGGGAGGGAGGTTAAGGGACATAATGAACCTAAAACAATAGCCCTCATTAGACTCCCGAACTGGTGCAGTACTGCGAGATCAAGACTCGAGAACATATTCCAAAGGCTGGAGAACAGCCAAGAAATTAAGAACTTTCCTGGTACATACTAATACTTTTAGCCTCGTGCTGCTAATAGCTGTAGTACCAATGATGATCTTTATCTAGTTCGGAGGACGTACGAAACTGAGCTGACGCTGTGCTATGATCGAAGGCTGGGTTAATCAGGCGATTTCGCTATCGACGCTCGCTGTTCGTCTTGCTGCTGCCATACAAACAAATAAGCCGTGGTAATCTTTGCTAGCATATGGATAGAGGCCAAATGTGGGGTGTTTCTGTAAGAAGTGTCAAATCTGGCCGCAATGCGGCACACCAACTCCGGGTCGATAATGCGTCATTAATACTCGGGAGAAATCTAAACACCCCTGCCTTTATTTTCATAGCCACTTTGGAGTTCCTGACCCCGGCGACTCGATTTACTTCAACAACCTTGTCTGAGGTTCGCCCGGAGCCGTCCTTAGGTTTCAAAAACAGACCAATGTGGGCACAAGGATCGACTAGAAGATTTCATCTTTCATTCCAACACTCATGGTACAGAATCCGAATTATCTCATGTCATTTCAAGGATATTATCCTACGTTTGCTGAGTGGTCTGAGGATCCTGGATTCCTTCTCGATCCCGTCTTAGACAGGCACTGCTTCCGGTTGCGGCCAAAGATCCGACTGCAATTCTCGAATTCAACAGCGCGGCTTTACTCTTTGACGCTCGAGTAGTTTGTGCAAGGCTCAAGCTCACAGATTGGAAATTTACCATGACCAGGATGGACGATGGGAATCATGTCCTGTACAACTTTAAGAAAACTCTGCTAACGGACATCTCGAATGTCTTATCTAGTCAGTTACCATTAACTAATGCGTTCCACTAGTCACTAGGCCACCCTAGTCACCGGGCCACTTAAAAACGGACCAAAAATGGGAAAACCTGTACCTTGATGTATCTCAACGACGGCGTAATAATAAATTCCAGAAATTTGTAATCAACCTCATTATAATTAATTTTAAGACAACTATTGGATTTTAGAGACAATCTACCAAGTAGTTCAAGAAATATAGCAATTCAGCTCGAAATTAGGGGGGAGGGAAGCTTGAGATTGCAATAATGGCTAGTCGAAATACTCTAGAGTTTTAACAAGAGGCCTGTTGAGATACTATGGTACAGTTTCGCTTCATTTCTAGTGGGGTTTGGGCCTTCTGGTGACTGGTATGGCCTAGCAGCAGTTGGAACACGTGAGTCGTTGGTGACCCAAGATGGGTCGGATACTCTTTTAGCTACACAGCGGATGAGTTTTCCGATTTAGGAAATGATAGCGCTTTCAAAGCATACGTGGTTGATCATGCTGGCGGTTTGATTAACATGCTCGATCTTATCCATAATGACATATTGAAACACAGGCTCTAGAAGCACAATCAATGCACTCTTAAGGTTTAATTCAAACAACAGATCTGAGAGCCTCACTTGGCTAGCTGAGGTAACCCAAAGGGTGCTATTTTTAGATGGCACAAGCCTGGAGTTAAACCGTGTCCGTCGTATCACCTATCACTCAATTTGGGTCGAAAATGCTCACGCGGTACAAATCTTCAACACTACTGAATCACAGTTTTCTTAATGAATTGATATGGAACACGGCGACTGTGAATGCAGACCAGGAGGAGGTCTATATTCCACGCCGCAATAGATCGAATTACAACAACGGACATGAATTGACGATACCGCAAAGTGAATTTATGCTACGCTCTTTCACGTGCCTAATTGCCTTGTCACAGATATTCTAGTAGACACGGGGAATCCAGAACTTGCTTGACAGGCAGCGATGACTTCGCCGCTTTGAAGTGGCTACTACGACTTGCCTGTAACTTTCTCGATTAATGATAACATCACTACGACTTCTATAATGCCATGCCGACGAATAGTTCATTCCAAGGGTTTTTAATTAGCTATAGCGAATCTCTCTCTATACCTAATGCTTATAGCTAAAGTGTTTGTTAGGTTTTGTAGCAGGACTCGTCACAGGTCGATCGACAATGCCTGGTAGGAGGCGCCCAGCTGAAGGATCAAGATATGGTGGACTATTGGAGAATCTGGGTGCAGCCGGTGGTGATTTCATTAAGAGTTTCATTAATTTAGAAAGGTTCTGAAAGAGGAGGCTGACACTATATTGCGTTTAGCACTAGCCACCGTTGTTCGCTTCTAATGTAAGTTTAAGAGATTTCTTACTCGGACAAACGCGTAGGTCGCAGTTACAAATAAGATAACGTTATCTCAAAGAAATTAAAGTAAGAGGGCTTGGAATATCGCTAATACTGGTAAGGACATGCTAGCCAACACAGAGATAGGCTACCCTAATAATAGCGAGCGTGAATTTAGATATCTTCTTAGCTTTTAGGTCGATGCTAAGGAAACTATTGGTCGGAAAACAATTGTCTTTTCCACTCTGAGGGAAAAATGCTCTCCTGATTACCAAAGTATGTGGCAGGTGAGATTATGAAGAGAAGCACAAGTTGAAGGCTTCAGCGTTTAATAAGGCGGAATAGTATGATGGGGTAGTGAGTGACACCACCCTGAAACGCGTATACGTGGTCCGTATAAATGGATAAGGCTTGAAGACACACTCTCACATTCTATTCCAGTACAACGGTAGCAAACCCCATAACATAACCCCCCCCGATGCCTCTCTTCCTACACCTCTCCTCATCCTAAGAACCCCGAAATCTACCAATCGTCCTCATCCAACCCCTCCTTCTTAAGCGCCCCTGGCCCCGTAACCTTCAAACAAGACTCCCTATCCATAAGCCCATAAATCCCAGCCTTATCATGCACCCCATACTCCACCTTCGCAATCCAATCCGCCCTCCTCACCCTCTCAATCATCTGCCTGCACTCCCCTGTATACCTTCTTAACCACGGTCTCTCAAACCTCGGCCCCAGGATGAAATCCAGCATATCAAACGACGGCTCCTGCTCCCCATCCCTGATCTTCAGAAACGCGAAGCGGATATCGAGAGGGGACTTAGCCTGGGAAGCTCTGTAGGTGTCGACAGCGTCTTTTAACAGTTTGAGTTTATCCCAATACCATGTGAGCGAGGAGTCGTGGTGAATGTGGTACGTTGGCGGTAACACGAGTCTGAAGGTCTGGAGGTCCGCCCTGGACAAGAGTTCGACTACATTGGAAATAGACCAGTCATATGACCAGTCCTGGGGTATCAAGAACCCGTACTTCCTCATCCGTTCACCGAAATTGACGTGTTGGTGCGGGCGCAAGAGGCATATTTTCTCTGCCAAAGTGTGATTCGCAAATGTGGGCATTGCAAGATAATCGGTGCCAGGGAAGGGAACGTGGAGTGTGATGTGCCGCAAGAATCGGAAGTGCTGCGGGCCAATAGTGTTGAGGTATAAGGAACATACCATCCAGCCATTGATGCCGGTGAAGCGGAATTCGTTTTCACCGTAGAAGACCTGCGAGGCTTCTAAGTGGATGATGGAGGATACGCGGAGCAGGCCGAGCTTGTGGTTCAGCCACATATAGGCGTGGAGACTGTTTGCTCGGCGCCAGTTTGCGGAATACATTGTATTGTTTTTGACGTGTGGCCAGAGTTCGATGGGGGAGGAAGAGAGAAGATGGTGGCGGTAGACTTTGAGTCGGAGCTCAGGGGGGAGGCTCATGAATGGGAAGGCCTTGTGCTGAGAGGAGAGTTGCAGCATCTGTTACGTGGCTGGTGGTTTGGTCACTGACCTGGGGACGGGCCCACATCCGTTCATCTTGCAGCTCGGGATACTTCAAGCTCGGGTACGCTTTCATAATCTCTCTCACCTCAGCGGGCGTGTGGGTTTTCCATGACTGCCCACGCCGCCGGGGGCGCCGCCCTCGACAAGGAGCCATGGGGGTAGGCAAGTATCGTAAGTGATAGATGCACCTATAAAATGCTTGCGGCTGACGAGCGAGTGTGTAGAGAATGGGCAATGATGAAAATGTGAAGATGAAGCGATCGAATGCTGCATACTCGGACTACGCAATCGTTTCCCCCTAGACGCCTCGCATCTCCGATCCGGAAAGTGAACATGAGAGCATCCGGATTGGAAAGAACTTTCCAATCCGACTTCGTCCGGACCCCAAAGAAGTGGCGAGGGAAAACCGTAAAATGTGCACAAAGACAACATCTGTAGGCTATTTTGTGAGTGAAAAATTAGGATGAGGAGTGCAAGGTGAAGCTTTTCGTCCAAAAACTTGTCAGTCATTGCGTGCATCATCTAGCAGCTGCGCTATTTTTTGAAAGTCAGCTTTCCCATATACTAAATAATGAAGCCTGCTGATGGTTGGCATGACAGCGGACAAACGTATTCGTTTGTAATGCACTGTCGTCCACTCCCTGCGAGCAAGCATTCACAGACCTAACGAAGCCCCCGCATATACCTAGATATTCATACCAGTGCCCGTGAGCCAGGAGTTTAGTGAGTGCTAAATTTGTCTTAATCTCTGGTGCAGCACTTTTGTCAGTCCTGTGGAGATTCTTTGTCGTTGCGCTTTCACTGCTCTCGGCGGTGTACTTTCACCGAAACCACATTCATTGTCTGAATGAAGGAAAATAAAGGAACGATGAAAATAGAAAACGACTGAAAGTCATTGTTCAATAGGATTCACGACGGAGGAGAATATACCACACCTAATCGAGGACTTTCGTGGCAGGGCTTCTTTTCCTTTCCTACACCGTCCTACTCTGCATCCTGCACACAGTCGACGGCAAACTCGTTGTTTCCACCTCGTTCTGCGCGTTTAACCCGTCCCCCCGAGCCTAGCTTAGGATGTCGTCCCCTTGCTTCGGCGCCTCACTCTCATCACTCCCACCATTCATGGAAGACCTCAGCACCCCATACCCTTCCACTTGGCCCCCAGTCTCCAAGGGGACAGAATCAAAGCAACACCCCTCCCCAGGGCACAATGCAGCCATGCGAGCACTCATCGCGCCATGGGCTAGAACCCGTCCACCACCGCCAGGATGCCAGGCCGTAATGGCTTCCAGCTGGTCTCGATTCTCCCCCGGCGACAGTAGGAGCAAACCGGTCGATGAAATGAAGACCTCGGTCCTGTGGGCTCCAAGGGGCACTACTCCAGGCTACAATCCGCCCATAGCCGAATGGTTCGACTACTTGGGCGTTGAGAAACCAGACCAAGTGCCTTGCGGACGACCAGACAACCAACGAAACTGCCGACGCAGCCCCCGACGAAGCCGATCCAACTCCAGGAGTTCATGGTCGACGGAGAGCTCGGTATCCAGCCTTGGATTGGAACCAGAGCCTATTGCATTCAAGAAGGTAGCGGTAAAGGTGGCGGCTAGAGCATCATTGCTGACGGAGTCATTCAAATCAACACCTGCAGCTGGAGCTGGTCTCCAGCGGTCCGTGAGCCCAGCGGTGGTCCTGAGGGGAGGGTTCAGAGAGGAGACGCTGAGCGCATCGATGCTGCCGTTGGCCTTTGATCCAGACAGTGATGAAGATGAGTGAGAGGGCTAAGCAAGATCACTCTGGACAGAGATAGACAGAGACTAACGAATTAATATCCTCTCTCTCCCTTAATAATCAGAAATATGGCAGCTGCCATATAACCTTTGCAGGTGTTGAGGAAATGGTGTCGAGCCCACGCCCAGAGTGGTGAGACTTGCCGACTGTCTGCACTCAAAGTTAGCCCGAGCCGCCCTCAATCGTACAGGTGATCTGCACTGTGGCCCAAGCTCCTATGGATTTCAATGACGGCAATCTAACTTATGCAACCCCAAGCCCTTCGCGAATACTTCCTTGTCGAACGTATCCCACGATTAAACTCAAATTCCAATTACTTACCCACTTCCGCCATGGAGAAAGCCATGTTTCCATTCACGCGATCTCTTTTCCGACTCTTGAGCCCCACTTCTGCCCACTACCAGAGAAGCAGCCTCCAAAGCTCGCCACGGCCAATTCTCCGCCAGCCATTACGGCATTCACCACAAGTGCTACGTTTCCGATGTCTACACGCCTCGCAAGTCCGTGTCCAAGCATCCAGCCCCCCGAAGTCCCGCGACCGCGGTCCGAAGAGTAACGAGGACACCCAAACCGACTTCGGCGCCCTAGACATCCTGCGCAACACAGCTGCGCCTGCGACGGCAATTGATGCATGTACTAACGACGGCTTCGCGCTCAACAATCAGATGCGGGTAAGCGGGAGCGGCATACTTCTCGTTGGCGGCGAGGCATTTCGATGGCGGCCCTGGTCAAGCGACGAGAAGCTAAAAAACGCGAAGGGGCAGTGGGAGGTGCAGAATGGTGCGTGGGGTGTGCTGGAGTTGGTGTGGCCGAAACCTGGTATGGCTTCACCCCGAACATCACAAACGTGGGTCCCGCACCCACTAATCGCAGTTTATAGACCTTTTGATCATTGGGACCGGCCCTCAGGTGGCTCCCATTTCGCCCTCGGTGCGGACATATTTAAGTGATCTCGGCATTCGGATCGATATTCAGGATACTAGGAATGCTGCGGCGCAGTTCAACCTCCTGGCGACTGAACGGGGTGTCTCGCAAGTTGCCGCTGCGCTGATACCAGTTGGTTGGAAAGAAGGGAGGTGACATTGGAACGGGGGTTTGTGGTGATACGCGTTGGGAAGCTGAGGCGCGTTCCAAGGTTCACCTTCACGTTATGACACCACCTGTAGAGAAGCTGTGTATACTTATGTATCATACCCTCAAGTCCCACGGCAACGATTGCCGCTTTTGGAACGAGAAGGTGAGGAATGCCTGTTCTCTAGGACTCTAGCTAGTAAATACCGTGTACATCGACGGACCATGCTTAACCTCTCACAATAATGGAATAAGAATAACCTAATCGGGAGGACAGCAGCTAGACGCAGTTGTTGGGCAGAATATAGCCAATCCCAACCCCTCCTTCTGAGTATTCCCATCTTGACTCCAGCACTAGTCGCTGTCCCAACTGGTACCCACGCCCATCTGTGCAGGAACACACGCACACACGCGCGGAAATGGAACGTGACATAATCCCAGACCCCGCACAGAATAAAAGCTCTCACGTTGCCCTGTGTTTGCTTTGTTTTGCAAAAGTTCAAGTGGATATAGTGGTGGGATATCTCACAGATTCTCACCACACCACACTGCGCATTTATGCACTGAATTCTCTTGTTCTTCAAGCCCTGTTGCTCTTTCTAGTCTTTGAAACTCTATATCAACATGTCTTTCTTAAGAGGCTATTACTCGTAAGTTGTGAATCTCCTTCCTTGAGCATGTTGCGTAGGGTCAGAGAAACCCAGTTCATTGGCAGTGAAACATCCCTCTTGAGGCACATTGCTAACATCACCATCCAGAGGTACAATTGACCAGCACACGGTTCCTCACTACGCCTACAGAAACTCTCATTCCGGCTTAAACCAAGAAGATAATGATATGAATATCTTCCCGGGCCCTGAACCGGGAAACACCACCGCCGCTCCCAGCGCCTCCAACGTAGAAAACAGCAACTGCTATGATAACACCCCCTCAATGCATTTGAGCGAAAGCACTTTGACCAACAATAACAATTCTTACAACTCCCTCTCCACGCTCTCAACACACCCCGAGAGAATCTCCTTAGACGAAGAGAGCAGGGAAGAGAACGTCGTCTCTCCTCCCCTCTCCTCCTCCCCCTCACTCTGCACCAAACCCGATATGTCTGATGCAGAATCCCACCTTCGTCTTTCCCTTCCTTACCCCTATTGCCTGTACCAACCCCCTTCCCGCCACCCCAGCGTTAAAGTTGATGCAAACACCTTCGATCACGAAGCCGCGAGTATTCTCGAGCCTATTTGGCAGGATTTGGACCTACTACGGAGGACGACGAGGGAAATGATGCCACCGAGTGACTTTGTGTTTCAGGTGAAGAGCTATGAAGAGGTTGTTGAGGGGAGGATGCACAGGATTGGGGAGTTTATTGTGGGGAAGGTGGGACAGGGCGAAGGTAGGGAGATGGAGATGGAGGGGAGGCTTATGTAGGTTCTCCATTACCTCTCCACTCTTTTATCTATTTTCTTTTGTAACCTCTATTGCTATTCATGTTTTATCCTTCTGTTTTGTCAGTTTAGTACCACTTTGAAGGAAATTGAGGCTAACCATCCACAGCGCCTTCATTAAAACCCACTTCTGGCCGCGTGATGCAGCAAACATGGACGTCCGGTTCACATTGCAAAACGCTATGCTTAAGAAGCAAATCGCACAGGCACAGAAGACCATGATTCCAACCTCCTCTGTCTTGAGCATTACCATAGACGGGACAAGCACTTGAATTCTCATAACTACTTCAACGTCCCTTTGCCGCCAGGTAGTTCATTCGGTTTGTGGATTTCTGTGTGGTTCTTGGCGTGAGTTTGGGGGTTGGAGTTGGGGTTGTTGTCTTTCCTTTATTTCTGTCTGGAATAGCCTTATTCTTCTAGTTCTGAAGGTTCTGTACTGCTGTTTCGTTACATGTTTAAGCTGTATTTTTCGGAGTTTGTTGTTCTGCTGCGTCTGGGATGTGCATGTATGCATGTGCGCTGCTGGACTCACAGAGTGCGGGGTTTCATGTGGCGACAGGTAAAGAGCCTCCAGTGCATGCATGGACTTATTCATGTGAATTCACTGAACTCTTATGTTAAGTCGATGAGGTGCTATCGCTCCTTAAAGCCCAACAATAGCGATTATTATTTCTCTTGAGCTTCTTGATGGAACCTGTTCAAGCGCTTTCTTAATATCAAATACTGTCCTAAAATTCCGATATTATTGTCACTGGCAATCCTTCTCCCCTTAGAATTGCTAGCATGCAATATCTTCCCTAGGGCCTTATTCTTACCTCCTGTGACGCAGGGTACTTATAATTCATCACCACCCACCCGGCTTTATTTCAAGTGCCATTTCCTCATTTCAGGTCTCTTGCCTGACACCGCTGAACCTACCAGGAGGCTCTAACCGCGAAAACTAACCTCCACCCCTTTTTCTCCCCACAGAGACGTCAGAATATTGGTTCCCCCTAAGCACTTTTTGCATCTTGCGTCCCAACGATTAGTTGCCGCATCGCTAGCTATTAGGTTTAATTTACAGTGCAGCGGCCTGGCTTCAAAGCTCCTGCGAGAACAAGTTCAAGACTCTTTGACCTGGACTCCGAGGTTCAAATCCTAAGTTTAGTGTTTAGGCATAGCAGCCGTATTCCCTGACATCACCTACCCAAAAATTCTGTCTGTTTTATAAGAGAGAGTGGTTAACGCTCTCTCCATAAATCCTCTCGGTCCACAACCAACCTTTAGAAAGTATATCTCGAACAACTCACCAGCCAGTCTTCGCTAGCACAGCCCCCTCAAACACCCGAGACCCTCGCACTACCACTCATATATACCTCCTTCCATCCATCCAACACCTACAATATCAGACACCAGACATGAGACTCCTATTAGATCGCTCAACGTACGCATGCAGGATAGTTTCATCAGCGGAGTGTTTGATATGGTGACACGAACGGGCCGCGACAAGCGAGTGCGTTTACAGACGGCGAGGATTGGTTCGTCCGGAGCTCCTGGTTCCCCACCGCGCATAAAATGATAGTACAGATAGGTAGCGATGATGAAGGTAAGTGGGTTGATGGCGTGGCACGCGAGGATATGTATTTTCGCACGGGGACGCGCTTGCACCGCACAAACAAACAAGCCGCTAGTGTAGATGAGCCGTATAGTTGGAAAACAGAGGCTGTGAAGGAAGCGCAGAGTTGTGGGATTGAATGCGACTGAAGGTCGTGTGTGCCTTGGAAGGAGTATTGGCTTAGAATTACAGGTGCGACTGGTCTTGATTTAATAGATTGGCTCTTTGGAGAGATCGGCCCATAGCTCGCCTGATTCAATGCCATCTACTAATTAGGGTAGGATTGCGGAAGATGGATTGGCTGCTCATCATAGATGATAATATTGCAGAAAAGTTCAAATGGTACCGTCGACTGAAGCTTGTAGAAGGTGAGTCTAAGATGGCATTCTCCTAGTCCCATGAAGAATAGCTGGTGAGCTCGCGCGAGATATATAATAGGTATAGTAGTATTATTAGTGTGCGAGAGATCGCGATATTGAAAAGGCTTCTCTTCTCCACTAAACGCCATGTACAGCGGTAACAGTAGACCGGCCTTTGAAGTGAAACGCTGACACCGATGTCATGAAGTGAAGCACACGAGAGGCAACAGCCGGCGACAAGAAAGACATAAAGAGAAAGTAAATGCCATGTTGAACAGTCTATCGCCTCAAGGCCTAGCCAAGCGATCCATAAAGGCAAGACACTCGGGGTGCAACAAGAACAAAAAGTCCTACAAGTCCTGTAGTAAGCGAAGAAGCTCCCGCCAGGGTCATCAATTACGCTCCTCACTATCCTTCAGGAATACCTAGGAGACCCGCCCGCATATCCCGTCCATATATAACCGTACTGACGTGCAGAGCAATTCCCGCAAACGCCAGGGATATAGTGGATTTGGGGTGGAGAGCATTTCTGCTGGAATGGGATTCCCGGGCGCTGGAGTTCGCGGGGGTCGTAAATGCGGTTCAGCTCTTTTGAAAGGCCGGTGCAGAATTTGCCGTAGTCGATGTGTGAGTGGCCACATCGGGGCCAGTAGTACCAGGTTTCCTGACACATGGTGGTTGAGAATTCCGGTTTTGTGGAGGGTGAGGGTTATCCTGTATCTATAGCTGAGTGAGCCTTGATAGAGTTGGAAAAGAAGCGGTTTGGGCGAGGCTAGGTGGACTTTAAGGGCCACGTGGGGATCAACGGGCGTTGTGAAGGAAGCAAGGAGAGCTTCCGATAAAGCTCCAATCTGGCAGACTCAAAGTCATCTCCAGCGCTCTTAAACGCTTTGTTCGGTCTTAGGGAGGAGGTGTTGTTCAACCCTACGCGAGTGAACTGGCTGTCGGCAGTGCTGGCGCGCGACGCGTAGCAATGCTCGCTGGTCTATTTCATTGATTGGGTGAATAAAAGACCGGATGGCTACAAGTTGCCTGTCGCACTGGTACCGGTATACTCGCTGCGCGGAGGGATGTTGTTTGTGGAACCACTTTCTACAAGCACCTGGAAAGCTCACCTGCTAGTCATCAAGCGCAAAATCGGGGTAGTACTGTGAGCGCGTGGGAAATGCATGCAGGAATTTGTAACATTTAGCGAAGTTAGTGGTTTGAGGTACGGTCCGCGAAGCTTTAGCAAGCACAAAATAAGCCAGTATGCTGTGTAATATGACGTATGCGAAATTCATCATAACAGAAAACTTGCCCTCTATGTACGTAGCAGTGAAAGTGTCGCGGGGAAACGTTCAACACTGAGGCTTAATTTGGTCGAAAGATGACACGCTGTGCAGACTATAGATGAAGAGAAACCAATCCTAACCAGGTATTTCGTTTGTATGTCAACGGAAGCAGTCCCGATGCCCCGAGAGAACATGACGCCACAAATGGCCAATGGAGGTCGTATGGAGACAATATGAAGCCGACGTTGATGAAAGTCGATGGCAGAGGATAATATTAAGATAGAAAGTGGGAACGTTCAGAGTCTCTTCTCCTACCGGCAAGAGCGCAGACATTTGTGCACCATTTATGGCCTCAATTTGTCTCAATTTATCTCATCGCTGTGATGGAGCTTGAACAGCGGGTTAGACATGGACAATCTTGCGAGGAAGCCGTTCAAGATTGGGTGGGGGACAGAGTAGGATTGAAGGGTCTCTATGACGAAGAGAAATAGTGTTGGGGAAAGCCATTAGCTCGCATCGCGAGTCTGAAATCAATGCGAATGAGATAGATGAAGAGAAAGAAGAGAACCGAGGAGCGCACTAGTAGTTGGGAAATTCTTCTTGAAAGTCTGATGAGGGGTTGGTTTTGTGAAGGGAGATGCTTTGACGTAGGCACCAAGTCAAAGAATTTTCCCTTGTCACTATCATAACTCTGATAATTTGCCCTTGAGGCCGAAAAGAATGTTAGAGCACTCCGGGTATATTTGGAGTATTACGAGCAATCACGTGATGTAATCCTACCGAGGCTTTCGCTTGATAAGACAGACATCTCCACAACCTCGGAAGATTCTCCGCATAACCAGCCTCGCAAAAGAGGACTCATCGTTTTCAATCTTAGACCTATACGCTAACCCTGCCGCACACTAATCATAGGCTTCAATGATGCCTCTCCAATTTACCTCTCTCCATCGTCAACCTTCAACGACTTCATTTGTGCTCGCGACTCTATCTAGGTACCCCGCTCTCCACAATGTCCTCCTCCAATGCGTCCCCATCATATCCGATTGAGCATCTCGAAGACTTTACACGCCATGAGTGGTGCCAAACTCTTCTCTCCGACCCATCGATAACGAAGATTATGAAGCGCCGGATGTCACCTCACGACGTCAGTGTGTCCAACAGCTTCTTCACTACCACGCTGTTCACAGACGGGGCTATCCGGGCATTTCTCTCGATGTTTAGACCTGGCCGAGGGAGGTCGAGGACCACCGCGGATGCGCAAGTCGTAGGTGACGCATTGGTCGGAGACAAGGGGTCGGAACCACGATTAACAGAGGATGAGTCGCAAGAGCTAGATACTCAGGACGACCTCGATGAGCCGGAATCACTTTTACTAGTATCTCTAGGCAAGGCCCTTGATGGTGGCATCAACCGTCTTCATGGCGGTGTTACTGCAACGCTGCTTGATCAGGTCATGGGCGTACTGATATCATACGTCCACGCGAACACGAGTGCGACGGCGGAGTTGACCATCAAGTACAAGAAGGCGATACAGACGCCAGCTGTTCTATTGTGTCGAGCAAGAATTGTGCGGGAAGTGGGGAGATGGATAGAGGTGGTAGGCTGGATTGAGGATGGGAGGGGTGTGATATACGCTGAAGGCAAGGGTTCGTTCGTAAAGAGTAAGGTTGCGAAAATATAACGTGCGCGGTTAGTATAATCCCACAATGGGGCTAGACTTTCGTTTTGCAATTGAGAAAATACATGAGGCTGATGTCGAGGCAAGTACCCCCACACCAAAGGTTGGGATGGAGTCTTGGCTTGCATATCTAATCGACCTCATGTCTTCGTCCACCAGACTTCATGTCTTCATCGTGCCATGCGGTTCGTGGCAACTTCAGCCTATCGGAACGTTTAGATCCCACCGTGCACCATTCAGCTAATTGCTAATCTGCCTCACGACATTTTTAGCCGCTTCTGCTCACCGCCTGCCCAATATTATGTCCTAATCTGTCATCGATCCAGTCTTGGCTCCGAGTACACATCCCTCTGAACGACACCAAAAATTCGATACTCAAATTTACAATGGAGGTGTTCAATATCATAAACCTCTCGAAAGACCCAAACAACGCTCTGCAACAAAGATAGAAGTCCAACTTTTGACCGTTGACATATCCGTTTAAAGGTTTCACCGTGAAATCTTATCGCCGTCGCTAATGTTATCTCCAGACATTTGAGAGGGTCCAGACGCTCACCCTTGTCCCCCAAGCCATGGAAAAACACCATGCCACCTTGCTCTTCCATTATCTCCTCCACTGCTTCCCCATCTCTTAGGAACACACTCACAACAACAGAATCAACCACCATGGCCCATTTCCTAAGATCTTTTACTTCTGGTATGAGTATCAGAGACATACGAAGTCTTTGACCTTGGCTTATCTATAAGATCCTTTTTCTATTCGTTATTCGAAAGTCGTTGCTGCTCGGCATTGCTAGCATTCGCGAAGTTTTAACCAGTATTTCGAAAGAACAAGCCCCTGCCTCTTGCTTTATATTTCTTTTGCGGCCAGATTCAATCTATCCATCGCTCGACCTAAAGATGCAGACCCCTAAGGCCCCACCAGGATCGCCAATATCCACCCTCTTTGAAATCCGCCAAACGCCACATTGCGGCCGCGCTGTATTCGCAACTCACGATATACCCGCAGATACAGTTGTCTTCTGCTCCGACGATCTCACACTCTCGGTACTACTTCGCGAATACCGACGAGAAGTCTGCGCGCAATGCTTTGGCTACGAACACGGTCGCAACTTGAAGATTAGCGATCCGGCGGTTGGCTTTGCATTCTGTTCCGAGGGCTGCCAGAACAAGTGGCGAGAGGAGGTCGGGGAGATTGGAGTGCAGGCTTGGACTGCGGTCGAGAATCTGGTTAGGAAGAGAGGTAGGGAGGATTGCGAGATGGTGGATGTAGATCTTCCGAGGCCGAAGCCAAAGGATATTACAAAAGCATGGGAGGGAGTTGCTGCACAGGCGGCGTTGATACGGGTCGCGAGACACGGAGATCGGATAAGTGAGGAGGTAACTGAGGAGACAAAAGTCGAGAGACCCGCACAGGTCACAAAGCAGCATCGTAAAGCGCTGCAGAGAGCACTGCTAAGTCCGATCTCGCCAGACGTGATGAGTTTCTGCGTTAGCGGTCTTCTATGGAGGTATAGCAAGCCAGGTGACTGGGAGCGTGTCTTGACTCTCATCCCTGACACAACGCCCTACCACAACATCGCAGACCTCCAAGCCTTCACGCGTTCCTATCTCCACCTCCTTGCCGTCCTTCCCTTGCCACTCCTCGACTTCGTCACCCCCGAAACCCTCTTCATTCTCTCAGCGCGTGACTCTCACAACTCCTTTGGCATACGCTCCCTCGAGGACGAAGGCTCTGAGTTCTTTGGCTATGGGTGTTGGCCTGCGGCATCGTATTTCAATCATTCTTGTGCGCCTAGCCTCGAGAAGATAAGGGTTGGGAGGATGTGGGAGTTTAGGGCAGGAAGGGATATTGAGGCGGGCGAGGAGCTGAGTATTACATATCTGAGTGGTGAGGAGAGGAGGCTGAGCAGAGGGAAGAGGATGATTATCTTGATGAACAACTGGGGGTTTGAGTGTGGGTGTGAGAGGTGTGAAGTCATCTACTAATGCTAGACCAGGGCACACGAATGAAATCAATCTCACCTCTCTACACGGTTAAAAAGCCAAGAAGCTATTTCAGAATTACTTGTCTGTTCTCTTATCTTCCAACATTAGGTTTCAGTTTTTGCGACGTTAGCCTAGGCTTTCTCACTCCCCGGCAAAGTTACCTTCGCCCGGTGCCAGCATCCCCCTTCTTGTTAGCCGCAGCCAAGACAACAAATCCCTTTCCGCATCCCTCGAATCGCTGCAATTCTAGTGATTCGCATCTGCGTTGATTCGGGTACCTCTTTCCCCGAGCCGAGGCTAACCAGAAAGGACGTGTTTAGACTCCTTGCGAAGCTTGCGATATCTTCCTCCATTCGAAATTCAATTCAGCTGCAACAAACTCTGGATGAACAAAAAATATCAGAAGTTTGTGCAAAGATGACAAAAATATCGAAGTATTTTACAAAACCCCCCGGATTTCCTCAGAGACCCGAGCGCGCAGTAAAAGGTTGACGAGCTTCAGCGTTCAATACTCTTTTATAGTTTGGTAGGTCTCAATGCAGTTCTACCCAACCTGAATCGCTATCGGAGAATTTGATAGTGAGCCCATGTCGTTCATGCTAAGTTCGCGCCAACATATCCAGCGGGCCGAAAGGGAGTCTCGATCGGTCCGAATGATCAACCCGAGTTAACCCGCCGGAATCACGGCGCGCACGTGTCGCGCTTCCACAATTCAGGGTATTGAGTCAGGAAAAGGTTCCCCCCACTGCTTTTGAGCTATAGGATTGGAGTTTGCAAAGCACGTGGGGGATGATCTTCACGGCGGTCGCACCGATGACAGGGCTTGTTCAGTGCCTTTAGTGTTCCTAGATCTGGTAGACATGTGGTGAAGCAGCACTGAGATTGGAACCCCTTCTGTTGCACTGAACTTTCCCTACTGGTATTCCAGCAGCTTTTCACAGTCTCAGCCATCCATCGCTTGGGAGGCTTATTAATATTTACAAAGAAGATATATTCGTCTTTTCCAAGGCATATTCACTGATTTGCAATCCCTCTACACGGAGTTCGGCCCGATGTCACGAGTCAACATGGTTTCATGCACCCTCCCGAACACAGTTCTCTTGTTCGACGCGGGCTGATACTACACGGATCCACACACGCTGAGGGTCGATCTTAGCATATGCGTATCACGTCTAGTCAAGCAAGCTAAGTACATAGAAGGTTCCATGGACCTTGACTTCCTGCCTTGAAGTTCATTAGTTGCAGTATCTCTTGTCCTCTCTCCCGACAGATTTCTCCTTCCCTCGCCCACCCATCCTTCTCTTTCCCAAGGCTTAGCCAAGTACTGATTGATCCCTCATCACCACCACCACTGCCGCCAAGATGATATCCCATGAATCCCCCATGGATGTCCCAACTATATGCTTTGGATTCACGTTAGGCTTCTTGGTGCTCACCGGGGCAAAAGTCGGAAAACAAACAATATCGATTTACAAACGCACTGGAAGTCTTGTTAGTCTGTATCTGTTTATGATATGGATGGAAATTATAGTTTGCTTGGCGTGGTCTGTGAGTGCATGGTTGTTTCTACGGGGGGATATTCCGGGAAGGTGAGTTGAGTTTGATATTTAGTTTTCGTTTGCGATTTTTCTTGTGTGGGAAAGGATGGACAAGAGAAGGAAGGATGAGGCGTGGAATAGACATGGACTAATACTTTGTCTTCAGTTTCGGCCTCTTCTTCGCCATCGTCACTCTCTGGACCTTCCAGACGCAATGCCTCCTCCAAATAATCGCTAACCGCGTCGCCCTTGTCATGACCTCACGCCATCGTTCCCGGCTCCTAAAGCTCTCTCTGCTCCTTTCCGTCGCCATCATCAACATCTCCGTCTACGTTATCTGGATTCCTGCACGTCTGGAAATCTCCCCAACCTGGGTTCAGATAAATGAGATTTGGGATAGGGTTGAGAAGGTGATTTATCTGGGTCTAGATTTGGGACTGAATGTTTATTTTTTGTGGTTGGTGAGGAGTAGGTATGAAGGCCCGGGTACAATCTCAATGTCATGTCTTAAACTTACTGTAAGTGTCTGCGATGCCACTCAGGTGATGTTTGAGATAGCTGCAGTACGTTTTAGGACAGAACATCGAGGTACTAGACTCCCACTCTGAAATGCTGTGCTGACTTTGTGCTTCTCTCTTTGCAGGTTGATTACGAGGGGACTGAGGAAGTATGAAGCCTTGTTTAAGTTTAATGCTGGGATTGTTGTTATTAGTATATGCATGGATGCTCTCATAATCGGCATGATGAGTTTGCCGAATGATCTTGTGTAAGTCCTGGAAAGTCCAGTCCTCCCAGTCTTTCTGTACTGGACCAATCTTTCCACTCCTAGAGCTCCAGCTCCAGCTTTAGCCAGAAAACGGAAACCCTTAGCTAAGCTGAGTTGGAACACAAACTAAACCGAGCTGAGCTGACGGCGCGCTGTGCGGTTGCAGGTACACACAATTCCACTCTCTCGCCTACATCGTGAAACTCAACATCGAGCTCTGCATGGCCGACCTAATCTCTAAAGTTGTGCGTCGACAAGATCGAACCGATAAACCGCATTCTTCATCCGACCCCTCAAAGGGCACCGAACTCACCTCTAAAACACATACCAATAACCCCAACCAATTCAGCTCCGGCTCAAAAAACAGGGCGACATTCCATAGCGCACAGGGTGCAACGTTCCAGCTCACCTCAACAATCACCGCCAATCGCGGAGGTAGTGAGGGCCAACTCGGCGACAGGACAGGCAGGATTGGTGGTGGGGGAGTGGGGAATATCGACGATGCAGCAAGTGATTCTTCAAGTGATAGTGGGATTAATTTCCAGGTGCCCATGAATGGGATTGTTAAAACGGTGGCTGTGGAAACAGTTGTTGATGAAGATGAGCAGAGGGATGTGGAGCGTGGGAGTACGAGTTCGAGTATGGCGCATTTGAGAGGGGAAGATTATATGCCTAAGCATTTCCGCTGAAGGGAGTTTAGGGTGGGTGCGGAGTTGAGAGGAGAGAGTAAACTGGACGCAAGCATAGGAAGAAAAGGGGAGTATGAGTTTACTGGAGTTTGGGGGGATTGGGGGTAGGAGAAATGCGAGTGGATGTGGTAATTATCAGTCGTGTGATACCCACTGCTTTGTTAAGAGGCTTTTTCCGCTATAGTATTATTTTAGAAATGTTGAAAACGCGAGAAGACTAGAATTACGGTGCTGTGATATGAAACATGGCAGTAGCACCTGTTGGTTATGCTGAAACTACATCCTCGTGCGTCAGGAGGATTTCCAGAGAGGCCATATCATTGATACTCCAGACCGCCAATGACATATGCTCACACGGTGTCGAGTGTTCTGTAGGATCCCTTCCAGGGGAGATTGAGACAGCAAAGCTACAAGTCATTATTAACTCAAAAAGGCACACTGCTGCATAACATATATATTCAGCCATTCCAACTCATTCTGTCCTGGTATTTTCACCCCACTTCTGTAGAATATTATTCCTGAATTTTTGCTGAGGATTATCACAAAATCTTGTGGCGGCTCGGGCAGCTCAGCAGAACTAAGGAAACAGTTCACGCCATTTTCAGTAGCAGACCCATTTTGTATGCCAAGTCTATTATGCTCACTGCACAACAAAAAACGTACCGGTAATCCATAGCCACTCCATTTTGAGCATGCTCGTTACAGTCCCGTTTTAGAGTCCGGTTGCAACGTGGTCTTAATCTTCTTGTGACGCTCTACTACGATATCCACCGCATCAACTGACGAGAAGGCGCTATTCTCCTCTATATACTAAGTTGTCACAGCTCTTTCTACTTGTTCAGAATCCGTCTTGTCCTCGGACATAAGCTTCAGAGCTGGTAGGTGCTTCCACCTGTAAATGATGGGGACACTTTTCTCCAAGGAACTAGGACTAGACGGCGCCTCAGCTATATCTGCTTCGCCCTTAACTTCTTTCGGAAGATCAGCGAGTTCTTTGTGTGTGACAGTGATGGCCCGGTCCGTCGTGCTGCTCGGCCTACTGTCCGGACAGAAGCCAAAAAGCAGGAGGCGCAGAGCACCAGCTGGAGTGGTGCAATTATGCATGCGGAAATTGCGATCCTCGACATGCACGTATGCTTTCCTGTGCGACTCATCCGTCCGCTCATAACGAACAAGCCTGCGCTATATAGAGGAGACAACAGAGCGACATAGTAATCCGCGACTAGCAACTCGTCCGGGATGCGATATTCAAAGCTTATGGTCTAGCAGGTTTGGTTCGGCCCTTGGTGCGCTTAACGTACGACTCTGTGAGATACGGAAAGTCCTCCCTCTTCTGATAATTGGCAACTTTAGTGGTGAGAGGCGGGTATTCCGTATCCGCAAAACGGAAAGGTGCATCTGGCGACTTCTTCCCCTAGGCCTGTCCTCGACTTGATGCACTTCTCCTTCAACCTCTCCACCAGCTTGCCTACCTTTCCTTATGCCAACGATTCAAGGAGAAATACTTTTTATTTTGGGAAGAAGTTGCTTAAGATTTGGCAGCGGAGCTGGTGAAGCTTGAGGTGAGGCAAGCCTACCTTGGGTAAGGGCTGGCCATTGGCGAGAGTCATCTTTGGGTTCTTATTTCGGTTCTTAGATTGTGGGCGCTTTCGGCGTATATCCCACCGTAGAAGTGAGGGTCGCTGACATGGATTTCTAGCGGGTTTATGCAGAATATTGGGCTAAGGTGGGTTAGTAAAGGTTCGGAGTCTCGCGCATACAACACAGAACAGGTCCACATTATGTAGTGATGTGTAGGTATTAGAAAGGAAAGGCTTGCTATATCTCTGATGTATCTTCTCAATCTCCTTGAAGAACATACCACGGAGAAAAATATCGTAGTAGAACGCATGGAGGAAAGAGACGGGAGCCGTACGAAGGACCCGCGGAAGCATGCAAGCGGTTGAAAGTAGAGATTATAAATCATTTACAAACTTAAATAGTCCAGCAGAGCGGTTAGGAAGGCCGACATGATATGCGACTAGCTCAACCTAAGGTGTGAGAACATTGGACCCACGCTCATGTTGGCGATAGCGTTGAGGGAATGATGCAACGCAGAAGGGAAAGAGCGATCAGGTGTTTGCAAGGAGTTGCCTAGCTCTGCTGAGAAAGTGGTAAACGAAAGGGCGATGTCACGGAGAGAATGGTTGGCGGTCAGCCTCGCTAGAGGGAGTGGTTGAGTGGTATTGGATTGGTGAAAATAATTCGCTGTAGTAAGGAGCGAATTTGCTGGCACTTAAGCGGAACAAGCTAAGATGCTCCTGCCCAGTTGCTTGCCAGCTGGAAAGTCCTTGTTAACTTCCTCAACTTGGTAGCTGCTCTAAAGACGTTTATTGATCTAGTTTTGCTGAATTAGAGTGGCGAGTTCAGCTACAGGGGATCTATCTCAAAACTCTCCCTAGCTAGGGCGAGTCGTACAATGGAGGTGCGATGACTACAAAAAAGTTAATGTTGCGTTGTACTCTGTATGAAGAGAAAGCTTGTGAAATAGTCGAAGCTTGGTCGAGGAGACATTGGCGATCCTATCTAAAGCAAGCTAGTTGGTCATAATAGGTGTACAGGCAGGTTTCTCTACGACGGCTTCATCAGCCAGCCTATTAGATGGACACCTCATATCAGCGATGACTCAATATTCTCAGGTAGGTGTGTGAAGATACATGGTTGTCATGGTTCTAGCCCGAAATGGGCCGTGGCGTTCTTGGGGGAGACTTGACGGCCAGGAAAGGGACCCTTTCAAAATCTGCAGATCCACTGAAGCAAGTCGAGTTTTTCAATAGTTCTCAAGTGCAAAGAGTCCCCATGCTAGTAGGATATCTCCTCTCCCCTCTCGAAGAATTGACTGACTTGATCTACCGCTGCTTGGCATGTTCAAGAAGGAGAGCTCCCCCGGCTACTGCTCTGAAAAGGCGTCCACAGAAAGGCCCAGTAACAAAGGGGTTGTGATCCTTCAGACCCACCGTCGGGAATCGTTCTTTGCCCTTATCTCTCGGGGTCGTATCTTCTCTGGCGAGACAACTTTGACCAGGGGAAGTCCAGTAGAATTCGGCCTAGAAATCAGATATCACAGAACGAAACAATACTGGGGCAATAGAGAATGAGAGTGAATTACCCTAAGTTGGAATAGAAAGTCACGTGAAATGCGCCATTCTCGGTGCCGCAGACAGGAGCAGTATTAAAAACCGCGCCCCATTTACAACACAAGGAAATAGTCCAATATGGCAGAATCGCCTCGTCAGCATGATTGAAAGTCTTGCCGCGGCTGCGAAACGTCACGTGGGCGTCTCTAGTGAGGTCTAGCTCGAAGGTGAAGCGAAAAGAGAAAATCTGATGTGATAGGAAGGCTTTATACGCCGCAAGTGTCAACGCATTCATTGTTGTTTCACCGTTCGAGGGTGGCGAAAGATCCATACCGAACCTACTCCACCTCTAGTGACGTAATCACGCTTTCGGCCCAAGAGGACCCTGAAGATGTGAAATGAGCTCACTTCAAACATGCAAAAACACTGCTGCTCTTCAGGCGTCGATGGAAGGAGGGGCATGAAGAGACAATGAATTTCTGGGCCACGCGCAAAAAATCCCGCCAGGGTGCTGCCCTGCTCAAGCAGCACCCACAGTGCGTCTCTGGGGTCATTTTCTGCCAACTTCCAAGACAGCGCACAAAACACTTCTGCGTGGCGCAATGGCGTCTGGCCGGTGGTCCCCAAGCGAGCACCAGACACCCTGGAACAGCTGACCATGAGGCTTAGAAGAAGCCCATGGCGTTTGCAAAGCGTTGCCGGAGGTGCCGCCCGTCGTTGGCCGGCGTGCGTTGGCGAAGGCGGATGAAAGACGAATATCTTCGATGTTTGCGCCGTTCATAGTTTCAAGACAGGGCCTTTTTACGTCTATGATTGCTCTCGCCTTCTTCGCTTCACGCTTCACGAGCATCGAGACCGCGTTTCCTCCGCCTTTGGGTCATCGAAGATAGCAGCAGACCCACCTTCCCCGGAACAGAGGCTCATAGTGAACGGATCGCGCCCAAACGGCAGATATCGACTGCAGAGCTGCAAATTGTTCCACAGCTATTTGAGCCGACCCTTGAGAGAGCTCAGGGGAGCAATACCGTACGAGCCACCGGGTTTCTAGACGCACACCGCTGAAAGAGGCAGACAAAGGGCACTTTCTCTCTGGTGAGGATTGGGTGCTAATGCAGTGGCCCAGCTTTCGGAAACGCAGAGGAAGCAGAAAGATGCCTGTGATTGAGGTGAGTTGCGACTTGATTTGTGCTGCAGCACACGTGAACTGGGCCCGCGCGGCGAGCGATGCGTGTCTCCGCCCTGTGCTTGGTGGTTGATGGTGGATATACTATTGGCGTATTATCTATCGTCATACCCGGTCAGCGAGAGCGAAGGTGCGTCATCGTGCGCCAAGCCAATTGTGTCCAGACAAGCTGCTTATGATTATTCCTGCATTTAGCACTGCACGATCTCTTTTCCTCTCCTCCCTCTGTTCCTTCCCTTCTCTTCACAATACCCACGCCTGCTGTCCTTTGTTTGCACGTTGCTTGCCGTCCTTCCATTCCTCGTTCTAGCCTCCGACAGCACCCCTCCCCCTCTCATTTCTGCGCGCCGCCAAAGCCTCAACAAAGCTGAACCATGGCCGCGATACAGAACTTCAAGAACTTCTTGCGTCATGGCAAGCAAGCACGCGCAAACCCCCCTCATGGCGAGGCAACTACCAACGTGACCAACGTCCACGCACAGCACCAGCGACACCACCACCACGGCCAGCCGGATCACCAGTATGCCCTTAGCGACCCCAATTTCATGGATCAGAAGCCCTTACAACACAGTGCTCCTCAAGGTGACTATTCCGCCGCCGTCATTGACAATAGGAATGTTGCCGCCCAGGCCGTAGACGCAGCGGCACGGGCCGCCGGCGACCAACACAAGAAACAAGCACACAAGCAGGCAGGCACGACAGACCGGAAAGACTACGATCCGACAGTACTCGAACTCATCGTTGCAGAGGAGCGGGAGAGCAAGGGAAAGCTTCCCAAGTACCCCGGTTTAGAGCGATGGACGCTACTCGAGAAGATGGGCGATGGTGCCTTTAGTAATGTATACCGCGCGAGGGATAATACCGGCCAGTATGGAGAAGCCGCTATTAAAGTCGTCCGCAAGTTTGAGATGAACTCGAATCAGGTTAGTATTGCCCTGGTGGGAAGCCCCCCCCCCCCCCCCCCCCCCTCTTCTGCCCTTCTCCTTGCATCTTCCTCCCTCCGTATGCGTTGTGTTGAAGGTCAGTCATGTGGACGTTGCCAACAGGGCTCTGGTATAGGGCGATAAACACATCCACCCGGATTTTAAGAAAGCGCCAAAAACAGTGGAGGTGCGATAACTCAATCACGGCGGACGCCCCACAACCCCCGGCGCGTTCGCCTGCACCTACTCCTTGCTCGTACCGGGCACAGACTGACGTATTGCCCCACAGAGAGCCAACATCCTCAAGGAGGTTCAGATTATGCGACAACTCGATCATCCCAACATTGTCAAGCTACTCGACTTCTCCGAGTCCCGCCAGTACTACTACATCGTCCTGGAGCTTTGTCCTGGAGGCGAACTTTTCCATCAAATTGTCCGCCTGACGTATTTTAGCGAAGACCTTTCGAGACACACAATCATTCAAGTTGCGAAAGCCCTGGAGTACTTGCATGAGGAAGCGGGTGTCGTCCATCGGTTCGTGTTCTTGCTTTTGACGTTGCCAAGCCTCGTGATAACTGACGTCATTCTGCAGCGACATCAAGCCCGAGAATCTTCTGTTTTATCCGATCCCTTTCGTTCCGACCCGCAACCCGAAGCCAAAGGGTCCTGATGATGAGGATAAAGCTGACGAGGGCGAGTTCATCCGGGGACAGGGTGCAGGTGGCATCGGTCTCATCAAGATCGCCGACTTCGGGTTATCCAAAGTCATCTGGGACAGCCAGACCATGACGCCATGCGGTACCGTGGGTTATACTGCCCCGGAGATTGTTAAAGACGAGCGTTATTCGAAGAGTGTTGACATGTGGGCGCTTGGATGTGTCCTATACACTCTTCTCTGCGGTTTCCCTCCATTTTACGACGAATCTATTCAAACCCTTACAGAAAAAGTGGCTCGCGGCCAGTACACCTTCCTTTCGCCATGGTGGGACGACATTTCCAAGCCTGCCCAGGATCTTGTTTCTCACCTCCTCACCGTCGATCCCGAAAAGCGATACGACATTAAGCAATTCCTCAACCATCCCTGGATCCGTGAGGTGGAAGAGCTTACATACGCCGCCGCTGATGCGCCACCACTTGCCACTCCGCTCTATGTACGGCAGAAGGAGTTCATTCAAGGCAAGGGCGATGCTCTTCAAGCCAATTTCGCCTACCTCGAATCCCCCGGAGCGAAGCGCCAGGACTTCCGATCTCCTGGCGTGGTCAACCTACGAGAAGTTTTCGATGTAGGATACGCCGTGCATCGGCAAGAGGAGGAGGGTAAGAGGAGAAAGAATTTCAAGCAAGGCTACCGTGGTGCCAACGCCATGAACTCTCTCAACGCTCTCGACGAGAATGAAGACGACGACGAGTTCTCCGCCGAGTCGGTACCATTTGGCGCTTCTCAGCAACATCCTCCAGCCAAGCTTCCGAAGTCACAAGGAGCCGACGTAACGGCCATGGAGCAGAAGATGCGGAACACGACGCTTTCGGCAGCGGCTCAAGCACGACAGCAAGTTAATCCACCTGCAGCTGCACCGCGACAGCAAGAGCGAGGGTACGGCCAGCATTCCGCGGCCGTAGCTGCCGCCGCCAAGCGTCAGGTCCGAAATAAAGGTGCCTTCGAACTAAGCCTAGACAACGCTACGCTGCTTGGGCGTCGGCACAAGAAAGCACCTGAGCCGAGCGCGCTGCGGGAAGAGATGGTGGCTAGCACATGACAACCAAGTCCCACTTCGGTCCTGGCGAGAGATTGGTGATATGACGTCATTTCATCGCTTGGCTGTCTTGAAACACAATTCTAGGAACGCTATTCGGCGGGCGTTGGTCTTCTCACTGCTTTTCATTAAAGTTCTAGTCAAGCCTTTTCCTCTCTCCCACCTCTATGATCTGCTCGTTTTGTCCAGCCTCCCGATAGCATATGTGTGCATTCTGCTAGTTTCCTTTTTCATATCTTCGTCTTGAGTGAACTTTTCTCTCAGAGTCTGAGAGTCTGACTAGGACTGGGTACTCAAGAAATGGACAGTTATAGTTAAATATCAAGTTGGGGCAGCGGTTGAACTTGGCCCTGGGGGTCAGATATGACATATGCCAAATCGCTACTGTAGAAAGGAATATATGTATTATATTTCGATCGAAGTATCGTATATCGTATTACTTACTGAAGTGGGGTTGTGATTGTGATTGAGATGGATGGTGTGGGGAGGTGTATGTACTCACAGCCCACTGATGATATTGAATATGCTACGATACCATCCACCTAGACTAAGCCTAGATCAAGCTCCCTTCGAATTCTGCACTCCCCTTATCTATCTTGTTTGATGTAAGCTTGAGGAAAGGGACTAGCATATTCCAAAGATAACTTCTGTTGGGATAGAAGATGAACGGCGAGCGAGTCGATGAACGAAGGAACGAACGGGCGAATAAGATAACCGTGCTCGGCCGTAGATTGTTTGTTGTATGCAGTGGAGGAGCTGGGAGTTGGGAGTGTGGGTGGGAGAGGAACTAGCATTTAGTGTCTCGTCTGGTTTGGGGTGGTTTGGTCTGGAGTTGTGTGCTGACAGACAGACTTATTGACTTTCAACTATGGGACACAAATGAAAGAAGCTCAATTTCTACGCTCGCGCTCAAGGTTATGCTTAGAAACGCCTATATATGCCTTCTTGCCTTTGCCTTGCGTACATACTCGCCCTCTCTGTGGGTATGTATATACGTATGTATGTCCATAATTTTTCAAACACATGTTAGGAATGGTATGTATACAGCCCAAACCTAGCCCAATCCGACCAGACCGGACGCAAAGTCTCGTCCTTTCATCGCCTCTGAAAAGGCGAGTGCCTGTCTCCAACTTCACTCCGCCTGCCCACTAACACCTACGCTGAAACCTATCCACTCATGGCTAGGATCTGTTCGCTGAATGAAGTAAGGATACCAAATATTACCACCACTCTCTAAGACATTTATGTCTCTTTCTAATTCCCTTCCCTCTCACTATTCTCAAGTCTTCTAACCGGTGTATTTCTAATACCCATATCACCGCCTCGGCAATACCCCGTCCCTCACACCCTCTCTCACACTCCCTAATGCACTCCCCACAGGTGTCTGCGCCCCCACAGGCGTTTGTGGAGCGGGCGTCGGCGCTCTGCTCGGCACCTGACTCCTATTATGCGCCATATGCGCCTTTACCAGATGTCCCGCACACAACGCCGCGTTTAGTGACAACTCGCCCGCGAGCGTAGCCGCGGCAATCACGCGCGCTAGCTGGCGCGCATTATCGCCAGGAGACATCTGGTGAGCGCCGCGTACGCCCAGAAGGTCTAGCATAGCTGATTGTGGTTCGAGGATTGTGCCGCCACCAATGGTGCCGACTTCGATGCTGGGCATTGAGACGGAGATTTGGAGGTTGTTATTTACGCTGGGGGAATTGTTAGAGAATTCGCTCGGAGGAAATCCAGATATCTAAGCGAGATGTGGAAGGGGAGAGAGTGAAGGGGGAGAAAGGAAACCTACTTCTTCATAATTGTGATACAATTCGCACTCTCAACCACCTGCGCGGGATCCTGTCCCGTCGCCAAAAAGATTGCTGCCACAATATTCGCTGCATGAGCATTAAATCCACCCAACGCGCCCGCCATCGCGCTCCCAATATAGTTCTTACTAATGTTCATCTGCACCAGCGACTCGACATCACACTTCAATACGGATTTAACAATATGACCAGGGATGATGGCTTCAGCGACAACACCTTTCCCGCGCCCGTCGATCCAGTTAATAGCGGCGGCTTTTTTGTCCGTGCAGTAGTTCCCCGAAACGGTGATGATGTTCATGTCGTCGAAACCCGCTTCAGTGGACATGACGCTGAGGGCGTGTTCGACGCCTTTGGAAATCATGTTCATACCCATGGCATCCCCGGTAGTAGTCTTAAACCTAACATACAAATTGGTGCCCGCGATGGCGGTCTTCATGGACTGCAGACGCGCGAAGCGAGACGTGGAGTTGAATGCGTTTTTCATCGTTCGTTGACCTTCTTCTGAATCGAGCCAGATCTTTGCGGCGCCGGCGCGAGTGAGGTTGTCGAAGCCGATACAGGGGCCGCGCGTCATGCCATCGTGCGTGAGAACTGTGACGGCACCTCCGCCGGCATTGATAGCTTTGGCACCGCGGGATGTACTGGCAACTAATACACCCTCAGTGGTTGCCATGGGAAGGAAGTAGTTCTGACCATCGACCATCAAGGGGCCTGCGACACCGACGGGAAGAGGGAGGTAACCGACGACATTCTCGCAGCAAGCACCGTGGACAAGATCGTAGTTGTAGCCCTCGTATGGAAGCTTAGATTTCTCGAGCATCGTTGATGTTTCGCGGGTAGCGTGTGTACGCGAGACAACACCACGACGTATTTTGACAGCACGAGTCTTGTCGCCGAGCGTCTTCTCCAACGCATATCCAGGGATCTTCCCTTTTACTGAGAGGTCAATCAGCTCCTCATCTGTCATGTGATGTGCCTTTTTCTCCTTCAACATTTGTTCCAGAATCTCCATCGACCGGTTCGGTTTCTTTTGTTCCTCTGTGAGTGGGATTTCGATCTCAGCGGGCTGGAGAAGTTGAGGCTGTGCAGCGGGAGTTTGCGTAATGATTTGGGAGAGCGGCTGGATTGTTCCACGGCCTGCTTGCTGTTCCGGGCCAGGCGTGATTGGTGGTGACGGCATATGTTGATGGGGGATTCCAATAGCAGGGGTGGGTGGAGCACCATCCTGGATCTCTGCGGCAGTCGGGGGTTCCAGAGGCTTATGTGGCTCTTTGATACTCCATCGAGCTGCGTTGAAGAGATACCCATTTAGCACGACACTCAAGGCAAGTGCAACAACAATCCATTTGCCTAAGACGGGGTCGTCTAGACTCTTTAGAATCCCATCGACGACACGGCCGCTCATGGTGCTGCCGAATTGCAATTTGTGGTCTGAGGTTGGCGGCTCGGCATAATGGACAGAAGGATACTCTAATTCGTACTTAATTGGCATCAAGATGGTGACAATTGTGGACGTCGTAACCGCCTTAGCCTGCTCGAGGATCGAGTCTAACCCACTTCCAGCGACTTTGAAGGGATCGAGAGGAGGCGCTGTGCCCACACCTGGAAGGCGAGAGACTTTGGAGGTTGAGATGCCAAATCGAAGGGTGGCCAAGTTTAAGATGTTCACCAGAACGAAACCAGCTACCATCAAGACCTTGAACTTGGGAACAGTAATTTTCTTGCCGAGTACGGTTGTTGTGCGAGTTCGGGAGTTCACACCTCCAGCATTGGGCCAATCGTTGCTCGAGGCATAGTTCTCGGCGACATTACGACTAATGCCATCATCTTCGAGAGCCTTGCGAAGAGCCACGTGACGCTTGATCCGGTTTATTTCCAGTTTGATGGTGAGAATCGAAGTGAAGAACGTGAGGAGCATAAGCGCATCAAACAGCAGGATCCAGGCGCCGAGGAAGCAAAACTGCCGAAGGCCTCCTTGAATCCCAGACATGGCTCCAGCGACGAGGATAAGGATCTCGAAGAAGTAGTCTCGCACAATCTCCCATCCAGTCTGTTTGATAGCAGTCTGGACTGCGCTCTGGATGGTCAGGGCCTCGCCGCTGCCTCCTTCCGAGTTCCGTCGAGCATCCATGGAAGCGGAAAGCACAGCCTTGGTCAAAACGATGGGCTTTTCGAATCCAATGATGACCACCAGGAAAGGCAACCCTTCAGAGAGAAGAACCATGTTGATAGGAACATCGAGATAGACAGTCACAAGCAGTGCGAAGAGAAATGCGAAAGCTGATTGGAACAAGACGGTGGCCGCAAGCCAGAAGTTAGATCCAAGTCGACGCATGGCAAGGAATAAGGAGACGAAAGTCAAGTGCATGGCCAAGTAGCCCATGGCCATGATGATGATGTCTCCCGTTTCAGCATTCTATACTCAAGTTAGACGTTATTTCGTGCCCATGTTAGGAGCCCAGCATACCTTGAGGAGGTCAACAAATGACGTCCAAGACTCTCTTGCCCAATTACGGACGCCTCCTGACGTATTCCCACTCTTCGCTGCCTTCATTATCCACTTCTTCTCCTCCCGCGTGCCCTCCTCGTCTGAGCCGTGCGATTCGGATGCATCCTCGGGGGCCGAAATCTCCTGCATGGCTACGAGAAACCCAGGAGCATCGGCAAAGGGAAGCGAGAAGGCTAGCGAGGTGTCGTGGGATATTGTCGAGAAGGAGCTCGATGAGCTTGGAAGGAGCTGGGCAGACGTGTTGCCTGGCACGACATTTTGAGAAGGTGCGGAGTTGATGGAGCTCGATTCGGGAAAGACCAGAGTAATGAGGGCAATCTCCTGCACAGGTTAGCTTTATGCTATAGCCTAGTGCCTGTCTATCGTGTTCTTGACCTACCTGCTGTGCTTTGGTACCTGGGCTTGTCTCCTCCAGCTCCCACTTCCACGCCGTCTCTTCCCCAACCCTCAACCTCTTGCTCCCAGCCAGTAACGTGTTGAAGTCTACTCTCCCGGCTGCCGTATCTGTGTTCCGCTCCAAGAGGCCCTTGTCTAGTACTCCCAAGTATGAATAGCTGGCTAGAAAGGCAATTGTAACGATGGTATGTATGGGGTGCGTGCACGCTTTCTTCGCAATGGATAGCAAGATAGGCGCAACATGGCGGTCATACCAACCCGGTCTGGTATGCTCGGGCTTGCTAGCACTCTGCCAGCGCGAGGTCAAAAAGCCAAACATGGTGCAAGAGACTGAAGTTGATTCAGCGCAGTGGTGTCGCGAGACCCTCAGAGGAGTGTATTCATGGGGTTACGCGGGGTGGCTGTGCCGCTGCCTTGTATAAAGGACTGAACTCCGAGAGTACACGGGGTTGCAGACGGCGCGGCGAATCGCGGGAAAAGGCCCTGCAGACGTTCAGCGAGTGCATGTAAACAGTATGCAGTGCCAGCTTGGCTTACAAAATGCCTCTTGTCGGGCTAAAGAGTCGTGCTATCCAGACGGAGACCGTCTTCAGTGGGCCGACGGCAGGGACGGGGCAATTGACGAGACAGCAAACACAGGAAGGAGGCTTCGCGGGGAGGGGGGAGAAGCGGCGAGAGTGAATTGATGGTGGAGAAAGGCGTGCAATTCACTTGTCGCCTTCTTCTCCCACTGTCAATCCCCCTGGTCGGCCGTGGTGCGTGCGCTGCGCTCCAGGTTCACGAAACTTTTTTGGGCCACAGACCGCCAAGCCCGACTTCACCGCTTTATCTAGCTCTTCCCCAGACGAGCAGCCCATCGACCCACCAACAAAGAATTGGCGACTCTCATGCGCCTATTATTGTTCCTGCCCACACGCGACACGACATTCACACATTGACTCCTGCAGCTGACTTGGGAGGGGGTGGAAAACTGGCTTTCACCTCGGGCTCGCTTGCATCAACGTCAACAGGCTGATCGCAATGGTCAACGGTTGAGCTGACGCCACTATGCGCCACATCTAGCCATGTGCATGTTGAGGGACCCGGAGCCATCATCTTCTGGCTTCAATGACGACGGAAACCCAACTTTCCATGGCATCTTGCCACATGGCTCCCCACCAACCAGATCTCGAGCACAGTAATTTGCTAAATGCTGGAGCATGGATCGTCAGGTGCAGATCGCCGACGCTTGGGCAACGGGAAATTGCTGAACTATCCTTGCGAAAGTCGTCAAAAGCAAGAAAGCAGGTTCAAGCTGCCCAAAATCCCGATGTTTATTATTTTCATCCCGCGTCTATAGTATATACTCCAATCGCCAATGCTCTTGGTAATAGTGAAATTCGTGGACCCCAGGAAATTTATGACACCCTCGAGGCCATCGGAACATCACCATGGGTGATGGTCTTGACGAATTCGGGATCTGGATCGTAGAGCATGACATGGAAGTGCTCAACGGCGTGCACCGATTTGAGCGAGCGCCAATTCTTGAACCAAATTACATGATCAGGCTGGGCCTTTGAGCAGAATGTCTGCTGGATATAGTCCTCAATTCCCTTTCGTGCCTCCGGGGTCAAGTCATCTGAATTCGGGGCCTCTTCTAGGTCGAATTTAGTCCAGATGACAAGATGGATGATCTTCTCGTCCACGCCGTAGGGCCAGTCGTTGTACAAGACCTTGATATCCTCTGTTCAAGGTTAGTGGGAGCCCTGACCATCAGCAACTCACCGCACCTTCAAACTCGAATGGCCGGCCTTTTGGCGCCATGGTCTTCCACTGCAGCCTCTCATTGACAATGAAATTCATTATCGACCCATACTCCTTGATCAGCCGGTGCGTGTACTGCCGATATCTCCTCAGATCGGAAGGAACGCGGTGGAACTTGTCAACTCGATTAATCCCTATGATAAAGTGTCAAACCCGAACCCCGAATTGAACAACAATGTCGAATTCAGCGTCGTACTAGTGATTTCCGTGACCTCATCCCACGACAACCGCTTGTACTCCGCATCTGGAGTGCCAATGATGCTCCGATCCTTCTCACCGCACTCCTTCAAAAACTCTGGACATTCCTTCGGCCACTGGTCCCTCGGCACATTCACTAGCCAAAAAGGCAACGGCTCCTCGTGAGGCATGAAAGAGAATTTCTTGTTTTGCTGAGCTTGTGATGACGATAGTGATAGGAAGAGCAGGGGTGGAGAGTAGCCGTTAAGGAAGAGACCCAACGAAATCGAAGCTGGGTTGGAGCCATTAGCGATACATGGTTAGCGGCGTTTCGAAACGTGGCAGAGATTCAACGGCAATGCAGGCGCTTTGATAGAGCTGCATCTTTGTCTGTCCTCCGCCCCCTTACATTATCGTTTCCTCTGCGAGCGGTAACTGTGCGGGCTGTCCACAGGTCCCGCTGCTGGCTTCAGGTACCCTCTTGTACTTGTTACGCAGGTCTCGGACTCGATGCACATCTGCAATATTGCCCCTTGTCACAATAATTCGCCGATCGTGTTTCCAGCCTGCATCTGCAAACCTAGCCCGAGTTAATTTCGGCGAATATGTTGCTCTTCATCTGCGTGGCCGTCATCGGTAAATCACAGGGGAGCCACAACGTAGTTCCGGCAGCACAGCATCGTGATTGGTGCGGTAACAGATGAAGGCCGTTGGCAGGGGCCGCTTCCGTCCTCGTGCAGTCTGTGGCACGAAACACATCCCTCACTCTTCATATCCTCCGAGTGCCTGAGATCCAGCACTCTGTTACCCTACTATGGTGAATTTGGTTGAATGAAATGGATTGCTTGACTGGTGGGGATCATGGTTTTAGATGATGGCTAGGATGTGTAGCATCAAATAGGGGTTAAATAAGTATCGCAGCAGGACACCGTGATTGTTTATATTTCCCCAACGTTCACTCTCTTCGTCCTTTCTCTAGACGCGCCTTGAAGGGCTGCTCTCTCTATCTTGCATACCTACCAACTCTGTCGCTCGCTACTAATAGTCTTCATTAATTTTCTCGTTCCTCCCTACAGTACGACTCCAAACCAAGGAACTAGCATTCCTTTTTACCTCAATTTCGCTTCTATCGTCAAGTCATTCGCTTCCAATCATTGGATTCGAAGACCAGTGCGACATTGCGAGATAAACGCCTATTCCAATTGTCGTCAAGATACCGGGCCAGCTGACTATCGAACCCCTTGGACGGTGCTGAATTCCCCGCAAAGACAATCATAAACGACACACTTCTGTCTCTCGCACGGCGTGTGACTTCTTTCAAACCACCTACCATCGACACTCCTTATAAGAAAGACAGCCAGACGTGCGAGATCTCAGCCTCCGAAGCAAGTCCAAACTCGCAGCATATTCCATCCCACCCTACTTCATCGCCAGCAACCTGAACCCACCAACGACTGCCCATTCGATCACTCGACTCCGCCTTAGACCAGTAACTTCGCCAAGGAGTAGCGAAGGAAGGAAGACAGGCCATTTCAGATTAAATCCTTCGCAATGGCTATGGTGCGCGATCCCGCATTCTGGCGACGCTTCAGCGTCGCCGTTCACCTGGACGAAGAAGCAGCACAGAGATCGGAGCTCAAGCACTCGTACGTCACACCTCTTCCTTCGCCTCTTAGTTCTCCTTGCACCAGCACCGTAAGCGCCAGGAAATCGCCAATAATTGTAGCCACAACACCTCTGGAGTTCAACAAAGAGATGGAGGTGGAGATAGAGATACAGTCCGAGCCGGCCTCACCAACAATCTCTTATAAATCCAACCGAACACCTTCAACACATTCCAAACATCTTCCAGAGCACCACCCATCCCCCCCACGATCCCCGCCTACCGCTTTCTTCCCCTGCCCCAAATCCCCCCCCAACTCCCACTCCCATCCCATCCGCCACCTTCACAACCCCTCCACCCTAACCCTTGGCCTATCTGGTCGCCCGCCCTCGGCTTTCAAATTCTGGACCATAGTCACCGCTGACGGCTCTCACAGAGAATCGTGGCTAGAGCAACAGCGTAAGAAGAAAAGCAAGCGAACGTGCATGTGTTGGATTTTTTGGCTGGTATTTATGGGGCTTGTGGCAGGGATTGTGATTGTTGTGCTTTGGTTGAAGGGAAGGGGGGTAATTTAGGGGGATTAATGGAGGGTTGGTTACTAGGTGAATGGGTAGGGTAGGTTTTTGCATGCCCACACAATTGGCGTTTTGGAAAGCCTAGGCTGGAAAAGGAAACAGCAGCAGGCACAATTCTCTGTATATACCACACGACTGGAGGGGATATATCCGATTGAGGGTGTTGCTATATTGGTCCTAGCACACCAAGATACTTAGGTATCTGATCCGATTTAGTATACATGATGCAAATGCCATATTCTGTGCGCGATGCACCAGAGAGACAGACATTGCCATTCCATTTTGGTATCCACCACAAAAGCTGAGTGTTCCGTTCATTCACAAAAACCAACACCGAAGCGCCGCCGCTGGCCATGTACATGATGAAATGGTAGTGGTAGTGTTATCAAAAACCTAGCCCAGGATTCAGAAGTCGGCCTCCGTCTCACCCTCATCAGGATCCACCTCAATGGACTCCACGATTGTCTCGCTAATCTCAGACTTATCCCCGTCATTCCTAATGTTGGCGTGAGCACACGTTCCGCAAGCGATCAGGGAATTCATATCGATACTAATACCTCCGGGTAGCACCAGCAGGCGGTGGCGTCGGGCTCTTGGACATGCTTCTGGGATCACGTCCACGGTCTTGCAGCCACTTGCGGGTGCCCATATCGAGCTCGCGCTCCAACTGCGGCGTCGCCTCCTTGCGATGAATGAAGTTACAGAACCCGCCACGTACGCAGCCTTCACCAGAATTGAGACGGCAACACGCCTCGCGGAAGTCGGTGACGGGGGAGAGTTCGCAGTAGATAGGACGGCCGGCGTACCAGCGTGAGTTGAGTCCGTCGCAAGCTTTCTGCGCGTCTTCTTCGTATTTGAAACGCACGTAGACGTTGCCGATGAGGTCTGTCACAGGGATTTGCTAAGCGTTTGAGGTGAATGAGGGGAAGGGGAAGGAGGAACTTACGATCGTTGTTGTTATCGCAGACGACAACTTCCTCAACTAAGCCATACTTCTCGATCATCTCGCACCAGATGTCCTCGTAGAACGCGTCGAAGTGGTTCTGCATCTGACTTGGATTCATCTTGTTCTTGGGATCATAGGCGGGATTCTGGTAGAGGTTCGGCATGAGGATGGTTTGGGAGTATGAGGGCTTGACATGCTTGCGGGAACAGCGGTCACCGTGCCTGCAAGCGCCAATCTTGTAGTAGAAACTGCAGTTGACCTGGAGGCGAAAGCGTTAGCTATGGAGAGCGCCACGGGCTGCGACCAGACGTACCTTGTCTTGCTCGGTGCCGAAGATGGATGCGAGATAGTTAGCCATGGTGTATAAAGCGCAAAGCGTTCGCGCAAGCTTTCCGCGACGAAGAGTATATATAGATTGGGTGAAGGTGGCGGAGATGGAGGTGTTCTGAAGCAGCGAAGATGGAGAAGCTGTGGCGGCGGAAATACATGCCAAGGCGATAGTCGACCTAACCTGATTAGGGATGGCCCTAATATGAGGACTTTCGACAGGGCTCTCGAGGTTTGTATACTATGGCAGCAATTATCAAGCTTGCATTCCCCATCCACCCTTTTCGAATTCAATCATGTGATTCTTCCACCTCCATTGCACGTGGTATCAGAATTCGGTCTTCCTGTGAAACTTATCTCCGATAACGACGGTGTTGGAACCATGCAATCCGAACCCCTTGTTCGAGTTTCAGTCAACACCGCCTCAGCCTAGCCGCTAACCCATTCAGTGCAGCTGCCTGAGCTCATCAAACTCGACGTCGACGTTAAATAAGACAGTGTTGTCTTTTGTGTCTCTTTTAAAAATCTGCAACTTACTAGACCTTCATCACTTCTCTCTTACCAAGACCCGATTGTTAGTCAGAGTCTCACCAATCGATTTTAAATCTTGCATCCCTCTCCCCCGTTCGTCTCTTAATTTCTCTCTTCAGGCCCGTCAAAATTCTCAACTGCTCCGCTTGACCTTGCAGAAATGGCGCAGAACAAGTATTTCTACGTAAACAACGTCTCAGATGGAGAGACTGTGCATCAAGTAAGCTTTGGCCTCCGATGTGAATCTTGATAGCCTGACGACTTCACAAGCGCTGTCTGCTCATAACTGGACCATGTACATTTCCCGGCGCCGGGGATGATTCAATATCAGTCAAAACTATAGGAGTCAATGAAATTGAAGCATTTCCAGAACAATCTTGGCCGGTCGCCGGAGGCTCCTTCAAAGCCCTAGTCATGCTCTCCCCCGGACTCAATACTCTCCAGATGACCCATGTGCGGAACGAGATGGAACAAATTACCTTCCAGATCAACCTCACCTACATCCCATTGCTGCAGTACCCCCCACTCCATCTTGCTATAATGGTTGCCAAAGACTCTCCCCTCCTAATCGATTGCCCACCAAATAAGCGTGGTGGATTCTCCTCAGCTCACTCCGATTTAGATGCTGCTATCGCTAAGTTTCGAATGACGGCCTACATGTGGCAAGCCATGACCGCTGAAGACTTGCGTTTGAAAGGCCTTGGACGACGTACGTTTCGGCTGGATGAGGAATGGGCGGCCGACACCGTCAGCCGTGAATTTCTCAATGCTCGATATGATGATTCGTTGAACAACGAAGGTGCTATGCGGTAAGCCATTTCTTATAGATGCTTCAAAAGCTTGCAGCATTACGCCTCCTTGACACTAGTTAGAAGGCATAAGAGGTGATCTGTATTCTTTGTTCTTCAGTTTAAGAGTGGAGACATTCCCCCATGTCCTCCGTTCCTTTCGTACGTTGGAGCTTCAGAGTTCTAATCCGTGCTATAGAGCTACAGCAAAGATTCATGTTATCCGCTCATCAAAGACGACAAAGGAGATCCGAGATGCCGACCTTGCCCAGCAAAACCCCTCCGCTCAACGCAAGGACGACTTATTCAACTGGTTCACCGATGCACTCAAAGAAGCCGGAGGCCCCTTTACTTCTTCTGCACATCCTATTGTCGCAGGCCTAATCTTGGATTCCCATTATTCGATCACTCAAGACCTGATCCTCGGACACGCTGCGCTCGGATGCCACAACCCTAGTGGTATCTCGTTGGGCATGTTTGGAAGTCATCTAACCTACTCTTGGCCACGATTCGTGGAAGAGGTGACGAGCTGTTTGACCGATGTCAAGATACCAGGAGACAAGGTGGGAAACGACAATGGGGAGTGCACAACGATGTGGGAGGCTTGTACAATCGGACAAGGCGCCCACCTACACGAAGTTGGGCATGCATTTGGATCTCCTCATCGGCCTGGCATTATGGAGCGCGGCTATGCTCAAGATTGGCCGAAGAATTTCCTTCCCGAGACTGCTTTCTGTGGCCGCCTCAAGAAAAAGGGTGTCATTGTGACAGACGAGACACCTAACAATGCCCGGTGGAATATTAGCGACGCCCTCAACTTCCGTAATATGCCTCACTTCCGCCTGCCCTCTGACCGGATCCTAGGGGCTCAACTTCGGAATGTTGGACCCTTGGCGGAGCCTGAGTACGTCGGTGATGAGGAGCTTAATTCTGTCCTGCATATCCACTGCCCAGTGGGTATTGCTCAAATATCGTTCAACGATACGGTAGAAGACAATCCATCTGTCGCTGAACCATCACCTGAGCTTCGGTTCACCCAGGAGGTGCTTGAGGCTCGATTCGATCGATCAGAACCTCTTTCTTTGAAGGTTCTCGGTTTCAATGGCAAAGAGCAGACGATAAACGATGTGTGGAAGCTTCTCGCTATGAAGTCCTTCATTCGCATCCCTGGTAGTAAGATGCGACTATTCAAACGTTCAGTATACGCTGATGGGGTTGAGAGCAACCCAGACCGAAATTTGTACGAGTGGGCTCAACTTCTGAAAGAGAAGGGATCAGATGGCAACCTTCATCGAGCCACATCTATCGATCTCCGTGTTGGCTGCCTATGGGATGGCGGAGTAGTAAAGTACGATGACGGCCATGTGAGCCACTGGGGCCCGATGAGGCGCCACGGGCGGGAGCACAGTTTCGGAGGACATGCTTCAGAAGAGATCGATTTGCCACCTAATGTCAACATTAAAAGGATTGAAGTCAACCGCGGCGGGGAGGGCTCCACTGTGATGGACGGAGTTCGAATGACATTGTCGAACCGCACAACCCGAGGAGAGCTCAACCGCAACGGGCACACCAACGTTATTAGATTAGAGCCTGCTTCACACGAAGTGATTGTTGGGTTCTACGGAAAGAGCGAGCGGGATAGCTTCTGTGGGATAGTGGAATTTGGAATCATTACGGCGCCGAAAGACGTTGGACTTGACGGGCTGCCACCTCAAACATTTGACCTGCCAGAACTCAGAAATACGTGTGGGATAAACGGCGAGGTACGTGTGATTTAAACACCTACTTCACGAGCCACGGATAGAATAGAGGCTAATATTTCGCTCGTAGTAGGACTCCGAATCAGACAACGATAGCGATGGAAGTGAGAGCGATGCATATCCGATGGAGGAATCTGAACTCGACTGAGCGTACTTGGGAACCAGAGCCTTACTTGAAGCCCTAATTTTTCAGGCACACTACACTAGTATATACTTCGGATTTGTTTCCTTGGTGCGATAGATTTGTTTCCCCTTTCGCTTGGAGTACATCTTCAGTTATGAGCCCGACCCGTGTTCCCTTATTCTCATTTCATGGCGCTTTGCGCTACAAAGGTCTGGACAACCCAAACCTTGTACAGAAGATCAATTCACCGACGTTGGGTTTGGCCCCTCAGTCTCAAATATTCTAGTCACACTTGCGCAATTTCCCCAGATAAAGTGGCACGGGGCACATGCTAGCGACGATGATACTGGACGACCAGGTAGAGGCAGAATTTGACGCACTCGGCCCAGTTTACCTTGTCGTGCTCCGACGGGAGGCAAATATTCCTGAATGCGCGACTCAGGCCTAGATTCTCCAAAGCTTTTGGCAAACATTGTGGAGGAATTTATCCATGGCATGAGCGATCTCCCCATTGTCAAATTTAGAGACTATCCGGGCGTCAAATTGGAGAGGATGGACAATGCTCTCGCCGCGTGTCATGCAATGCGCGCCTATCAAATTCGTTCGGCAATGCTGTAGCGAAAAGCCCTCGCCGCCAGTGGCTACCGACGCCCGCACGGATCTGAAACAACTGGCCAAGTGTAGACGACCGACCTCCACCTCACTTCAACCTCCTCTCTTTTCTCGAAGCGCCTCAACGGCACACGACCACCTGTCGACGCGTGGTGCAAGCCTCGTTTCCGCACGTCTTTGCTACATCGACCCACCATCGTGTGCTGTTTGCGACTCTTTGCGCCTGTCGTGACGTGTCCGGTGCGATCCGTTGTATTTCTCAATATGCCCATGTGCACGCGGAGTCAATGGAAGCCTGCCGCCCGGATTGTCGCAACATCTCTCCATGCCTTCTAGGAAAAATAATTCCCGTGCCATTCCAAAATCCTGTCCCGCTGGTCCAGCTACTAGGTATGCGGTGAGACTCAACTTTTCCTCACAGCGCAGGATGTGGTGTTTGCACTTGCTGCTGTGAAGACAGCGTCTCTATCTCGTATTCCCTTCATCGATATCGGCGTGGTAGGGCTGCAAACGCCTGTGCGATAAATCGGGCTCGGGAAGATGTGCAGGCGGCTACATCGTAGGTTCACTTCGAAACACAGATCCAACACCATACATCAGGCTCAAAAGCTTAAATGCGCGCGAGCGATGTGGCGTTTCGGTTTCGACGTTGTTTTTCGCGCCATCTTCATTGGCTCCTACAACGTCTCCAGAGATCTGCCACAAGGAATTATTTGGTTGCGCTGGGCATCCGTCTCACCACTATTCACCCGCTTGATAAAAGGCTGCCGCTACCCCGGTGACTGTGGTACATTGCCCGCGCTCTCTCTTCTATTGCAAATACAGGTTGTGCACACAAAGACCCACGCCGGTGTGCTGTCTTTGAATAATGGCATGCTCGCTTTCCAGGTGAAGGACGACATCACGTGCAATTTGACATTGTGCACTAGGAGAGTTGCCAAGACAACCTCATCCTTTTTTTTTTCACGACTTTCTCTTCCACTATACTCTTCCTCTCTTCGATTACTTCATTTTCGCACGACAAATACTGCAGCGTAAACATCGACAAATACTTGTACGCCGCAAACAAACTACTACCCTCTATCATCATTGCATCAAGAGGTGTCTTCTTGGCAGGCCAATTTCAGGACACTGCGAAAGTTCTCGCAACGAGTGCATCTGCTTACCTACACCAACCGCCGAAATGGTTCTCTCTCTCACGGCCCTCGTCGTGGTCTTAGCTGCCTGCCCAGTCGTTAACGGACACACCTGGGTGGAACAACTTCGCAACATCAATGATCAAGGCAAATATGTTGGTGAATATGGCTATCCACGCGGTTTTGTGTCGAAGACGGATCCAGGCTTCACTGGCGACTCCAACAATTTCCTCAACCCCCCACTTCAGCAACAGCCGCCATTTATCAATGCGACCAACTTGCTCTGTCACCCGTCGCAGCGGGCGCAGAAGCAGAACGACAAGTACCCGCGTCTTCAAGCGGTTCCCGGTGGATTCATGGCGCTGAGGTATATGGAGAATGGACACGTCACAGCCCCAAGCCCGCAGGTCGGTAAGCCAGAGAAAGGAGGTACGATATTCGTCTATGGTACCACCCAACCAAGCGAGAACGAGAAGATCGCCACTGTTCTCCAATGGACCAAGGACGGCTCTGGTGGCGATAAGCGTGGTGTCCTTCTCGGCGCAAACGATTTCGACGACGGCCGCTGCTACGAAACCAACGACACACCCATCTCAAAGCAGCGCAAGACCTCTGATCCCAACTTCGCCCTAGGCCAAGTCTCAGACGGACCAGGCAACTACCCTCTATTCTGTGAGACAAACGTAGCGCTTCCAAAGGATACTGCGACTGGTAAGACCTATACGCTGTATTGGGTCTGGCAGTGGCCGACTAGCCCCGGAAAGGTGGATGTGCTGCCTAATGGCAAAGACGAATACTACACGACTTGCATGGACGTTGATGTTGTCGACACTATCAAGCAGGACGCTGCCAATGCCAAGTTCGCCCTTGGGCCGCAGCAGGACGCTATGTCAGTTGCCGTCAAAGACTTCGCCTCACGAACTGCCATCATGACCGACCCCATCAAAGGCGAGCTTGGTGATGTCTTCAACTCCAAGCCGACGGTCTCCGGCGGAAACCCCGCAGCCTCGCAGCCTGCTCTCCAGACCAGCATCGCCGTCCCGTCCAATGGGACCTCCATCAACATCCCAACTCTGACACAACGACCTGGCGCGCAGCCAACCCAGCAACCTGACGGCATTGTCACCGTAACGGTCACCCAGCGCATCACCGTCACGGCACCCACCGCTGTCGAGACTAAGGTAGCTCGCGCTGCTCATGTCCGTCGACATACAGGTGGCGTCAAGTTTCGGGGTAGGTTCATGCGCGAGTCGATTTGATATCCCTAGTGTTCCCTGTATCAGCATTTACATTTATCACGTCACATTCAGCATTTCATTTCAGCACATCATTACCCCAGCATTTAGACTTACTGAAATCTTACTAATGGCATTTCTTTTTCTCGGCTGCAGGTCACTGAGGGACTAGCAATTCAAGGCTTTTTCTTCTCTCCAAGAACTTTTCAAGAACTTTTCAAGAACTTTTCACTCTCTTTTACTGTAAAAGTATGTATAACAACCCCCCGTCCTACACTTTTCCTCTGCACTATGCCTCTGCCTGGGCACTTTCCTCCACATCTGCATATGCATATGCGTATGCATAGCGCGGCTTGGTTCGCGTTTCCGTTAGGTTCGGGTGGCATTAGATGGATATGAACATGGCAATAGGTATACCCTGGCATGGAATGGCATGGAATGGCGGATCAATTGGCGTTTCCGGACTGGACTGGTACACTGGTATATGGACTCGCGGTATTCTCTGGGTCTGTCTAGATCTGTCTGTCTCTTGGAGTGGACTTCTATTGGTGGCGTTTTTCTCTCAGGAAGGTGTTTCCGTTCCGGCGACTAGCTCTCTACCAAACATGGCGCTTTAACACACACACAGTTCAGAGGGATAGGCTTTTGGTAATCAAATGATCGATTCTCTAGAGAGTTTCGTCTTTCATTCTCATATGGCCAGGCGATTTGTCCACAGACAATAATGCAATCATATTCCCTTCACAATTCACTTCATTTATATACTAGTTTTGTGATCCTCGTTGATTTCGGGTATTGGGGGTGTGACTTTTAGCTTACTGTCTTCATACATGGAGGCATTCACCACTTATAGTGAAGGATATGGGCGGTGTGAATGTTGTTTGCGTTTGCCACAGGCGAATACCTGTTCACCAGCACGCTCCCGCTTAATTTGGCAGCATTGAAGAATGCTCCAGCATGTCGCATCTGCTGAGCGCCAAGCTCTATATATACTACGTAACACTCACAACCTCAATCAAGCCCAACAACCCAAGATCCATTAGCTGAGCCCTCCATAACTACAATGAAGTGGGCATAGAACCACTGTCAGGACCCTCGAAAACGCCATCTAGGTGTCGCCGTACATTCCGCTCGCCCACAACAACGCACTCCAGTTACTAGGCTCCTTACACCCATATAGGGTGACTCACGCAAACCTTAGGAAAAAGTGACAGAACCCAAAGGGCCTCTGCTTATCCCTTGGTTTTGGCCATCTATATCTTGAGCTTTTTGATAATCCTGTCACGGAATTGCGAATTACGCGCGAGTACGATAATACGCCGCGCTTCGCTATAAAATGGTTAGTAATGTTTTTTTGGAGGGCAGTATTCTCACATTAAGAACTGCACCTCAAAACAGTAGCGAGTGTTCTCAACCTAGTACTAAATTACAGCTCATTATATGAGAAGACTCGTTCTATGTGGGATTTCCGCCCTTCTATCCTCGCCTAAGTGCAGCCAAGCAGAATCTGAAACTATTATTACCTGGCACCTATACCGCGACAAAAGGTGCGTCAGATCTCAGCAAGGTACGCTAACTAAGCGCTGACGTATATGAGATGCGAGTTACTAAAGGCGGTAATAACGAGCTATACGTCTATAAGTATATAGACTCAAAGGAAGTCACGTTTAAATCAAGAGCTACAAAACTTGCAACTCTTTCACAACATTCTTGCTAGCTCAATTGTAGAACATATATATTAGAAGATGCCCTATGTTTTCACAAGTTCAAAACAATCTCCTTCTACCAAAAGTACGCATTGCAGATCGCGTATGGGCTTGTTTGCTTCTATCAGCAAAATGCAACGCACATGGATTTAATCCTGCTAAATGCTGCTATAAGTTGGTTTAAGGGGAAATGCTGTACTAGTTAATATTAGTGAGATCAGGCGTACAACGTGTAAATATCTAGTACCTAAAATGTGGCATGTATTTAATCCACTATATAAGACCATAGAAGAACAAACACAGAATGAGAATAAAATGTCTGGGGGAATCTTGTGTTATAACTGACACTTACTATTTTTCACGAAATACAAAACCGGGAATTAAGGGAATTAAGCCAGATGCCATGGCTGCCTCTCTCGTCTATATCATTTCTGCCCCTTTACTAAGCAATGCTTGAGATTGTTGCTTATAATGCCTTCTAATTAGTGTTGTTAATATTTAACCTGCTACTTGCGCGATTACTCTAGTCACATTAACCTCCAGTCCTAAGACTGCTGTACACCTGATGCCGTGTTTACCTAGACCCCTTACTAAATATCCCTAGCTTTTTATTACACTTCGAGATACAACTAAGGCGTCTAGTTTCTTAGATTTCTAAGAACTGCTTTATATACATCGTGCGATGTTTTAATATCTTCACAAGGTACCCGCAAGGGCTTTCTTGTAATATCCTCAGGAGTGGACGCAGGTTAGCGGTATGGAGGTTGTCTATGCTAGAGAGTCGAAGAATATTCTGTTCTAACCACAACAGCCTCTTCAAACCCTTCCCAAGCGCCTAGAGCTGACTTCAGTAATTTCTGGAAATTCTAATTACTACATTGTAAATATTTTTAGATACAATTACTCATACGATTTGGGTGATTTCCCGCACTATTCTCGGATCTGGCGGAGTCGCGAGCCCCTCCTTTCGCGCCTTTGCGAAAGCTGGTTAGTCTAGAGCCTCGTCCTAATGTTCTCCGTGAGCGCATGCTGAGGATCGGAGAAAGCGTGGTGTGTATGCTAAGACGGACTGGCAGCGCAAGTTCCTATGCGCGGTTGTGGTGTTCGGCATTCGTTCGCAGGCTACCAACTTGGCCGACTGGATTGAATTAAGCCATGAACTTCTTGCTGAACATTTTGTCAGTGCCATTTCTACTGGCGATGACATATCCTGTGTCAAGTGTTTCATTAGGTTCCATTTGTAGTTGCGCTTGGAAGAGCTGCTCGGCCTGCTCTGGTCATTCGTTGGAGGAGATCTTCGAATCTGTCATCGATGCAAAGGGAAGAATTTTGATACGGAAAAGTGTTGTTGTTTGCTTATAGGGTAAAGAGGGAGGAATGTGAAGTTCTCCGCTTGACTCAGGCAAATAATAATAATAAGAGGGGAAGTTTGCAGCAAACAAGGATCGCGCGGTCTATCGTTGAGAGGATGGTCTTTACAGAACAATTTGGTTGGATTGTCCGTATCATCGTACAGATATTTATTCCTCATATAGACCAAGGTCGAAACAACTGTGGGCATTATATGCACTCCTGGTTCCACCTCTAGTAAGTGTTCATGATCCGCGGCCGGGGTTTTAACTATCTTCCGGAAAAGCATGTTGGGCCTTTGGCAACAACGATGCAGAAGAGAATGAGGGGATTTCTGCTCTTAGAATACCATGTTGAATCTCATAGCGGGAAAATTATGTTCATAGGGATGTTGCCCAGTTGCAATGGTGTGCAGCTGTGGGGAGTTCCCGATGGAGCCTGGATCTCTTAACTTCAGTATTGAAGATCTTTCTGTTCATAGGGAGATTCTCTCAAGGCGATTTGCCGATGAAAATCTGTTGACAGTGGAAGTCTGGCCGGATGAGGGCTGGAAGTAAAAAATGTCACGTCGAGAATGTGACTGCGGATGGCGGCCGAGCTTCTACATCCCTATTAGGATATTTTTACCATGATCCCCCAGGAAAGCCTATCTGATGTCATAAAGAGCTCTAGAAAACCTGCTGTGTTCCGTTCCAATAGTTTTAGATAGGATGTTCACAAAGGGTCCGAGTGGCCGTATTGTAATGGACGGGTGACTGGCAGACTGTTATTCTTCGTCTGACTCACTTTCAATGAGCTCGGAAGAACTAGCGGATGAATCGGGAGAATCGTCCATTACGTGGTCTGAAAAGTCTGGGTTATTTTGCATTGTAAGCGTAATTCCAGAATTGGAAAGTGATTCGAGGATACGTTTCAGGTCATTTGCGACCCTAGAAGGGGACAGGTTCTCGATGCGAAGATGACGTAACAGGGGAAGGTAATCGCGGTGGTATGTTGCTAGGTGCTCGAGAGCTGGAATACTCTCTCTTAGCCGGTCCCTATATTCGACGATAAGGCAAATCTCCGTGATAGATGCTGGTAGCCTATCGATGATTGTTTCACCAGCCCCGTTGAGAACATTGATGAAAGCTCGTAGTGGTGCCGTTATGTGCGTTAACTTTGCACAGCTTCGAAAGTCACCCAGCATTCCAAAACCAGGGTAAAGCTGCACTGGCCCATAGACATCATTATACAGTCCAATGGTCTCGATGGAATCACGGTGGTGATTTAGCGCTGAAGTAAGGCAGGGATAATGTAGGCGAGCTCGAGGGATACTATCATCGCCATTATGCCATAGGAGCCCTTCTTCGTTGTTCCATAACCACGGGGACTCGTCATGATGGTAGCTAAACTTCTTTAAATGTTGGCAGGCAGTGACCATGGATGCGAGGACCCCGGTATCCATAAAGCAGCTTGAAAGAGTAAGCACTTCAATCGGGCTTGTGCGATTCGGGACAGTCCATTTTATAGGCTTCCAGGTCCCGAGCTCATGGTCCTTCACAAATCCAGTCTCGACTAAGGTGCTTACAGCCAAGATACGGAGGGAAGGTAGTTTAAATAAAGGCAACATAACGCGCATGCCCATGTGCTTAACCCTAATTTGGACGGTATTTAGATGGGTAAATTGATGTACTCGACCAAATGAATTCCCACTGACAGACTGTCTCAGAAGTTCAATCCACTTTGGGGTTTGATACGGGACTTTCCCGTCGTCCACAGTAAGAGTCCGGAGATTAGGCGTCCGCATTAGGATGGCAGCGTATAGAGTCTCTTGGTCGCAGTCATCGGCGTTGCAATCGGTGGCCCAGGCTTTCCACGATGGAATATCGAGGCTCTTAAATCCAGACTTGATCAATTTGCGATCGGATATGGCTGGGAGGTATGGCTTGCGGTTCCGATGCACCCCACGGCCATAGTTCATCGAAAAAGATTTGACGGTCTCTGCAGCCCTCGGGTTACACACTAGTGTGCGCAAGAATAGGTATGGATGTGCAAAAAAGCTATCATATCCGGTGTAAAGCTTTTCTACGATGATGGCATGAAGACGCCGGCTGGTAAGTGACAAGCTGAGCAGGGTTGGTAACTGGAAGTTCTCTTGATTAAGAGCCGGCAAATATCCAAGAATATGCAGAAGAAGCTCGTCAGGAAGGGAATCGAGAGACGCATGGAAAGCGGATTTATCTGTTGTTGGTTTTGCGGAGTCACGTTTCGCATTTGGTGAGCCCACCATTTTCCCATAGGAGATAGGCGGCTTTCGAGAGGGCAGAGAAGGGAAGTTGCTGTGATTTAGGTCCATTAAGAAATGTGCACAGAATATTCGATGAGAGACGAGAGAAATGTGGTCGAGGCTTGTTGGGACTCTGAGGCGAAAGAGGACGACGGAGGCAAGCACCCACGACACTCGTTCCTGGCGCTAGTGCTAATAGGTTCTGGCGTTTCGGCACGGAAAATCTATCGCCGCAAGCGAGCCCACTCCCGAAATTCCCAAGGCGTTCGAAAACCACTGACGAGAACCTCCACGACGCCATTTTCCCGCACACACCACCCGGCTTTACATCAAATCCATCGACAATCATGGAGAACGAACGTGGTGAGCTTGTAGATCTGTAAGGCTTCCTCTCCTCGCATCCAACTTTCCTATATAGACATTTCCTGGCCGCTCCACCACCGCTAATCCCTGGTAACTCTATAAAGGAATCATTTCGCTAACGGTGGTTTCTAGCTACGTCCCCCGCAAGTGCAGTGCGACCGGCCGCATCATCAAAGCGAAAGACCACGCTTCGGTCCAAATCAGCATTGGCAAGGTTGACGAGAACGGACGTTACACCGGCGAGAACCAGACATACGCCCTCTGCGGATTCGTGCGCGCCATGGGCGAGAGCGATGATTCACTCAACCGATTGACGCAGAAGGACGGCTTCCTGAAAGGTGTCTGGAGCGCAAGCCGATAGAGGAGGGACACTGATAGGTTGGGATGGAGTTGGGGTAGGCTTCCGGGACTGGCCCCAAGACCTAGTGGGTCTGGGATGAGAGATGGAAGGTCACAAATGCTGACTAGATGAAGGGATTCCGGATCTGAATTTCTCGACCGAGGGTGTATGGCTTCACGAAGCATCCAGTTCCCGCTTCAACGTGTTCATTGAAGTGGACGGTCTTGGTATCATGCATGAAAGAAATCGTCAACGGGAAATGGATATAGGCATAAATACAACCAAGCTTCATAAATACTGATAGTCCGCATAATGAGCCTTTTTGATTATGTGTTACAGATTCATATCCAGCATTTCGCGTCAAAAGGGAGCATACTCACTAATCTTAATTCTTGATGTTCTCAGCAAGGTACTCAACCTACTGACAACGCACCAACACCTCAACTCACCTAGCTATCCAATCGGAATGTATCGCATCTCAGGGAGGTAGTCAACACTCTTATACAATGAACTTTTGACCCAGATTCGTTCGCTACAAGCGACATTCAATCCTTGCTCCCTTCTCGCGCTTAATCCACCCCACCATTACCAAAAGCCAGAAGTCTGGAAGTTTTAAATCTCACACCACCCGCTCATCGCCGTGGCATATCTCGTGTCATTTTTCCCAACGTTTGTCGTACAGATGATCGCCCTGCTCTCCTGCAACTCGCTCGTTTTGTTACCCTCTGCATCGCTCTATCTAATCTGGCACCAATCTCATCTCCATCCAAGGCACCTTCCTCCAAAGCACCCTTCCTTAACCCAGTAATTCAAACGACGGACCAACGATCGAGCCCCCTACTCGGTCACTCGGGTTCTAGGCGGATCAAGCGGCCCAGGAAATATTCTCCGATTCCAGTCCAGCCTGGCCGAGCACAGCCCCAAATGCAGCTGACCTTACATACCCTTCGTTTCTTAGAGCACAAAATCTTTCGCGCCCAAGTAATCAATCAATCAATTGTTCCAATGAAACTAACGCAGTTTTTACACATCGACCACGTTGCGCATCGACGACGCATACGCAAGGATTCGCTCCTACCACTGACAGCGCCGTATCGATGAGTTCACATAGTGTGTCCCACGCGGACAGCCTTGGAACCGAACAGCACATCCCACGCGAAAGTTCCTGTGGTGCAACATTTGACGAAAAGTAGACTTGGCAGGGTTGAATTACTGGACGGCTTCATGGAGATTGAGGGGACGGCGTTGAAGGGGTTGAGATGAGTTGCGTTGCGTTGTATTGCGTTGCGATGTGAGGTGAGATAATGTCTCGGGAGATAGATCGTGGTAATTCGGAGTTAAATAAAACCCTTCCAAACTTCCATCCAATTGCGTCAGGTTACCATCCACACCTCCTAACCTGCATGTTGAAACCCTCCACCGCGCTCTCCAACAAACTGGAAAATACTAATCTCTGACCTCATGCACGCTGAAATGCAATAACAGTCAAGGAAAACGGCCCCACTGAATCCCCATCCTTCACCTTCACTCCCCTCCACCCCACTTCTCCAATCTCACCGATGATGCAACCGCGCACCGACACGTTTGCTCCCCTCCTCCATCCACGCATCATTCGTCTCAAACACCCCCAAATTCACCGATCAGAAAACAAACCCCAATAACCGGGGCTCCAAAGGCGTGCATCTCCGGCCCGCACGTACAAATGCAGCCTCAGGTTGCACGGCCCAACCCCCTGCCCCTTCTGGACATAGACACAGGGGTCAAAGGCTATCTTGACACGGCAGCTAGCAGGTAAGGTAGGGTATGAATAAGGTCCGATAGGAGAGGTTCTAGATTGTGATTCGTGTGGATACACCACAGGTTCGCAGTAGGAAGGAAAGTAAGTGGAGGAGGACGCACTTGTGTATCAGTGACAGCTAAGAGTAGAAGCCGAGAGCGAAAGAGATGGACACGTGGATTGCGCGGATCATGAAGAACCGTGGAAAGCTTTTTGGAATAGATGGGTGTGGCGCGCTGTGATGCGGTATTTGCTTGCGGCGGATAGGGCAATGCGTGTGTGAAGAAGCTTCGTTGTTCCAAGGTCAAGTTTACTGTGATATTTGCTAGGGATTGCACGAATTGGCATTAGGAAATATTCATTATGAATTATACTTTATAGATACGTGGTGGATTCATCCTGAGCTATACCATAGCCACCTGAAAAAACTCGTTCTTCCTCAAACAATCCGCCCTTCCAAGTCCGCCGCAATCTTCCTAACCTCCGTGAAATGAAAAAAAAAAATTTTTAAAAAAAAGAAAATAATGACTCCCAAGTGGTCGTCCCGGTACCACTCATTCCAGTCCAGCCTCAAGCCTGCCGGGGAAATGCGGCACGTTTTCCACCTTTCTTTTTATGGGTGGCAGGCACGCATGCGGTCAAGTCTTGGCACAGGCGTCATGGAAGGATCGCGGGAGCGAGACGAGAAAGCGGTGTGATGTATGCACAGCAGACAGGATGCCACCCGCAACCACAACACTACACCAATTCCGGATCCACGAGGATTTGAGGTTATTGCCTCATTGCTGCTGCAGTTATGGAAGTGGAAAGTTGAAGGCCGGTAACGGAGGAGAAGTGCGTCAGGGTTCAGCCCCGGTGATAGCAGGGATGAAATAGCCATTGACAATGAGATTAGTATTTTGGCATTCTGCCGGTGGTCGCGTTGTGTGGAGGGAATGGAGGATGCGAGGCAATCTGATCCTGAGGCACGACAACGCGCACTCTTCTCCCCTCATCCCTTCTACTAGCTCCTGCTCCTCCCGAGGTTAAGGTGCCTATGCCTCCTGGCTGCTCGCGAAGTTGTGTTGCGAGACCTGCTGGTTCACCGAGTGCACCTCGGACGGCAGACACGGCCTTGCTTTCGTTGACTTTCCAATCGTCGCCTTTTCGGACGACCCTCGCCCGGTCTTTTTCCGCCTTTATGCGCAGTATTTCCTTGATTTTCTCTTCTCGTCGCCGGCCGCGTACGCAGTCGCAAAGACATCCTTCGGTTGCACAGGCTCCGTCAGATAGAACAGGATCTGAGAACCACGTAGAAAGGCAGTTCATGTGGCCGCCGTGGCCACACAGCGGACACCAGGTCCATAACGTTGCTTTAGGGGGAGCGGGTTTCTCTGGAATACTCGGTGACGGGTCGTCATAATTACCGTGCTTTTCGAAACCTAAGTGCGAGATGAGTGATGAGCGCTTTCTCCTATGCTCTTTGTCCTTTAGGCTGGAACGAAATTTGGCCTTGGCCCTTTTCTTTGCAGAGACAGGCTCAAAGGCTGGATAACGACCCCAGCAGATGGAGCATGGTGCTTGGGCTCGTTTACAAGTCTCGCAACGCATCTTGTCCTTCGGATTATTGATTGGAGATTTGCAACTCAAACATAAGAGACCTAATTGTGTATCTTTGAGCGCTTGTTCGTAGACAGCAGGATAGGTAGGATAGGTGAGTCGGCGCAACGAGGCAGCCGAGTTGAAGAGTGAAAGACTGTGCAGTTGAGCATGGTAGGTATGAAGAATCGCTTCTGCCTGGTAGGGGTTGATTCCTGTAGCAATTAGCTGGGTGAGTTGGGTTGAAAGGACAGTCTGAGCCTGTGTCGGCGTCAGACCCAGTGCAATGAATGTATCCGAGAAGCTTGAGAGGACTTCTGCAATATCAATGTCAGACGTGTCAGACGGAGAATGCGTCTGTGGCAGGAGAGGTGCGAGAAGAAGCAGCAAAAGAGAAGCGGTCTGCGCATCTGACAGCATATTCGTGTGGAAGGCTAGAATGCTCTTAAGCAGGCCGATCACGGCGAACGCTGATCCCTCCTCTGCATCCTCATGCATAGCCTGAAAATCTGACAATAGCAGTGGGTCTTCGGCTGTTGAATCAAGTGCCGGAGAGGCACTCTCCGAGACATGTATCAGGTTGGTGGGTGGTTTCTGGCTTGGGGATTTTAGGTCCTCGTAAACTTCAGGGACGATCGTGCCACTAGCCTCCATGTCCAAACTGTAATCCACCATCGACACAGACACCTCGCTTCGGCTGCTCGTATACGCCTCGGATTCGGAACTATCGTGGCGAAGAAGTTGATTGTTCCTGCGCAGCTTCTCGATATCCTGGACCGCTTTCTCTCTGCTGTCGTGATCCACGGTATGGCCCGCGCCATTACGGGCCGAACCTTGCTGAATACCCTGATCCTTCCGCACAGGGCGAGGGTCATCCTTGCCAATGGGAATTGTCGTGGGCGATATTTGGACACTTTGACCAAGGTTCTCAATCCCTGGTGCGTGTTGGTTCAAGATACTGCCTGGTGCTATCGGCCGCGGATTTCCAAAACTCGAGTCTGCAAGAGGATGTGTCCATTTCTCTGGTATTGACTCCATACCGCCTTGAGAGTGTGATTTGCCACTCGCGAAAGAGCTTGGCATCGACGTTCCCTGCTGCGAATCAGTTGACGCAGAGAACATCGCAAAGCTCTCGTCCGAGTCATGACGGTCCAGTCGTGGAATTTTGATGTCAATCCCCTGTGTGTTTGTGGGTTCTAGGCTGAACGGTGCCCGGGGAGGAGCCCGCCAACTGCCGATCATAGCCCGACGCTCGTCGAGGCTATCAGAGGATTGGTACCAGTGCGGTCCACTAAAGCTGGGGTAACTTGCTTTTGGTGGTACGAGGGACTGATGAGTGTGTTCGGAAAACCGGGACGGACCCTCCTCCGAGGCATGGTGCCGACTAGAGTGCGGTCCGGCAACTGCTGGGGGTAGTTGAATCACTTCCTCGTCACCATCGGGGTCAGGGAGTTGGCTAAGCTGCTGCTGTGTGTCAGCTGCCGAGACAGAAGAAGTCGTCAGAGGTCGGGCGAGTGGGGTAGCTAAATTTGAAGTGCTCTCATTTGCGGTCGTAGCAGCATGTTGATTGTTCGTGCCGGAGTTTTCTTGCGGCTTGTCAATAGCGCCTAAGATGGCACGGACCGCAGGGTTTGTTGGCAATAGAGACTGTTGGATGTCATGTGGCACTCGCTGTTCGGAGAATGATTTTAGTCTAACGTCGGACGAGGCTGGGGTTGCGGTCTTTCTGTGTTCTATCCGACGTCTTTTGTGCAATTCTGCGCGTCTCCTTGTCGCAACTGCTATAGACATGCCAACTATCCTCCAAGTCTCAGCCAATCTGTAGAATGCGGCTCTTTGGGCATACTCGGCGTTTTGGTTAAAAACATGGTGTTGGTCGAGGAAAGCCTCGAGCGTTGGGGGATCTGGAAGAGCAATTGCCTTGTACTTTTGAGCCAAATAGGCAAAAACCTGGACACTCATCACACCCGGTAGTGTTCCCCGAAAAGAAACTTGATTCGGCTTGAAAGACTCATTATGTATGGCCATCGAATCAGTCAGATAAACGACTTTTGGGGCCACGTCCGAGGGCGGAGTGCTGCCAAATGATTTGGCCGATCTGTTGCTTGCAGTGCGACCATGGTGCCTCTTGAGTGAGGAGCTAAGAAAGCTGTCGTCTAGACTGTCATCTGCAGAGCTTCGTAGACTACTTTTCTCTGGACTGCTCCGCTTGTCTCCCCGCGAATCGCTAATATAGGTGTCATCCGTCGTGGTCGTCGAGTACTCAAGGCCCGAGCGCCGACGCCGTGGTCTCTTCTGGACAAATCCGCCAACCTCGCCACTTGGCGATACTGCAAATGCCTGCAAGTTACGACGATCCACGACCTTAGGAGCAAGATGGACGTCATTTTGTTGGAAGACGCCCTCTCGCCCAACGGTCCAGAGGATATCACGCGAGTGCCAGAGCATATCAGAAGGCGTGCTGTGAAACTTGTTGATTTCCCGGAACGGTAAGTATGGGCGCCGGAAATCCCAGACATGAATTACCGGGTGATCGCGGTCGTAAGATGTGGCCAATTGGGTACACTGATAGACGCCCTTCTCGTAATGCTCGTCCGACCAGTATGGCGGTCTCCACCTAGCCTTGTACACCGGATACGGCGTAGTTAGTACATAGGCGGCCTTTTGTCGTCTATCATTCACTGAAAAGTCCCAGACTTTCACCGTCCGGTCGACGCTGGCGCTGAGGAGGTGCTTTCCGTCTGGATGCCAGTCAATCGAGGTGCATATTCGCTGATCGTGGGCCGTGATTTTCTGCTTGGGGCCTTTGTTGATACGGAAATCCCAGCGCTGTATGGTCCCATTATCAGTGCCAAATGCAAACTCTACAGCATCAGTGGGACACCATTGGACGTCTCGGATGCCACAATTGATGCCTGGGTACTGGTCTCTACTAGGACAGGTCATAATGTCCTTCCTCATGTCTCGTAAGTCCCACAGACGGACAGTGGCATCTTGGCTTGCTGAAAGCAGCAAGTAGCCCTGGTGAGGATTGAAGGCAATCTTGTGGACCTGGCGAGTGTGCTCATGCAGCCGGGCCAATTCAACGCCGGCACGGTTGAGGTCGTACAAAATGACTTTACCATTAGCAGCGGCGGTGGCAATATGCGTGCTGAATTGTCCATGCGACCATTTAACATCATGGATACCGAGACCGTCACGCTGCCTGGCATGCGAACCACCAGTAGTATTATGTTCTGCATAGTTAATTACAGCGGAACGAAGATTGGTGTCCTCGACAATCTTGGCATCTTGTACGCGGACAGTTTTCAGGATTTCCTTTCCTGCAAGAATTGCGTGGGTCCTGTCACGGTTGATGTCGAGGGCTGAAATATCGAGACCCGTCTTATGGCTTGCATCTTGTGACGAACCAGCGCGAATACTAGACGATGCATAACAACTCAGCGAGGGTTACGACGGCGGTAGATGACAGGGTGGAAGGAGACGGGGCCAAAAGCAGGCTAGATGGTGGATGCCCGAAACAGCAAAACAGGAGGACAGCATCAGAGTGGTGGACCGGTGGATTTCGGCCACGCGCTGCGGCCAAAAATACCGCTGGCCGAGGGGGACACAGCAAGCATCAAGCATGGCGGCAAGGCGTCGTGCAGACAAACGCAGCAGGAGCATGAAAATGAGATAGCCGGGCGAGGGAAGAACCACATAGGACAAGCAATAATACTGGAGCACACACGCAAGAAACGCGGTTTACTTACCCGGGGAGTCTTGGCACCAGCGGATTTGGACGCCCCCCGTCGGGGCGATTTGTCTGCGCGCTGGGAGGCCGCGAGCCATACGCCGTCGTCAGAGGCTGGGTGACGAAGCGCGAGAAGTAGGAGGTCGCCTTGTCTTTGGAGGGTGGCAGAGGGGGGGGGGGCGGAATGGGCGAGGGTGCGGCCACGGAAGAGATGCGTCGCGGAGGCAAGTCAGCCATCATGGACGGGCGGCATGCGGGCTCATGGTTGACGTGTAGACTGAAAGCGTCTAAGGCATGAGCGGACGTGTGCTGTTAGAGATGTTGCGGTGAGCAGCGCTGAGAGGGTGGTGAAACCGGCGACGACGACGCGGGTGACCCTTAGTCGGTACTGGCCTCGAGTCTGCGTGACGGGCCTGCAGAGAGTGCATCTGGAAGAAGCCCTTGTAATGTATGCCAAGCCCAGAACACACAAAGTGGCGCTCGCCAGAACGCCACGCAACTCAAGCGTCTGCGTGCCCTGGACCTTCATCACTATGCCACCGCACCTCTTCCCGCCATAACACCCGCTTCCTCCTCCATCTCCCTCCTCTCCGTCCGCAGTGGCCGGCTCCTTACACGCGCCGCCTCTCTTGTAACATGACCGACTCGCTGTCCCTCGACCTCCCGCTAGAGCTCTCTGCGGCAGAGGCTAGGTGGGTGCGAAATCGCACACTGCAGTCAATTCTCGCCATTCTGCAATATGCCTATCCAATCTTTCTGCTCTTCTTCTTTCTGACTGCCTTCACTCTCCGAAGCATCCTAGCATCTAATACTAATACTAATAACATCCGGAAAACTACCCAGCGAGGGCCAGGAGGCAAACCACTACCCATCACTGACCCGACTCGCAACTTCGTCAAGAAGCAGGTCAACGACGATGTCACGCCCTCCCAGAAGCGGCTGTTCGAGTGGTTGTCTCTGGCTGCGGCCCTCACCTTTGTTGGCAACTCGACCAACGTCATAATCCACGCCCTCACGGCGCGGAAGGAGCACTGGTGGTGCGGGCAAGCAGTCGCGGTACGTCCTACCACATGCGGCAGCCAATGCATCAACTCGGGCAGGAACTGACATGTCCCTTCCCTTTCTAGATCTACCTCGTCGGTTCCTTCTTCGTCTACTGTCTCTTCCTCATTTCTCTGCTGGACTCGAAGCCCGCCCCGACTGTGGCTCACCTGGCGACCTGGAGCGTTGCTCTAGTCCTTGAAATTGTGCTCCTGGCCTGTTCCTTTGCCATCTATACGCATCCGCATAATGAGCCGGCAGTCAACCCGCCTCGTCAACGTACTCGCCTGCGCATGACCACGTGGGAATCTACCGAGGTAGCCATCGACCTACTGCGCATTGTTTTATTGCTGGCTCTCATCGGATCGTACCTTACTTTTGTCACCTGGCAGCACAAAAAGCAAGCCGGGGAGGCGGGAAGCTCAAGCGAGACGGTTTCGTTGCTCGGCGGAGACCGGGACAGCCAGGCGGAAAATGGTCACGCGAACGGCGGATATGGTACCACCGCCCCCGTGGGTGGCAAGCACCAGCACACTGAAGGAGCTCCTCCCGCGTGGAGTCGGCCGGTTAGTGCACCATCCCGCAGCTGGTGGGAGTACATCAAGGGCTACCACGTCTTCTTCCCGTATTTGTGGCCGTCAAAGGACCGCCGTCTGCAGCTCATGGTCGTAATCTGCTTTGTGATCGTAATCGCCCAGCGAATCGTCAATCTTATGGTTCCAGACCAAATTGGTGCCATTGTCGATAATCTTGCGGGCGACAAGGGTCAAACGGGATCCCCATGGGTCGCGATCCTCATTTTCATCTGCTTTCGATTTATCCAAGGAAACAATGGTCTGCTTGGGGCGATCCGATCTACACTCTGGATCCCTGTTAGCCAATACTCTTATCGCGAACTTTCTGTTGCGGCATTTGAGCACGTGCACAGCCTCAGTCTCGATTTCCACCTTGGCAAAAAGACGGGCGAAGTCCTTTCGGCGCTTGGTAAAGGCAGCTCTATTAATACGTTTTTGGAGCAGGTGACCTTCCAAGTCGTTCCTATGTTGATCGATCTTGCCGTCGCGATCGGCTATTTTCTCGTCAAATTTGACGCTTATTATGCCCTCGTGATCTCAATTGTCACCTTTTGGTACATCTATCTTACTATCCGCATGGCCCAGTGGAGAGCTGAAATACGCCGTGAGATGGTCAATGCGGATAGGGAAGAAGATGCAGTCAAGTCAGTAATCGGAAAATTATGATATCCCGCACGGTACCTCGCTAACGTTGCATAGAAACGACTCCATGGTCTCCTACGAAACGGTCAAGTATTTCAATGCCGAGGCTTACGAATTCAATCGCTACCGCGATGCGGTGACTAAGTTCCAAAAGGCTGAGTACCAGGTTTTGTTCTCATTGAATCTGATGAACATTTCCCAAAATACGGTCTTTATGCTCGGTCTCCTAGTAACCTGCTTCATCGCAGCATATCAGGTGACGACGGGCCAGCTCTACGTTGGCAAATTTGTTACACTCATAATGTACATGGGCCAATTGCAGAGCCCCCTCAATTTCTTTGGTACTTTCTACCGCATGATTCAGTCGGCTATGATCAATTCGGAGCGGATGCTGGAGCTTTTCAGGGAACAGCCTACGGTGGTTGATAGCGAGGACGCAGTAAAATTACCATCATGCGAAGGAGACTTGCGATTCAACGACGTCCACTTTTCCTACGACAATCGCAAACCAGCTTTACAGGGGCTAGATTTCCATTGTCCCCTAGGTACTACGACAGCATTTGTCGGCGAGTCAGGCGGTGGCAAGTCCACTGTTTTCCGGCTCCTGTACCGATTCTACAACACTATGTCAGGAAGTATCCAGGTCGACGGGCATGATGTTGAAGAGCTCACGATCGATTCAGTGCGGAGACACATCGGTGTTGTCCCACAAGATACGGTTCTGTTCAACGAATCGCTTATGTACAACCTCAAGTATGCTAATCCAGAAGCTACCGATGAGCAAGTATATGGAGCCTGCCGAGCGGCTAGCATCCATGACAAGATCATGACTTTCCCTGACAAGTACGAGACGAAAGTTGGCGAACGTGGACTGCGCCTTTCTGGAGGTGAGAAGCAGCGTGTGGCAATTGCCCGCACGATCCTTAAGGATCCACGCATCATCATGCTTGACGAAGCAACCGCCGCGCTGGACACGGAAACAGAGCAGCATATTCAAGAGGCGTTCCAAACTCTGGCTACAGGACGCACGATGCTTATTATTGCCCATCGACTCAGCACTATTACTCACGCTGATCAGATCCTGGTTCTCCACAAAGGCAAGGTAGCAGAGCGAGGCACACATGAGGAACTGCTTGATCGAAACGGTCATTATGCGGCCATGTGGAAGAAGCAAATCCGAGCCCAGAGGGCTGCCGAACAGGCCAAAGTTCTCAAAGACAAGGCCGACCGGCTACGTAGGGAGTCTAAGGATGGAACAATTGGGATGGACGATGGAAGCAGTAGCCACTCTAACTCCTCCTCGGACGACGAAAAGACGAAGGTATTCAGAAGTGGGCCTTCATCGGAGGATGGGAAGAACGGGGCAAGTAGTACGGGCGGCAAGTCATAATTGACGGATATGATGGGTAGCACGCTCTAGCATACAGAACATTGGGTGGGGATGGGAAGCATGTTTCACGACGAGGCAAGGAAAAAGCAGTACGTGGTGCATGACCGACCGTGTGGAGCATCAGTACGCAAAATTTCTACCTTTCTTGTTTCTGGGTTCTAAAAGCCTGTTTGGTTTCGAGTTTCCTCTATTCTGTCCGACGAGAGTTCATGGCTCGCGCGGCTCACGGCTTGGAGGCATTTTCCGGCATACCCTAATGGCGCAGGAGGCAGTGTGATATTTCCGTGGGTTTTTTCGAACCATTACTCTCCTTCTCATTTCGAATGGCGTCGGCGCGGTTTGTTTTACGATGGTGTTTGCTAGAGCCGCGGCTGGTTTTTGAAAGAATTATCTGTTTGTGGGCGGCCATCGTCATGTACTGACGCCCTTTCAACGGGGGCGATGACCAACAGGCGAAAACTGTTCGGCATCCTGGGGTTTGGCTTGAGTTCGTATAGACGCATGTTGATTCGATGGCGGGTGCCGGTCCAGGATGCAAAAGTGAAGCCAGAGTTGCAGCGGTCGAATCCGTGTCTCTGGCAAATGAGGCGTTTCGTGCCGACAATGAGTGGGTGCAGCTGACGGAGGTGGCGCTGAAGGAGCACCATGCACTTCCGCAAGAACAGAGGTCCGTAAGGGCGTATCCAACAGGATCGTGAGACGTGGACTCAATTTTCCGGGCTTCTTCATGTGAATGCTCGTGCTCGCATCTGGCCGCTCCACAGGGCTGTCTCACTCACGATGGTGAACGGCTGCTTGGGATCGTGTTCCGCACAGTATTGTCGATAATGGATGGAATTGCGTGCGTTTGGTTCATCGCTACCGGCTCCCTGGAAGGGGGATCTCTGTGGCCGCGCACCCAACGTTGGGGGTCATGATCTGTTGGAACCGCTGCTTCGGGACCGTAGGGCGTAATTAGACATCGAATCTCCAGGCACCTCTCTAATCTGCCTCATCTTGACATACAACTGCTTCTCTGCCCGGCATGTGTTAGAGATGGCAGCGCAGCGACGTTTGATGGGGGATAAGGTCGCCGAATCGTCCCATCGGCGATATATGAACCCCTCCATGCGGCAGACCCGCCCCGCCAGGGAGCCCTGAATGTCCGTGCTGCGAGCGTTGGCGTCGAGGGTCCCTCGCCGGTCTCGATGGCTGGCCCTCACAAATCCAATCCACGAACCGGGCCCTGGCATGAGCGAGCGAGCCGACTCTCTTACACGCGGGCTGGGCTGCACGAACCCTTTTCTTTCTCTCCAGTTCTTACGTTGCACACCGATGTTCTGTTCCTTTGACATTCGCTTTTCATCCCAACTCAGCTCAGCTAGTTTTTATTTCAGGAAGCCCGCCTGGGACGGCATCGCTTTCGCACTTCTGTGTTAGAAACTCCGAACAAGCCAGCCAGGCCAACTCTGACCTGACCGGTCGAGAAGACGATCCCTCCGCCTGAGGATACGCCACTCGCAGGACGGACGACTCCGCGATTTCCCTTGCTTCTGGAGAACTCGGCTCGCGTTTCCCTGTGGTTCAGTATATTAGCGTCCGCTGCACGAAGCTTTGGATTCGACGAGGACTTTTCGGGACGAAGCTGGACCCTGCACTGGCCTGGGAGGGCGAGCGACATAAGACTCCTCGTGATACAGAGAGTGGCCTATAGGCATACTTTGTGCGAGCTGTCCTGCAGGAAGGAAGGTTTTGAGCATTAGGGTTTGAAACATCGGCCAAGTGGACAGGATGCCAAAGATGTTACCGGAGGAAGCGAATATCGCCATTGTATGTTCTATTCCAGTCGACTATTCTCTATGTCTCTTGCCGTGTCACAATCCCTCGGTTGAAATTGCGCAATCAATCCCGTTGTGTTCGACATTTATTCTCCCGCCCTTCTCCAAGTTTCATCCCTGTTCCATCCAACATTCGCCTGATCCCCACCCCACAAAATCCTCTCGCTTCCGCTCAGCAATGCCCCTCTCTGGCGATTCTCCAATACATGGAATATAAAGTCGCTAATTGAGGAGCTTTAATATGAATGGGGTCCTGACACTACGATTAGGATGCAGCGTACGATAAATATCACGACGAGGACGATGACGATCGAATGACATATACCTCGTAAGTTCGAGTTACTCTTACAACTCACATTGTTGTGGAGGAGGTTACTGACGGAGAATAGCGGACAGTCGTTGGCGTCAAATGTTACCAGATATCGTTATGAGAATGGGAGGAGGTATCATGCTTTCAGTGAGTTCTTCAGAGCGCTCTTTGACATTGGAAGGTAGCCGTAGATTAGGAGCTGGCGGTTTGCAAGGGATACCAGGGCTTGAAGGGAGAAGAGGAATGGGAAATTAGATTAGTGCTAACAGATGATAGGAGATGGAAGCTATTATGGCCCGAATGACGAGAAATCTATGACCCAGGAGACGATTGTGTGAGTTCTCACCAATTCCAAATGATGCTCAATCTACTTCAGTTTGGGTATGACTGACTAGAGAATGCTAGACATCATCTCTGGCTTTTAACACTAAACGACAAACTCTTTCTTGCGCCAATTGAAAACCCGCAGATGATCTTAGATGTGGGGACCGGGACTGGATTATGGGCAATGTGAGTATCGTAGATATTAGTACGAGAGGGGGAGAAAGAATCTGGTGCTGATAGTAGGGGGATAGTGATATGGCAGACTACTTCCCCAGCGCTGAAATCATAGGTATGTCACTCCCCCTTCCGCCTTCCTCTGCTCCTGACTCCTCCCGTCGACTCATCATTTCGTCCCAACCGAATCCCAACCCAACCTGCAATCAAGCATTGACATCTTCATTCATTGCCACAGCAACGGACCTGTCCCCGACACAAGACACAACAGCGCCTCCCAACATCCGCTTCGAAATCGACGACGCGAGTTCAGAATGGACCTATCCGGAATCGAGTTTCGATTTCGTGCATGCTAGGGGCTTGACGGGGTGTATTAAAGATTGGCCGTATCTATATCAGCAGTGTTATAAGTAGGTATTTTTGTAATTTTTTTTTAACTTGTTGAGCACAGAAGGGTGGAGGTGGTAGGGAAGTCCCCTAGTGGTTTGGACTTGCCATACTCCCTCAAGTCTCCAAATCTTCTAAGCTAATGGTCTCACCTAACCCCCCAGCCCTTCATATCCCTCTTTCCTCCTCAGTTTCCCACTCCCCAACTAAACCCCTTCTCACAGACATCTCAAGCCAGGCGGCTATTTCGAGCACCTCGAATTCAGCGTGCAAACCAACGCAGACCCGAACTCTGACAACCACGCCGATAAAATGTACACGGCCTTCTCGAACTCGATCCTTAACCTCGGGGAAGAGAAGACTGGGATGACGTTTCGCACAATTGAGAGCATGAGGGGGTTCATGGAGCAGGCTGGTATGTGTGATTTTATTTTGGTAAATTGTTCTTACGGCATTTGTGTTTTAAGGGGGGTGTGGTGGAGCGTCTAAGATGAGAAGACGCCGCACAGCACCAGCCTCAGTTTGCACCTCTAAGCCTAGCTTTGTCTTAGTACCTACGAAAGCTAACGTATTCGGTGGCACAGGCTTTGTTGACATCGTCGAGAAGAAATTCGTCTGGCCTATTGGCCCCTGGCCTTCAGACCCGCATCTCAAAGACATGGGAAGATGGGGTGAGCGCAATTGGGCGGATGGCCTGGAAGGTTGGGTTCTTGCGTTGTATACGCGTGTGTTAGGCGTACGTTGCCCCCTCTCCTCTCTATTCCCCCTTCTCCCCTCCCTCTAACACGATGATTAGTGGACATACACCGAAGTCCAGCAATTCGTTTCAGAATTCAAGGCTGTGATTAAAGACCGGAAAAACCATTACTACCACGAAGTACGATGCGTGTATGGAAGAAAGCCGTTTCTAGGAGAGTTCCCGACTGCTTCGGCTGCTCCTGTTTCGGCGGGGGGTTGATGGAGCTACGGGGGAGTGTTGATCGGGGTTTAATGAAGGGCTGATGAGGGGAATGGGGATGGCAGGGAGAGGGATGGGGGATTGAGGGAATTAGAGGGGGGTAAGAAAGGGGGTGGTTAGCTGCTGCGCGCGTTTCGGGTTTGTTCAGCAACGGGTGGCTTTCGTGTGATTATCTCTCGAGCTGTTGTTCTCTATTTCAGTTTCGTTAAGGATGGGTTGGGTAGAGTGGGCGGTATTTTGATGTTTAGTTTCCGGGCGGTTGAGACCCTGGGGAGGAAGGGAGATACCCATAGTCATAACGAAGCTTGTAACTATCGAATATCTCGAGTATGTCAGGTCTGTAGATGTACTGCCTAGGATTCATGGTGATTATTTTATTCATGAATATGATGCTTGCTAGCTAGCTAGGGTACGTTGTCACCGTCCTTGATGCTTGAGGACTGGACGCCCGTGCGCCTGGTGAACACCGTTCCTACATCGGCTAGCTGATGTGGTCGTGCTCTACGGCACCGAGATGTTGACGCGGGAATACTGCCCAAGAGGCCGTTCTTCCATACCCCAAGTTGACTCCTCATAGCTCATCATCCATATCCACATCTCCGCCTCCGTTCGCCACGCCATTCGACCTCGGATTCGACTTAGGTACGGATGCCTCCTTGTCGATCATTTGGCGGGACACTGAAACGATGTTGTCTTCGATGAGATGCTGGCCTACGTCTTCGAGGTCTGTTACGCCCATTAGCAATCGTCCAGGTGCACAGTCGTCGGACAGCACTTACGCTTCTTTGGATCCACCTTGCCCACATATCTCGTCTTCAGCTGCTCCTTCGTCAGCTCCGTCTCCTCCTTCACCCTCTTCTCATAGCCCTCAGCCAGCGACACCAACTTCTGCAACCGCTCGGTATTCCTCTCCCCTTCAGTCCGGAAGTCGTCCATCAGCAGCGCCTCAGTCCAAACATGCTTGTGCAGATTCATCAACATATTCTCCTCTAGCCCCGTCTTCCTGTAATTGATGCCGATGGAATAGTAATGTCTGTTCAGGCCGTGGATGAGGGCCTGGATGGAGGGCTTGTTGAGGTGGCCGACGTTGGACGTGGTTTGGCGGGGCTCGTGGCCCATCATGAGGGTTTGCGGGTTTATGAGGCGGAAGGCGTCGATGACGACCTTGCCTTTGACGGATTGGATGGGGTCGACGACGACGGCGACGGCGCGCGGAGTGAGCTGTTCGAAGGATTGCTGCGTGTTGATGTCGACCGAGGAGAGCCAGCAGCCGAAACCGGGATGCGAGTGGTACCAGCCTACGACCGTCTCTTGCCTATATGCATGTGAGCTGGGCCGCATTGTAGGCAAGGCCGCCACCTCTCGCGAGAGCACCGTCGCGGTGGAAAGCAATGGCGGATACGTACCGCCCTGTTTGTCTTAGCATATCCATCATCTTCGTCTGGAACACGGGGTCCACGGCCTCGACCGAGACTCCCGTTCCAGACTGGGGCATGGCGAAGACATCCACGACGCGGACTGTGTAGTCGTCCACGAACTCGCCGAGCATGAGGCCCATGACCTCCATGGGCACACCGGCACGGCCGTGCCGCAGCATCTTGAGGAGAGCGAGGGAGGAGATGTAAACGGTTTCCGAGTTGTCGATCAGGTTAGTGTCCTGCGCCGGTCCGCCCATGCCGCCCATGTTCTGGGCAGCGGCGAGCATCCTGTTTATCCGGTCCATGGCTGGCAGTAGGGTGTGGGACAGACGGGCTGGTCAGGACTAGAGGAAGACAAAGCGGAGCGCAGGGAGGATATTGTGGGGGTGGAGTGTGAAGGGCGGAGAGGGTGAGGGGCGGAGAAGGCGAGGGGCGGAGAAGGAGGGTTGGCGGTGGTGATGGAGCTCTGGTGTTGACGGAGCTTGCGCACTTCGGATGCCTGTCGGAAAAACTCGATTCGCCGACGCCGCGCGGCTGATCCTCGGCTAGCAGGGGGTGCTTCCCTTCCCCAGTGTGCGAGCGCGCGGAGCTCTTTCTTTCATTGTTCGACCGAGCTCCCCCAATCCTCGAGCGTCCGAATCACCCCTCTCCCTTGTCCCTATCCTACTCTAACTCCTCGAGCTTCTGCACCATGGCGAACGCCACAGATTCTTCCACCAGCGACCCCCTCATCAATGGCGCTGGTGCGTCCCCTAAGAAAGTCGCATACTTTTATGATTCCGATGTGGGTAACTATGCCTATGTCGCTGGCCACCCAATGAAGCCGCACCGCATACGCATGGCCCATAGTCTGATCATGAATTATGGTCTCTACACCAAGATGGAGATTTACGCATGTTCATCCCGCTGCATATAGCTGATACTCAGGCTGACCTGTCTTCAGCGCGCAAAGCCTGCCTCCAAATACGAAATGACGCAGTTTCACACGGACGAGTACATTGACTTCCTCAACAAGGTCACGCCTGACAACATGGACAACTTCGCCAAGGAGCAGAGCAAGTACAACGTCGGTGACGACTGCCCTGTCTTCGACGGTCTGTTCGAGTTCTGTGGCATTAGCGCTGGCGGCACCATGGAAGGTGCGGCCCGGCTGAACCGCGGCAAGTGCGATGTCGCGGTGAACTGGGCTGGTGGTCTGCATCACGCCAAGAAGAGCGAGGCCAGTGGGTTCTGCTACGTGAACGGTGCGCTTAATTCGATCCACTCCTGTTCAACCAGCAGCTGACGGCTCCGGTAGACATCGTTCTTGGAATCATCGAGCTTCTAAGATACAAGCAAAGAGTGCTCTACATCGACATCGATGTTCATCACGGCGACGGCGTCGAGGAGGCCTTCTACACAACCGATCGCGTCATGACGGCGTCCTTCCACAAGTACGGAGAGTACTTCCCTGGCACTGGAGAGCTGCGCGATATTGGCGTGGGAACCGGCAAGAACTACGCCGTCAACTTCCCCTTGCGGGACGGCATCACCGATGAGACCTACAAAAGCATTTTCCAACCCGTGATCCAGGCTGTCATGGATTTCTACGTCCCTGAAGCTATTGTGCTACAGTGTGGTGGTGACAGTTTGTCTGGTGACAGGTTGGGTTGCTTCAATCTGAGCATGAACGGACATGCAAATTGTGTGAGATTCGTAAAAACTTTCGGCGTGCCGGTTATTGTGCTTGGCGGCGGTGGATACACGATGCGAAATGTTGCGCGTACATGGGCATTTGAGACTGGAACGCTTGTGAACACGCCAATGTCGAAGCAGCTACCCTTTAACGACTACTATGAGGCGGGTCTCCCTTTCTTTCGCGGCCGGTTTCTTGCTGACTTTTTCCAGTACTTTGCTCCTGATTACGAACTCGATGTCCGTCCGTCTAATATGGAGAATGCAAACTCCTCCGACTACCTGACAAAGATTAGAAACACAGTAATTGACAATATTAGGCGGACTGGCAAACCCTCTGTAGAAGCTCTTTCGGAGGTCCCTAGGAACTCGCTTGGAGCTATATCTCGAGGGCTAGAATCCGACGACGAGGACGAAATGGATGATCTGGACGCCGATGAACATCCGGATCAGCGTGTGACCCAGCGGCAGAGGGACCAGCAGATCGAACACGATGCTGAATTCTACGAAGCCAGTGATGACGAAGATTACAAGGACAGCCTTGGCGTGCGGCGCCAACCCGGCGCAATTCGAAGACGGAACATCATGGATTACCAGAACCCGAATGCTGTGCCCGATGACAATGGCGCAGAGACTCCAGACGGCCTGCGCGCTCTGAATGGCGAGAGTGGGAGAACTACACACCAACCTTCTCCCGCACCAGGCCGCCGATCTATTTCCCGTGCATCGTCATCACGACCCGCGGCTACAAACGGCAATGGTTTGACCGGCTCTCACAGCAACGGCACATCATCTCGGACAAGGACACCAGCCGTGCAGGCAGACGATGACGGCGATATTACCATGGAGGAGCCCGGCGATGCTTCTCCAGGTGACGAGGCTGAAAGTTCTACTAGACTTGAAGCAGCTAACGCTACGGCTGCGGGCCCGCCTGAAGCCACATCCCAGACTGTCCGTGCGGCGTCGTCACAGTCGAGGTCACCTGCTGGTGTGGTTACGCCTCCGGAATCCCCGCCTGCGGCTTCGACTGCTGCTGCGAGTGGTGTTGGTGCTGGTTCTGGCGCTAGTGCTAGTGCTGGTACTTGTGCTGATGCTAGTACTAGTGCCGATGCTGATGCTGATGCTGGTGCTGGTGCTGGTGATGATGTTGAGATGGACGAGGGTGATATTGAAGAGGACGTGAAGACTGAAGAGAAGGCTGAAGCCGAGAAAGGCGATGCGTTGGAGCAGAGAGAGGATGAAGATGAAACAGTTGCGGCAAGGACCGAAGCCGCAAAGGAGGAGTGAGTGGGCCGGGAGGGTGCTGTGAATAGTGATCATGGCATTGAAAATTTTGTTTCTGGGCAGTGTATGTGGAGTTTTGGATCGCATGGGGTGGGATGGGATGGCTTTCTCTATGTGTCTCTCGCAGGTTCTGCAAGGTGTTTGGGAATACCTGGCACGGTGCTTTCTTGTGATTTTTGTTATATTGGTCAAATTTGCTCCAAGATAGCTTCTCTGAAAGTCATCTAGGTAGGATTCGACGAGTGATGCTATGGCTACATCCGGCAGGTGGCGTTAGAAGGGTTCAAGACCCTGAAGCCTGATGATTGGCTGGCCTCAACATCCCTCAATACTCCTCAACTATCCTTCAACATCATTCTATCCGATCAACTATTGCTCGAAGATCCGTCTAATACCAACTCACTGGGCTCCCTTAATATGTAGAGCTATGGAAACACTTCGACATCACAATCCTTGTAACCTACGACCTCGACTCAGAGGCCTGTGTACTCATCAAGGCCAATACAAACAGGTAGTAAAGAACTACCTCCTCTTTGCCTGCTGCTTCGTCTAATTTCCATTCCGCTCTGCAAGGCAGCCTAAGTGCATGGCACCTACAATCTCTTGCCGTTGTTGAAACGGTATCCAATGGACGCGGATAGCTTCCTTTGTGGTGGCGTAGAATATGCGGCTGGTATGGCTGTGCAGGGCCAAGCCATGAGACCAATTCGTCCTACCACAATAGTCACGTCATATAAACCTACACCTCATCATCATTAATCACTTCGGAGCTGTATCGAAACCTGGAAATTGAATGATGCAAAATGCCGATTACATTTGGTTCAGTCGGCGACATCATCTCTGTTTGTCTCCTTGTCAAAGACCTCGTCGACACACTCGACAAGGCTCGCGGCTCCGAAGCCGAGTATCGGTAACTGACTAGGGAAATATGGATTCTAGATCGTGTCTTTTTGGAGATCGAACTCCTAGCACGGACGCATGAGGATGGAGCTACCCCCGAACTGGATGCGCTGTGCCAGACCGCACGACAGGCCGTGGATCGGTGCAAAGACTTGGTCAGCGCATTTCTGAAATAGATTAAGAGGTATCAATGCAGTTTCGGAGAGGTTGATGACAAAAAGACAAACTTTTTCAAAGTGACGGCAATGAAGGTGCGATGGCGTATTGGCGAGCGAGATGCTGTGGAAAAGTTTAGAGTTGAGATTGCAGGGACTAGCTCAGGTCTTCAGATGTTGCTGGCTACAGCTTCTGTGTAAGAATGCCTTCCCCTAATAATCGTTAGCACTACAATAGAATAACGCTGAATATGCCCATAGAAAACTGATGAGTGTCAACGAGAAAAATGGCAAAGATCACATCACCAGCATCCAACAGCAAAGCCAATCAAGCCTTACCCAACAGGACGCAGTCTTGCTATTGATTCACAATCAAATTGAGGACACGAATCGACTTCTTACGACTGGGAACTCGGTCACAAGCAAGATTGCCGATGCCCTTCGCCTGAACTGGCTTCGAGAGCTTGGCGCCGAACTGAAAGGGTTTTTGCGGCGCATCATTTCAATGAACATTGCTACATACCATGCCGTCTTGAGCATTCAATCCGCCCTCCCTGGTCGTCTCAAACGTGTTCTTATCGAGGAACCTTTTATTCTCGAGGACGCTACCGGCCGCGTAGCGCCCGTACCCCTTCAATTTGCCACATCATGGGACGCCTTCAACGCCGTCCTTGAAATCCGGTTCAAAAACCTCGAAGGCTTCAGGAAGATTAAATAAAAGCAATATAGCTTGCAGGACAAGGCAACGAGAAGAGACATCGAACAATCCAGACCATGGCAAAGGGCCTTCCTCCCGGGACAGCACGTCGAGATGAGCTTTGTATTCGACAGCAAAGGATCTGACGATGCGGCGTGTGGTAAAAATGTTACATGCCCTGGCTGTAACACCTCATCTCCAAAGCCCACTGACGCTGATATCAATTGCGAAAACTCCAGAATGTAGTTTCGGCGATCACAGTCATCCAAGACACTGAGCTTCCGCTGCAGAATCCTGTGCCAGCGCCCTGGAAAACGAAAGTGGAATTTGGAAAGACGGGATTTGCGGGGATTGGCTTTGCGGGCATGATTCTTGAACCTGCAAGACCGGGGAAAAAGAGAGCTGCACCGGGGAAAGTAGATGGGGAAGATGACTTGAGGGAGTTTAACAGAGTCCGGATGATCGCGAGAAGAAAACGAATTAAAGTCAGGCCTTCTGGGAAAGCGGGACATCGAGTAAATGACTTTATGACGTTCTCGACTGCCCCTCAGAGTTGGAACACACCCGAAAGACCCTCACAGCCCCTGGATTGCGTTGGTAATACCCCAGTGGAGCTGACGGTAAATGCCAAGACTAGTTTCGAGGACCTTGCCGAGACTGTAAAGATTGAACTTGAGAATGCTCGCCGAGCAGGATTGATATCGAGAGTACCAACTAACGATCTGGGTTTTGTCTCGGATCTCTGTGGGTTTTCCAGGAAAAATAATTCCGGGAAGGTGAACGCTCCTTTAAATGACGAGATCATGACGAGATCTCAGGAAAGCCAAATGCTCCTTCAAATGATGAGGCATCAGGGAATTCAAACGATGCCTTCAATGATGGGATCTCACAGAGGTCGAACGCTCCAAGCCCGGCACCGAACCGCATTCCACCAGATCTCTATGATTCATCTAGCTCGGAAGTGATTCTTTTCGAGGTTCTGAATCCTCACAAAATTGACATACGCAGGTGCCACCAAATCGTGGCGTCAAGAAGTATATGTGGGTTGAAAGCAACCCTATGGCCGGCAGCTCTAATTTTCAAGCTTTTATTCAAAAACATCGATTTTATAGAGGTATTGTGCTATGCACTGGATAGCCCAATTGATTGCACAGATATACCATTCCAGGAATACCCCTGCGGCACGGAGTTCCTGGTCCCAGGAAAATCCCAACAGTTTTATGGTTCCTCCTTTGGCCGGTGGATCTTTGACTGGACATGCGAGATGTAGATTTTCGAAAAGGGTTCTATTGCCTATATCAACATTGCCCACGATTTATGGATGAATCTATATGACCTTGAAGAGAAGCGGGCTGAACTTATCAACACGACTGGCTTGTGGTTGAGGAATCCGGGGGTCGGAGAATCTGATAGGGCTTTCACTCAGTTTTCTTTATCGCGCAGCCACTCCTTGGTCTCGTCACGTTGTTTCTGGTCCCAACTAGGACGGTTTGTGCATCTATGCATGATTCTCCATGATACGCCGGAATTTCTCCACGGCCTTGATTTGGAGACTTACATAAAGCTTAGAGGACCTATTTTCCTTGATGCCTTCTACGATGCTGCCTGGATTGGCGAGTCTGACCACATCCTCCGCATCCTCCATATTTGCCTTGCGTATAAGAAGGAGGTCCAGGAAATCCGCTCCATGAGACGGGCCGCTTACTTCGGCCGATTCTTTTCATTTGATGAGTAGCGCATGCATCGACCTTCAGTTTCCAAGGGGATAAAGACGACGTGAATTCCCAATGCTAAGAAAATCTCCAATAGGCCTGCTACTTATCGATTATGTATGCCTACAAGTGAAGTAATAGTGACGTCATTTCCTTTGACACCCTAAGACTAATGTGTATGTCTACAGAACATGGGGGAAATTACTGCACATCAAGATAGACTGGAAGATCAGTCAACACTCCTCTAAGAGGCGAAAAGTTTCGGAGCAATCAAAACCATCGAAGACTGTAGAATCCCACAATAACTTTCCCCCACTCAATAATTACGCGTCAATGCGCATCTTTTTGTGGAACATCAATGGTGTAAAACTGTTTTTATAGAAGCCTATTACGTCCTACTTCGAAGGCTCAAAATCAACGAACACCGAAGCAAACACACGGATGCCTTCGCTTTGAGAATTTCTCGAATGACACCTCTGGCCAGCTGTGCTCTTCCTTAAGGTGGTGGTTGAATTTCCGAGGTTAAATACGTAGCCACAAACACGTTCTTAACCGCGCGGACTTTCAAAGAAGATTTTGGGTGGGGGTTTTAACATATGTATATTTGGAGAGAAATGGCGATGAGTGGATGCCTATGTATTTCCCGCGCAATTGGGAATGGGGAAGTAGCTGTGGTAGAATGGATTGTTTTATTGTGAGAAGCAGAGTTTGGAATGGGGGGACAATTCTTGATACGTGGTATCGAACATACAGCCTGGCCGGAGGAGCTTCATGATGTGGCATCCGCGATGAAGTATCCTTTCCGATTTTCATCTCGCCAGAGCTCGAGCGCTATTATTTTGAAGGTCCCAGACATATGCCTTTTTTCTTCATCTTAAAACCGTTGACAGTGCTCATTAATCTCGATATTATAATTATGGCCCTCATGGCCCCAGTATCGATGAGCTTGTGGTGCATGCTATCGAAGGACACCGCAGTCCCAACACCGACTTCAAGCGCCATATTGAGACCTGTGCCACCATTGAACTTCGGTCCCGGTGCAATAAGCAGAAGTTCATGCGTTCTGCCCCCAACGTGTTTCGCCAATATCTCTCGATTTCTTCAAACGGGCCACAAGCCAACATGACATTTAGGGTATGCAGTTCGTACAGCAGTCTACCTTCTTTGTATACGGCTTTCATTTCGTGCTTCTAGTCATTGTCGAAGCAGAGGTCTTTGTACAGACGTAGGTATGCCATTGTCTAGCGGGAAGCGTCACAGCGTTCGTCGAGGTTGCTGACTTCGATTAGGGCTACCCGGCTGCTTTCGTTGAGTTGATTGCTAGTTTTGGGGAAGTTGAAGGTCGTTACGTAGCCAGCGAAGCCGGAGTATATAGTGGTAAGGTCGTGGGCGTCCATGCTGAGGTTGTTGAGACGGAGTTCTTTGGGATGTTTTAGGACCACTGATATTGTTACACGAACTAGGTTGGCTTTTGCTAGAGCTTTAAGATATCAGTATCGGATCAGTGACATTCCCCACATCGAGAGTCGGCTCCACGGAGAGGTGTGTTCCCGAATCTGGTGCTAGTGGTATGGGATGGGAACATCAGCGTTGTGTGGCCTAAGTACTCTCTCTCCAACCTTTGAGCCCTTGGATCACCACCGAATCTTCAATGTCCTGGCCACCACCCTGTGTCCTCAGCATCTCCACAGTATTTACGACCCCGGCATGAAATGAGAGATATTATTACGAGATGAGTAAATGGTCCAAGGGGAATAACACACACTAACGTACGATCTCAGAAACGTTCATCTCCCGAACCAGCGCTTCCAACGAGGCTTGTAGGGTGAGATTTTGTGTACGTTCGTACGACACGGAGAAGGAGAGGTAGGTATACGTATCATAACTGTTACAGCTCACGTGATCTGTACAAGTAGTACAATTTACTTAAAGTGCGCTGTACTCTGGTTAAAACAACTAATACTATAGATCTCTAGAGACGCAGGATTAAGGTCTAAAAGCTTGCTGCTTACTATCTTGTGCTGTAGCTAGTTCTTCTAGAGTCAAATAGCCTTAATTATTAGGTACTGTACAACTAGCTGCGCTAAAACACCTCTCGCACTCGCAACTAGTAGCTAAGATAGTACGGAAACTAAGGGCAAAGTTAATCTTACGCTCCCTTAGTAGGTGCTAAACAATATAGTTATAGCCACTCACCACCTTTGCAGCGCCCTAAGAGCCTTGATCATGACACCAACAGCAGATCCAGAGGCAGATTACCTTGGCCTGCTCCTCTAGGAGCGCTAAATCTGCGCGATAAGTCCACTACTCGCCAGAGCCCTCCTACTCCTCTAGAATCGCCATACAAACTTCCTAAAAGGGTAATACAATCTGTACTACGTACCGTACCTGGGGCATGATTAACGTACGGTGCAGCTCATGAACTCAGTACGTTCGTACTAAACACGTGACCGTTACGGTTCACTTTATACAGACCGTAGTACGGCCCGTTGGAAGCCCTGTCCCGAACCTGGCTGATGCGTATAGCTGAGCACACCAACACCAGCCTTTACCCCACTTCATAATCGCCCCAGAAATCTATTCGTGAGGGGCTGGGATTTAACTCCGAACAAGCGCTTACTCTTCCCATCCCATCATCCTGAAGATCTCTAATCTATATTCCCGAAACCCCGGGCCTGGTCAACCGCAAAATCTGATCTGATCCTCAACTCCACGCTTTTCTTTCCTACCAAGGACACACAACGCCCACCTTCAAGTCCCCTTGAAGAGCACAATGTCCGAGCCCAAAAACCCCTACACTGGCGCACCCTCCCTCTACCCTCCTTCCATGTTCTCCACCTCCATGTCCGGAACCTGTCTCTGCAAAGCTATAGCTGTAACCATCAGCGACTCGGCGCTATTCACAACGCGCAGAGGGCACCTGTGCCATTGCTCTAATTGTCGGAAAATTTCGGGCTCGTATGTCGCTGCTAATTTCGTGATTGAGAAAGAGAAAGTCGAGGTTAAGGATAGAGAGGGGACGCTGAAGAAGTTTGAGGATTGGGAGACTGGCAGTGGGAATGTTGTGATTAGGGGGTTTTGTGGCAGGTGTGGGTGGTAAGTCAGAGCAAGGTTTAACACTTGTCGTTTCCCCCCAACGTTAACAGATATCAATATATGCCATCCCAGCGATCCACCTTCACCACCAGACGTTTATCTCGTCTTCCCACCCGCAACCCCCGGGGTGGGATAGACTTTCGTTGAACTATCTCCCGCAAATCTTTCCTGCTGACATAAAACCACCCTAGTCCGGTATTTTCTGAGTCTGCAATCACACCAGATAAGATCATCCTTAAAATGGGACTTTTCCCTCGCATCCCGGCACCGGAAGCGGAGAGCTTTGCCGAACATCGACATGAATGGCAGGGTAAGCATGACGGGGTTGTGCAGTTTGCGACCGTGAGGGGTGGGAGGAGGCTGGGGGGGTAGAGCTGTAGGGGTTGTGCATGGGTTGCCGATGAAGGTAGGGGTTGGCTAGAGATGGGGTGGCAGAGAGTGGAATATTGAAACGGAACGAGGATTTAGGAGATGACAACAGGAAGCAGACATGGCATCGATTTATGGACTAATTTCATCAGGTATCCAAACTGCATGTTGAGTCTGGAGGGGGTCTCAAAATGCCCATATTCCCTGAAATTTAACATGATTAGAGTATCAATGGCGTATTTTCTAGATCCATCTCGACGCCGCAGCTCAGCTGTGGGATCTGCGAATACTTACTCTGGTCCAGTAATTTTCTCGTCGTCTGCAGCGCCTGTTCTAACGTCAGTATCATACTTTCACGCGGGTACCTTTTCCAATATCATTACTCACCTGCACATACGAGGGATTTGCGTCCCGCTTCATAGTCTCCAAGAAAGCCCACGTCATCGCCCCAGTACTCTGACCCTGAATCCTCGCATCCGCACTCGTCTGGTCATCCCTACACCCACTAAACATCGTCACCATCTTCTGCTCACTTCCATACTGACCCGCAAACTCCCCACCCGCCAACCCCTCCTCCTCTTGCTCACCCATATGTTTTAGTCCGCGGAAAAAGCTCGTGGCGCCAGCAAAAAGTTCCCGCGCTTCGCCAATTTTCTCGTAAGAGAAGCCGCCTTGAATGAGATTTGAAGCCTGGCCGACGAGCTGCGCGCCGGCTTTCAAGTTATCCATGAGGTTGATCTGGCCCTCGGAATCACTGCGATACACGAACGGGAGTTCCACAGCGGAGCCTGAGTGGCAACAATCCATGACAATGAAAAGAGTGCAACCCGGCGCCATCCGCGTGACCAGGTGCTCATGAAGCAAGGTACTGCTAATCTGTCCACGTTCCTCAAAGTCAATCGGCACAATCGAATCATCAAGACCAGTCGAGCGGTTTCCATCAACATCCTGGATCTGGCCGCCGTGTCCAGAATAGTGCAAGAAGAGCGTGGAGTTCGGTTCGCAGACTAGCCAGTCCATTGCTGCGAGGATGTTGTGGCCTGTGGGGTAGTACGGTGAGTCGTATGGTACTCCGCGGAGGTCGGAGAGAACGATTCGCGAGCGGTGGTCGTCCGTATAGCCGCGATAGCTGAGAAACTCAGCGATGTTGTCGATGTCTTGGTGGCACCCTTGGAGTGCGTTCTTGGTCCCGGTGTAGTTGATCCCAATGAGGAGCGACTTCTTTCGCTGGTTGGACATTTTGGCGGATAACAAAAGCGGGGGGAAATAAAGAAAAATGTCGTTAAAATAGCGTCCGTAATCAGTACTTACAGATATAGGCGTTGATAGCTAGAAAAGAGGTGGTGAAGTCGAGGGCCGAGAGCCGGTCGGTGAATTGGCGCCGATCGTTACGTGTTTCGGAATTGCTTTTGTGGAACCTATCAGGTGAGAGCTCTCACCTATGGGATGCAGCCCACCGGCCCACGTTGAAAACATCAGCGGAAGTCAAAATTGAGATATTTCTCGGGATCTAAACACAGGCAAACATGAGTACTGAATGAGCTTCATGGATACCTCCCGTGCCAAGATCAGATCTTCTTCAATAGGGCATGGGACCCGGGGATGACAAACCAAGCCCTCCAATCACACATCACGCACCTAAGGCGGAATAAAAATGGACACGATTATCGAGCAAGAGCGGTACTCAACTCGAACCCATTATTTTCTTGAACAACCTCTGAATCTTGACAATTTCCAGCAAACCCTAACACATTATGCATTTGTACGAAAGCATAGTACCCTCCGGGAATGCCTATAAAGTGCGGCTATTGCTTTCGCACCTCGGAATAGAATATGAAACAACCTTCCTCGATATTCTCACAACTCCGCCAGAGACACGAAAGCCAGAATTCCTCGCCATCAATCCCAACGGCCGCATCCCCGTGCTAATCCTCGATGATGGAACTCCCCTCGCCGAATCTAATGCGATTTTATTCTACCTTTCCGAAGGCACAAAATTCCTCTCGGAAAGTAAACTCGGTCGGGCTAAAATCCTGCAGTGGCTCTTTTTCGAGCAATACTCGCATGAGCCGTACGTCGCCGTCTGGAAATTCTTGACGTATTGGGGCGACTTTAGCGATCGATCGGAAAGCGAGGTGGAGAAGCTGCGGCAGAGAGGTCAAGAAGCTTTAGATGTCATGGAGAGGCATTTGGAGGGGAAGAAATTCTTTGTTGACGATGCATTCTCGATTGCGGATATTGCATTGTATGCATATACGAGCGCGGCAGAGGTAGTAGGGTTTCAAGTGGACGGGAATGTGAGGGCGTGGTTGAAGAGAGTGGAGGAGCAAGATGGGCACGTTAAGATCAGGAAGGATCCCACTGGAAAATGTCCCTTGTAGAGGATTTAGAGTCTACTATTCACAGACTAAGAATGAATTGTAGATTAAGTTTTGGCAGTGAATAGATCTTGATAATCTTGACCCTCGAGGCGATGATACATATTCGGGAGGTTCAGTGCATATCTCGTCATCTGTAGAACATCTAGATAATCAGGCCAAGCGGGCGCGATCAGAAGGCGACGTCAGTGTTGTCAACGGCCCTTAGGCCGTAGTTACGGATGCTGTTGAGATGTGAATATAATCAATATATAAGCTATGATAGTACTGTAAAACGAAGAGATTTCTACGCTACGTAACGTAGGCCGTACGCCTGAAGGGAAGCGTATTCTGTATCTATTTTAGAAATTAATATTTATAACAATCTCATTTAGTTTTGACAGCTCTTTAACAACTGTTGTAATTTATGTAAATTACCCTATCTTAAACTAGTTCTTCTCTAACTGTAGTGCCTGAATTTTCAAGTCTTGTAGCTAATCCCTGTATTTTGTAAATTATTCAAGCAGCATAATATTGTCCTCAAAACCCATCCACTTAGCACCAATTCAAAGCCTAAGTTCCCCCCTCTACTAAAAAACCCCCTAATCGTCGTTGACTTCATTCTGTAAGGATTCTGGATGAAAGGGCACTAGTAGCAACGTAGAGTGGTGGGAAGGGCCAATGAGGTCTATTCAACAGGGCGGTGAGACCAACCGCTACCGAGCCGAAGTGGCCACAATTTTTCTTATGAAGGCTAAGATAGTGACGTAAGCCCTAATAGGGGTTAAAACAGGCCACCCTACCTTACATTATCCTCCTTTTTGTCAGGCTTTCGTCCCGAGAACTAAAATAGGGTAATAGATTCCTGTGTGGATATCCCTAAGATTCGCACGTTCACCATGTGAAGTGAAGGTGAAAGACGGTGGTGAAGTAAGAGAGTCAGTGAAGGAGGCAACAGTACACGTGACGCGCTAGTCAATGAGCAGTGAAAGTGAAGTAGCCTATATAGGAATCCCGCCCGCCTATGGACACCATTACTCCTTTCCTCCACTCCTTCGCCGTGGTAAGTTTTCAGCGTATGTGGGCCCCCCACATTCTAGGCCAAATTAGCGTAGTCTGGCAGACATTGGCTCTCTCCAGCCTTCGCTAACTTCTTTTGCAGCACCTGGCCTCTCTCCGCGCCCTTTGGTTCTGATCTGGCTCGTCTTGGCTCTCCGTAAGCTCTCTCAAGCCTTGTTTTGCCTCTGTTTAGCGCAAAGAACCCCTTTTCAACCTCCTTCGGCACAATATGGTGGGTCTCAGCATTGCCAAGCGTCCTCAAGCCGATGCCGTCAAGCATGCACGCGCTGCCTCGACAAGCTTGCCAAAGGGCAGTTCAATGTTGATGATTATCCCTGTCGTTTTCCCAAGGATGAAACCTTAGTCGAGACCTTCTAAATCAACGGCACCTACTTCAACAAATATCTCCATTGCATGCAACTTGACCAGAATTGCTTCCATGTAAGTGCCTGAGTCTGGTCTGGCCTCCTTAGGCCCTCTTTGATTCTATTAACTATCCTATAGCCTCCAGAGTACATTCGCCAGGACTACGTGAGGCTTGAGCGCTTGTTGTTGGAGTGGGAGGAGGCCATAGTTGGAGATAACGATGCGACGGTCGCTTCCAACATTGCCCAGGCCAAACGGGCTGTCGTGGACAAGTCCAACCTGATGATTGCCCTGCTGCGCTGGTAAGTCGCTCTTTGGCTCTCTTGGTCCCCTTTTGGCGCTGGCTGGCTCTTCTAGCCACACTCTGAAGCTTTCTAACAAATTGCGCGCTCGCTCTGGCGAGGATGACTGTACTGCCACTGGAGTGGTGCTCAAAGGTCGTGACCGCACCAAGGAGTCCATTTTCCGCAAGGAGAAGCAAGCACAAGCAGCGGGAGATTGAAGACGCTTGGCAATGCTGAGACCCACCATATATTGTGCCGAAGGAGGTTGAAAAGGGGTTCTTTGCGCTAAACAGAGGCAAAACAAAGCTAGAGAGAGCTTACGGAGAGCCAAGACGAGCCAGAGCGGAACCAAAGGGCGCGGAGAGAGGCCAGGTGCTGCAAAAGAAGTTAGCGAAGGCTGGAGAGAGCCAACGTCTGCTAGACTGCGCTAATTTGGCCTAGAATGTGGGGGGCCCACATACGCTGAAACTTACTACGGCGAAGGAGTGGAGGAAAGGAGTGATGGTCTCCAGAGGTGGGCGGGATTCCTATAGTCTACTTCACCGCTGCTGCTTGTTAACTAGCGCGTCACGTGTTTTGTTACCTGCTTCACTAACTCTCTCACTTTACCACCGTCTTTCACCTTCACTTCACATGGTGAACATGTGAATCTTAGGGGTATTCACACCTGAATCTATGATCTTATTTTAGCTTTCGGGACGAAAGCTTGACAAAAAGGGGGATAATGTAAGGCTGGGTGGCCCCCTATCAGCGCTTATTTCACCATCATAGCCTTAATAAGACGAATCGTGGCCACTTCGGCTCCGCAGCGATTCGTCTCATCAACCCCCGTTGAATAGACCTCATTGACCCTTTCCAGAACTCTATGTTGCTACTCGTGCCCTTTTATCTAGAATCCTTACACATTCATGGAAATACTATCTCTCGTCTCTATACAAAATGCACCAATTCCGAGCTTTTTTAAGTCTGAAATAAAAAAGGCTTACGATGATATCCAAGGATTACCCTTGAAGAGATGTTGTAGATCTGAAGTGTTTTTGTAACCAGGCCAAGTCACTGTCTACTAGTGACTGTACCTCTCTATTTCTCAAGGCTCTCTTAGAGGCTCCACATCAATACAACACTCTTCCGCTGCACTACCACCCGGCCGTACAGTTTTTGTCGAAGGAAATGTCGAAGGAAACCAGAAGAGCTGTATTGTTGCACGATGGTGATATCTCTGGGGATTGGATGCAGCGGACTAGCAGAGGATCAGGTGCTGGATTACTTGTCAGTGTTAGTCTTTGAACAAGCCTTCATTAGAAGTAGTTGAAATAGCTATTGCAAACTCTAACTACATTTGTTCTTAATTGAGACTCTTACACAATACGATGTTTTCTTACATTTTGTTGATCCTGTAATCCCTCCTAATTAGGAGTGAATTGTAGTAAGATGATAAAAGAAGTTATGGTGAAACATGCTCTTTCGCTATCAACACTAGTCTTGCTTGCCGTGTCTTCATTTCAATTCAACTAAGAACGCTATACAACGACCCTTTACGTAAAATTTAAAATTTAAAAATTTTTTTTTTTTTTTCAAAAACTACGGCCGAGGAATGATTGAGTAGAAGGGGTAAAATTCTTCGCTCTTCCAATCTCAATAAAGACGGATGCGGCTTGGACACCATTATTTCCCGAACTCCAAAGGGATATTCGCGCAAAATCAAGCCGATGTTGATTCAGGGCCTTCTGAGGCTCTCTCTGACCACTTCGAAAATGCAAGACAGTAGCTCGGCTAAGGATCTGGCTTTGAGCCAGGAACTAATCAAGCGTATTAATATGCCTGCTAACCTCGAAACAGCTCATATTCGTTACACTACTACCACATAGGCCGCCGTTGAAAATTTCAGCCCTATGAATAGCTATGCAAAATCTTTAATAGTCAGGTAGTCAAGACTTTGAGACATGTTTCGTATCCAAATATACTGCAACCGTAGGAGAGCGAGACCGTTCGCTTGAACATTTTACCTTCGACTACGCAACAGCGTGCGGTTCTTGGCAACAATAAGAGTGACACACTTCATCCTTCTCCAACCAATGTCCCTGCACTAAGCACGCCTTCTCCACTACTGCTCAAACGACCCTGTCCACAACCTCACTCTCTTTCATCTCCCTACTCCTTCTCTCCCTCCCTCTACATCTTTATTCAAACAATCGTAAACGTCTCAGGTTTCTACCTTTATTTAACCTCTTATAAACCTCTTTCTCATTTCTGCTATCGTCTTCCTCTGTATGAGGGGTTTATGCGGAGAGCCATTTTCAAGCTCCTGCTCTACGACACATGCTAAGGTGGTGTTCATTCAAGCTTGCATTCACGAACCTGAAGTCTCAAAAGCATTACCATACACATCTCTACCATAGAGCCCAAGTAGTTCTTCAGAATAAGAGGGTCTCAAGAATTCTTCTGAGACCTGGGTGCTCCGTTTAGCTTATCCCGTGCCGTAGCGTTCGGGCTGCGCCACCATTGGATGAAGCAGACAAAATCGTCCTTTGCTCTTCAACTAGCAAGGTTGATGTGAAGTAGAGAGAGTGACAGCCTATAATGATGAGGGAATACGACTAGGAGAATGAGCATTAAATATGCTGGGCTGGAACCCGTTGCAAAAGAGGGAAACCCAATTGCTTGTCATTCATTCTACGGGACATATATGCCTTGGCTATAATCTGTCTATCCCTGCTCTTGCGATGTATTGCCTAGTTACTCGAGAACTTGTGCTGCTAGGAGAAACATCTATACTAGCTTCTGTATCCGCGAAATGCTTGCGTGAGCAGGGCTTGTTGAGAGCGCAAGATCTGAGTCTAATCGCTCAAGATTTATCATCATCTCCTTGTGTCCTCAAAGCCATATCCGACTGCATCAAGGCCCTTTCAAGTACCACCCCAACTAGCCACACCAGGTCCAATCCCTGACGCACCCAGATTCGAGCTAAGGCGTCGGAAGCCAACACCCATGCCAACCGGAACAGAAGATCTCCTTCGCAGGGGTCTACCATTCCGGGTCCCCCGTCGTCTCGCTGAATGACTCCTGACTTGCGCTATGCTGCTCCCGGTGCCCCAGCGGATGTGGTGTCTTCCTGGTCCTTCTTCTTCGCTCCAGAATGCTTCATCCTCGGATTCAATCGCTACACTAGATCGAGTACTGGTGTAAGAAAGCAGGTTGGTTGATTCCCCGTAATCGCATTCCGAAGCCACAGCATCCTCATCATCGTCTGCACCCCCTAATTTTCCATCTTCACCCGACTCTTCTGAAGAAGCAGAAGCAGAGACAACACTCTCCATATCCGAATCTGGATCATCCCCAAACCCCTTGCCCTCTACTAGCCACAATGTCGGAATGAAGCCTAGAAGCGCGATCGCAGCCAGCGCCCAAAATGGGGGGATGACGTACCCTCGCTTGACGGCCCAAGTAAAGATTCCACCGCCAATTGAGGGCCCTGCAGCACGACCTACAGCGGAGACGCTGGTTGCAAGACCGTTGACAGTTCCGAGAACCCGGAGACTGGCAGCGCTGTTTGTTAGCATGATGGTTGATGCTGGGAAGGCGAATGTGCCGCCTACGCCTCGAATCATCATTAAGATTAGAATAGCAACCTGTTGGGAGAACTGAGTAGGGAGCAGAGAGGTAAATGGTGTGATGATGAAGACGACAGGGTAGATCAGCATAGCCATCTGGAGGCATGGAAGAACTCCAAAATAGCGGGTGAAGGGGGGAAAGACGAGAAACTGGCACAGAGTTGAGGATATGCTGAAGATGGTGAAGAGAACGCCGATCTGTCCATTCTTGAGACCGAAGCCACCACTGAATTTAAGTGGCAGATTTACTCCGGGATCGTCGATGCTTTGTGGAGGGTGATGCATGAAGACGGGAAGAAGCTGCATGGATGATGTTATGGATACGCTCAGTATTAAGTACTACAGGGAACTTACCTGATCGTAAGCCAGAGAGTATAACGCTATAAAGGTGTAGGCGACCAAATTTAAGGTCGTCTGGCATGTTAGCACATCCCTCAACCTCGGCTTCTTTTCGATTTCGGCGGCGATTATGGGGTCCTGCGCTGTTTCCTCATCATCGGGTGCTTTCTGGTGGAAAAGTAGCGGTTCCCTTTCAGCGTGAGACTTCTTCTGTCGCTTAGGGAGGTTGAAGGCCTTGCGAACCCAGGCAGCGATCTTAGCGCCAATAATCAAGCCCAAGTCTCGATCGTATTTCTTGCTTTCAAGAGATTCCTAGTTATGTTAATGGAGCGCAGTGAAGAGTGATATTAGACATACTTTTAGGAAAAGCCAGCCAGTGACAATGCCAATGCTAAAAAGAACGGCAGCAACAATGTTGGGCAGTACATATGGGTATCTTTCGAGAAACCTATCTCCATGTGGTTTTTGTGCATCTATATGAAGAGGGTTCGATAGAACGCCACCTAATGTCTAACACCTACGGTCAGCACCAGTGAGTAATTTGTAAAAGACGAGTATACCGGTCCAAATATGGCACCAATGGTGTAGACCAAAGGCATGATACTGAATGCTCGAGGCTGCAATTCTTTCCATGGACAAAGCTCAGCCACGGCAGTTCTCAGAATGCCAATATTCCCGTTCCCCAAGCCTTGCAGGGTGCGAGCTGTGATGGCCATGGGTAAGCTAGTCGAGAAGCCCCAGATCAGGGTTGTGATCATGGTATTGATCAATCCAATAAGAATAATAGGCTTCCTCCCAAAGCGGTCAGACGCAGCACCCCATGGTATGCCTGTCAAGCATTGGCTGAGGGAGAAGACAGACGACGTCACGCCCGCCCAGCGCGCAATATCGTTTTTCGGGACTCCAAACGACTCGATCATTTCAGGGAGGTAGGGGAACACGGAGGTAAGAGCGATGGGCTCAGCGAAGCGACATATCGCTGGGTGTGCTTTTTAGCAGTCCCACTTGAAGATTGGTCAAGTTTGGACGTAGAACTTACATAAGATCACCAGCTGTTTGACTGGGAGGCGGCGTTGTGTCATGGCGGTGTGACGTGAAGCCTTGAGGGCATTCTAGAGTCTAGAGAAGAGGGAAGAGAGAAGAGAGGGAGAGAGAAGAGAGAAAGACGGGGAGAGAGAAAGATGAGGAGGTAGGCCGTCCAATCGAAGTCTGAGTCAACACTGCATGTGGCCGGTGTGAACTCATGCGCAGTCGGAGTAAACTCATGGAACTAGTGGCAATCACGCGCCATCTCGACATCCTCCGGCTTGCCACCATCCATCCATTTTCATCCTGCATCCACTTTCACCCTGCATCTATTTTCACCCCCCATCTCAGGCCCTCTGCCAGTGCAGAATGCCATGTCGTCGAATTGCGGTTGAAGAGGAGCCAAAGTGATCGTGTGCTGTCGAATGGCAAATAGCACAACCGGTAAGCCCAAGCTTCGGCTCGGTTCGTGAGCTGCCAGTGAACCCCGCCAACTCCAGGGTTCGCATATCGATGCAGGAATCCCTGAAGGCGCAGTCTTATTTTCATCGCATCCTTCTCAATGGCTAGCCTGAGACAAGCTTATTCCTTCATTGTTTCTCAGAAGTCGTCTCAATGTTTTTTCTTGACTTCCAAAGTGGCGGAACGCCCCGCTTGTTCATGCTTATCGGTCCCAGTCCGCCGGGTACTCCGAAAGAAGCATGCCGAAAATACTTTGTTTATTCCGAGGATTTCTTTTGACTGTGTCCAGCGATGCGCCACGATCGCACGCTAATGGCCGTCGTCAATCTTTCACCTTTAAATCATTCCCGGTGGATCACGTCTTACGTACCTGGCCCACTTTTTTTGACTGTTCCGCTCAGATACTTGGAAAAAGCGGAGGGTGGAGGGTGGAGGATCTGAGACATTATCTCAACCGAACACGAATTGCCTGACATTGGCCCCGACCAGGTTTCCGTGCCCTCCTTCAATTTTTTCGGCTTTGAACACCAGAAAGCATGACCAATGTTCAAATGTTTTAACCTTCCACAGCATAATCTCTCAACTTAACATAGGGCTATGGGTAGATACGACTCCCAGGCGGCCTATAACATCTCACAATCACTTTCGAGCTGGTCTTGGCGAATTTGAGCAGATGGGATCTCGGTTTTCGTCTTCCGAGTGGGGGTGATTTCCAAGAATACTAGGTCACAATGTTGGTGAATCGCGTTTCTTCGTGGAGAGGCCACCTATTCCGCTTGCATCACACACGAACTAGGTAACATCCACGTGTTGAATGTAATTGCCTGGGGAAATACGACATGTATAAGAGTTCGCAAAGAGGCAGGGTGTTGTAGTTGTTTATCGCAATCTCAGTTATAGAGAGATACGCGGCATGAAGAAATTTTAAACCATTCTTGGCCTTGTAGCCTTAGGTCTATCCCCTTTGTCCCGAGAAACCCACCGCGCTGAGAAGTATGAGGGGTACTTTGACTTCAAGCAACTCAGACTCTACGGACACGTTAGTATCTATAATAGTCCTATATATATTGTGTTCTGTAACTATTCCTGAACAGTAGAACCCTTCTAGCCTAAAACTACGTTCGCACCGTTACCTTTGCGCTTAATTTACAAAGTGCCTCTTTTTATACTAAATCAGACTTCCTTCTCCATTGCACCACCGCTAAACTGTTACCACTCCTTATACTAATAATAGCGTCTTATCAAAGCTTTAGAGCTTTGCTACAATGCTTAGGAGTAACTATTAACATGGTATTTGCTATCTCGCGGAAATCCATGCAGTGTCGCCACACTGATCGATACCTCTAATAATAATGGCGATAACCGGTTCAGGCTAGTACAGAACCAACTCCACCTCGCATAAATTAACTCAGGGTGTAGTTTCCCTAGAGTGGTTGTTGAGCTATGGTTGCGCAGAGACTTAGCAAGCAGGCCAGTCTTAGCCCCACAGCCTTAGTTATGCCTCTAGTCAACTTACTAAACTCTCTGAGAACACTTGCAGAATCGCCGCCTTACAAGGCTTAGTTTGGAGCGGGTCAGCCGTCCCCCCTGCTACAGTAGCATGATCGAGGCGTTCGTCTGCCTCTAGCAAGACTCATGTGCCGTGGCAAATATTTAACACGTAATTCTGGTGGGCGTCTTCTTACATTAGTGATGGTATGCTTGAAGCTTCGCTGTGGCAAATTGGCAAGCTATATATTCATGCAAATTCCCGGCCCTATGAAATAGAGAGAGAATAATAAATATATTATAGTAAATAACAATGACATAAATGCTCTGATGCCCTAGGACGCATTAAGCTTGTTACGTTCAACCTTACATATCCATACCCTTCCATGACTAGTACCAATACCAATCATATTCGTAGATACTATAAAATACGATGGTCTATCTTTTGATGGTAGCCATAACAGGTTCCCCAGGTTGTATACTATCCATGTATGATCTGAACTCCAGCCTAGGCCTTGGTAGACCATGTTGTCATTTGACCCACGCGTTATGGCCCTCGAGCGTCTGGAGGCACTCGCCGCTGCTTGCATCCCAGATCTTGACGGTCTTGTCACCTGACCCTGCGCCAGCCGGTTCGAGTTGTGAGAGAAGGCTCTGAGCCGGACTACGCGCTATGGCCCTTGAGCTTCTGGAGGCACGAGCTCTATTTCTCTTCCATAGCTAGCTTTATTGTGATCTAATCCCGCCCTTCTCTCTTAAAAAGACCTCTTATCAGACTGCAAATTGGGTTGAATAGGATTGTAGCGCCATATTCCTGAAGAGGGCTCTTCTTCATTGCCCACTTGTGAGACACGAAAAATTGACGCGCATCCCGCACTAGCTTGATCAGTGCGTGTGAACCTATTCTTCCATAGCCTGTATTAGCAGATAATATGCATAGATATAATCGCTAATCTCGGTTTACCTCTGCTACAGTCTTACGTCTCGTCATCGCAACTACACACCGCGGCATGCTCTTACAGAGGCCAAGTGCTTCTAGCCAGGAGAGGAACATCCTCTTTGTTAATAGTACCTCCATCATGTAGACCGCATGCACGATTTTCACAGAGATGGTCGACCCAGTAGATGCACGAGTAACGTGATGCTGCTAATGGGTCTGGGTCTGGTTGCTTAGACTGCTCGGTAGGATACCCTAACTAACAAAAGCTGTACATGTCTTGCCGGAGTGTCTTAGACATGACTTGGGGTGATTTCGAGAAGATGGAATGGTGAATATCCCTAATCCTGCACGGGAAGATGCTATGGCTTGGTTTATCAGATAGGAAGTCTCGAGCAGATTGATGGATGATGTAGAAACTGCCTTCTCGTATTTTAAAGAATGAGCTACACATCTTCACAACTTGATTTACGTCCTGGGCCTCGGTAGGTAAGCCGGATAAAAGATGCAATTCTTGTAAGTGTAACGGACAGTACGCAGCGATAACAGGGGGCATAACCTATCGGAAATGTTATGGATATTGACGCTGCAGATGTTTGATTTACTCTATCATCTGACGATATACGTCTTTTAGTTCTGTTGGGATTTCTTTAAGGACCTGTAGTGCCTCCTAGGCCATCACCCCCTTTAGCTCCTTAACAAGAAGAGATACTTACCAGAGAAAGTGCTATTAGCTCTTTGCTGCAATTTTCCCTAGACTACCTCTCAGAGGTTGTTGTGTTGAATTTCTAGTAATTCTAACAGGTAATAGTTGATGTACGCATTCACAGCACAGGGCATCTGATAAATAGACATAGCATTAAGTCAAGTTGGGGCACCAGCGAAACATGGATTTGATAACCTGCGAGGGTTTAACCTTGTTTGCCTTGTCAATGCAACAGGTGTTAATCTAAAAGTATTCTAAGTTGTCTAATCTAGCTTGTTCTCGGCAGAACTAAATCTTTTTATAGCTAGGCTTATCTCTGCTGGTACTATTTGTTAGGTCACTAAAGGTGACCTTGTCAGCGTCCGCTCCCCATGTGTGTGGAAGGATGGCGTAGGGAGGATTGCCTCATTGCAAAACCGAGCAAGACCGAAATCGCCAGCGTCGCAGCGTCGCAAAAGACGCATTGTTTCGCATGGAACCGGACGAGGCAAGGGGTAGGATCGGGTTCCAACACTGTAGCCAAACTAAAGAGACAAACAGGGCCTCTCGCTCGTCCAAAGATAATATTAGTGCTAGCTATTGAGGTTAGCAAGCATACAGGAAAGATAGGGCGTTGCAGTGGGGATCTAAGAGTGAGACAGCGCAAGAGTGCTGAGAGTGAGTTCTGCTGTGCCTTGCTACACTCGTAGCTTTGTGAGGAAGTTAAATAGAACGCATGCTTTAGTGCAGCGAGGTTAACGTGTTTTGCCAGTCATCCGCCAGCCCCAAACTCACCAAAAATGAGAAATTTTGTACCCTAATATCTCAACGACATAATATGTTTTAAAATTTTATAACAAGTCTCATATGCCTCATGTAAGACTCTAGTTTAAACTTAAAGGCTATTCATTAACTAAATCTTAAGAAATAGCAATTCAACTAAAGCTTAGAGGTGAGAAACATAACGTCTTAATAACAGCTAGGTCTATTACCTCGGAGCCTTTAGCAGGAATCCTAAAATAGGTATTTAAGACGAGGGATACATTTTTCGACGTTGTAATTAAGGCGATGCTAAGATATTAAGGCACATATCTTCTCATTTTTGGTAAGTTTTGGGGCTGGCAGATGACTGGTAAAACACGTTAACTGGGCTGAGATGCATTAGCCAGACTTCAGGAAAAGCCCATTTCCAAGTCTTAGGATGGATATGCTTATATCTTGAGAAGTGGGCGAACACCTTGGGTATGCTACCAGGGAAGACAGCCGGCCCGCTCTAGCATTGACCTTGTGCCGTGGCGATTTCCACTGGCAGTTCTATAGTAGCTAGAGAGCGGAGTTGGTGACTGTAGGTCCCATTCTCGTCTACATGTCTAAAGCTCCTTCAGCTGTTTGTGCACACAATGGCCCCGGATCCTGGTTCAAGATCTCGCAACTCGGCCCAACATTTTCTTTCGGCGCGATGAACTAGCCTATGCAGATTGACAATATTCTTTCAAACATTCGAAGAGTCTTCCGAGCGGCCAAAATTTGCTGCGGGTTGAGCGGATTGCATTGCAACAAGCGAGTCAAGAGAAAGGCGTACAGTTCTCTATTAGCGGTGCGAATGTGAATGTCGCTAGTGGAGGCAATGGGAGTCAGGGGCCGATGATTCAATTGCTGGGAGGATATAGCGCGAATGATCCGGGAATTAAGTTGAACTTATGTATCCCTCCTGTCAGTGTTATAAGTTATTGCTAACCTGTTTGTAATTTGTAGCCTTAATATCCCATTCCTACGAGCTATGCGATGCCGGGTCCTACAGTGTGAGTTGGTTAAGCCAGAGGGAATTGATTGCGGCTCATGGCGCAGATAACGGTCAGGCAATGCGAAATCAACACAGTTCCTGGATCCGCTGCCCTTGTTGGGAAGTCCCTCGGCCAACCATGAGTCTAAATAACGACCCTAATCCATGTATGTCCTTGTGAAATGCGAAGAAGGTCTATCTATACGGGCACTGGCTACCTTTTTAGTCTGCTAGGCTTCCCACCTGCAGAGTGCCATGCTTTGTTATCGCATGACGGCTGGATCAGTGGAATGTTTACTAGCAATAGGGAAGCCTTGAGGAATCCTGTTTCTTGGATATATAAAAAGGAAGTTCTCTCGCCAGTGTTTCGAAGCACTGGGGCCTTTGGTTAGGATAAGATACAACACCACTGAATGCGTACATCTCGTCCCGGTTTCGAATCAATGCCAATAATAATCCTTGGCTTTTTTTTCTTCATGCTAAAATTTCCGCTACTCTGCAATTGTCAGGCGACCAAACCAACTTCAAGAAGAATCTTACGAATACATGCAAGGATTGATGCCGGTAAGCTTGTTCCCTTCATTATTGTGAATCCTTCGTGCCCAGGGATGCCGAGGTGAGCCGGTCGAGGTGCATTGTCGCTTGGCTAAAAGGGAAGGTGCGGAGTGATTACGGTCAATCACCACCAAACGCGAGATGGAACGTCGCACTGTTTGTTGATCCGTCATCCGAGGACCTGGAAAGCAGAAATAGCACGTCATAGTCATTCAGGCACCAATTCTGGACTCTGACTTCGTCCCTCTTCTTACCTCTCTTTACTCCTTCACTAGTAATTGATTTCCAGAATGGCTCTAATTCAGGCTATTGTTGGCACGCTGCTGCTAGGATCTGTGCTGGCATTTACCCCAGAGTTTGTATCCCGTTCCCCCCAGTTTAATCTAATCCTGACGCGCTCGAAGGCAGATGCTCGCAGCACCCAGACGAAGCACTGCGAATGTCAATCCCAGTGGAGTAGGTTTCACGCACAGTTACTACTACTCAATCTTGTCTTCAATGCTAAGTTCTCTTCAGGAATGGGCTCTCTTTACATCCACTAGCTACAACTGGACGACTCACAAACCCTCAACCAAGTGGCAGCTCATGAACGTTGACAGCGGCGACATCACTGCTGCTCCTTTCGATTCTGGCATTTCCGAAGTTGTATGGGTCGGCCCCTCCAACACGAGTATTCTCTATATCAATGGCACGAACGACGAAATTCCCGGCGGTGTGACCTTGTACACCGCCGATATTGGAGCTAGCAACTTTTCACCGTAGGCTCAGCGATAATGGAGCTTCGTTGTACTTTTCTCACCGAGCACAGCACTCTGGTCGCGTCCCTCGGCGCACCCTTCCAAGGCCTCAAAGCTGTCAATACTGACTCTGGCGCCATCAAATTCATCGTAAACTGCCTCGCCTACGCGAACAATGGGTCTGCCTACAATCCTGACCTCGCCAGCAAATCACGGAGCACAGGGCAACTGTACGACGCCAATTTCGTCCGCCACTGGGATGTCTACCTTACAGCCGAACGTTATGCCATATTTAGCGGTATTCTCTCATCCGGGTATGGTGGGTCGTACACCTTTGACGGGACCATAAAAAATCTTCTTTGGGGTATGCAGGCACCCGTCACTCGACCAGAATCTCCGGTCCAGCCATTTGGTGACCAAGGCGACTACGATCTCTCTCCGGACGGCAACACTGTAGCTTTTCTCACCAAAGCACCGGAACTCCCAAAAGCTAACTATACGGCGAGCTACATCTACCTTGTTCCCCATGATGCTTCCCTCACCGCAGACCGAATCAATGGTCCTGACACGACCGCGCCTGACACCGCAAAGGGCGCTTCTGCATCACCAAGATGGTCTCCGGATGGGAAGAAAGTTGCATATTGCCAGCAAGACGGCATTGCCTACGAATCCGACCGCTTCAAGTGCTACTTCGCTGAGATTACTGGCTTGCACGCAAATGTGATTCCTGTAGCTGAGGACTGGGACTCCAGCCCAGCATTTTTGCAATGGAGTCTGGATAGCGAGAATCTGATCATTGCGTCCGAGCTTCATGCTTCAGTGCGACTCTGGACTATCCCAATATATGCGAAATCTTCCTACCAACCGACAAATTTTACAGGCCCCGAAACTACGATATCTGACTTCGCCGTGTTGCCAGGCGGCTCATTTTTTGTTTCTTCGGCATCGAGCTGGACTAGCAGGATGTTCTATACCATCAAACCCGGAGAGAAGCCGAATGTGCTCTTCACGGCAAATGAAGCTGATCCAGAGCTCGCAGGTCTTGGGCCAAAAGATGTGTCTAATTTCTGGTATGAAGGTGGCGATGGCGACATGATCCAATGTTTCGTATTCTATCCGACAAACTTCAACCCTGACAAGTCGTATCCACTGGTATTCAACGTGCACGGTGGTCCACAGAGCTCCCAGGGCGACAGTTGGAGCACACGGTGGAATCTGCGCATGTGGGCTGATCAGGGATATATCGTCACATCTCCACAATTCACCGGGACTCCTAGCTACAGCCAGAGATTCACCGATGCTATCCAGGGTAACTGGGGCGGGACACCGTACCGAGACCTCGAGAAACTGTACGAGTATCTGGAAGCCAATGTCAGCTACGTTAACACTTCAAACGCGGTAGCTGTCGGTGCTAGTTACGGTGGCTTCATGTAAGTTGCCCATCCCTCTCCCTTTTACCTTTCTGTCCTCACTTTACTAATACCCCTAGGATGAATTGGATCCAAGGCCAACCCCTCGGCCGCAAATTCCGCGCCCTCGTAACCCACGACGGCAAGCTCTCGCAAGAATCCTCTTACGGCACCGACGAACTCTGGTTCATCCAACAAGACCAAAACGGCACTATATGGGATAATCGCGACAACTACGAACGTTACGACCCCCTCTTCCACGCCAAGAACTTTAGCACTCCGCATTTTGTAGTCCACAATGATTTGGACTATAGGCTGCCGATTGCGGAGGGCGTTATGATGTTTAATGTATTACAGAGTTTAGGGGTTCCGAGCAGGTTTTTGCATTTTCCGGATGAGGGCCATTGGGTGCTAAGTAGGGAGAATAGTTTGGTTTGGCATAGGGCAATTTTTAATTGGATTAGGTATTGGACTGGGATGGAGAAGGATTTGTTGATGGACATTGTGATTACGCAGTAATGGCGGGTGGTGAGGGATTGGGCGCATTTGATGCAGGCTTGGCTGAGGGATAGAAATGTCAAATAATATTTGGTAATGGGTAGATGGGCGGGCTCATAGTCGGTGAGGCCTCACATTTCATGTTGCTATGTCAATTGTTAGTCAAGATATCGCCTAGCACTATTCCATTCCAGTTTATCCCAGTGCTTCCCTTGCCTATTCTAACATAGCTTGACCTCGGCACAGATTTTGCCCAACCTCCACATTTGGTTCAACCTTCGTTCAGCACCTTCAGATCTGCATTTCTTGAGGATTTCTTTATCTCTACATTAGAGGTAAAATCCCAACCAGGCAGATTACGGACTTGAGCATTTACACCGATACCACCAAGAGGATATTTGTGTTGACAAGCGGAACGGAATAGACTCTAGAACTTTCTAATCAAAGGGGGAGCCCAGAACGAGGGAAGATGGAAAGCAAAAGATGATGGCCGACAAATGCATACTCGTCCATAATCTGGATCGACACCCTCGCCCAGCGTAAGATTTACCATACGAGAAACCCATCTGTATCAAAATTTTCACCCAGTCAAAATCCAACTTCGTTTTAGAAAGAAATGTGGGCGTGCAGGGGGTTCCGCCCAACCTCGTCAAGGGTTTTCATGTCAGCTCCCATGTCATAGAGAAGCACAATGATTAAATGATGCTTAGATATAACAGCATTGGAAATTAGGCTATTCCCTTTGTCCTCTCATCTAAGGACGTCTTGATTTTCCTCACTACCCTTAAGCCTCGCAGATTTGAGACACATTTCTATTACTTCGATATCGCCTGCTGCACATGCCGGGTGAAACGGGGAGTAATTTGTTTGAAAAGCCAGTGCAAAAGGATTTGCGCCGTCGCTAATGAGGATTCTACAAGGCGTTCAGAATCCGGCGTGGGTTTGTGGCATCCCCAATGTAAAAGAGTGACATTGGATTTCCTCGAGTGTTTGCCATCAACCCCCGGCATCGGCCAGTAGCTTTCAGGTGTCGACAGGTCCCCTACAAGCTACACCTCAAAGAAGGGAATTGTCGATACCGTCTCCTTCGTTAATGTCCAGGCTAAGGCCTAGGAGTCGTTTTACTATTTTCAATATTACCTATACTTGTGGTAGTGTATAGCAGCGTTTTGAGGCTCTTAGTCTGCACTCCGGGAAGGGCCCCTACCTGTAGCAATATTTCGAAGATTTCAGGCTGTCTGCTTGAACGGCTGTGAATATTGGCGTCGCCTCACGTCATAAAGCAAAACTAGGGTCGGCCTTTGCTTTTATTAGATAGTTGATCACGGGCCATGTTCCAGCAGTAGGTCAGCCGTGACAAGTTGGTCATTCTTCGCAGCCAGCATCAATGGGACCTAGCCGGAAGGGTCTCGTTCATTGGCGTCGGCGTTGTAAGTAATCAATCAGTTCATCATAGGTAACGCCATTTTCTTAGTCCCTCCATGAATCGGTAGCCCCTTTTCTTTCTCTCCCTGATTTTGATAAAGCCTTCTAATGGGCTCGCTTCAAGCGGAAACAGTTATCTTTCCCACAGCCACTCCCTTAACGTCTTATTTCTCAGCTGGCTTCACCATGGCGGATGAATCCTGACCCAGTAGGCCTCACGTTTATGCAAAAGATCTATTGAAGGGAATTAGGGTGCTGAGGGATAAATGAAACTGTGCCGCAAGTGGTGAGGAAAGGCCGAGACATCCAACTCTGAGAAGCTAGACCAGAATAGGCCAAATCACTGGAATCCTTTCATGTTTTACTCTGGATATGGATGCATATATACAGATACGACCTTGAACATCTCATCAACTTCCAAAAAAACTGGTTCTATTGCCCCGGCCTGTTCATCATTGATCCAACAAGTCACTACGTCTCTATAACCGTTGGCAGAATCGTTAACTGGGCTGGTTCACAGGTAACCGTCGTTGTCGAATATAGCTGTCCCATTGTCCAATTCGAATTCTGCCAATACACGGATTTGCATTTTAGGTCTGCTGTTCCGGAACCTCGGCCGAAGTAGGATTTCCTGGAGGAAAGAGTTAGTATAAGCTGTAGAGTTAGAGATGCATACTCCCGTGTGGCATCTGCTATTCCAAGACCAGAAACAGAGGGCGAGCGAGAAGGACAAGGAAGGAGGTCGAGAATTACCCATCATAACCTGTCCAGGTCTGATTAACCTGAAATTCATTCCCGGGCCTCGAATATGTGAAACTCGTAACTCCGGTAGAACCCGCGGGAGCATCGCAAGTGTACACAATCTCCCCATAGAACATATCCTGCAAATGCATACCATACGCTGAACACTTCGTTACATACGGAACCGCTGCGTTGCTGAGGTTGAACGCAATAGTGCCTCCGTAAGTGGCGAGATGGGCTGGAGTAGAGTATACCATGGAGGATGAGTAGTTTATGTCGTGGAGGTGGAAGGCGAGCTTTTTCTCACGGGGTTGGAGGGGTGTGGCGAGCGCGGATGTTGCGACGGTTAGGAGGGTTAGGATGTTTGTTAGGGACAGCATTTTGAGTGTATATTCTAACAGGAAGGGTTGATAGAATATTTCAAGGATATCGTTAAATTATTGAGAACCTGGGAGCAAGGGTAGTAGTCTTCGAACTATTTATATCCAGTGAGGGTGTGAAAAGCGAGTGTGGTTTGGTTTCGAGAAGAAAAGGCGAGACCCGCAGTCTAATATATACCCCAAACCCATCCTTAGCGAGTATGCATCGCCTCCCTCCAGACTTACACATACTCCCCTCCCGGTCGCACGATGCAAAGTCCATGTGACATCGTGTTAGCCCAGTCAATCTATATTCCCTGCCTCAGCCTCCCACCGACAAATTACCCCTCCCAACTATCTAAGTATGCCTAGTACAAACCCACAAACCCACGAAACCACACAAAAACGCCCACTCGCTTACTCCGACCTCAGGAAACTCCAGACTTCAAAGTTCGCATTCATCAGATTGCGATTCGTCAGGGATTGAAGGAATTGTTGCGAAATACGGTCGCCTTATCCTCCAATCTAAGCGTTCGTATGATGTCAAGTCTGCACGCAGCTAGTAAAATCACGGAACTTTTTGTTTTGTTTGGTCCTAAACGTTTTTCCAAGGTTACGATACGAGGCTGCACTACCGATCCTTCTGCCAAAAATAAACCCGACGATCACTCGACAAGGATGCCTAGTTGCTGTTGATCGTCTTCGTGAGTTCTTTGACAGAGAGAGGCAAGACATATTGCTTGGTACGCTTGAAATCCACGGTGTAATGGTAACCGTGAGATACAAGTATTACTGGTAGTCGTATACACGGATCTACGGAGAGTGCTAGGTAGGTACATGAAAGGTCTCGGCTGCGCCACTATTTTCAATACTAGGAGCCATGGCACGAAGGAGTGAGAATTTAGGCATGTTATGTCCTGCCCAAAAGAGGGAAAATTGAACCAGCGTTGCGAGGTGTTGCCTACCACGATGATGACGTCATACTAACTGGTACCCACCCGTAAGAAGTTCGGGATTTTGTCCTCCCTCTGATCCGTATGTGTAGTGCTAATCTTACCCGCTTAGTCGATTTTAACAAGCACAATAATTGCGGACACTATTCCCCTCTCAAGTTGGTGCAAGTCTGACTCCACCGAAGGCAAACCCTTCCAGGGCTTCCAACGAGGCGTAGTACTGTACGATTGGGCGATTTTGAGGCCTGTACGGGTGAGATTTTGTGTACGTTCGTACGATAGGGAGGAGGAGAGGTAGGTGTACGTATCGTAACTGTTACGGCTCACGTGATCTGTACGAGTAGTACGATTCGATTAAAGTACGCCGTACTCCAGTCAAAACAGCTAAGACTATAGGTCCCTAGAGACGCAAGATTAAGGTCTAATTAACTATAAAATAACTAGTTCTCCCTAGTAACAAGAGCAGATAGGACTAGATGAGGCCTGTAAGGCGGCAAGAGGCGTGGTGTGAGGGGGCGTGGTGTGAGGGGGCGTGGTGTGAGGGGTATTGATCAGGAAACACAAGTCACAGAGAGGGAATGCAGGATAGGGGGTAACGAGAGTAAACCTTAGGGTTGGAGGCAGAGGTACGGAGGCCTAGGAGCCTATATACCCCGTGCCAATCCTAGGGTACTGAGGGGTTGGATAGCTGTAACATAACTGTGTATACAAACTTCCCAAAAGGGTAATACAATCCGTACTACGTACCGTACCTAGGGCATCATTAAACGTACGGTACGGCTCACGAACTCGGTACGTTCGTACTGAACACGTGACCGTTACGGTTCACTTTGTACGGACCGTAGTACGGCCCGTTGGAAGCCCTGAACCCTTCAACCCTTTTTGCTTTCCAGCGCTGCCAAATTAGAACGCCAGCTGCTCATCATTCAAAATGCCGACATCAGGACCTACCAATTCATACCAAGGCGTATTATTCGTGGCTTCCCGTATCTAATGGATTATATTTTATCCCCGTAAAGCCCTCATGCAGAAAAATAGGGGCCACCCGTGGATTTTCGTCCAGTTTGAATATCTCATAAAAAAAGTCTGAATACTGTCCAGGCTGTCCCGCACTGCAGAGTACAGACTAAGGATTGAAGTAACCGGAGTTAGGTTTCTCTTCTTCGGACTCTGCCGTTGCCGGAAAGAACCCTTCCCATAGTGAATTTTCCTAGGCGCACTGATCCCTGTGAAGGTGGTACTTGCCTGAAGGAAGTTGGTCCTGCCACAAACCAGAACATCCAAGTTACACGATAGCGCCCAAGCGTAATTCTCTTACCTTGCCTATGTACTGTAGATTCAAAACAAGCCAACGCGGTATGATGGTGTCACCTACTGGTCCAATGTTTCGCTTTCTATGCGGCTAGTCCACTCGAACTTGAACCGGGTACCCGTTTTAACCTACCTTCTCTCAATAATAAAGGTATCGGCTCGGGTCCTCTGCATCTTCGGTGCTTTCTTCGAAGGTGATGAACTTACTCCTGAATGATGTGAGCTTGCCACCCGAGGGGACTCAAGAATTCTAATTCATCAACAAGGGTATATTTGGCAGGAAGCTGTCTCCTCAGCTCCCCACATCTGCAACTAAGGTCTTGGCGACGGCCTTATTGGTCCCCATGGTGCTTCTTGAATGGTAGAGCGAGTATGAAAGTGACCCAGAACCACGTTAGTCCAAATATTAAATGAGCAGACAGCGAAGAAAGTATGCTGCTGACCTTGTATGACAATTTCCGAGAGGGTGTTGTGCACTAGCCCATCATCAAAATTTTCTGCCCTGCGATTTCCATAGGGAGAAAGAATTTGGGGCTGTGGACCTGAATCGGCAAGATTCCCATATCAAGTGTGTCTTCATGACTTGTCTGGCGACTTTGGTAGGGAGGTGTGTAGGAGCGTAATGGAAGAGATTTGATAATATCTTCATGGTGCAGGCAACGAAACTGATCGCATTAATAACGAAGCTACGGGTTGGACCTCGAGCGACGAGATAGTGAAGTAATATTTTACAAGGGTTTCCCGATCTACCGCCTCCTTTTGGGTCTTGGAATAGATCAAGATCCGGGCTGTTTTTCCGGATTTCAGATTAGCTTCAATGATGGTAGAAATGGCTTTCTCGAGCTCTTTTGCATCAGAGGTGGCGCCGGCATTTCGAAGACTGATGGCGGAGGCTAGAATCCCTCTAAGGTGTATTAGAATGAATTACTTCTCGGAAAGAGCCTCGTATGCTACAAGATAATCTGCAATGCTCTTGTGGGGATGTCTGAGAGTTACCGCATGATTCTAGAAGCGCCTTGCGGGCGTCATAACTAAAAGATATGGCTGTACGCCCCACCTGCTAGTGCGAGTGAAACTTATTGGGCGAAACTTCTGCTAAAGCTCCTGAGGCACGAGTCCCTTGAACTTGGGGCTACGAGTTATTCGGTACCTGAGATATTCGGGACCGACGATAGCAGAGAGACAGCGCACGCCACCACTATCTCGGCTGATGGAATGATGAGTGCCCTGTTGACTTCAACGAATTGGATAGCATTACTGACCAAGAGATACAAGTTTCAGTTGTCCATCTGCATTTGACTTATGGATTGAGAGGAAGGTTCTTGGGGATTGACAGTGTATAATCTAGAGGACTGGGTGTTGAAATAAGGAACATTAGAACAAATCAAGATGTGATGCTGAGTTGTCTTTCCCCTGGGAATGGAAAGAAACATTGGCATAGCTGCGCATGCTGAACGTGCAGACAGAGTATGATGTTATTTGAAGATATGCGGATGCAGGAATTGCCAAGTTAAATGGCCTTATGCGCGACCTTATATAATAGCTGAACTGTAAGGCTTATGATATAGACTTTGATGGTTTGTGGAGTGAGATCAATGCACGTTGAGAGGTGAGGTTGATTTGATATACCTGATAGTTATTTCAGTTGTGTAGAAATCCAGATGCCGGATCTGCAAGTGGCCTTCCAACAGGCTTTCTAATAGCCCGCGAAAATAATATTCAATTTGCGTCGTTACGATATACGACAATGGGCGGTAATACTGATAACTCTTACTGCGGCTTCAGTGCGAAGATCTTGTATGATCCTAGTAATTCGTCAGCCAATCGGCAATCCAGAAAGAAGTGAGAAGGAAGTCAAGACCCACCAGCCCAATCATTCAAATTCAGATGCGCATATTTCTCCGTCAAAGATTTCAGGTCTTGAACCACACCTCCGTTCTTCTCACCACCTCCCCCGCAACACGAAGATCCTTTCTCCACCTTTGTAGCCGAACTGCAGCAAGGTCCTGTATTCTTGACTTCACCATCCGCACAACAAGAAGCCTTTTCATCCTCTCTACAACATGGGGCTTCCTCCTTCCCACAACAACCGCCGTCCTTCTTTTCTGCCCCACGACACAAACTTCCAACCTCCTCTCCTCCCTCCACCTGCATATAAACCATCAAATCCGCCTTCGCATCCACAATCACTACATCCACAAATCCCGCATCTTTCAACCACCCTTCATACTCCTCCATCTTACTCGCCCCCGCCATACACCCAACATACAGCGCAACATCCCTTCTCATTTCCTCTGTGAACTCCACCTTCGCTAGAATATCCGAAACTGCGAGTCTCCCACCGGGTTTAAGCAGGCGGAAGATTTCGCGGAAGACCTGGGGCTTGGAGGGTGAGGGGACGAGGTTAATGACGCAGTTAGAGATGACAACATCTGCAGAGTTATCTGGAAGAGGAATGGATGTAATTTTGGCAGCGATAAATGAAGTATTGGTGATGTTGGTTTTGGTGGCGTTTTCACGGGCTTTCTTCAGCATGTCCTGGGGTCAATATCAGCACACATGCATATCCCCCACCTCTAAACACGAAAGCCTTGAAAGAAGGAGTGGACGATATACCTCATTCATATCAATCCCGATCGCCTTGCCCGTCTCCCCAACCTTTCTGGCCGCCAAGAAGACATCGAAGCCTGCTCCAGATCCCAAATCAATAACCGTCTCGCCCTCCTTGAGCTTGGCCAGAGCTAAAGGGTTCCCACAGCTGAGACCCAAGTTCGCTTCTTGCGGGATCGAAGCAAGTTCCTCAGGCGAGTAGCCGAAGGCCTCGGCGACGGCTTTTCCGTAGGAAGTTGAGGTGGAAGAGAGAGCAGAGGCGCTGTAGCGTGTGTTGACGGAATCGTAGATGGTTTCGGAATCCATTTTAATTGGATTGGATTGGATTGTTGGTTTAGAACGAGATAAATAGGAGTACCGGATAGGGTATTCTTTGAAGATAAAGGAAGATTTGAGTGATGGTCTCTCAAGTTCAAAGCTTGAAAGAGAGACCAGTCAAACAACCCTTACATTTTTATACCCATCTATACGATAACATTGCCTCCGATATGTCACTGACCAGAGCATCTCATCTGTCCTCACTATACGAGAATGTGAGGGCGTTGTGCATCTCGTGGTGTTACTGTTCGTACGTCGGACCAATCAACAAAGTGGGGTGTTTCGATATCGATATGTCACCGCCAAGAGGCGCGATACATCTCGAGCTTCAGAGAGCCGCAAACTTCAAAAGCACATTCCACAGCCTCTATTACGGCGGAAGCTCTGGGTACATGATATTCAATTCAGCATATGCATCTGGAGGAAAGAGATTTAGATAATGCAGCCAACTACATCTCCGCTCCCCTCACCATCTTCGTCTTCAGCCTCGGAGCACGCCCACAAAACGAAGGGCAGCAGGAGTCGCGTGTCCGCCGAACACACCCTGAACCGAGTTCGCGAGAACCAGCGGCGACATCGCGCAAGACGGAGGGATCACATCGCAACACTCGAACAACGACTCCTAGACGCGGAGACCCAGCTTGCGGAGGCGCAGGCGGAAATCGCAGCTCTGCGGGCGGAGCGAGATGGTGGATCATGGGGGGTGATAGCGGCGGGTACCAGGACAAGCGAGTTCGATGACATACCGATGCAGCTACAAGATGAAGGGAGGGAGAAGGAAGACCCTGAATTTGAAGACGCGGCGAGAGGAGTGCTGCGAGCACTTGTACATGGTCGAAATAAGGAGCAGCAACCAGCACATGCACAGACACTAACCCTAATGCCGTTACCCTCACCCTCCTCTATCACCTCGAGTAGCGAGCACCCTGATGTCCCGCAGCTGCAGCTTCAAGACATCGACATCCCCGAGCCATCGCTCCTAGGCACGTTATCTACGATCGCGACCCTTGAAACTATTGAGTCCCTCCTTCCTCCCTCAATCATCCCCCCGTCTGGTCCCCCACCCTGCTGCCCCGACGAAAACCCTCCCCTAACACCAACATCCCCCTCCAGCCCTTCTTCCCAGCCCACATACCTCACTCCAGCAGCAATAGACCCCGAGTGCCGCTCCTGTAAAACACGTCCCCCACCCTCACCCTCCGAAAGCACCACCCCCTGCAGTCAAGCCTACGTACTCATCGCGCAGCAGAATTTCCGGGGTATCGATGCGCAGACGATGAGGACGTGGTTGGTGCAGGGGTTTCGGAGGGCGCCGAGGAAGGGAGAGGGGTGTAGAGTGGAGAATGGGGCGTTGTTTCGGCTGTTAGATTATATTAGTGGGATATAGAGGGGAATGCAGACGGAGACGGAGAGCAGACGGGACCATGCATGTGGATGTGAATGAGGATATGGGAGATGAATGAAGATATGGGATGTGAATGAGGATATGGGATGTGAATGAGGATATGGGATGTGAATGAGGATGTGGGATGTGAATGAGGATATGGGATGTGAATGAGGATATGGGATTTGAATGAGGATATGGGATGTGAATGAGGATATGGGATGTGAATGAGGATGTGGATGTGGGTATCCGTATATAGAAAGCAATTTCATTCGCTACATACGCCTGCCCCGCCATGCATTATCAGACACCAAACCAGACAGACCGTCATCATCCACCATCAGTTGCTCTATGCATGTGCACGGGCATTCTCCCTCACCTCCTTATAAAGCTGTAAAGCTACACGCACCTACAGACCCCCGATTCCCTGTCTTTGAAGTCTCGAATCAGGACACCCGTTCGGTATGCTGAGGCCAGATGAGACTCATCGCGGACGTTTTTCATCGTCCCATTCGAATGACGCCCGCTGCAACAAGTTTCTGGATCTTTTGGCGGATCTGTGCGTTCTTGAGGTGGTCTTGGAGAGCGGCCGGGTTCTCCTTGGCCTGCTGTAGGATGCTCTGCATCACTGGGTCTTGAAGAATGCCCACAATCTAGTCACCATCAGTACCAATCTCCATTTCGATTGTACAAGGGACGATAGCAATGGAGTTCAACTCACGTCAGGGTCCCGCTGAATCCTCTCCATCGTCTGCTCCTCGGTCTCACCCTCGCGTGCACTGAATTGTGCTTGCATGGCTTTTTGTTCTTGCTGTTGGATCTCCCTGGAGTTCTTGCCCCCCTCATCGTTCTCCGCCGCCTCCGCACATACGTCAATACACTTGCTATACTCCCTCATTGCGAAGTAAGCCTGAGCCTTGCGCAGATATGCACGGATGAACTTGGAGTCACGCTTGATCGCCTCGTCACAGTCTTGAACGGCGGATGGGAAGGAGAGCAGCTTGATGAAGCAGGCAGCACGGTTCGAGTAACCGCGGGGATCATCTGGACTACGCTTGATCATTTCAGAATACGCTTCGACTGCCGCTGGCCAGTCGGCTTCCTTGAACTTGGCGTTTCCGAGTTCGCGCGCCTTCTCGGCTTCCTCGGGGTTGATGTAGGCCTGTTTCTCGGCAATGATCTTTGCCTTTTCGGCAGCTCGGAGCTTGGCAAGGACTTCGGGGGTGCGGTGCTCGGTCTGGGCTTTTTGGTAGTAGAGGATTGCGCTGGCGAGGTCACCTAGCTTCTCGTATGAAGTACCGATACGTGCGAAGGCCCTGGAATGGAGTTAGCTAATGGAGCTGTCTTCGGAGCGGCTAGAGAAAGTACCTTGCAATCATCTTGAAATCGGCGAGAATCTCGCGACCGTATTCAACCGCCTGCTTGCAGGCCTCTATGCAGCCCTCATAGTCACCCTTCTCGAACTTGGCCGCTCCAAGATTGGTCAAGTATGTGATGTCCTTGTGAAGCGACCAGGCCGTGTTGTAGTGCTCGATCGCTTGGTCAAATTGCCTCTTCTTGTAGAACTCCGTGCCCTTTTTCTTCTCCTCGTCAGCTTTGGCTTTAGCCTCCTTGGCCACCCTGTCTTCCTCCGTCTCCTCTGGCTCGGGTTCTGGTTCTGGTGCCTTCTTGGGCTCTTCCTTTGGCGCGGGCCTCACGTCCGGCATCTCCACATCTTCCTGCTCTTCCGCGACTCTGCTGTCACTCTGCTCTCCGGCGCCTGGGGGTGCTCCAAACTGCATGTCGATGCCTAGCAACACACTCATAACCTGCAGGAATCTCGGGTCTTGCATTTCCAGGCCCACATCATTTGGGTTGGTCCGCAGCCTCTGCAGTTTCATCATGAATTCCGTGTCCGCTAGTAGAGGCGCCGTCTTGGGGTTGCTGGCAAGTTTCTGGAACATGTTGGGGTCGTTGAAGAGACCCCCGAGCCCGGCGGAGGGATCACCGCCAATGCCGTCAGCGCGAGCCTCAGCTTCAATTGCTCGTTTGACAGAGGAGAGACCGGATTGTGCCTGGGCGTTCTTCGGGTCGAGCTTGAGGGCTTCCTCGAAGGCATCCTGAGCCCCCACTGGGTCGTCTTAGCAAGCTTTATACGCCTCCAATCCACGTGATATGACATACCCAAGTCACCCAGTCCATGAAGTGCAGTTCCCTTGCGGCCGAAGCCCTTGGACCAGTCTGGTTTGATATCCGTCACCTTCTTCGCATCGTCCAAAGCATGTTCGTAGTCTTTTAGCGATGCATAAGCCCCAGACCGGTTCGAATAAAGTACATGATTCGTCGGGTCGAGCTCGATCGCCTGTGAGAATTTTTCACTGTGTTGCTGTCAGTAGGCAGTCCTGGAGGCTGGTGCGCTTCAGCGGGGAAAGTACATGGACTCGGTGAATTTCTTCTCGGCAAACAGCTTGTTGCCTTCTGCTTTGAGTGTATCAGCCATGATGGGTATCTGCGTGTATGGTTCTATAAGAAGAGGAGCTGCAAACTAGCTGGTGGGTGAAGAGCTGGTGGTGGTGGTGTGGTAAATAAATGCGGGCTGGTGGTGCAGCTTCTAGCTCTTTCCACAGGCGGAGCTTTGCAGCGGCAGAATCCTACCGCCCGACCGATTGGGAGGGCGGTTGCTAGGGCTGAAGGGCGTCGAAGCTTTTTCGCAAGATTCGCGCCAGGAATTGAGACCGAACTTCAACTCCCGCAATATCTTGACTGCTCATTCTGAATGTGACAATGATACAGCTTGTTCGTCATGCCGTCTGGCAAGCAGCACAGGCGGATTTCACGGACAGCGTCTCCGTTCGCAATCTCGAAGCTACCGTCAATGCTGGGGTAGATGCATGGGGTCGACAGAAGACCCAACGGGTCCTCCTAACCCCTACACTGACGCTGGTCGCTCCGTTCAGCTCAGCCGCTCAGTCCGATTCTCTGGATACTAGCACGATCCACTATGGAAAGCTCAGCAAAGCTATAAGAGCCCTCATTCAGGATTCAAGTATTGAATGGAAAACTACAAACAGCATGGCTAAAGCTATCCTGGACTCTTCTCTCGCTACGGCAGACAAGGCACCAATCGCGTCAGCTCAATTGGATATTTTCTACCCCAAAGGCAGTATGCTTGGAGATGGGGCTGGGTTGATGCATTGTATGAGTCTTCGACCTACCCTTAGTCTTTCCAGGGTCCTGTATTTGCGAAACGTCCGGATTCCTTGCCTCATCGGCATAAACTCGAACGAAAGGCTGCAGAAACAGCCCGTTATCGTCAATCTCTGGATCGAGTGCATATCGGAAGATCGGTCTGACGACTATACACAACTCGAACAAGTTCTTGTAAACGTGAGTGCCAGCTCTTCTCCTAGTGTGTGCACTACGCTTAAGTGGTGTTGACGTTGACCTGGAAATAGGCTGTATCGGAGTCGTCTTTCGAAACACTGGAGTCCTTATCAACCATGCTCGTGGAAGAGCTCCGCCAGAAATTCTTTCGCCCCGCCAAGGACGACAACGCCTTTGTCAGGCTGCGGGTGGAAAAGCCCATGGCAGTTCCTTTTGCGGAAGCGCCAGCTATCGAAATCATGCGGCCGGTAAAAGTGTAGGGTGGCGGCTGGCTGAAGTCCGAATGTGAAGACAAGACTTCCGTGTCCACTGGTGGCTGTATAGCTTATTTGGTCTTTGGTTGCCTATCAGTTCAGCCTCAGGCGATTTCGGCAGTGCCCAGCTTTCCCAAAATGCTTTCTTATCACCCAAGGCCGGGTCATCCATTGTGCTGGATATTTCGAACGTCCTCAATATTGAACAAAAAGGGTCAATAGTCAATAGTCGGCGGTGATGTTGATGAGAGTTTGGTCGACGAGAAATGCAACGCATCGAGGAAGGTGGTCTAGCTGTTTACGGGTCGGACCCCCACGTGCGGCAACGACATGTGTGGGAGCGAATGTAGACGCCACAATAATAATATCAAGGAGTGGCGTTGGAGTCTCAATCATGAAGTCTCCGGCATGTACCATTTGACACCTACCCTTGGACGGCACTTAAGGCTTCCCTATATTGCATGCAGAAACAGCCACCCTAGCGTTATCGACGAGCCATTTACTGCGCTGTGACCTCTGTAGCTTGACGTGAATGTTGGGGGCGAATTGTCGCTCTTTCGTTGAGGCCCTTGCGTAATCCTGCGGGCGATCTATCATCAATGGAACGGCCGCCGTCAAAACCCTGTCGGCTCGCTCCTGCATGCAGCCTAGCCTTGCACATTCGCCGCAAGCCTTCCGCGGGCGCGAAACGAGGGACCGTGATAAATTTGCATCGAGGAGCTATGGCCGCCGGGCTGTGAGCTCCCAACAACATTTCTGCATCGTGAGTCTATGAAGGCGACCGGGGCGCCCCATTGATGATTGCGTCTGGATGTGCCTTGTTTGGGAGGGCATGCAGCGGAGATTTTCACCATCCTGGCGCCCGACGCTCAATGAGCAGCTAATTATGAGGAGAGGCGGTGTCAATCGAAGAGGCCTGCAGGAGCTGGAGGTTCACATCATCAGGGTGTGGTGGCTCCTTCCACTCCCTGTGGCCCTGAGTTAGTCGGTGACGGCGATTGACGGTGAAGGTATAAAAAAGGAGGCCATTTCCTTCAGCCGAGCGCAGCAGAAAGCCGTCCCCAATTCACTTCGTTGCCTCTTCGCCTTCCACTCGCTGCTCCTCTTGGCTGTGCACGTTGCTCGGCTGCCCCACGTCTACCGTTCACTACCGTCGTAGTCCGCACAGACCTTCAATCTCGATTCGCCTGACAACAGGAAAACAATTCGTCTCGACATCTGATTTCTTGTCACAACTCACCGCTACACTTCCTTCACCCTCCGCCGATATCCTCCCCGCCCACCTGTGAAATAGACACAATGGCCTCTCGCGCAATTCCTGCTCACCTCAAGCCGGCTGCGGCTGCAGGTGCTAACCCCGACGGTGAGGGCTTTGCTGCTCGCCACCATGGCAAGTCGCAGTCCCATATGGTGAGTTGATCGTTTTCTCTGTTGCCCTACAGCTTCCTGAAGCTGTGTCACCGTGCTCCACTCGATTGCATGAGCTTGGCTCTGGAAAGGTGTCCTCTTTCTGGCCAAGTTTTGTAGTTGGTGAGGAGCATCGTCCCCAAGCCTCCTTGAAGGTGCCCTTGGTCATGCTGTGGAAGAGCGGGCTCCTAGGTGGAGAAGGACAGCTTCGGTTTTGCCGCCGTTGCACGCTTTCCCTCCCACGAGGTAGCTTCCGTGTCCTTTCACAGCTGTGGGGCGATCATTGAGGACGCTGCACTTTGACCTGCACTTTCCGGCGGGGGCCTCGTGCGGCGGAGGGAATCCTTCACACGCCCGCCGCCCATTCCCCATTCCTTAAGTCCACCACCTGGCAGGAGCGAAGTGTGTCATCTGGCAGCTTTCACTCCTGTGGGAGGTGAACGGGGTTTTGGTTATGGAACTCCTCCCAACTTTCTTCTCCACATATTCATCCCCAAACGCACAACGCACAGCCTCGTCAACATGGCGACTGACGAAGCCGCAATCTTGCAGGCATTCGAGAATACGTCAACGAATGTCGCGGCGTCCCAGATGCGCAACGCTTTGAACAAGCTCGCAGACACGGTCACGGACCCCAAGGAGAAACAGGTGAGCATTTCTCCCCATGTACAGAACTTTCCACAAACGCTTCTGTCCAGAGATTCGAGACGGAAATGGACAATTTCTTTGCCCTCTTCAGGCGATACCTGAACGACAAAGCCAAGGGCAACGCCATCGAGTGGTCGCGAATCGCTCCCCCCAAGGCCGAGCAGGTCGTCAATTATGCCGACCTGGCCAATTCCGAGTCGGTCGAATACCTCAATAAACTGGCAGTGGTGAAGCTCAATGGTGGTCTCGGTACATCCATGGGCTGCGTCGGTCCCAAGTCGGTCATTGAGGTCCGCGATGGCATGTCCTTCCTCGACCTGTCTGTCAGACAGATTGAGTACCTCAACAGGACCTATGACGTCAACGTCCCGTTCGTGCTCATGAACTCGTTCAACACCGACACCGACACTGCCAACATCATCAAGAAGTACGAGGGCCACAACATTGACATCCTTACCTTCAACCAGTCCAAGTACCCGCGCGTGCTCAAGGACTCCCTTCTCCCAGCCCCGAAGTCCATCGAGTCCGACATCGCCAACTGGTACCCTCCAGGCCACGGTGATGTTTTCGAGTCACTGTACAACTCTGGAATCCTCGACAAGCTCGTCGACCGCGGCATTGAGTACATCTTCTTGTCCAATGCCGACAACCTGGGCGCTGTTGTTGATCTCCGCATTCTCCAGCACATGGTGGACTCTAAGGCGGAATACATCATGGAGCTGACAGACAAGACCAAGGCTGACGTCAAGGGTGGTACCATCATCGACTATGAGGGTTCCGTCCGTCTCCTCGAGATCGCGCAGGTACCAAAGGAGCACGTAAACGAGTTCAAGTCGATCAAGAAGTTCAAATACTTCAACACCAACAACATCTGGATGAACCTCAAGGCCGTCAAGCGCGTTGTCGAGAACAACGAACTTGCCATGGAGATCATTCCGAATGGAAAGTCTATCCCCGCGGACAAGAAGGGCGAGGCCGATCTGTCCGTCCTCCAGCTCGAGACCGCTGTCGGTGCTGCGATCCGCCACTTCAGCAACGCGCACGGCGTCAACGTCCCAAGAAAGCGCTTCCTGCCCGTTAAGACGTGCTCTGATCTTATGCTTGTGAAGTCGGATCTCTACACGCTTCAGCACGGCCAGCTGCTCATGGACCCGAACCGCTTCGGACCAGCTCCCTTGATCAAGCTCGGTAGTGATTTCAAGAAGGTTTCCAGTTTCCAGTCTCGCATCCCATCCATCCCCAAGATCGTGGAACTGGATCACCTGACCATTACCGGGGCTGTCAACCTGGGCCGCGGCGTTACGCTGAAGGGTACCGTCATCATCGTTGCAACGGAGGGCAGCACCATTGATATTCCACCAGGTTCCATCCTTGAGAACGTGGTCGTCCAAGGATCTCTGAGGTTGCTTGAGCATTAATTTTTCCTTCGACTTGTTCTGTCATTTGGCCTGAGCTGGAGAGGGGTTGGCCATCACTTTCGTTTCTTCGTGTCGTATATTTGACATTGGCGGGACGTGGGTTTGGCTATCAGCTTTCTCCACATGTTCTATAATTCACATTGACTGTACAGGTTCTGGGCCTGCAGCATGGACGATATTATTCGGTTTCGGCCTGCACGGCGCACACGATCAGGGTGATCGGTGGCATTGCATGCATCTCTTCTTGCAGTTAGATGAGAAAAGTACTCCTCAGGATTCTGGGTGTGCGGCACCTTCATTGATGCACCCCTAGCGGCAGCTACGATAGTAATAGATACGATTTCTACTGAGATTTCTTGCTGTACGTGGTTATGTGCGGGGGGATCACACGCTGCGCTGCGCCCGGCAGTCCTTGGTAAGCTGTCTGTGTGCCTTGGGACAGGACTATTGAATTGCTCTCCACGTCCTCCAAGCCCTCCGTACCTTGGGGGGATGCTTCGCCTTTTTCATATAAATGATGCAACTGCCTGATTCCTGATCGGTGCCTGATGGGTTAGGGGTGGCCCGACTCCCACCTTTTAGTGGCTCGTGCCGCTCGTGATGTCAGCCCTGGGCCCTGCGCGCCGCCTTCAAGGGCCTCTCACCACTCACGCAGACACACGTTCCTGGCCCATCACTCGATCGGGGGCGCAGTCGGCCAGTCATCGCCCCTGCACGACTGAATATATGTATACCGTTAGGCCTGCAGGTGGCATGAACATGGAACCCAAAGCCAACATCAGGATTGCGTGCACCGCAACTGCATGACGGAGCGAGCGCATTTCAAGGCACGCGCATCCTAGCGATTCCGATTCCGACACTCACCACACACTCACCGAGACGACGACACAACCAGAACCACCCCCTCGATGCCCGCGGACTGCTCTACGCCACTGAGACAACACCGATATGGCGGCCGAACCGAACGACGCTCAGAAAGCGAACGTGGACGCAACGCAACAAGAAGCGCTCGATTACTGGGGTTACCTGATTAAGCCCGACAAGTGCGGGACAGAGACTTTGGACCGGCTGCTGAAGGGGATCGCCGACGTCATTGTATGTGGCTCCAGCTATATGCGCCGCTGCCTGCAGGCTGCAGCTGACCTAATTTCTCTCTCAGAGCAAGAAGTTCGAGCCTCACGATTGTCAGGATCTCACTCCCTCCCAGCTCTCCGCATTCTACCGCGAGGTCGGCGGTAACTACGATGTACTCTTCATTGAGACGCCACCCTCGTCCATTGCCTTCATCTATCGCTCGCTCGGCGCATTCCATAGCCTACAGCCGGCTCCCGATGACGATGGGTACTCGTGCCCCGCCATCCCCGCGCTGAAGAAGAAGGGCTTCGTCACGTGGCAGACCATCCAGCTTCTGCTGGGCCCAGAGGAGCACGTTCCGTTCTTGCAGAAGGCAGTGCAACAGTTTGACGTTGTGGATCCCGAGACCGGGAACCTGTTCCCCAAGATCTTGCCTAAGGAGTGCTTTCCCGATAGACCCGATGATGCGATGGAGGCATGGTACCAGGGTGTTGCCGAGCGCCTGAAAAGAGAAGCCGAAGAGGATGCCGCGGAGAAGGACGATGTCACCCGCGTCCATGTAGAAGTCGATGACTCAGCACCGCGCATGTCGAGCGAAATGTCAGGCGAGGGATCTGCAGACGACAGACACGGCGCTGCAAAGTACTTTGAAGACCCCTTGTACCGGAAAGGAAGGCTACGGCCAACCTTTGTGCGGCGCTTCTCCAAAGCAAGTCCCAGGCAATATGTAGAAGACCGCGGGAGGATGGTGGCACATACAGTCAGGCACATGTGGAATCCGTTCAACAGGAGACGAAGCTTACCAGGAAGATATGAGGAAGACAGCTTTTCGGATGATGATGTTACTCCTATCGCCACCGCAGCGCCGCCCCCTCGATACTCCCATAAGCGTCCGCTCCCCCCGCGGCGAGAAGACTCGCTGTCTACCACCGATTCCGAGTCAGACTCGGATGGACCCCTATCACGGCACAGACCCCCAGTATTGCGGCATAGAAGGAGCCATGAGCCAGCGACTAGCCCACGAGAATATTTTCCACCAACATTCGATGAACGCCGATACTCGCAAGATGCCCCAGCAAATAAAAAACAAGACGGTCCTGCGCCGCTATATGGGCCGACAAAATCACCACTATTCGCAACGCATGTTGCACAGCTACAAGCCCACAACTACTATGACCGCCGGCCAGCCCTAGCCTCGCGAGGTTCATACCGTCCGCATGGCGTGCGGTACACAGTGAGGCCACCTAGTCCACGCGAACCCGACCTACCGTATGTTCGTGACGGATATGATCCCAGCAGCAGCAGCAGCATTCGGCCCCGACGACGCTCTGACGAACACATCCGTGAGCGAGAAGTCAGGGAAAGAAGCGACAAAGGACGTACACGCAGCCACGATCGGGTTAAAGATGATTGGGACGACCGAGATAGATCACGGGATAGAGACCGAGGCCGTGACAAAAGAGATCGGTCGCGAACGCACAGGTATGTGGCTGGTGTACAAGATGGCGTCGGAGGTCGACGTTATCCTGTGGAACAGCCGTGGTAGTGAAAGGGGTTTGGTCCTCTTTGAAACGGGGTCAGATCCGTGGGCAGATTGGGGCGGCGATTGGTGTGGGTGTGGGCGTAGTCGTAGGCATGGGCGTGGGGCGAGGGCTTGTTCCTTCGGCCGTTCTGTTGCTTACACGCCAGAAACCAGATCTCGCAAGCCATGTTTCAGAGTGCATTTGGAAGTGTGGCGGGAGATGATGTGGCACAGCCGCGCGCCGTGACGAATCCATTCTCCACTCAAGCCTTAGATACGGAACGATGGAACGATCTGGGTCCTCTGGCATGTCATTAGGTTTTTTAGTCATTGGCCTTTTTTCCACCTTGGGTTTTTTCTGGGTTTGTGTTTTCCGAGTGAGTTTTTTGTCCTTCCTTTTGTTCGTGTTGGCGTTATTGCGAATCACGGACATGGCATAGCGATGCGCGTTGGCGAAGCGAGGGTACTCTGCGCAAACATTTCACGATTCATGATGGGCATTGCGGGAGGGACACTTATGAGGATCAACTTGGACTTGGTGTAGACGGAAGGGGGCTAGTAATGAGGACCTTGTGAATTGATGCCACGCCCCACCCTCACTGTTGTTTGCACTCACTTTGTCTTTACTGCTGAGTGAAATTAAGACACGTGAGAGCGGAACGGGGCCACAGGCCGACGCCCACTTGGCAGAGGATGCGCTGTTGGAACATGATAGGGTGATGGGAAATGGGTAGGGTGGCTGGGCAGGCTTCCAGATCGATCGGCGACAGGGAAGGCTCGGGCCAGAGCGCATTTCAGAAGGCCATGGCAGACAAGCCAGAGCAGAGCTCAGCGGAGGTCCGACAGCATGCGGAAAAAACAGCGGTCAATGGAGCAATATCGTGAAGCTATCCTCCTGTGCGGACAGCATCAAGTTGTCAACTCAGGCTGAAGAGGCAGTGTTCCGGCTCGCGAGATTGACTTTGATGGTGACAAGGGTTTGCGAGCTCTCCCCATTTCCTGGTCGCTTGAGCTTGCGCCTGGCTGGGAACGTCATCACAGCAAACGCCTCAGCTCTCGTCTGCTCGCTTCTTCGTCTTCTTCTTGGACCACTTCCTGCGTCGACTCGCCGTGTTGTTGTTGTTATTATTATTATAATTTCTGCCATCGCTGCAGACCGCGTTCCTTTACCCTTCTTTCCTTGTTTCGTTCTTCCCCTCTTCTCCGGCTTGTTCTAGGGCTGGTGCCACCCGCCGGACACACCACAGGGTCCGCACTATCCAGATAGCTGCCGCCCAGGGCAGCACTAGCGGGCAAGCAGGTTTGTGCCGCGGCGACACCACCACCACCAACGCAGCCCAGATCCTGCCGCTTCCTCTGCTCCTCGCTCTCCTCACTTTCCTCACGACCACCCTGTCGACGATTGTCTGACCTCCTCGACGTCGGACGCTGCCAATTGACGCCCCCGCCGCCGCCGCCGCCGACATGGCTTCCTCGCGCGACAATGAGCTCAAGACGGAAGGCGCGATAGAGGCTGCCCGGGACCTCAATTCGGTCGTGACTGCCCAAGCGGCTGAGGACACAATGGTCGACGAGGCGAAAAGGGGAGGCAGCCCCGCCTTCCAGTTCGACCCCGATGCCAGCCCCGAGGAGAAGCGGGCTCAGGCGAGAGCAGTACGTCACCTCTCGTGACCATGGTTCCTGGTATTCCCTGTGTCCATCTGCTGACAGCAGCTCCCCCAGCGCATCCCCGCCGGCCTCAAGCCTCAGCGGAAACCCAATGCCACGGCCCTGGCCTCCGACGCTGTGAGTAACGCGTTTGCCACAACGCCACATCACGACGAGTGCTTACCAGAGATGTTGCAGGACTCCAATGTCGGAGCCAAGTACGATCTTCCTCCGGCCACAGTAGCAGGTGCTGTCGATGCACCCTCTTCCCCGTCTTCCCCAACTTCTGCGAAAGGCGCCAACGGCACAGCGCCTGAATTGGACGACGATGCGCGCTGGGCGAGGGACCGCACTGGCTGGGCCCCGCGGTTCGGCATGCCGGGCTCGGAAGAGGAAGCCGACGAGGGGTCGCTGCTCGACCATCAGACGTGGCTGGAGGGGAAGCTGGAGGACAAGTTTTTTGGTGGTATGTTGGCCGTGTGGATGGGTTCGTGGCCGCGCTCACGTGACATGTAGACTGGTACCATAACACGGGCATCATCATATTCGCCTGTTTGACCTCGTGGGTCGTAGCTGTGCTAGGCGGTGGCCTTGGCTGGGTCTTTTGCGTCATGGCCATTTGCGGAACTTACTACCGAACATCGATTCGCCGAGTGCGTCGCAACGCGCGAGACGACTTGAATCGCGAGATGGCCAAGAACAAACTCGAATCAGATTCTGAGAGTCTTGAGTGGATCAATAGTTTCCTCGTCAAATTCTGGCCCATCTACCATTCCGTTCTGTGCGACTCGATCATCAACTCGGTCGACCAGGTTTTGTCTACTTCGACTCCAAGCTTCCTCGATAGCTTGAGAATGAAAACCTTCATCCTGGGAACGAAACCGCCACGGTTGGAGCATGTGAAGACGTATCCCAAGGCCCAGGATGACATTGTGCTCATGGACTGGAAATTCAGCTTTACGCCCAACGACACGGCCGATCTTACTGCGAGGCAGATCAAGAACAAGATCAACCCCAAAATCGTCCTCGAGATCCGTATCGGAAAGGGACTAGTCAGCAAAGGTTTAGATGTCATCGTGGAGGACATCGCGTTTTCAGGCCTTATGCGGGTCAAGGTCAAGCTCCAGCTTCTATTTCCTCATATTGAAAAGGTAGAAATCTGCTTCCTAGAACGACCAACGATCGACTATTCCTGCAAGCCGCTTGGGGGTGAGACGTTTGGCTTCGACATCAATTTTATTCCTGGTCTTGAAACTTTCATCATGGAGCAGGTTCACGCAAACCTCGGACCGATGATGTACGATCCAAATGTCTTCCCCATCGAAATCGCAAAGATGCTTGCCGGAAACCCGGTTGACCAGGCGATTGGTGTGTTGCAAGTCACGTTCCATGGCGCGCAAGGTCTTAAGAACCCGGACAAGTTCTCAGGAACCCCGGATCCCTATGCAGTTGTTTCCATCAACAACCGCAACGAGCTCGGACGCACCAAAACTGTGCACGAAAACGCCAACCCACGCTGGAATGAGACCGTAAACATCATCATCACCTCATTGAAGGATGCTCTGACGATTAATCTCTTCGATTTCAATGAGTACCGAAAGGATAAGGAGCTTGGTACGGCCACCTTTGCGCTGGACCAGCTTGAAGAAGATGACGAGCATGAAAACCTCCATCTCGAGGTCATGTCTGGTGGAAAGGCCCGTGGTGTTCTACAGTGTGACGTTCGCTTCTTCCCCGTTCTTGAAGGAACCAAACTGGAGGATGGTACCGTGGAGCCCCCACCAGAATCCAGGACCGGGATTGCAAAATTTACCGTCGAGCAAGCTAAGGATTTGGATGGAACCAAGAGTCTGATTGGTCAGCTCAACCCATACGCGGTCCTGCTTCTCAATGGCCGAGAGATCCATATTTCGAAGAAACTCAAGCGCACAAATAACCCTATCTGGCCTGATGCAACCAAGGAACTTCTCATAACCGACCGCAAGAAGGCTAAGCTTGGGCTTGTTCTCAAAGACGACCGAGATATTGCTGCCGATCCTATTCTTGGAACATACCAAGTCGGTTTGGACGACATGCTCGATCTGATGGCAAAGGGTCAAGAATGGTACAATTTGGCAGGTGCTAAAACAGGGCGCGCTAAAATGACATTGCAGTGGAAGCCTGTTGCCCTCAAAGGCGCCATCTCAGGATCTGGTGGTTATCTGACGCCTATCGGTGTGATGAGGCTGCATTTCCAGAATGCTCGCGACCTTCGAAACGTGGAGGCAATGGGCAAATCCGATCCCTATGTCCGAGTTCTTCTCTCGGGTGTTGAAAAGGGTCGAACGGTTACCTTCAAGAACAACCTGAATCCGGACTGGGATGAGGTTATTTATGTCCCGATGCACACTACCCGCGAAAAGCTGCTCTTAGAGGTCATGGATGAGGAGCATCTTGGCAAAGATCGCTCGCTGGGCCATATTGAGCTGTCTGCTTCAGACTATATCCGACAGAATGATGACGGCGAGTATGTCGTCAATGAGCAGAAACAGCTCCTATCTCGAGGACTCAGACTGGGCACTCGTGCACAACCCAAGGGAGTCCTGAACTTCACATGCTCATTCTACCCGACTTACCCTGTGTGGGATCCAGATGAGGACGACAAAGAAAGCACGATTGGAGGGCTATCGGGCAAGAGTTCCGTAAAGAGTCTAGAGTCTTCCCAGAAAGGTCATAAAAAGACCGTCTCTAGCGTGTCTCGCTCCGATACCGTCGGCACTATTTCCTCACTGCAAACGGCGCACGAGGACAGCGAAGTCGATCTCGCGAAACAACTCGAGAAGAACGAGGGCGAGCAGGAAGAGGGAGTGCGGCAGAAAAAGGAGATTGAGAAACTCCATCTGACTACTGATGATTTACAGCAATATGGTAGGAGAAGTCGGTTTCCTGACCCCCCCCCCCCCCCCCCTTCTCTCCCCCTTCTACCGAGTCCTCGTTTCATTACGCAACTTATTGTTAAACATTTTATGTTCCATATGCTGACTTCTCCCTAGAATCTGGTCTCATTGTATTTAAGCTCATCGATGGCGAGTTTGCAGACACGGGCGCGTATGTTGATGTCTTGATGGATGATATGGTTTTCTCGAGTTATTCAAGCGCTAAGATTAAGAGCAAGAATATGACTTTTAACGAAGGTGAGAGAGTGTGTGCTGAGCACTGTGTATTGCCTGTCTTGCTGACATTGACTGTAGTCGGTGACACGATGGTCCGAGAGCTTGATTTCTCGAAAATTACTCTTCGACTTATTGAGCATATTGATAAGAAAGGCGAAGGTGATGAAGATCATGTCATCGCTAAACTCACTGGTAGTACTCTAGACACTCTTCGGAGATGCTTGGTAAGAGCTCATTCTCTAATTCCAAAGTTCACGCTAACACGGTGGATGTGGCAGTACACTCCTACGCAACTCACCTTAAAAGATAACCACGGGCGTGACAACAAGATCACAGTCAGCCTCAAATACCTTCCTATAAAGATGCGTCTCGACCCCAGCGAATCCTTCAACAACCAAGGCACCCTCCGCGTAGACATATTGGACGCCGCAGACCTCCCCGCCGCAGATCGCAACGGCTTCTCGGACCCTTACTGCAAATTCGTCCTCAACGGCAAAGATGTCTATAAGACCAAGACCCAAAAGAAAACCCTCCACCCCGCCTGGAACGAATATTTCGAAGTCCCGGTACGCAGCCGAACTGCAGCAGAATTCGACGTCAAGGTTTACGACTGGGACTTCGGCGACAAAGCCGACTTCCTAGGTAAAACCGCCATCAACCTCGAGATCCTGGAGCCGTTTCAACAACAAGAAGTAACACTTGGTCTTGACGGGAAATCTGGCGCTATACGACTCAAAATGCTTTTTAAGCCGGACTATGTTATGCGCGCTCGCCAAGGCTCAAGCACCTTCTCTGGGACTTTCGCCGTTCCGGGGAAAGTAATCGGCGCACCTGTAAAGGGCGTTGGTAAAGGCGCGGTACTCGTAGGTGGTGGTGTGGTGCGTGGCGCAACGTTCTTAGGGAGAGGGTTCAAACGCAGGAAATCGAGGGGTGCGAATGGGAATGAGGATTTTGAACGTGAAGATACTCCGTCAAATGGCTCTGTGGATACGCCTGTTATCTCTGTGGAGAAGGATGCAGATAGCGCGCCGGCGCCCTCACCGCAGCCGCATAGCCGACATAAATCCTGGGGCGCGCAGTCCTTCGCTTCTGGCTTTGGCGGTAGTGGTGGAGCTGGTCAAGGCGACCAAGGCACTGCTAGCATTACAGTCGTCTCGGCTTCTAACTTCCCCCTCGGCACAAACGTCCGCGTGCACATAAAATCTGTCAGTTCCGGGAAAGAAGTGCATAAAACAAAACACATTAAAGCACCCACGGGCTCCGTAACCTTCGATAACGAAACCTTCAAGGTTCCATGTACGGCGGATTCAGCGTTTAAGGTTGTGGTGAAGGATCATGCCACATTTGGGAGCGATGATGAGTTGGGTGAGGCGCAGTTTTTCGTAGATGATCAAGGAAGTGGAGGAGAGAAGACCGTGACGGTTGGGCACGGAACGGTGATTATTAGGAGTAGTTGGAGGGAATCAGGGGGGGATACAGCAAGCTCGATGAATAGTCCCACTAGCAAAAGTAGGAGGGGTTTGTTAAGTAGAGGGAGGGACAGGAGTGCGACGCCTGCCTGAGTAGGGTCTGTGGGCTTGGGTGAGGGGAGTTGACCAAGGAGGATAGGGACGAAGGGAGTTTGAGTTTGGGAGTTTGTAGGGGATGGAAGGGATAATGAATCGGTTAGGTAGAGGTCGGAAGTCATGCAAGAAGGTAAACGAGCGGCCGGATTAGAGTACAAGTGCTGTTTAGGTTGACGTGGAGGTAATAACTCTCTCTCTCAGTCTCACACACGACTTTCTTCTTTTTATCTTTTCTCTTCTGCATTGGCAAAATTTTGGAAGGTAAAACAGGGTGTTATTCTTGCGAGTCTCTTTCTTGTAAAGTGTTTACCTTTCTTGGTCTTTATTTCTATCAGGTAAAATGACCGCGTCTATTGCGGTATATTATGTGTGTGTGGATGCGAGTGTGAGTGAGTGTTGTCCTAGGTGATGAATGGATGAGGATGGGGAGGGGCGCGAGGGGAGGGGCAGTGTACTTAGCTAGGTAATAGAATAAATGGATAGTATTAGCATATGCGAGGACGTTTATGCAGTAATGTTTGATGATGTGGGCGTCCTAAGAAACACGGAAGTGTGCGACGAGAAGCTTTTGGTCTTGGGAAGTCCAGACTATGAATGTGGTAAGACGTTTCTCAGCTGCTTCGTACAGGATATGTCCTACTACCCATTCTTATATTATCAATAACGAGGCGGTAAGTCCACGTCAATGTTAAGGTAATAGCCCTGCATGACGTTCGTTAAAGTCCAGCAAGCATCAACGTTGTCCACCACGCTAACCATGCGCTTCCTATCCTTGCATTTTTGAAAAAGCAAAAAGCGATATCGATCCAACCTCTCAGCTCCAGCTGTAGCTGCAGCTGCAACTGCAACTGCATGTGCTCTTCAAATGTTCCGGTCCCACGCAAATCCAGCGCCTTCCTCCTCGGGGGTGACGGGAAATTTTCGCTGCAAGCAGTCCGTGTGGCCAAAGATTCCATTGGAGAGCAAGGCGTGTAAGGTTCCAACAAGTTGGGAACGGCCCGAACCCCAACGACCAGGGTTTGCCAAGATGAAACCTTGCGGTCCGCGACATATCTTTGATGTCCGTTTGCGCGAGCTCATTGCTGGATGGCTCCTAAGACGCTCGCGCTTGAGGATAGTGACAAGGCTTAACAGCATGTCAGCGCCACGCGAGAGGGGGCACGAGCTCGACGCATCCAATCACGACTGTTCTAGGTGAATAATCACGATGATGGGCAGGGTCATGCAGCTGCGGTCTCAAAACGAGAGGGGGGAGCGGGAACTGGTCTGGGGTTTGCGGGTCACCCCTCCCTTGATCAATCCGATACGTCAGATGTGCAGGCCTGGATGTTCATAAATTGACGACCCCCGCTAAAAGTCGACTTTGCAGAGCTCAAACACGACTCCAAACTTCTGCGAAGAATACCTGGGCAAGGACGGGTACCAATACCATGGCGTATCTACCCCTATCTCCGCTCGACCATCTCTCCTACTCATTCGTCCTCTCCGCACTCCTCGTATTCCTCTTCCTCTCCGGTCTCCTTCTGGTAACTTACCGACTCTTCTTCCATCCTTTGGCGCAAATCCCAGGCCCTAGGTTGGCTGCTGCAACCCAATTATACGAATTCTACTACGACGTGATCTGTAAGGGTCAGTATATGAACCAGTTTGAAGGATTTCACGAGAAGTACGGTCCGGTCGTTAGGATTAGTCCCAATGAACTTCACTGCAATGATCCAGCGTTTATCGATCAGATTTATGCTGGTAGTGCCGGTGGGAAGAAGAGGGATAAGAGCGTGTTTTACCTTAATGGGACGCAGGTGCATGGTGTGAGTGTGCTATCCCCATCCTCATCCCTACCTCATCGCACCGCATCATTAGAACGGGGAGATGCAATACTAACATGCCCCCAGTCCTGCTTCGGCTCCGTAACACACGACCTTCACCGTCTCCGCCGCCAAACCCTCAACCCCTTCTTCTCTAAAGCCTCTGTCACCCGCCTCGAACCCATGATCCGCGAATTCGTCGACAAGATCTACGCCCACGTGGAATCCTATGCTGGCACCAACGAACCGTGCAATGTGTCGCATGCATTCGTGTGCATGACCACTGACCTCATCAGTCAGTATGCATTTGGCTGGAACAGGAATTACACCGGCACCCGATCGTTTAAACCAAATTTGACAGCTGCGATGGTTGCCGGTGAAGGCACGATTAAGCTTTTCCAGCATGTGCCCTTCTTGTTACCGCTGTTTGAGTCAAGTCCCGAGTGGGTCGCGAAGTTGGCGGCGCCCGGGTCGGAGGAGTATCTGCATTATCAGCGAGAGGTTTATGGGACCGTGGATGATGTGTTTGAAGGCAAAATCGACGTTAGGAATACGGAAAAGCAGAAAACAATTTTTGGGGAGATTCTAGATGCAGATTTACCACGGGAGGAGAAGTCGAGGCAGAGATTGAAGGGGAGTGCGAGGGAGGTTATTGGTGCGGGTACGGTGACGACGGCGAATGGTATGTCTTATTTCTGTTTGGAATATGCGTACATTGAGTATCAGGGTGAATATACTGACGCTCTGGTGTCAATTAGCTCTCGCGTACGCGGTATACTATATCATCGCAACTCCCGGTGTTATAGACAAACTCTACGCCGAAATCATCAACGCATTCCCGAATGCAACTGAGATCCCATCATGCAAAAATCTCGAGAACTTACCATATCTGATAAGTCCCCCCTTCATCACCTTCTCCAGCAGACACTGATGCTCAGCACTCAGCAGTCCTCCACGAAACCCTCCGATTCTCATGTGGTATTTGTACCCGCCTTCCTCGCCTTGCTCATGAACCTCTATTCTATTCTGGTACCTTCAAAGGCAAACACTACGACATCACGATCCCGCCCAACACGGCGATTGGAATGTCAGCGCAGCTGGTCCACTCTAATCCAGATATATTCCCAGAGCCGGAGAAGTTTCGGCCTGAGAGATGGTTAGATGAGAAGGGCAAGAGGCATAAGGAGCTTGATGGGTATCTCCTAGCTTTTTCGAAGGGGACCAGACAGTGTTTGGGAATTAAGTGAGTTTAACGTTCCTATCACAAAACAGATTCGTGGATGTCTAGGAAGAGGAAAAGGGCTTAGCTAACGAGATATAGTCTTGCGTGGGGAGAGATGCATATGGCACTTGCAACCTTTGTCCAGAGGTTCGGAAAACGGGTGGAGCTGTTTGAGACGGGACCTGAGGAGGTGGTGTATACCTGTATGTCTACCCATATGGTTGTGACGAGTGGTTCTGATTGTATATCTTGGCTGACTTATTTAGATGACCTGTTTGAGCCGGGGCGGGAGACTTACAATGGTGTGCAGATTCTGGTGCATTAGGACGACGGTTTATTATATATTGGGGGGATTCTACAGGGCTTTTAACGCCTCTCTTCCCACCCCAGAAGGCATCTCCACAATCAGAGCTCCAAACCTCATCAGGGAATATGAGTATCTTCTATCTTGGTCTACCGAATATCTTCTAGATGGCTTTCCAGTCCTCTCATCATAATAAAGATACATCTATATCTTTAATCCCTCCCTCTCTCATAAACTCGCCTTTTCCTTCTTCTTCCCCCTTTCTCTCTTATCCCACTCCCACCACTCCCCCTTAAACCTCTCCCTTTCCCACTTCTCATAAATGCCCTTTGCCTCGTCTTCACTCATCGCAGCCAGCACCTTCTCATATACCCCCAGCTGCTCCTTAAACCCAACATTCGGATCACACACCGGCCGCCCCTCACAAAGCTGCTCCAAGGCTGCTTCCCAGCTAATCTTATACTTCCACATCAAATACGCAACCACGAATGTTGCGCTGCGGGATTTGCCCATTGCGCAGTGTATGAAAACAGCACCTTTGCCGTTCTCGCTCTCGTTCCCGTCCCCGCTTCCTTGCTCCTTCTTGGGCTCGTCCTGATTCCTCCTACGATCTCCCTCCATACCCCCGTCTCTCCCACCCCCGCTATCCCCTCCCTGCCCCGCCCCCTCAATAAACCGATTCGCCCGCGCAAACCACTTTATCAAATCTTCATTTGGATCGTCCTCTGCCCTTATGTGCAAATGTTTCAAATGCGCAAATCTCTCTTGCAGTAAAGGATCGTAGTTGATAATGCTTAACACATGCGTTATTCCAGCGTCTTCGATCAGAGAGGTTTGGTAGAGAGCATAAAGGCCGCCGATGTAGAGCCGGGGGGATGATGTGCGTGGGACGAAGTCGAGCCAGCCCATTGTTGGGGAGCCATGCAGGAGGTAGGACATTTATTGGAGAGAGAGGGGTGAGAAGATAAGGATAGGGGAGAGAGGAGGGAGGTGGATTGGTGATCGGCGAAGCGTGCCGAGGTTAAATTCTTGGAGCGAATCGTATGCATGACATCTTAGCGTTGTGTGTCGAGCAGTGTGGTGACAGGGATAATTCCGAGTTGAAATTGCGTGCCTTTAATGTTCCTTAAATTCCGGCAAGGCATTTGATGAAATCATACCTGTTCGGCTGGCGTGTCACAGTTAATGTGGGTATACTCGTCACTCGTGGTTGATAGGCTTTTGCTACGTGATCTAGATGGAGTTTGGATAGAGATCCTGGTCAGATGTGCTACCTCCGGCCTTTTCTAATAATATACTTAGTAACAGTCTACTTCAGAAGACATTCATAGACCTATTGAAGTGTATATACTGGCTAACTTAATCCCGTATCGCGTCGCGCTAGCCTTTCAGACGTCAACCCCTCCATCTCCATCTCAGATGCACATTCGTTTGCCTTGTCCAGCAATCTCTTCAACAAGTAACCAACGCCTACACCCTCCCACCTAACAGAAGCCGTGACAGGGATGCTCTAGGATAGAAATTTGGATCCTATTAGCCATCTTGATCCGAGCAAGAAACCGAACTAACTAATTTGTTCTGCTAATACTCCACGATCGGCGCGAAGGTATTGTAAATTATGCATAACTTCTGTAATTCTGTGATTTTTTCTTCCGCTTCGATCGGTGGGGTGAGTGGTGGGACGAGACGGATGCTTCCTGTGCACATCACATAGTTTTATGCAGATTGTGGCTTTCACTGCAGATCTATCTCTTTGCTGATTATAGACCCAGAAATGGTTCCTATCTGATGGGTGAGTGACTCGCTCACTAGTATCTCTGCCACAGACATGGATTCACTGGATTCTCCGAATTCATTCGCCTCATTTGATACAATTTGTTTTCACTGGCATTTCCGCCGTAGGTATAGATTCTCGGGGTTCACTGATGTACTGGGTCTCGCCTGATATCTCCGTTTGCTTCTACCACGTGTCCATGCTTTCACCATGGGAAGCCATACCCTCAGGCGGCTAGCTACGGACTCTTTGAGCTGTCGCACACGCACATAAAGACCTTAAATCCCGCTCCAAATTTTGACTCTATAAACTTACCTCACTACCTCTTAATACCTCAATCAATCCAGCCTCCACAATGTCGACGAAGCCGTCGTATTTGCAACGACTCTTCTACTTCTACCCTATTGGGAATACGCCTGCCGTATGCTTGACACAATCCCTCCCCCCAGATCAGGATGCCTCTCTGCTGTTGCTCGGATGTGGCGATATTCGCAACTTGTTGTTTACAGTATATGCAGGGATGGGCCTGGGTAGGTACCGCAATTAGATTTGATCGCGGTCCTCTCTGATGCTGACTGTATAGGGGACCGCAAACTCGACTTCACCTGCTGCGATATTGAAGCGGAGATCATTGCTCGGAACATCATTGCTCTTACTTCAATAATCGACGACGATAAAGCGGGCTCAAACCTTCGAAATATCTGGAACATCTACTACCATGTCCTCTTAGATGCAGAGTCTTTGGCATACCTCCAAGCCCAGGCCCAGAAGCTGATAGATACCGCGTCCTCCATTGAATCGTGGAACTCGGGCCCTTACGGGGATTCCATTCGATTCTGTGATACAACCACGTTTGCCAACGTGGTCAAGCTGTGGAAATTCTATGCAATTGAATCAGCGGACAAGGAAAAATACACTGAGCAACAAGGGATACTAAAGTCTCAGTGGAAAGCGGCTCAACAACACAAGGAGTGTGCCCTTGGAAAAGGTCTCATATTAGATAGCCTTTCCACCTTCACTCCACTATGTGAGAAGGTTATCGCGACCACCCTGAACCAGCGGAAGAAGTACTGGGAAAATGGAACTACCCTCGAAGACAAGGGCACTCTTCGCAATACGACCCTCCTAAACCCCATGTTCGCTTGCCTTCAGGACGGCCTCATGTTTCACTATGGCACTAATCCTCTTTTGGGATTCCACCTGGCAACTGCACATGCACCTCTATCGAACAAGTCGCCCTTGGCACCCCTAGGATCCGATCACGTAGACGCTAAGCCATTCACAGCCACTGCAAAAGCGGCCCTCGGGCAGTTCTCGGCTTGGTGTCATGCGTTTCGCGATGCACATCACCGGACAACCATTCGCTACGTAAATTCGGATGCGTTGGCTTTGTGTTATGTGCTCCAGCATCATCGAGTGCATAGAGAGAGCACCTCAGCAAGTTGGTACAGGAACAATTGGTGCTACCAACCGCTGGTACTTGACACGGCTGACTATGGTGATGATGGAACCGCGCCTACAGCGTTTGATATCATCGATACATCAAATTTGATGGATCACCTTGGGAGTCTGAATCTTCTTACTGCAGCAGCTCCACTCTTATTCCCGCAGCCCTCATCGGTAATTCGGACCGAGGTGTTGTTACCTCGAGAGGAAAATGTGAAAGATTCTGTGAAGGCGCTGCTTTGTGGAGACCTCCCCTCCGTTGCCCTGGCTCTTGGCTTGAAGCCCATTGAGTACTGGACTAACTCTACGGCAACTTGGAATCCCAACGAAAACCTCTACCAATCTGTTAGCGGAAATAAGTTGCAAAGTTTTCTGCCCCGATACGTCATTGTGTGGAAGTCTGTGGATACATCACCACTCAAATACGAAGCGAAGAATCTCGCAGGACTTATTCACGGCATCTACCTCGACATGTTTCAGGATGAGAACTTTAGCAGGTATTTTCAAGTGTTCCAACTTCTTGACAACAATCAAAAACATGCGATCGAGAAATTGATGCAGTACAATCTGTACACCCGCGCTAGCTTCGTTGCAGTTCTTCAGAGGGTTATAGGTTCGGCTCATGTGAATGTGGGCGAAGTTCTTGATGTCATTCTTAGGATGATAACCAACTACCAGACCCCCGGTATGTCCGGTCACTATATCCAATCTTTGTTTGTGCACATTTGCACCATGGCGCTTCCTATCCCGAGGAAGTACAGTTGGTGGCAACCTAAGTTTTACAACCACGAGCTCAAGACTGGAACATTTCGAAATTGGAAAGATATTCCCGAGGTAGTGTGCATCACAATTGCTGTTCCTCGAAGTGCATTGACATTTTTTGAAACTCCTTCCAGGAATTATGGCACTCCCGCCTGTCATATCATGGTCCAATCGGTCAATAACATAACCCAATACATCTTCCCTGACATCCAGCTTGGTTTTGGTACCACCACACCTTCGGGAATACCGTTCACGGAGCGATACTCTCTCGAGGTTCAGGACGATTCTAGGGGGTGGGGGGGAGATTCTCCATTGATTGTCTCAGCCATGGTATCGTCGTGCGTTCTCATCGAGCATGGTAGACCCTCCAATGGAATACAAGTTGGTATCAAGAGCAGTACGTCAACGGTTCAGTTGATCGAAAAGTTCGGAATGCTCCTTATTCTATATGAATCAGGACTCGTTCAGAAGGACGTTTTCGTCACCAAGTACCGACCAAACATGCGGGGCCATATCTCTCTTGGATATAAACTCTCTCGGCAACAACCCTCTTGTAAGTCTCTTTCTAGTTTCAATTCATTATACACGTCGGATTGACTGATAATTGTCCGTTATTTTGCATCAACTGATTAGCGCTATAGCTCAAGATCTTGCAATTAGCATTCAGCCTTGCCTCAATACCTCCAATACAACTATTACGTCCATGACAATACACGGCGATGTGACGTCACCAACCGTTCAACAACTTTTGCAGAGCAACGCAAGCGTTGAGTTTCGGCTCATTGATCCCTTTCTCCTCGTACTAGATATCGGTGGTGGCAAATTTCGCAAGGAGCTAGAACTCCCAATGCCTTTAAATAGTGCTCTCGGGAAAGGGAAAGTAGCCCGTAAATCGTGCTGGGTGGAGTACACAGCTCCAATTGTTCACGTGGCTTCTCTGACCCTTCGGCCGGATCTTATATTTCCTATGCGCGCTGGACAGAGGTAACATATAGATAACTCAATTTTGATCTTGACACTAACCAAGTTTTAGGCCCGGGTTTATATTGGAGAATCTCCATTATTTACGCCCTGATGTATTGCCGATCCTTCAAGTGCCACGAGTTCCGACGGCCATAGAATGGCTAGCCTCACACACGGCACCACTAGCCACAATGTCAAAATCGGAGTTTGCGGAGTTCATAACGGTGGCAGACACCACTAAGTTTCCCCAGAATGGTCGTGTGGGCTTCAAGCACTCCATATCCGCTCTCTTCCTGCATTTCGCCGAACTTCAGGGTCGGAAGAAGGCACACGTCTTTCACCTTAGTACCACAGCCTCTGAAGGTATCAGTAGCTGCATTCTCTTTCTCGTCAATGCCTTGCGAATGGACCTCGCAAATCAGACTGTGTTTCTGGATGCCGCCGTTATCCCTCTCTCCCTATTCACTCTTCGAAGCATTATGGAGAGCCTAGTGAGCATTGAAAAACGAGGCAAGTTCGTACGGGTCAACACCAATGATACGGAAATTCTTGCTTGGAAGCATGTTCTTCCTGCCATGGCTGAACGCTGTCGAGGCTGGAAGCATAAGTCTACCTGCGAGTATGTCACCGCCGGTAAGATTCCTTCCTCTACGGAATTGGGCAAACCGTTCATGTGCAACTGCGGCCGTGGCATCTTTCCCGAGGGCTTCTTGAAAGATATGAAGGAATGGAAGAAGCTTTCCAAGTACGCAACACGAGTTGCAATCTCGCCCTGTTTCACTTCTCCGGTTAGCAGCGATGAGAATGGTGTTACCTTATCGAATCTCTTTCCAAACCTTGGCCTGTCTACGAGTGCTGAAGTCAGCGGTGGCCAAGAACGTCTTCGCCCCAACACTGTTAACTTGGATGTAAAGGAGGGTACCTGCTTCGAATGCGGTGCGACAAAATCGACGAATGGAAATGTGCTGATGAGGTGCGCTAGGTGCAGGTATGCGCAATATTGCTCCGCGGAGTGTCAGAAAGTGAACTGGAGCAAGGAGCACAAGCACCTGTGCAAGTACAGAATGAAATTGAACGATACTGCTGGGTAAGAGTGATAGCTTTGGATACTTGTGCTATGGCTCTATGGTAGACTGATGGCCTCCGGGTCATGGCTGCAAGGTATCTGGCCAGAGTTATTGGGATTCCCGACGGGAAGCCTCGGTAAAGCTAGATCCGGTTGTGGTAGGTATCTCGCCACCAAGCGGATTGACCGCCATATCACATTCAAATGGTGTTTGTTACATCGATTTTAGAATTTGCAAGGCACTCCGCCATATGCTCCTGTGAATTCGGAATTCATCGTTGCAGATCTCTGCTTGCTCTAAACGGACGTTGTCATACGGCCCCTTGGTAATGCGCTTTCCCAGTCACTTATGGAATGTTGAGTTTCTGCCCAGAACTACTTTCTCCAGTCCGCTAGAATTCACTTGCGATGCACAGCCAATCGTGACTCATATTGAATCCATTCTCTCGTTTAAGAATTTGTTGTATATTCAGGTTTCAATTCGAATTCCATTCTTGCAAGCCGTATTGCTAATTTACCCAAGAAAAGGATGGCAGCCAGGCCCTAGAGATCTCAGGTCGACCCTCTACTCCTAATTCGGTGTTCACAGCTTTACTGAAACCAGATGGTCAAGAACAAACTATCTACCCGGTTTCTCTATCGCAGCCTTCCCTACATCAGTTGAAACGAGAGTAAATGAGGGGAAGCTGCGTATGAGGGTAATCAGCTCGATTTCATGCTCTGGAAGAGATCCTCCAATCCACTCTCCGATGCCTCATACTTCAGGTTACTGAGAAACAACTTGGCTGGTGTCCGTCTTAATTAAATATTTTTAGTGCTAAATAAGCGAGAGAGTTAGGGGTAAAGGTAAAACCCCTGCTAGCCAAAGTTGCAATAGCTGGTAACGGAAAAGAGTTGTCTATCTATAGATTAGTAATAACTAATATCAAGATAATAGACTCTTGCAGGAGAAGATAGGTTTATTAAATAAGCTTTATAGTAATAGACTTGTAACAGTACTAAATCTACCTCGGTCTACAATAGTTAGATAAACAGCATCTGAAACTAAGCTGTAACATTTATTAAATGTTATTTTAAATAAAAATGCGAAAGTGCTGCTACTAAGGTATAAGTTCAAAAAAGTAACTCTTAAGAAAGCCAATATGTTTAAATACACTATGAGTAAGCCTAGCATAAACATTTATACTTACCTTGTAAGCTACGTAGACTAACCTAAACGAAAAAGAGACAAGGAAGCTAGGGTAGGTTAGATACACTAATAGCATGTATGCTTGCCAACTAAAAGAAGTCTTCAGACTTATTATCTTATTGGAGGCTAAAGAGGGACAGCAAAGCTTAAGTACATTAGAGGTCTAACATCAAGACCTTGGCAGCAATCTTTGTGCAAATAAGCAAAGTGAAGAGACGTCGTTGATGGTTCCGAGCGCTGGGTATGGGCTAAGTAGCGAGGGGTTTAGTGGATTTGGGTTTGTACGTGATGGACTATTCTGTTGAAAACCTAGTTTATGGGAATAGCTTAATAGATCTAGATCAAGCTCGCGAAAAAGTGTGCAGCAATTAAGATCCAGGGTATTACTCCAACTCTGAGACGGCCAACCCCAAGTTATCCTTATGAGATAGCTCACCTTCAACTGCAAGTTCCCTCTCGACTTTCCAGGTCTTGGTCTGGCTGATACCGGTGTTTGGAGTATGTTCAGATTCAGTCTTGTGTTCCTCTATAGCCTGTCTTTGTTTGGTACCGTCACTCGATATGTCGAGCAGTGCGTAGGCTCTGCCGCTGCTGCCTTTGGAATAGTTCTCCCCGCGCCGCCGTGTATCGTCTATGCGGATCATACCACTGTCCAGGCCTTGCAGGAACATCTTCGCATAGGGGAGAGAAGTCGTGACGATAGCGAGACTTTGGACGGACTGTTGACACACAGCAGAACGCCAGTAGCCGAGAGAGAGATCGCCTCGAACCGGTCCGGTGCTGTCACGGTGAAGGTAGATGAGATGGAGAATAATGGCAATCGGAACGCTGTGGAGTATTAGCTTCCGAATTTCGCGCCACAAGTGACTAGCCATACCATGCTCGACATAAGAAGATGCTAATGATTGTGATCTTTCGCGCCCGCTTCAATTGCAGTTCAAATGCTATCGCAGATTGGAGTCCAATCAGGCCTACTTCAGTAACGATGTTAAACGCAGAGACCGCATACCACCAATTGAGCTATTACTTTTAGTTTCGGTTGAGAGCACCATTTTAAGACTACTCACTCGACTGAAGCACTTTCCAGATAGTTTATCCCATGGCTGAGGCATCCCGCATGCGAACGCGATGGAGAAAACTGATCCGATTGTCCATAGAACAGACATTCCTGCCAACACCTTGTCAATGCGATGATGGATAGCTTTTGGCGATAAGCTCCTGATGAATGCAACAATGACCAGTTTCGACAGACACATCGCCAGGATGAAAAGGATGGTGGCTGCATATTCGGCCTACTAATCGTCAGCGAAGAACAATATATTGTGATTCTTCTTTTACCTTGAACTGCGACTGAACCGTCCCTGGACTTAGTGAATCTAGTGGCTTTCCAAACCCATTTGCAGCTTGAAAATATACTGCTAGTGATTGCGCAGCAGAGAAAATCTGAGAATTGTTATTTCTGCGTTGCACTTCTCGGAACTGCTACTCACTAATGCGAAAAATCCTGCTGCAATCTCCAAGCTCAGTGATCTTGAAATGTACAACTTCAGGCCTGCGTGCGCAAAGAACGCAAGCACACTAGTGGCCAAAGCGATCCACGTGATGATATGAACTATGGGCGTCCGATTCGTGTCACTGACGATCACCTGGTCGGGAGGCATTATTTGAAGGTGATAGAAAGTAGAGGCAATGCCTAGAAGCCGTATAGCCGTTGTGAGATGATTGTTTGAGTAATAGTTCTCGATATCAAACCAAAAAGACGCACGCTGGTGCACTACAGTGAGATACTGAAGCTACCCTGTACAAAGAATGCTGTCTCCTGCAAGGAGTAGACATCTGAGGCTGTTGGCATAACCTTTCGACAGGTCCAAAAAATGGCATTAGTTGGCCCTAGCGTGTGGCACAGCTGAGCGATCCGCCATATACGAGAGGACGGGCTACCTCCTACAAGTGTTTTTCAATCTCAGCAAATTCACACATTATACTGTAACTCTGTCCGCTGTGGAAAGGAGAGTCGGCGTATGAGGCATTGAACAGGGGAACCACAAGATCGGATTGGTCGCATTGCTATCCTATGTAGAAAAGCATCGAATTTCCATGAGAGTATGGGCTCTGGTATTCGGTCCCGCCCACGTACCCCTCGTTGTGATGCCGTTGAAATCCAAAGGCACCCGAACATTCTCTGCGCACAGTCTATGGGACGGCAGATCCATACGGGTGGGATCACATAAAGTTTAACGAGCCGTTCGAAAACAGAGCTTCCTGTATTGGATCCTTTCGCGGCGTCGGCAGTTAAACCGCTCGGGTTCGATATTACAAGGGTGGACATTGCCGACCGACTAGAGTCCATTCCGTCGTAGAACTTCAACACTTTTGACGACCTGGTCGGCCAGCCCGCTCATGTCATCACCCTTGTATTGGACGCGTGTTGCGATCTAACCTTGTCCACAGACTGACTCGTGGACATATCGAACGGCAGTTCGGTTGCATTTTGAGACCAAGAGGTCTCGTATATTCGCTGGCACGGATCGCAGATTTGAGCACGCGACGGCAATCACCCCCGCTTCCGGCGGCTAACACGGTACCAGATGGCCTGTAGACGCGTTGTGAAGAGAAGCGGCATGCGACTGGCTAAGACCAGGGTTTATTATTTGCCAGCCACTGCTTTGCATGCAGCGTACAGCAGCATTCTGCAGTCGTTCCCTAGGGATAATCGTACGACAGGTCCCCTTTAATCTAATTAGCGCACCCATGCATGCGGCGTAGCAGTCAGCTGTCGTTCCCTTGGCTGGTCTATGTCCCCTCTTCCTTCCGGCATTTTCCTCTTTCATTTTTCCTCAATTGCATCTCCTTTACTGTTTACAAATTGTCTCACAGTTTAAAGTTGCGGTTTGGATATATATGGCGGATAAACAGGAAACGATTGAGCTGGGTGAGATCCGCAACATAGACACTAATCAAGATGTGGCAGCTCTGGCACGGCTTGGAAAGAAGACCGTGTTGAAGGTGCGTACAAGTCATCTGCATGCCCCACTGCTGAGAATCCCCCATTCTGACGATTTTTCTCCACAGAGAAAGTTTGGCTTTCTTTCTATCCTGGGATTTAGCTGCACAGTTCTTGTAACATGGGAAGGTTTCCTGATGTGAGTAATTAAGCGCCACTGCTCTTAAAGGATACTAACATTACATAGTCTCTTCCTTGTTGGGCTCCAAAAGTAAGACGCCGTGCTTTGTTGAACGCGTGTGACACTAAATGTTGGTAGTGGAGGCCCTGCGGGCGTCTTCTACGGCTATATCATCGCTTGGCTGGGCACAACATCTGTCTTCGCGGTCTTGTCTGAATTGGTGTCGATGTAAGCATATCGTTGCTGATATGTATATATCTCGCTGACTGAGACAGGGCGCCGACCTCTGGTGGGCAATACCATTGGGTCGCCATGTTAGCACCCCAGCGATATCAAAATGTCTTCAGCTACGTCGCAGGTACGCAAATCCTTCTAGTATCTTGACAACGGCTTATTTGTTTAGGATGGCTCACTGTTGCGGGCTGGCAAGCCACGCTTGCCTCCTCAGCCTACCTAACTGGCTCTCTTATCCAAGGTCTCCTCATTCTCACTCAGCCCAATTATGTCCCACAGAACTGGCATGCTACTCTTCTCTTCTGGGCAATCATAGCTTTTGGTGTTATCATCACAACGGCTTCCAGCTGGCTCTTACCGAAGTTTGAGGGCTTGATTCTCATCATTCACGTCTTGGGCTTCTTTGGTATCATGATTACGTTGCTCACCCTCGGACCGCATGAGAATGCCAAAGAGGTGTTCACTACGTTCACTAACAAGGGTGGTTGGGATAGCCAAGGACTCTCATTTTGTATTGGGATGATGGGAACCGTGTACGCATTTGTTGGGGGAGATGGTGCTATTCATGTGAGAATGCTTCCTGGTGACTTGAATACTCGCTAATTTTTTTTTAGATGGCTGAGGAGATCCGCAATGCCCCCGTCACTGTTCCACGCGCTATTATGGCCGGAATCTGGATCAACGGCAGTCTCGGCTTTGGCATGATGCTTACTATGCTTTTCCGTTCCGGCGACATCGACGCTGCATTGGCAGAGAACCCGTCTTTCCCATTTATCGCTATTTTCCACAATGCCGTGCAATCGGTCTCTGGTGCTGCGGCCATGGCAGCCTTTGTAATGATCCTTTCCACGTGCTGTGCCGTAGGGACTCTAGCTTCTTCGTCTCGTGTGTTCTGGGCCTTTTCCCGAGACAGAGGTTTGCCTGGATGGCGCACTCTGAGCAAGGTAAGAAATATTTAAACTAGAAAAAGGCTTGGGGCTAAAAGAATTTCTAGGTCAGCTCCCGCACCTCTATTCCCGTCAATGCCGTCGCCGCTACCACTGTCATCGCCTGTATCCTCTCATTTGTCAACATCGGTTCTGCCACCGCTTTCAATGGTGTTATTTCCGTCGCTATTGCCGGCATCTTCTGCAGCTACTTGCTCGTGGCGTCTCTCCTGCTCTACCGCCGCACTACCGGCGGAATCATCTCGCTCAGTGCCTCCGCAAGTGAAGTCAGCCTGACAAACACAACAGGTAAAACACTTTCTTGGGGACCCTGGCGCATCCCGGGTATTCTGGGTATTGTAAACAATGCGTTTGCATGTGCATACCTCTGCTTTGTGTTCTTCTTCACCTTCTGGCCATCAGTTAAGGATATTACACCTGCGACAATGAACTGGAGTATCTTGGTCACAGGCTTCATCACCACCTTCAGCGCGGTGTACTATATGGTGCGTGCGAGGAAGACATATAAGGGACCGATTATCGAGGTAGATGGAGAGTAGGTGCCTTGAAACCCACAGATGAGAAGGGGTGGTGAAGTACAACAAGGAGGGATATGGTATAAACTAGCTCCGGTGGCGAAGCTCGACGAATCAAGATTCTATTTCTTTCAGGTCCGCTTTCGCTCCCTGCTGGCAAATACTAAGTCCAGAATTAAAAGCCAATTTTCGCATCAATAGCCTGTCCTGCCGCCTCAGCTTAGTGACGATAAATACTACACTACAGATGACTAACTATTGCTTCGGAGAACATTAGATAGGAATGAAACGTGGTTGCGGGTAATCCCACTACACTTTTACCTCATCTAACCCAACCCACCAATAGGTATGTCGACCAGAAGAATCTAACCCCGCCAACTACAATTCCTATTGCTTCACCTAACCAGCCTTATTACTACCTCTCACCAACGCCTTGAAACCAGGTCTAAACAATTTCTAATAACGTACCTCACAGGTGTGCTAGCTACTCTGCTAAGACCCTACTAAAACTATTCTAACATTGCAATACCTTAACAACAACACTAATTAAGACCTTTAAAGGAAGCTAGAGTATAGCTTACAATTTAGGCTGTTAAATAAAATGTAATAATTACTTTACAACACACTGTAGCCTTTTATAATGTTTGTATAATGTATTTTACAAGCGGGCGGTCTACATAAGTAAAATACAAACTTTAATTGCAGCTACTTATGCCCTCTTACTATCTAATAATGTTTTATAAAAAGTAGAGTTTTGCCTAATTATTACTTAAAAAACATACCTTTAATGTGTTATAGATGTCTAATTAAGTCTTATATACTAAGCAAATTTTTGTCAAAATAGATGTTTTAAAATGTACTACAGCACGTAACTATGGCCTCCCTAGTTGTAAGTAACATCTTACAAAGTCACTACTTTCGTACTGCTCACATGACAGCTATGTTCACGTAGCACGTATACGTACTACTTCCTGTTGGCAGCGCTGGGGGAGGCCAGATTACGGGTGACAGAACGAAGAACGAATAGCGATTCATGAAATGTCAAGAGTTCAATCGCTTCAAACGCCGAAATCAGGGCCACCAGCAACCGAGCGTCGTATTCGCGAAATCTCTAACAAGTGTCCGAAGAAAGGCTGTGGAAATCGGATCGAGAAAGATGGTGGATGCATTAATATGAAGTGTGAGCATCCTGTGAGCCGAATTTGCCATGTCTAATATCCCTAAGTCCATGTGGGATCAATTTCTGCTAGGAATGCAAAATTATTTATGTCAACGGCTCGGTGCGTTGCACTTACAGTCGTCACTCTACCCATAACAGCTGAAAAAGGCACCTGTCTAGCTATACGTATGCTACAGACTATTGTACAGTTGAAAAGCCACCCTCGTCTGACTTTTAATATGGTGAAGGCTGGGACTGTGGTCCGGACTATGGAAGTGGTCAACCCGCCAAGTTGAGATCTAGGGCCATTACCCCCATTTACCCATATAATAGCGATGACCTCGGCGATATGGTCTGCCGGTCGGGGGGGGGGGGCACAGGTATCGTTGGGCCTTTCTAGAAGCATAAACTATGCCAATTTTTCTCAACTGTGATGAGGATTCTCTCGCTCAAGGTAGAAGGATAAGGAGGCTGCAATTGATTCCATCAAACTACATCCCCATTACTAGATTTCCTCACCGCCCACGTTGGCTCCTCCTGCTCACTTCCATCCGCCCAACTTGATTGACCCCTTCCGTGGCCTTTCTCGACTTTCAAAACTTGCGTCGTGTTCTCTTTTATCATCCGCACTTCTGTCGTACACCAGATCTCTCCATTCTTTCCTTCGAGATTTGACGTCAGGATGTTCTCCTCACTCTGTGCATCCGTACTCCGCATGTTCTTCATCTTTATAACTGCCCCACGACCACCACTCTTCATTCGAGAATGTGTGTCTTTCGGCTTGCTAGAATTCCCGCCCTCGCCATGCATTTGTCCGTATGCACGTCCATAAGTGGTCTTGTTTTGTGTGGAAATAAGGCCGAAGTATGACAGGACCTTTTGGAACGGGGATCGTAAACATGGGATACAAGCTGCAATAAATCCAACCTGTTCTTCGACACACGACCATGTTCCTATTGATATGCCTTCTTTAGTCGGGTCGTTCGTTCGTCCGAAGTTAGCTGCCGCTGTGACTTTGACAATGGATGCAGCGGCCGCAAAGATACCGAGGGCCATGAGAATTCCGATAACAATGCGCTCACCCAGAGGGCGCTGTATCTTCCGGAGGAAGGTGATCGGAATCAAGGCGAATACGAAGTCGGTTGCGATGTTGACGGTGGAGACGCAGATGAGGTTGTTCCGAATGGCGTTCTTTCTCCAGCACTTCGCCTCCACGACGCCCAGGAGATCCCAGGCCGCGTGCAGTGGGACGCATTGTACAAGCTGCGTGATGGTGTTGTAGACGCCTAGGAATAGTTGAATGACGATCATGGCCCACAAGAATCGTCGCCAGTGCCTCTCTTGCTCAAGCCGGAGAAGCATAGCTGCAACGGAGATTTTAACAGCGGCCATGGACCAAGCCCAGATGGGTTCGGCAAGGATGGCATGTCTAGTCGATTCTTCAACGTCTTTGAGCGTGATGGTTGCAGGATCGCGACCGAAGACGAAAGGAACTGTGATTAGGAGGAGGATCGAGTCGACCAGAACGAGGACCTGCAATTAAAAGATAAGATGACCGCCTCCAGTCATGTCCTGGGATATACTAACATATGCAACTGAAATAATGTAATCGTCCCAGCCTAACCGGAGGACAGGAAAACATCTTGTCCATATGCGGCCTCCGAATACCATGAATGATATGATGTTGAGGGTAATAGCGATCCCTGCAAATGCGTGTGCAAGCTCCACCGCGGCTTCTGTAGGCGGGGAGGGAATGAGACTTGGATCTGGAGGACCATTGAAGCCGGTCGAATTCGAGGGTAAGTTCATATTCACTGCTCAGCCTGAAATCTCAGACACAGGAACTCGGGGTCGAACTGGAAGATGAGCAAGAAAATACAGGTCGATAGGAAAGAGCATAACCAGACTTTGGGGAGAGGAAGGGATCTGCAAGCTTTACGTAGAATGGTGCAGACCCAACGCCTTAATTCAAGCACCGGCCCTCGCCCGTCATCCATCATTTCGCCATAATGCTAGACGAATCTACCCCTGATACTGTTGAGCGTAGATGGGTTTTCTGGATCCCTAGCGCGCTGATCCACTACCAAGGAGGTCAAGAGACCTGATGGCGCAAACTTAGTCGTCCGAGGTACCAATCCTATCCTGGATAACAAGTACAAGATTAAGAGTCCTGGAACTCCAAGAAGGGTTGACGCCTATAGTTTCAAACGCTAAACCATGCGACAACGAGGCGGAAGGGCGAAGCGAGCAACGTTAGCCGGCGCGGAGTGCGGGAAAGCCAACGTCATTGCGAGCATGACCACACTTAGAGTTTGGCTCTGCGAGTGCACTGACTCGTCGCATGAAGTTCGAGATTTCCAGTTGTCACACTCGGGTGGAAGCGAGACAGATCGTGCATTGAGCTACGGAAACAGATCATGCAGCAAGCTCACTCAGTCGGCGATCATGCACCGAGCATGCGAGAAAGGTCTTAAGTAATCCAAGGGATCGAAGAAGCTGTGTCAGCTCCAAGCCGACGTTGATATAAGCATGCGAACAGATCCGATTTCCCATCTGCAAAAGTGGCAATGCCCGTGGCTCCAATGCAGGGTTCATGGAGCTAAGCACGCTCCATGAACCGAGAGCTAGAACCTAGTTGTACCCCGCGCGACTAGCAAAAGACGCTAAATTAAGTAAACTCGTCTCCGAAGCTGCCTTCTGCTGAATCATAAGAGTACCTCGGGTCGGAGTTCATCGCAGGGTGGATTATTGAATGAAGTGCAAGTAGAGCCCGGATACGAAAGCTTGGTGCTGAGACTGTGAATACGGATGCCTGAAAACCAACGTTTTAGAACAACCCGGCTATTGTAGGGCCAGTAAGGAATTACCTCTCTTGGTTACACGGGGGACAGCACGCCTGGAGGTGAATGCTAAGGTCACGTGGTGGCAATGATAGCTTGGGTGATGCTGCTGCCGTAGAGCGTAGAGTGTTGTTTGTGATGGGATCTGCAACGAGAAATTCTTGATTCTTGCATGGTTCCATTCCTATTCGCTGGTTTGCCCCACACCTTCCTACCACATATACACTGCCTAGTCAGCACGCTGAGTGTCTTGAGATCCGTGCAAGTCTCAAACGCAAGTACAGAGACGAGGCTGGCATGTTAATTGATATCTAAGTTTTTTTTTATGCGAGACAAAAATAGAACGACGATCGCATATTCAGCGCACGCAAAAATCCACGGATTTCTTAGCAACCCTCCCGTGTCGTTCTTCTCTACCTAATCCTCATAGAAATTAGAAATTCCTATAGCAGAAGCTAGCAATTACCTAATTTTAATAAATATAATAACTACATAAAGCTATTTTTACTATAGACCGCTGTATACTAATTAGATTTCAAGTGTTTTAGAATTAATTAACGCGCAATAGCAGGTAGAAGCAAGCTAGTAGCAAAGAGGGCAGCAAGAGACGCTAGAAATCTACTAGCGCTATTACCATGTTCTAAAGCGTCTAGATAGTTTATAGTTTTAGAAACGCAGCTAGAGAAGCTAAAAAGTAATCTTGTTACATACTATATATGTCACAGTTAAATTACAGCTATTCAACCCCTGAGTACCCTAGGCTTGTCACGGGGTATATAGGCTCCTCGGCCTCCGTACCTCTGCCTCCGACCCTAAGGTTTACTCTCTCGCTACCCCCCCTATCTTGCATCCCCTCTCTGTTCCTCGTGCTTCCTGCTCGATACCTCTTACAATATGTTAGTAAGCTAGTAGGATAAGCTAGAAGAGTAATAATAATAAGCTATTAATTGTAAGAACAACGCTCTACACTACTCTACTATTACGACTAAAAAGGTATAAATAATTAGCTAACAGTTAATTTATATACAAAATAGGATATATACCTTGTTAGACGTAAATAATATCTCTATTATAAATAACAATTTAATAAAAACTCTTAACGCTAAAGAACTCTTTAATTAGATAACTTTAAAAGTAAATAAATTTATATAGAATAATAATAATCTTAGCTATAAAGCCTAGTATAACATAGACTTGTAACTATAACAATTTACATAAGCTGTTCTATTTAAAGTTACCTAACAAACCTATATCTAAAGGTTCCTTGTATCTGCTCCGACTCTGCCCTAGCCTCTGCTGTACCTCTATTCCCCTAAGTATTTAGCTGCTCTCTTCCCTTAGCTAGCTTAGTAGTTTTCTAATATCCTTTATATAAGGCCTATAAGTGTTAATAGCATTCCTAGGTTTCTAAGTCCCCACGCACTCCTATATGCCTCTAAGTAGATTCATACCGCATTTAAACCCGTTGTATTACCTGTGCTGTTATAGTTTTAGTAAAAGTAAGCAACTTAGGTGTGTAAGCAACTCGCCTGTAGTGTACGTTAACTTTAAATGGAACAATTTATGCGAATTGTTACAATAGCCTATGTAAGACTTAGTAACGCAATACTTTACTAAATCTTATTAGAAATAGGTTACAAAAATGTTAGATAATAGCTAGAGACTGTTTTTATTACTTATTATAATCTAACCTAGTTTAGACTGATAGTAGTAGAGCTATAATAATTCTTAGTTAAGCTAGTGCATAGCAACGTACACTACAGGCGAGTTGCTTACACACCTAAGTTACTTACTTTTGCTAAGACTCTACTAAACTGCTTTTTCTCTACTAATGCATTATTAACAACACTATTTAAATGTGCTAAAAAATGTTAGATATAACTTATACTTTAGGCTTTTAAATAAAACATAACACTTTTAAAGTAATATACTATAGCTATGTATAAAGCTTTTTAAAAAATAATAAACAACTAACACTTTAAATAACTTTTATAAGCTAATTTTATAGCTAACTTATAAAGACTAGATAATAATAAAAAGTATATAATTATTAAGCATATACTAAAGCTAAATATATAAGAATTTTTCTTTTAGCTAGCAGCTATAGCTAATATAGCTAATTTTTTTACACACTAAGCATAATCTAAGCTATGTTAGTATAAACTAGCTTAGTATATTTATAAAGTGTTATATAAAGCTTAAAGTAAAGTTTTAAGTGTAAGTATAGTTAGTAAATATTTAGCTTATTATAAAGCCTATTTTATTAAAGTTATATATGTTATTATTTTTCATGCTATACTTAGCTTTAATATGCTTTATTAGGCTAGACTAGCTTTAAATTACTTTAAAATATTTATAAAAAGTTTTTTTATAGTTATACTTACACTTAAACTTTACTTTAAGCTTTAAATAATACTTTATAAATATACTAAGCTAGTTTATACTAACATAGCCTAGGATATGCTTAGCGTGTAAAGAATTAGCTATATTAGCTATAGCTACTAGCTAAGATAAAAATTCTTATATATTTAGCTTAAGTATATGCTTAAGAATTACCTACTTTTTATTATTCTTTAGTGTTTATAAGTTAGCTATATAATTAGCTTATAAAAGTTATTTAGTGTGTTATTTATTTATTATTTTTTAAAAAACTTTATACATAGCTATAGTATATTACTTTAAAAGTATTATGTTTTATTTAAAAGCCTAAAGTGTAGGCTATATCTAACATTTTTTAGCACATTTAAATAGTGTTATTAGGAATGCATTAGTAGAGAAAGAGTAGTTTAGTAGGGTCTTAGTAAAAGTAAGCAACTCAGGTGTGTGAGCAACTCGCCTGTAGTGTACGTTAGAGGAGGTTTGCAATTACATATTGCCTAAAATATCACAAAAGTCTCTTAGACAGCTAGACAGAGAAAGCGCTTTTAAGCCCCTAATTAGCTAGCCTTATTAGTAGAGGAGCTAGTAGGGGTCCCCCTCCTAGTTGCAGGATCCTTAGGGGCTCCGAGCTTCTCTATACAGTCCGCTGAGCACCTGAGATAAATACAATCACACTCGAGCTTGAGCCAGTTGCTCAGCTCCTACGAATTACAAGGCGCTTGGCTGCGACTTAGTGCGTTAAGCAGCGACTGCAGTGCTGTTGCGGAGACGCTTAGCGTCCATACTGACGATCTAACTGGATCCAGCAGCCCTGTGTGGCTCTAGAACCCCTTTTGCTATCGATTATTCAATTAAGTTAATTAAAATTCCGAGCGCAGGTTAACTTGATCGCTAATTTTCTAGGGCGGCGATTGACTTAACTCAATTGACAGCAAGCAATCAAAACAAGCAAAAACTATTAAGGTTCTTGCTTGTTAACAAGTTTGGTGGAATGCCTTCTCCTCAAAGTCCTATTGCTCGAGATTCCAGATCTAGGGGGGGGGGTTTAAAACGCTACAATAATGTTTTAGTCTGCCTGGTCTCAAGCGAGCTACCCTGGAATCATCAATATGCAGGAGTTCAGATGCGAAGATCCTCAAAAGGCGATCGATGGCGGTTGTAGTCTGGCTCCGTGTGAGTCTATGTTGAATCAATTAGAATGTGTTCTCTTCATAGAGAGTTAGAAAATGTAGTTGCGGAGTGCTAGGGAATGAGGAACGGTGAGATTAGGTGATGTCTTGAAAAAAGCATTGACGAAGTATTAAGGGACCTATTTACAAAGGAGAGAGAAAATGAATTAATTGTATGAAGTGAGATAAGAAGGCTGTGATTTAAATTGTACCCCAGCAAGCGAGAAGCAAAGAAGCGAATTTCCATCCCTTAAGTCCTGTCTTAACTCACGCATATCTTTGCACCTTTGGGCCCTCCAGCCTTCACGTGGTCCGATTCTTTCCAAGGATGTAATTTATTTGGCAAAGCATTCGTTCGCAAGAACTCAATGGCCTTTTCAATGCTAGGCAATTATAGTCTAAGTAAATCGTATAGTCCAAACTAAGGCTATCCAAAACTATCCGCACGTCAAGCGCCTCGTTTAATCGGGGTTGGACTTATAAGCCGTAACCGTCCCGTTCTTCGAGTTAGAAGGCATGATCGAAGTTATGCGGATCAGAGACCCTGTGATGGCCTGCGAGAGCGGCAAATCCAGAGAACACAATGAAAGTTAGGATCACGACCTTGAAAATCCCCAAGAAGCTAAAAAGCCTAATTCCTCATTTCGGAAAGATAGAGTAGAGAAGGACCGAGAATGTAATCCACATGACTGCAATTCCCCGGGCAGCCCAACCGTCAGGAGTTGTCGAGCCTGACGCATACAAGACATAGCGCCCGAACGCTAGACTGTTGCCCGAAGAGAAGCCTAGGAGGATCATTTGTGAAGCAAGGACAGAGGTTGCGGCGTATTTAGGATGCCGGTAAACGCGCTCAAGGTAGTTCTTTTCGCCTCCAGAACGAGGGATTGCCAGACCAAACTCGAGAAAGACCGATAGCCCAGCAAATGTGAGGATCCCGCCTGGCTAGGAGATCAGGATTAGTGAGCGAAGTAGAAGGCACAAGATTGCATACCGATTACCCCGAGCATCGGGATGACTCCGACAGAGCCAGTTGCAGCGAAGATACCAGAGGGCGCTGAAAAAACTAAGGGATGAGTGAGCGATTATTGTTACTAACAGGCCTTGAAAACATACTTCCCGTGCCAATCATCTTGTTTAGAATGAGAAAGACGGCACCTGTGACACCGAGCTTTCTTGAGTCGGTGTATGCATACATATTTTCATCCTGAAAAGTACCGTCATACTCCACGGTTTTGTTTAAGTCGCCGTGCAGCGTAACCAATCGGAAGTAATCCGATTCGACTGGGAGTTTTCAACCGCCCTACAACTCAGTTTGTTAGTACAATTATACAATTACTAGAGGAGCAGAGGGGACTACAAGTTGTAGTTAGTATAAACTAATTTACTATACTTATAATATAATTGCTAAGAATTAGTTTGTAGTATAATTAAATAAGGCAGATTTTATATAATTAACTAACTTACTAAGCTTACTAGCAACTAGCCTATAATAAAGCTAATTCTTTTACAGCTGTAGCGCTTAAATTATTACTTTACTAAAAAGATTCCTTTTAAAAGTAATAGTTCTTCTGCCTCTAAAAAAAGCTCTCTTACAGTTGCAACTAGTAGCTAGTATAGAGAGGAAATTAAAGGCTATCTTAATAATAGTAGAGTACTGTAAATAACTAATTTAGAGCTACTAACTAAGCAGATCTATATACATTAAACAGGTTATAAGATAAATAATACAAAAATAGGTAATTCCTTACTATTTTTTTATACAATTATACTAAGAGGTAATATAGAAAACTCTGCTAGTTGCACTGCCTATAGCCCTTACGTGCTCTCTACAACGCTAATAACTTTACTTTAAGCCTTACCTTAAACCTTACTACTAAAAAAAGTCTATATAAGTTATAATATAATATACTTTTTAGGCTTAAGTATAATTTAATACAACTTAGAGACGTACTATAACTCTACAATGCACGTGATTGTAACGTATTGTATTCTACAAATTGTAGTCCTTCCTGTTGGTCACGCTGTCGCTGTGCTTGACCTGATTAGTCTCGACAATTTGGCCTAGCTGCGTCGCCATGTTACAGGAGTTCGAGTGTTGTGATCAAAGTTGGGAGTTGGAATAGAATTTTCACCCTCCCCGCGTAGTGCCGGATGGGAAGTCAGCTCCTGCGGAACGGAAAGGTAATATCGCCTGCAGGAGTGGATTAATGAAGCTCACCCAGCAGTGTAAACACACCGTCAAAAATGAGGATTTTACAATCACCGAGTTCCCTCATTGGTGAAGTAAATTGCGAATCTCACGCAAAAGGGCGAAGCTTTGTGCCATAGCGAGACAGTCTTGCGAAAATTGCCTTGGATTACATGGTAGCTGTGTTGTCGTCTAGCGGTGAATCACTCAGCGGCGGCGGCGGATCAGGAAGGGCAGGCGTTGAGAGAAAACGGAGTAACAATTGATGTTGGCTGCCTTTATCGGATTACTTGCCAGGTTCTGCCATGGTTATACTATTGATGTCGTGATGCGCATCCAATATTGCGATCGCAACTCCACCACACTCCGCGCCCAACATCATCATCAACTTGGGTAGCGTAGTATGCCAACCGAGCTCAATCCGAAAGCCGAAGAGAGGCGCAAAGAGATGTGGAGAGGCGATGCCCCCGAGATGGAGGATCACGGGCGGGGTTGTTACAGACACCCAAGCGGCAGTCTGCGATGCATACATTATGCGCCTCAGATTCCTCGATCACCCGGCCGTTGATCGTACTGCGAGCGCGAATGTAGTCGTTGCACAAACTATGTGGCGCGAGTTTCTCCATTACTATATTTGAGAAAGGCTTGATAAATTGCCATGATGCAGAACGGCGTAGAGACCTCGAAGACCATTAGATCTCTTCCGACGTTCCGGACTGAGAGGAAATTTTCAGTCACGGGACTAACCTCCATTCCTTTAGAAACTTGGGATACGACCAATGGCGATTGCTAGCTCGTCCGAAAGTATCTATAGTGATATTAGATAGGAACCAATCTATATCGAACTTTGCTTTTCTTGCCTTTGCGCCCGGCTGCATGCAGCATACCATTATCGCGTATCCTCCTGAGGGGTTAGAGATCACAAGCCTGATCGAAAGACGGTGATGCCTCAACTGCTTCCCACTCGAAACCACATGGAGATGGCGTCTCCCCAAGGCAGAGACGGTACTTGATTGCAATTTTAGATATGCCCCAAAGATTTCGATTCCTTTTCCCATTCGACGCTAGAGCGTTAATAGAGCACGGCTTCGGTTTCATTTGTCATCTATAATTTGTGAGATTCAGTACCCTCCCTATTAGTAAGACAGGTCTGTCAGCGGTTATCTAGCTCAAATAGCAAGTCTAGGGAAGCCATTACGGATACCTTTCAGGTGCTTCATCGTTGGTTGCGAGAACTCACTTCATAGTGCCCCGGTGGACAATTTCCTGACGTGATCGACCTGAGTGGCTTATACGCAAAGGGATCTGCGAAGCTAATGGCGGAAGTGCAATTGAAGCGATCCTGATAGAAGTGATGACGGGCCATCTCCCAGGCCGATACACCCACCGATGTATCCTCATGGCAAATGGTCTCGGCCTAGATCTATTTTATGACTGTCTTTCACCTCACAGCTACCTGCCAACCTTGAGCAACGCCACTCCCACCTTTGACTCTCATTAAAACTTGATGTCGTTCGCGACCTAACGTCAGTTAATCCATTCCTTCGTCTCAAATGTTGGACATCTGACCACCACGAAGTGACCCCAACAGCGCGGCGCGAGCCAATCCAGCTCACCGATGTCAGACGAAGAATGCCTCAGACCACTCAAATGCGTCTTCTTTTAGAACCTATTTCACATGATTTATATATTCTCTCCACCACGAGGTCTTGAGGTCGGGCTTGCTTTCCCATTTAAACATTTTCAGCCCCAATGCTTCTAGTGGTCCGTGCGGTTCCGTTGACACCTCCAGGCTCCCCGTCGTCGAGCCAAGTTTGCCTGGAAGTTAAATATACAGCAGGGTCTTTTATGACGACGTACTCTCTACCTTGCGAGAGTATTCCTTAAACCTTGTTAGGTTGAATCTCGCTGTGCGTTGGAACCCTGAATTGGAACTCTGACTGTGTGGTTCTGCACTAAGGCGATGTTTTTTCTGAGAGCTCGGTATTGTATACCCCGAGACCGACCCTATTCCGATTCAACACACTGCTGACACACGTAAACTCAGCAGCCACAATGATGTCTCCGTCTTCTGCAACCGAACCCCTGGGCAGGAATATGAAGGATGCGTCGCTCTTTCAGGGGACCCTCAAACGTCAGTGCTGCGGTGGTTCCAGATACCGGGTCAATTTCAGCTCAAGCCACGTTGCGCGGTGTTCGTAAGATTGGCCAAGGGATTCCTCTAGCGCCACGCCTTCGGACTTCAAATGCTCTCTCTCGGCCAATGCATGTGCTTAGGAAACAAGAATGAACGGAGACTGTCACCTGGGCTGGCTCCTGCCATGCTGCGGGTCTCCCATGTCACCCATCTAGGAGGGAATAGACGGGCAGTCTCTAAGCTGAATTAACGATGCAGCTAATCAAGGACCCACTCAATGTGTGGAACTTATCATGTGGTAGAATTCGCTTTAGGAGGAAACTTAACACCATAGCATTTAGTATCACGTTCGGCAAATACTACAAATGAATGTCATTGGCACCGGATCGAACATCTGCATAGGATTGGGTTGCAGAGCTCCTTCTAACATCAACACCGCGATTTCTCACCCACATCTGCAAGCCTCACTTCACTTTTTCTCGGCTTCCGCTAGACTGGAACACCAACACACCTCTGGAAAATATGTCTTTTTTTCATTGGTTTTTGCCCGGATCAAATCTAGAGAAGTTTCAGCTCCTGGCCCCATTTTTTCTCACCTTGCTCCAGTCCACCCACAGGACAAGTTTCCGACCCTGGCCCCACTTCTCGTGTCGTCTCTGAATTCACTTATAAAAGACTGAGAGGCGTCTCCAATACAAGAGACCAGGCTCGAGATCCTTAAAACAGAACCTCCAGCCGGACGTACTTCAACCTAATGTCTTAGTTACATGATGGGGACACATCATGGTCCAGATTTCATTCTTCCGCCCTTTGATCCGACCTCCCCGCCTGCCCTAGGGACACCTATCAAAACTGTTGCCGAACTGATCGATTTCAACGCCGACAAAAATGCCAACTACCTCTTCTGCCTGCAAGCGGAGCGAGCTGTCCAGGGTGCCAAAGATTCAACCTTTCTCCCGATAACCTTCAAGACACTTCGAGACCTTATCTTCGGCTGCCAGCAATGGTTGCGAGAAAATATTGTTGAACTTCAGCTCCCAAATAAGAATGACCAAGGAACAGTTGCCAGGGGCAAGCCAATTGCATTGCTTGTCGACAGCGATATTGGTCTTCTTATCCATTTCTTTGCATTCGTTGGACTCGGTATCCCTGTACGTTGACACTCTTCTTCGTAACATCTCTAGCGGCATCATCCAGGATCCAGGGCATTGACAAACAAGTTTGTGCTAGGAAACTGGTAGAAAAAGAAAAGACAATACATTATTGCTAAGGACCTAAGGGTGGTGCTGACTTGGGTATTTCAGGTACTACTCCTTTCCTCTCGGCTGAGCCCGCTGGCAATCCAGTCGCTACTTCTTCAAACCTCAAGCAATGCCATTCTCACATCCAGCCGCCTCGAAGGTGCTGCAAAGGAGGCTGTCAGTTTGTTTGAGAATGACGGGCGGCGGCCAACACTGTACCGGGAGACTTCGTACCAGCTCTTCATGCGGCCCCAGTCCCCTTGTCATGGTCCAGATACTTTGAGTGGGGAATATGATATCCCCACTGGAACCCAAAGCCACATTCCACACCAAACGTCGCCCCAACTCTGGAATTCTTCGAACGAGCCACTTAAGCACGTCCCACCATCACAGACTACTGGCAATAGAACCTCGCAAATAATCGCATCAGAGCATCACTATGTGGCGGACAATGACCGCAATGTCCTTATCCTTCATTCTTCTGGTACTACGGGCTTACCGAAGGCTGTATTTCAGAGCCATCGGTATCTACTTAGTTATGCCCCGTTCGCGAGTTTTGATTTTGAAGGTCCCTCCGATCTGCAGAAGCACCAAACGATAGGACTCTCTACACTTCCCCTCTACCATGCCTTTGGGCTGATGGCCCCTATGATGTCCTTATCAATTGGCAAGCCTTTCGCCATTGCCCCTCCTGCTTTTGTTCCTTCGGCTGCCTCTACGGTAGAGCTCCTCACTCTTGCTGATGCTAGATCGCTCCTAACAGTCCCATCATTGCTGCAAGACATCACCGAACTTCCAGAAAACGTGGGCCTTGAAGTACTCCGCAAGCTTCAGTACGTCGCATCAGGTGGCGGACCACTTGGTGTCTCTGTGGGCTCAAAGCTTTCTCGGGCAGGTGTCAAGCTTATCAACGGCTTTGGAAGCACGGAAGTGGGCAGCGTTGGTCGTCTTCAGCCTCCCGGACCGGATAACGATTGGAGATACTTCCGACTGCGCAAGGATCTGCACTTCAAAATTACCGCGATCGATCCTCCCACTGTCGAGGACGAAGAGCGCCGATATAAGATTTCAACCAGACCTCCGGGATGGGATTCGGATTTTGAGATGGGCGATTACTTTGTGACAAGCCTCAAGAAAACTGGGCGAGATTTCATGCCCACAGCACGAGTGGACGATGTTATCGTTCTCAAGACTGGAGAAAAGGTCTCTCCACATATTCTGGAGACCATGCTAATGAACCGAGAGGATGTTCGAGCCGCAATTGCTTTTGGCCATGGTCGTTTTGAGATCGGCGTGCTTGTCGAGCCATCTGCTCCCATTCTCGATTCTCAAGTCGAAGAGTTTAAAAACCGACTCTGGGGCACAATCGTCCATGCTGGGAGCTTTATGGATGCGCAAGCCCAAATATCGTCTCCTGCCGCCGTTGTCGTCTTGAGACCGGACCAAAAGTTCCCGAGGTCGGACAAAGCATCCATTTTACGAGAATTTAGCTACGAGATGTTTCGGAGCGAGATTGAAGATGCATATGTGCACCTCGACAAACCCCTTGCTCAGTTTGGAGCCACTAATGGTATGACGATAAGCAGGGCGCAATTGATCTCTACCGAAACTCCTACTGTAAAACCGATTAATGTTTGCAACTCTACCGCAGGTTCTCAGACAACAAATTTGCTCGTTAATGGAATGTTAGCTAGTAGGATTGAATGTGAAGCCCGGTCCGAGTCAGAAGCGCCAAAAGAATTTCCTGCCCCCCAGAAACGCAATTTCATTCTTGATGGAGATGTCGAAGAGAATCTCCTGGACTTGATACAACGAAATATTTGGAAATCACACTTGAAACCATTGAAGAAGACGGAAGATCTCTTCGAGCTCGGGATGGACTCTCTTCAGGCAACGCAACTCCGGCGTCACCTGTTTGCCGAATTGTCCAAACGAAAAGATGTAGCTACCGTCCAAACACAGATACGCCCTGATATTGTATACCAATACCCCTCTATCGCAAAATTGGCAACATATCTTAGCGGGGGGGTTTGTTCTGGATCTGGTGCTCTGGATCATGGTTCCCTACTCACTCTCATAGAGCAGTACGTCGGAAGTCCCCTCCCAACACCAGACGTTAGCGAACGAAATGCGACAGTACTGATAACTGGTGCATCTGGAGCTCTCGGTGCACACATTCTCGCTCAACTGACCTCCATGTCTTCGGTTGAGCGAATCATCTGTCTCAATCGCCCCGGCGCCGACAAGATGAGCCCATACGCGCGACAGTTCAAAGCTAGTAAGCTTAAAGGTGCCTATATTCCTCTTCGTGACGCGGATAAGATCGAAATCTTGGAGGCGAATACTGCCCTGCCCTGCCTCGGGTTGTCTCAATCCACATTTTGGGGACTTGCAACCTCTATCACCCATATCATCCACAATGCTTGGCCAGTCGACTTCAAGCGTACAGTGACTTCGTTTGAGGCCCAATTCCGCATCATGTCAAATCTCTTGGAACTAGCGCTGAATACTGGATCAAGGACCAAATTCTTGTTCGTGTCGTCTATCGCAGTGGTGTCCGAGTACGACGCGCACCGAAGGGAGGACGAGCCGGTATTTGTCCCCGAGCAACCTTTCCAGACTGATTGGAGTTTGCCGAACATGGGGTATGGACAGTCGAAGCTAGTGTGTGAAAAGATGTTAGAGCGAGTGGTCAACGATGGGATGATCGACGGTGTTGTAGTCCGATTCGGCCAGATTTCTGGAGCGATCAGCAACGGGTATTGGAATCCCGCAGAATACGTCCCCAGGATGGTGGCAAACTCAAAACGCATTGGCGCCTTGCCAGAACTGCCGGGTGTAAGTACAATACATATTTCTGAAACTCCTGTCATTTAATTGTCTCGGTTAAAGATGAGTTTCATTTTATGTTCAGTTCCGCTGACACTCACAGACACTCTCTTGGCTTCCCCTTGAAAATGCTGCCTCGACTGTGACGGATATTCTTTTCGCCCCTCCGAAGACCGGTCGAGAGGGCGACAGGTTTGTCTATCATGTCGAAAATCCCTCTCGTCAATCTTGGGATTCAGTTATGGCGACGATATCGGAAACTCTTAATCTGCGTCTAACGCCCTTTGAGAACTGGCTCAATCAACTTCAAAATTTGAATACACAGAAAGAGATACACTCAAGAGAAAATGCCGTAGGTTCCTCAAGTGCGTCCTTGCAGCAGTTCTTTGAAACAGATTTCATTCACGTTGGATGTGGGAATCTGTGCTTGGACACCACATTTGCACGAAGAATCTCGCCATCGCTGAATGAAGCAGAGGCCATAAGTAAAGGACTAGTAGAGAAGTACGTCAAGTTCAAGTAAATCTCATTACCGCGTAGCACTTTCCTTTGACTAGCGCGGCGTTCCATGTAGGTAGAGTATTATGACGAATGCTGTGGTGGAAACGCCGGAGCCGTTGGAAATACTTGCCAGTCTTTCTGTCACCAGTTCACTTCATTAATAAAACGACCTCCTTGTCGCCAAATCAACAAGGTCCCTCCACAGTAGTCACCATGCTACCTAGGTCTTTGTTTGATGACTTAATGAAATTGAATACTTGTTTACGCTCGGTGATATTTTTCGGTCGATAATCGGAACCAGAATAAACATAGTTAAAGGCCCGGCGAGAGTTGCAGGCCTTCGCAAGGTGTCTAGGAGGTAATCCAGAACATTTAGAAAAAGGATCGTTTATGCGTGTACCATAGGAGAAGTTGGGGGCAGCGACGAGAATTGCGAGGTAAGGTGGCGATGCTCCGGCGTTCATCCCACTTGAGTCCTTAGTAGGCCCCTAAGACGAGTTAGGATAGCGAATTTTGAGAGAGCTGGCGACGCCTGAGCGCGGAGAAGGCAAACCACTAGCCATATTCTTATGACTCCAACAAAAGCACTTATCAGGTGGTCCTACGTTTCAGGATGCCCCGACGTAGCTCACAAGCTTCCGAGCGACGACACAGAGTATGATTCTAACACGCGGAATGAGCAGCCGGGCACGACAAGAAGTCAGGGGTGTGTATAATACGCTGTCTCCACTGACAAATATATAGGCATCGAATGCAAGAAACCCAAGATTAGATACGACATCTGAGGTAATTCAGGTGCGTTCTGCTGTAAAGTTTCCTCGGCATAATCAGCTTTAAGGCCCCAGTCATGGTATTTAATAGAACTTAGTACTGTTCCTACTGTTCCTACTAGTAACAATCTCTTAGCAGTTAGAACAAAAGTAAATTGCCTTCTGTTACTATACAGTTAATAAGGCTATAGTTACCGTAGTAACTGTCGCACGTGTCTCACGCGATACCATACCTATGTACTGCAATATTCACTCATTAGGAGTAGCTCCTTTCTCGTACAGTATATAGTCAGCCCAGAGCTCTCTCTCGCTCCTTAGACCTTACAATACACTGGTACAATTCACCTTGTTTGGATCTCAATACCTTGTCGACTCGCTTACCCTATGACCCCTTCTCAGCTCATCCAAGAGTAACTGCTTATACTAATTAATTTCTTAGTGTTTTGTTAACGCATTTACAGAGGATATTTTTATGCATAGTAGTATAAGAGCTAAATGTGTACTAATACACTAGATTTTATACTTTTTTAACTATCCTATTCAATATTAGTGTAGAATAGTGAAGTAACTTTGTAATTTACCTACTTTTTACTTCTAAGATTAATTCTATTATTACTATAAGTATACTAAACTTTATGTAGCACTTAAAGCTTATAGCACTAGTTTAACACTTTTGTAAGCTTTTATTACTTTAACAAGTTAAAGGCTGCCTCTAGAAGCTCTTAAAGCTTTATAATTAAAGCTTTATTTTTTAGTGTTTTTATTCTTATAAGCTTTCGAAGGACTTTTGCTTTAACAACAGCTTAAATTTTAACATAAAGTAAGATAATATTTAGACTAGCAACTTCTAGCTAAAGCCTTAGGCTCTTAGATATTATGTAAAGAGCTTAATTACAGCTATTACCTTTTATAATTTTAGAGTAAAACAATTTTTACAACTATATTAGCAAGATTATGTTAAAATTAAACTCTATAGACTCTCTAGAAACACTAGTTACTGTAGTAACTATTACTGCATATAAGGCAGTTTTAATTTACACTTTCTATAAGAATAAAACTCTATTGCAGCTAGTAACACCTTAAAAATACTACTAACAGTAACAATTACGTTCTATTAAACACCATGGCCCTAGTGCGGCCCTGGGTGTCTCTAGCGGCCCCCAGCACCACGAACATAGTGTCTAAAAATAGCACTAGACGACTATAACTATTCCACCCACGGGTATGACAAAAGAGAGGGAACTTGAAGGGACAGGTGTATGGGCTTGCTGTAGCACCAATGAGAAGCATGTACGACCTCATACGTATCCGAAAACTTCGGGGTAGCGTTCAATGGAAACCAAACTCGACCTACCCCGAGGGCGACTTCATCCTTGAAGGTCTTTATTCAGGCGGTGAAACTGGAATACCTGTTTACTTGGTGTATGCGGAATAACTATCCGCGCTTCGGGGAAGGAGTCTCTTTCTCTCATCAAATGCTGAAGGCTGGGAGGAATTTGGCTTTACTGACCGTGATAGTTCTTATAGTGTTAGCTCTGTATGTACTTGGACAGAATGGTGGTTGTGACAAGTGCTACGACATCTTTGTGTCTCTCGCGTATATTATATGCCTGACCCGATTGCAAAATCTCGATCATGTTCATGCTCCTTTGCGTTGTGGCTTTCTACTTCTCAAACCTCAGCTTGGCGCTCTCCGGGCTGGTGGAGAGAAGTGCCATTGAGATCAAAATGCATCAATCCTTCAGAAGCTATTTGGCGATATGTCGAGCAACACGATGACGTCTGGCTCAATATGCTTGGTGCATCTGTGAGCACAGGCTTGGTATTGACGAGGCGATGAAGGACCTTGAACCGTTTCAGGACAGACGCCTCAACGACGCGAGGCGACATACGTCTTTGTGTCTAGGTAGCTCTGGTTAAACGCCGACTGAAGCTTACCTGGCTTACAGAAGCGGTCCTGAGCAGCCTTTGACGGAACTCGGCTTCTAGGAACCTAACATGTTCAAACGCAAACAAGGAAAGCATTTTAACTGAGAAGTGGCGATTTTTTCCGCAACCTCGCTCAGTATACAGTGCTCCGGTTGCTTCCTATCCATCTAAAGGCGTTGTCCTTGATCACCACGTTGCCCGCTTCCAGCTGAACTGCTTTGCCGCGCTTAGCCGACCCAAGACGGGGTCTTCCGAATTACTCTTCAAATCACCCTCCTATAGCGGCCGCGAAGCTTTAAGTTTATCCCTAAACAAAAATTACGAATTTCAATTTATACCTGAGATAAGAGAAATGAAAATAGAGCAATATCAGCTGCAACTAGTGCGGTATGGCTCAACTTGAAGGAGCCGGACCTTTCGAAAGGCTTACCAGGGGTACGAATTTTCACGAACGCCATGTTTGCTTTCTGCGCTACCTTTATTTGGGGAGAGCCAAACGGTGGGATTATATAAGACAGACCGCTTCTCCTAAATGGCCTAATAAACTTCTAGGTCTTGGCCAGAGTTTTAAATAGAACAGATCGCCTCCTTATCGCGAAGGTCTGTTAACGTATAAGAAAGCGTAGCCTAGAATCTGATTGAGAAATTTATGAGTCGTCGTATCGTCGCTAGATTCGAGAGCTTCTTGAACAGTTTAAGGTGGCAGACGGGGCCTAGGGTGGAAGTGAGGAGAGTCCGACTATATCTTAGGGCTAGGAAAGCACTAATAACTTAAGACGACAAATAGGAGCCTCGAGGCTAACCAGAGCCACATTGTTTGCAGTAACGGAGCTCTCCAAGCCCTAGTCACCTACACTCCTTTCACCCACTGCTGCCTAGCTACGCCACATGCTGCGGCCTAGAGCTATTGCTGGCCTTAAGTCACATGACGGGTTCACCTAGTACTATATAAACCCGTAGTTACCCTCTTTTAGCAATCAATCCAGTTTCTCATGCCTATGGTACTCCTCCTAGCTTCACACACATCGATATGATTGGCGATTACAGGGTGTACAACCGGATAGCCGTGTTCGGGATTGACAAGTGGAACACCTGCAGGTGGTGCCCGAGGCTTCAACACTAATCTACTCAGATGGGGGCTAGGTCTAATAGTTTAGTTTCGGGCGCTAAGAGGGTGAATTGAAGTAGCAAACCTGGTCACCCACCCCTCCATTTTGTATGCTACGGAACGCCAAAAAAAGTCGAAAAGCTCCGTTGCAGCTTCATTGAACTCTCTCTATCGACGCAGTACCCGTCCCATTGTCGCATCAGCCAAACCCTGATACAAAGGCAACGGCCGCCTCACTGCTAATATATGGGGTGGCTAAAACCCGAGCCAACGATCTTATCGCTGCCGTCAATCAACCCAGCCGAATTCATCAACAAAGGACCTGGAGGATAAGGAAGAGTGAGAAGCCTTGGGGAGGCTCTCAGTCGATCCAAAAAGCGAGTGGTCCTCCCTGATTCACAACTGAGAGCGATTTGAGTAGCCCTACAGAGGGTGCAGAGGACGAAAACAGGGCATTCGTTTGCTGTACAATTAAGGATAATGTAGTATGATCCAGGATCATGTAGGAGAACCGGGTTCCATAGTGAATTGATGAATTTTGACCAATTTTGAACGACATTTGATCAATATGTATCAACCCTTGATGCCAAGTAGTGAATTAATTGACCTCCCTCTGTCCCGCCCTAGGGAAGATTTGATAGAGAACTCTATATAGGCTCCCCTAACAGCTGTCGAAACGATTAGCCTACACACTATTGGGTACTTGCAGGTGGGATACTTGCCACTTGCCGATTCCGAAACTTCTTTGATAGGCTCCTCCGATTTCGAATATGACGAGTCTTTCCGTAGCTAAGCAGCGTCCAGTGAGCTTGGCCTGTAGTCAGCATAACCGGGTCATTCCCTGAGGTATGATAGCTCTCAGGTTGAGACATGTGCAATCCTTAGACATTCGTGCCGGAACTCAGACATTGGGCTAGTGGAGGGGTTCACCTTATACACAAGATCACGTGATACAAGTCACGTGCAGCAGCGGGGATTGACAACATTGTAATCATTATCCACACTGTAACCTACTATCGATAAGTCGCTCAATTCTACTTTGGTCTTACTTCGTCGCACAAAGGGATAGTCAGCTCCAGCTGTCCTTGCACCGAGGCACAACTCTTTCACCATATCGGCCCCTCTTCTAAACTCGGTTCGCAATTATAGGGATAGTCTATATATAAGGGAAAAATTAATTGGCACTAGATAGTAGGAAATGAATGTTCTTACCCCGCCTGAAGGACAATTTAGAGGATAAGATAGGGATACGGCATATGATTTAACCACTTTCATCTCTAAAAGGCTCCGAGAGTTGAAGTCCTGGCGTACGGGTGGATTCTTTTCATTTGATGAGCTTTTTGCTTCCTCCATTTTGACGGTGCTGCTGAAAGGCTCCGGAAAAGGAGAAGCAATAGCTGCGGTAGACGAAATTGAAACAAGTACATGGATCTTGTTTCTAGCTCCATTACGTAAAGATACTCCATTCCCTTTCGCTGGTCATGCAAATTTGAGTTTATTGTTTCATGCAGGGGTGGGCAAAACCAATGAAACGCAAGCGGGAATGATCCTGTAAATCCACTCGGCTGTATCTTAGGAAAGTAACCTGCAAGCCATACCACTATTGTAGGTTATGCGTCACGCTGGCTAAGTCGGAAGTCGGGAGTTAGGACTGATTAAACAACACTAAGTTTCCAAGTTGTACATTATACTCTAGGCTGAGCAAATTCCCCACTGTGAATCATTGATGCTCACCACACTGATGAGAAATATACGAGTAGTTTACTCTAGACCAAGACCCAATAGATCTCTGATCTCCGCGGAGTCTCCACTCGGGAGCGTTTTGCTACAATATGCACACCCAATATTTTAGAGATAAGAAATCGTGCGATGGATCCGTAGTTATCGGAAAAAAGGACTTGGCAAGGCACCGTGTAACAAGGGTGCGCATTCTGATTGGATTACGCCGTCATCCTAAGAATATATGGTGTAAATTACATACATGCTGTGTTCTCTCCAGCCGGTCTAGCGTAACGCACCGATTGCGGCGGCGAAAATGAGCAAGTTAGGTAACCATGAGTTTAATGTCTAAGCGATTGTTTCCGGAAACCAAGGGCTTGGCGAAAACTAAGGAAGCTCCCGGACTTCACCTCTCCTGTATGGACTGGAACGGCCTCACACAAAGAGCTAAATGGCCACACCGTTGTACGTAGCAAGAACTAGGCTAGTAGTTTCTACAAGTGGAAAATGTTAGAGTAGAAAGCGATAGAGCCTACTCCGTGGTAGTAGCATCCGGCTCAGGGTTGTTATCGCATTAGATTTAATTAATTGCTATTAAGAAACTTATAATTCTTGCTACCTAATTGCATTCTAGATATTATACAACTACTATATAAAAATATACAGCTTAAAATTAAAAATTCTACTCTTTTTTTATATTTTAAGTATTCTGTTCCATCAAATATGGATTTCCTTCATCAAGCCAAGGATTTATTTGCCGACCATTGTAATCATTTGAAATATTGTTTCTGGCGCGATAGGATTCATACGGAACTACGCTAGCATGGTAGTCCTTCGATTCTTGGTCGGCGTGACCAAGGCGCTCTAATTTCCTGGTGCATATTCTTCCTTCCTGCTGGTATACAAGATCTGAAATGCCCGCTAAAATTGTGATCTTTAAGTCTAGTTACACATTCTTGTTTGCTTTTGGTGGATCATTGTTGTGGGTATCGTGGGCGATATCGAAGTCGTGAGAGGATATCATTTCTAGAGACGAATTTTAATTCGAGGGAGTGCCACCTACTGGCATTGTCCTCCTTCGATAGGCTTTGCTTCCTAACTACCCGTTGAACGTGAACTGGCTCTCGGAAGAGGTATTTGTCATTGTGACATAGCGAATCAGCCGGGGGCTGAGGTGGTCGGCGGACGAATTAAAGGAATCCGTCTTGATCGGGTTGAAATAAGGTACCGGATCCGAAGGCCCCCTTCGCCTTCATTCAGACATCGGCCGTGGTCAATATGAATTTAGTTACCCGTTTGCCTCCATCGTCCAGACCTTGAAGCATCTCCGCATTGAAAATCCTCTCCTAACCGCACCTCCGTACCTCATAGTATTCATCTACTCCATCACGAACTTTTGCTACTCCAGATGAACCAGAGAGTACTAACTCCACATCGTGAGCGCTCTGTATCTCAACTCGGGACTAAATCATATCCATGCCGACACATATCCCGGGACCAGATCCTTCCCCATATCCCTCCTAGCTAGGGGATCTGCATCTAACTTCAACTGATTCCCAATTGCGTTTCGTTTACTGTACCTTGCCTGGAGGCGAAGCGTCGGTTACTTTGGCTATGGCTAGTGCCATTTCCAAAACCACGAACGTATGGGGAACTTCTACCCGTTGTTAGATGGGCCGTAAGCTTTAAGCCATCCTTGAGCGGAAATTATTGCTCACACGCTCGGCGTAACTTGGAAGGATTGTATTGTCCTGATCGTCGCGTTCACCTGCGGTGCCGTCGCTTCGCTGCTTGCTTCTGGCTGAAGAAGTTGAATAGGAAGACGGGCCATGAGACTGGCATCGAAAGTATGGGGAATGGAACCGGGCACGCGTTTTGGTGAGTGTACTGAAGAGGCGTCCGCGTGATTGCCGACAAAAGTACGTCAGGGTTACATGAGCCACTTAACTCTGATGTTTGTCACTTGCTAGGTCCGACAGACCAACTCGTTCTTTCGTGTTGGGGCTACGTGCGATGGCGTAATGACAACATGCTGAAAGTCTGTACTTGCTGCATAGTCTAATTTTTCTTTACAATGGTGTTTCCAGCGTGGCAGGCCGAGATGCGCCATTTACAAATACATATGGCTGGGCGCTGAGAACGACCATTCTATGTCAGACTCCATCCCACCTGAATCTTGCAGTATACTTGTAGGTCTGGTGAGAATTTGGGCTTCATATGCTATTATGCTCCGATACTTGCATGAAGTTGTCGGATCGGAGTCACGCCACCACGTTTTTCACACGTGGAAACTGCAGTCACGGCTGACGCGCAGCTTCCGGTCCGCCTCGGTAAACCGACATCGGCTGCGGCAACCAAGGAAACACCATGCTCACCACCTCGTGTCCTGGCCCCCGGCCGCGACATTCAACTCCACAACCTCATGCTCACACGGGGCCCCGCAACTCGCCTCCGCCTGGCCGCGTCCACTCGTATTCGAGAATAGTCTCCAAGAGTCTCTGGGTTTCGCTTAGTCGTTTCTCCTTTCAGGCACAAATTCCGCACAGACATTGAATACGATATGGACATTTCTTCCTACATCGGATGAGGGCTCATCATCCCCTAGCCTCCGACGTCTTCTCTCCTTTGCGACTACGATGGCCTGGCGTCCTGGCTGTTTGAGGACGCATCGGAACACCATCCTACTTCTCTCGCGAATCGGTCTCCCTTCATCCAGCATGGATTATCTTGTCCTCGGTTCCTTGAACCATGGTAATTCCCTGCCTCCTCTACACCGTAGTGATTTCGGGCTTGGTTAAGGCCTTGGTCTCGGCCGGGAGCAGCATGAACTCGACCCATTGTGGTGTCAGCATGTCCCTGAAAATGAAAGGTGGTTGTATAAGTGTTGCGCACGCACGCACCCCTCAAGAGTACGCGACACCTTGATCTCTGCACTCTACTCTCATCTGCTACTAAGAACGCAAGAGTTCCACTTCCGCGCGACAAGATGGCAACAGCAACTGAAAACCACTCTCGCGACACCACCCCGCCCACGGAACATCATAAGGGCTTCCACCCGGTCCACATCGATCCCAGCCCCCTTTCTCATGCTAGAAGCAATAATGAGTTACGTCTCGCTGCTTTCGGAGGCGAGTATCAGCCCGGATTGTATCGGTGAGGTTCCGTTGGAGTTCGAACTGATCTCCCGTAACTAACACACGCCTTGAGTAGACCACCACCGCGGAAAATTGCCAATCCGGCTCCCCTGGGCTTGTCGTGCTTCGGGCTGACGACATTTATCTTGTCTCTGATCAACATTGGCGCTCGTGGCGTCCACCACCCGAACATTGTCGTGGCCGTTGCCTACGCCTATGGAGGGCTGGTTCAGCTGCTTTCAGGGATGTGGTAAGCATGCTCCTACCCTTCACGAGAGGATTTACCCCCTTGCTAATACGCGTCGTAGGGAGTTTGCTGCTGGGAACACTTTTGGTGCGACGGCCCTTTCCTCATATGGTGGCTTCTGGATCTCCTTTGGCATTATTCTCACTCCTGGTGGGTTCGAGATCGTTGAAGGACTCGAAGCCAAAGGTGTCGATCAATTCTACAACTCTTTTGGATTCTTCTTGACTGTGAGTTGTCCATATATGTGAACTATTACCACGAATCTTTCACTCATCTTGCTCCTAGGCTTGGATAATTTTCACTACTATGCTCCTTATCCTCACTCTTCGATCTACACTGGCGTTTTTCATGCTGTTCTTCACACTCGACATCGCATTTTGTTGTCTCGCAGCGGGTTACTTCAACTTCGATGAAGCTGGCCCGAACGCGACATGTATCAAGGTCGGCGGTTGGTTCGGTGTCATTGCCGCTTTTCTCGCGTGGTATAATGCATTCGCCGGAATGGCGGACGACACGAATAGCTTCTTTGTCGCTCCAGTCATGCATTTCCCGTGGAGCGAGAAGGCGAAGGAGAGGAATGCACAAGCGACAGCCGACTTGGAGAATGGCGTTCATGGGACCAAATCGGATTAGACGCTGCCCCACTGGCGCATAGATTGACTTATCTTGCATTGTTATTTCGCATGTTCGCTTAGTTCTGTCTATAGCATGGAGGCCTTCTCTCAGATTACTCCTAGAGACCCGAAGGGAACCTTCGACAGTCCATATGCCTATTCTAATACTTATTCTTTGCATCTGTAAGCTTGTTTCTAATTCTGGGTATTACTTCCCTTGCATCCACGATCTAGGAGATACCAGTGACCTCTCTAACTATCGCCATGTTCCTCGTCCTGCCTGAATCCACAATTGCGCTACGACTCACTACACTGCAGGTCTTACCCGGTTGTTAGAATAACCCTTTTCTGTCTATGCTTTCCCTTTCCCTTTAGCCTGCACTAGCCGCCACCGCCCAATTACCCTTCATGAGGCTGTTTCATAAACCTAACCCTGCCTGCCCGCTAATGAAAGACGAAGAGGCGTGAAACCGCTAGATACCCTTATTTCCGACCGTGGTTCAATCTTTACCAGTCAGCTCTGGTCAGATACCTGCTTCCACTTGAAGATCGACCACCGGCTTAGTACAGCTTTCCATCCTCAAACTGACGGGCAAACTGAGCGTCAGAATCAAGAATTGGAGTCATTCCTGCGGTTGTACTTGAACTACCAGCAGGACAATTGGTGCGAGCTGCTACCGTACGCGGAGTACGCTTACAACTCCAAGAAACACTCCTCCCACGGCGAATGCCCAATACGCGTAGCGTACGGGGTCACCCCAAAGGGCTTTGACGGGGTTGAGGACGATCACTGGCTCAGGCGCCCGCCCTAGGTATGGGACAAGTCCGGAAAGGCACCGGCCCTGTGGGACCAGGTAGTCGCTCATCTTTCGAGATGGAACGAACAATTGGAAACCGCGCGCTCATGCCTTGAGCAGGCGCGGCACCAGGTCAAGTGGTACAACACCAAGCATTCGGAGAAGCATCTAGTATAGTAGATAGTGTAAAAGTTATAGTACAAAAGCTGTTAAACCTAAAGTAAACTAGAATAGTTAAAAAGTATACTATATAGTTTAAGGTCCTACAGGGATAACGTACACCACAGGCGAGTTGCTTACACACCTAAGTTGCTTACTTTTACTAAGACCTTACTAAACTACTCTTTCTACACTAATACATTCCTAACAACACTACTTAGATGTGCTAAAGAATGTTAGATATAGCTTATACTCTAAGCTTTTAAATAAGACATAACACTTTTAAAGTAACATGCTGCAGCTATATATAAGATCTTATAAATAATAATAAATAACTAACGCACTAGATAACTTTAATAAGCTAATTTTATAGCTAACTTATAAAGGCTAAATAATATTAAAAAGTAGGTAACATACTTTACAAGTAAGTTGCTTACACACCTAAGTTACTTACTTTTACTAAGACTCTACTAAACTACTCTTTCTACACTAATGTATTTCTAATAACACTACTTAGATAAGCTAAAAAAAAACATTAGATAGAGCTTATAATTTAAGCTTTTAAATAAAATGTAACACTTTTAAAGTAATATACTATAGCTATATATAAAGTTTTTTAAAAAATAATAAAGAACTAATACACTAAATAACTTTTATAAGCTAATTCTATAGCTAACTTATAAAGGCTAGGTAATAATAAAAAGTAAGTAATTATTAAGTATATACTTAAGCTATATATGTAAAGATTTTTCTTTTAGCTAGCAGCTATAGCTAATATAGCTAATTCTTTACACACTAAGTATAATCTAGGCTATGTTAGTATAAACTAGCTTAGTATATTTATAAAGTATTATCTAAAGCTTAAAGTAAAGTTTAAGTGTAAGCATAACTATAAAAAAGCTTTTTATAAAAGCTTTAAAGTAATTTAAAGCTAGTTTAGCTTTATAAAAACTATTAAAGCTAAGTATAGTATCTAGAATAATAATATATATAGCTTTGATAAAATAGGCTTTATAATAAGCTAGATATTTATAACCTATACTTATACTTAAAACTTTACTTTAAGCTTTAGATAACACTTTATAAACACACTAAGCTAGTTTATGCTACTATAGCCTAGATTATACTTAGTGTATAAAGAATTAGCTATGTTAGCTACAGCTACTAGCTAAAAAGAAAATCCTTATATATATAGCTTAAGTATATGCTTAATAATTACTTACTTTTTATTATTATTTAGCCTTTATAAGTTAGTAATAGAATTAGCTTATAAAAGTTATCTAGTATGTTAGTTATTTATTATTTTTTAAAAGACCTTATACATAGCTATAGTATACTACTTTAAAAGTGTTATATTTTATTTAAAAGCTTAAAGTATAAGCTATATCTAATATTCTTTTAGTGTGTTTAAGTAGTGTTGTTAGAAATGTATTAGTGTAGAAAGCATAGTGTAGTAGAGTCTTAGTAAAAGTAAGTAACTTGCCTATAGTGTATGTTAACTGTTATGCTATTTAGCTTTACTAACACACTAGCAACCTTTTAATAGATAAATAGTAACATACTAAATAAGTAGCTTAACATATTTATAGTAGTATATTTTAATAACATACTAATTTACATCAAGTTAACCTGTAATAGCTATGTTAAAAAAGTATAATAGGTTTTTACTACGCTGAAAAGAAGTCCTCTTGTATAAAAAAAAAGTATGAATTCTTTATAAAAGAAATAGAATACCTAGAATTTATAGTTTTAAAATAAATATATAGAATAGATCTAGCTAGAATTGAAGCTATTATAAAGAAGCTAACGTTAAAAACAGTAAAAAATGTACAAGCATTTCTAAAACCAACAGAATACATACACTAACTTGTAGAAAGATACTTAGACAAAGCACTTTTACTAATAGAAGCTATATAAAAACACATAGTCTTTAAATAAACACTACACAAGCTTTAGGTAATAAATATAATTAAAGCTAACTCTACTAACGCTCTAGTAATAACTATGTACAATCTAGACAAAGAGTTAAAGATTTATACAAACGCCTTACACTATGCTAAAACAGCAACACACTACTAAAAAAAGAGAAAGCAATAGGTTTTATTATACAGAAAAGAAAAAGGGTAATGTATAGTAAAGTATGTAATAATGCTCTTACTTCTTCTTCTTCTTCTTCTTCTTCTTCTTACTAATACTATAGAGGACCTAGATAACCGGTATAGTATTAGATTTTAGTAGAGGAGGCGGAAGACTAAGTAATAGCTTTAAGGGATAGAGTAAAGAGTAAAGTAATACTTAATAGTATTCTTTATAATAAGAATTTCTAGGTAAGAAGAGAAACTATCTAGATGTTACAATCCTTACTCCGGAAATAGCGTTTTCAGGAGTACGTCGGCCTATAGTGTTATGTTAACAGAAGGGGAAGGACTTAACTTAATTAAGTGTACAGTTTGTTAAGCAGAGTATGGGTTAAGAGGAGGTAGAGTAGGCAGGCTTGTAGTTTAACCTAGCAGCTGTATAAGGAGCTAGTAAACCTAATCTGTAGGGATAGAAATAGAGGTATATATAGTGCAAGATATATAAGGCAGCAGTGTCCTCTTTAGAAAGGTATTACAGCTTCTTAGTCTATAGAATAGGGGGTGTAGAGAATAGACTTAATAGTAATCACAACCTTCTAACTATAGTTGTAAATAGAACTATATACATAAGGTTTACATGCGCTTACATGCGTTGCAGGTATTGCATGCACTGCCTGCAACAGCCTACAATGCATGCACTGCTTGCACTGCTTAAGTCCTTATTAGATAGTGCACTCTGCTAGGCTTTTGTCTAAAAGCTAGAGCTATTTCTTATCTGTCCTGTTATGTAATCTGCCTAGCGTAGGGCTAAGCGTTTTCTATCTAACGTTGTTTAGGCTGTGTAGGACAGCTAGTTAGGTTATTATAGTCTAACTGTTAGCTATAACACATAGGCTTCTCTTTTAGTTAGCGTCCTTACTGTTATGTTTTTTTTGTTATAAGTGTTAAATTTTTTTTTTAGCTAGTGTGTTCCCTTTTTTAAAGGCTTATTTAATGTTAATCTTTTTTAACTATGCCTTGCTAGGTTTCTTGCACTTCTGCTATTACCTACTGTTTTTGTACTATTGCTTATCTTAATCTTTTTTATTATATAAAAATGCGTCCCTGTAGTCTGTGCTAGTCTTATAGTTCTTCCTGTGTAATGTCCTTGTTATTAGATAAGCGTGTAGAGTGTGTGCAAAAAAGTAGTTATTATAATGCCTTTATTTCTAATGCAGCCTAGGATTGTTTAAAGCGTAAAGAAAAAAAACTGCTTAGAGAGCTAGAAGCGGCTAAAAAGAAAGAGATAAAGAAAAAAAAAATGTAGAAGTAGGCTAAGTCTTTAAAGCGTCTTTAGTTTTTTATAGCTTAGCAGGAATAAGTTTAAAAGCAGTTAAAGGTTTTATTAGATTAAAAAGTAAAGTATCTAAAAAAAGACTTTTTATTGCTAGATAAGCTTAAAGCGCTTAAGGTAAAAGTAGCTAGTCTTCCTTCTCCTTAGCCTATATTAAAGAGTTGCAGACTTTCTACATTATAGCTAGCTAATGCTGCAGTTTTAACTAATAATAGTGTTTTCTAGTCTAGGGAGCTTTCTCTAGGGTAGTTTTACTTAGAAGGGACTTTAGATATTTATAAAAGGCCTAGAGAGCGTTTAACAAGCTTTTAATAAGTTCTTAGGTGTTTTTACTAGTAAGCTATCTTTTCTATTTTACTAGGTACTTATTTCTTTTATAGTCTAAGATTTTTTTTACTTTATATTTTTCTTCCTCTCTCTTTTATCTAGTAGTTGTAAGTAGAATAGTTTTAGAAGCAAGTTTAAGCTTAAAGACATAGAACTAAAGGTGTTGAATAGACTCTCTGCTAGCTAGCACTTAGTGTTAGCAAATGCGTACAAGACAGAGAGGTTTGCACAGTGTAAACATTGCACAGGGGTGTTAGGTAACTAGTGTTAATTACTTCTTATTTTTTCTTTATATAGAGGAAAAGGGGGATATCTAGATGTTTGC